TTTTTTTTTTTTTTTTTTCCTATTACCCCTCCTCTCTCTCGTTCTCCTCTCTTCTCTCTTCTCTTTTCTCTTTTTTCTCTTTCTTTCCTCCTCCTCTCTTCAATCTTCTTTAAAATCTTTCCTTCTCTGGTCGGATCTTAACGGAGTCGGTTTGCGAATCGCCTTTTTTCTTTTTTCTTCTTTTTGTCGTTTTCTGTTTGTTCAGATCTCGTTTATTTCTACTCAGTCCATTGCGGGAGTTATCTTTGGCTTTCTCTCGTCTTAACGTCTTTGCGCCACGACAATTTCCCCTGTGATTCATTTTTATTAGCAAGGTTGATTTAATCCTTGTCTTGTGAGTATTATATTTTTGTTTCGTTTTGTTTTGTTTTTTCCCCTGCTATTTTTCGGTTGAGAAAGACATGGATGGCCGAGGCCTGGACGACGGACATGACAAGAGTCAAATCATTTCACGAGGAAGAAAAACCCGATCCTCTCCCATTCTCCTCCTTCCTAGACGGTCGTTCTACAGCTGTGGGCGAGACTAGTCTTATATCGATCTGCGGTGATGAATGCTGCCTTGATACGTACGTGCGTGCGCCGGTGCTCTCTCGCTTTCTGCCTTGACCACCACTTCTTCTCCCACGCCATTTCTCGGGGTTTTCCCTTTGGTCGCCCAGCCAGCCAGCCCACTTCGTCCCCTCCTCCCAAAATACCCGACCGCACACTTTCGACTCCACACTATCCACATTTCCTGAATAAATGAAATGTCTTTTCGAGCATGCGACCTTGTTGTTACATGGCTTGGTGTCGGTTCGGGTGGATTACAAATCGGGTCGACGGACTGGTTTGGGACGGTCGCAATCGGCGAGAATGGAGCGGATTTGAATGTATCCTTTGACGAATGCGGTTGTATTGCGGATACCGGAAATGGAGAATCGCTCGACCTTTTTTTCTTCGTCTTTTTGCCGACATATTGAGAGAACTTTCTTCGTCCGCATCACAACATTTAAATCGTCTCGCGCGAAATTTCTAGTCGGATATTCCGGCCTTGGCAACGAGAGTACCACTATCGCATACAATTCAACGCAAACATTCTTCGCTCGCGATTTCTTGCATATAAGCAAAGCTGGAAACCATCTCGCTTCTTTTGTCGGTGTCAGACAGCGGCAATTTGCGTTGCGCTACTGTGCACTGTGCACTGTGCACTGTGCATTGCCTCCAGGCCTCGTCATCCAGCTTGTCATCCATCGTCAGAGCGTTCCCGTGATCAGCTCCCCACTAACCGATTCTTCCCACACAGAAAGAATACCCTTCCTGTCCCTCACGGATTTCAACGAACGCACGCTCTCTCTTAACGACTCCCACGAAGTCCCATTTGTACGAGCCGTTTTCGGGTTAGAAAAGTTGTCGAATTTGATACACTTCTTTACCAAGCGCCAAAATGTCTTTCCAGAACTTCGATTCGTTCCAGAACCAGGCTGATGCCGCTGCTGCTGCCGCTGCCCCCGCTCCTACGGACGCTGCTATGGCTGGTCAGGACGCTGCCTTCCAGGGTCCTGCTGGTGATGCCGCTGCGGGTGCTGTTCCCCAGCAGGGTGCCGATGGCAAGACCACTCTCTGGTATGTTTCAGATCTGGGGAATGCGCGGTTAGTGCATGCACTAACAGATGTACAGGATGGGTGAGCTTGAGCCTTGGATTGATGAGAACTTCATCCGCAACCTGTGGTTCCAGATGGGTGAGCAGGTCAACGTCAAGATGATCCGTGACAAGTTCTCTGGGTGAGTTCCTTAGTTGCACCATAATCTTCTGAAGGCGATCCTAATGTTGGTAGTAGGAGCAACGCCGGTTACTGCTTCGTCGACTTCACCTCCGCCGCTGCCGCCGCCAAGGCCCTGTCTCTGAACGGCACCCCCATGCCCAACACCAACCGTGTGTTCAAGCTCAACTGGGCTACTGGTGGTGGCCTTGCTGACCGCAGGTAAGTCTACATGCTGTCAGTGGTATTATCACAGCGCAGATAACTGACTTGAGTTCTAGCCGTGACGACCGTGGTCCTGAGTACTCCATCTTCGTTGGTGACCTTGGTCCCGAGGTCAACGAATACGTCCTTGTCTCTCTCTTCCAGAGCCGCTTCCCCTCTTGCAAGTCTGCCAAGATCATGACCGACCCCATCAGCGGCATGTCCCGTGGATATGGTTTCGTTCGCTTCTCTGACGAGAACGACCAGCAGCGCGCTCTGAGCGAAATGCAGGGTGTCTACTGTGGTAACCGCCCCATGCGCATCTCCACCGCCACCCCCAAGAACAAGGGTCCCGGTATGATGCCCGGTGGTGGTGGTGGTGGTATGGGTATGCCCGGCCCTGCTGGCATGTACCCTCCCATGGGCGCTCCCCCCATGGGCTTCTACGGTGCTCCTCAGCCCATGAACCAGTTCACCGACCCCAACAACACCACCGTTTTCGTTGGTGGTCTCTCCGGCTATGTCACTGAGGATGAGCTCCGTTCGTTCTTCCAGGGATTCGGTGAAATCACCTACGTCAAGATCCCTCCTGGCAAGGGCTGTGGTTTCGTCCAGTTCGTCCAGCGCCACGCCGCCGAGATGGCCATCAACCAGATGCAGGGTTACCCCATTGGCAACTCGCGGGTACGTCTCAGCTGGGGCCGCTCTCAGAACAACTCTGGTCCCGCCGGAAGCCCCTACCGTCCCGCTCCCCCACCGCCGCCGATGTACCCGTCCATGGGCATGCCGCCAGCTCACCAATACGGTGGTTTCGCGCCTATGAAGGTTGGTGGTCCTGAAGCCACTTGGCAGTCTCCTTTCTGAAAACAAATTTAACGAACCGTTCTTAGTAAAAACGACAACTAAATTAACAACATGACCAACAACAACAAAAGCGTTCTGTTTTTTGAAGGAGGCACTAACAGGAGTTCTGCGTCATTTCAATAATGGGTCTTTTGTGTTGTAACAAGCCTGCTATTTCTGCGAAAGTTCCCCTCCTATAGCTCCCTCTTCCGTGGGCGCCCTTTTCTCCTGTGCTACTTATTTCATTACATCTGAGCGCTTTGGTTTTGTCTTTTCCGTTTTCCTTTCCCGTCTCCGTGAAGCAAGATTGAGCTCGTCTAATAGCCCGTCTGTTGTGTTTCTTTTATCGTCGTTTACCCTTTTTCTATAACCCATCTGTCCCATGTTTTTTTTTTTTTTTTTATGTCCCTGTTATCTGTTCTTCCCTTTCGATGCCCCCGATTTCTTTTCGTTTCCTTTCAAATATCATGCTTCCGGCCCTGGGTCTTCGTTCTACGTGTGATGGGATTGTTGATGCGCTTCGTTTTCCCTTATACTCCTTGGGCAGGCATTCTGCGAAAAGTTTCATATTCCCAATCTTTTCTCATGAAGCAGTCAAATTGAAGTCATGTTCGCTTTTTTTTTTAGGGATGCTATGTCATGCTTTTTACTAGACCAACGGCCTGTACAACATTTTCCTTTTCCTTTCTTCCGTTTGCTTTCAATTCAATTCATTCCATGACGGAACTCGGAGTGTCTTTTTTCTTTTATTACTACTCGGCCTTTAGTTACTTGGCAGTTGTATTTTTTTCGTCTGTAGATATTTTTGAGGTTGATAGAACGGTTGGCGGGATTCTAGGCGCCTGCCTATACAGGAATGACCCGTTTAGGAAAGAACCATGCTGGAGGGCAGCTTCCCCCTTCCCTTCCCTATTCTCTTGCTCTCTCCCTCTCGCTTTTCTCTCATCGCCTGTTTAAGTCTTCTTCTGAATCCTTCTCGTCCTCCGACCATCCCGTTCATCTGTATACAGACGTGGATGTCGTTTTCTTACACTGTTATCGTCTATCAGTTTCACTTCCCCAGATTTAGTTCCTCATCTCATTTCGTTGTATTCTAAAGACAAACGGTCGCGAGATTCTACGAAACGCCCAGGATGCGATATGAAAACTGGGATATCCTCCTCTTTCCAGGAGATTCCAAGACCCCAATCCAGGAGTTCAAGACGCAGTGCTCCGTGATCCAAGGAAGAGGTACTCATCCTCTTCCTCTTTGCTTTGGTTTACCACTTGCTGACATACACTCTTTCCCTACCAGATTCGCCCTACCTCAACGACATGGGACCCGTCCTGGGCCCGCAGTCTTTCCAGATGCCGCCAGGAACCCAGACCCTGCTGCCGGTCCTTGGTAGCTACGTCCCGAGCTTGAAGGAGGGTGTCCCGTTCCGAGCGTCTATTCATAATTGGGACCAGCCTATGCCCAGCCGATTAATGGATAGTCTGATGCAGCCTGATGATGCGTTATTGTATCATGCTCAGGTCTATATCGATGGGATTCCGGCTTCGTGAGTCGTTTTGGTTCCCGTTGCGAGACGGTTTTTCTGACGAGGAATAGGGGCTGTGTTTTCGGTCAGAGGACTACCTGGCCTCATGTTATTGGTAAGTGTTGCCATTGCCCTAGAGTAGGGATCGTGTTGCTAACATCGTCGTTCCTAGACTTAAGTCCCAGTGCGTTAGTTCTTTCTCTGTTTACACGGCTCGGTTCACTAACAGCGTCCAGAAATCGACAAGAATGGCGACCAGGAACTCCTTCGCTTTCCGCCATTCCATGAAGAGATACTGCAGCAAAAGTTGTCGAGCGCAGCTGACTTTTTCGGTAAAATTGTCATTGTGATTGCGGAAGGCTTCGCTCGTCCTCATCGTTCCCCTCCAATCGAGCGGGTCAGGGATGTCATCGCGTTCTCGTTTCAGCATGGCCCTTTGCGTAAGGCTCCTGTCTTTTATCGACTGTTCATCTTGACTGACCGGGAACAGAAATCTTGGAACTTGCCAACATTGCCTGGCCGAATGCTTCCATGTGGATGCACGCGCAGCAACAGCCTTTCCAATACAATTCGGGTCGCACTTCACTCAATGACCTGAAAGAACCAAAGGACGCTCATACCCACTCACCGTCAAATCACCGCCGAGCAGCCGCACTTTCGGGCGCTCATGTTCAATCTCCGCCTCCGTTTTACGGCACTCTGTCGCCCAAGGGCTTCCAGTTGCCTTCGAACCAGTGGTCGTCCGACACTCCGGGGGAGCCCATATGGGTTCGTCAAGAGCCGCAAATCGTGGGAGATCCCTTCGGGGATACGTACATTATTGATCACCATCGAGGGCCAAGATCATCCCAGAGTGATATCACTATGCCTGATTACCAATCGAGCTCCAGTGGCAGCAGTCGCGCTACTTCCGGATATAGCGGCGTCAGCTACGAACACAGCAAGCAGCCTAGTATTTCTGGTGTGCTTAATGAAGACCAATATAGCCGGGTTTTCCGGAATTTCACTCCGCCAAGAGAGCCGCTTTCCACCCCCAACTTTGCGCCCATTGGTTACAAGTCCTCTGCGGCAGGAGTACGCCAGGTTCAAAGTGCAAGTCGTCAACTGCCATCGGTGATGAAGAATGTGTCACTGTCTGGAATTAGAGACATATCAGGACACAGCAACAAATCCGTCATCACCGATCCCTTCCAGTCTGTCGCCGGATCAGAAACTACGGAGCAGTTCTACGCCAGCCCTGAGGTTCAGTCTAAAACCAGACAGACAAGTTTGGTCCAGGGCGAGAAAGACAATTTCGAGACTCCCCGCAAGGGATATGACAGGATTGAGCAAACCCCGACGAAGACACCTTTGCACACCAGCGCGAGTCTTGAATCCGTCCTGTGATGTCTCTGGCTATGTTCTTCGCTACTGATTGACGCACCGGACCCGATGACACGGGATTACATGATGGCTTGGCCCTTGGTGATATCCTTACGACAATCGCCTGTTTCATTTTTTGTATCGCTGTGCACCATGATTATACCCTCGTTTGTGTGCACGATTTTTGGAGTTTTTGGACCCTCGCATTGGCTATTATATATATATATTGGCTGACAGTATACCACTTTCGTTATTACCATCCATAGTGACGTCTCAATCCATGACATTCATGATTTATAATGCCCGCAGTCAATGGTGAAACCTAGAAATATGAATCAATATATTGCGACTCAGAAGAAGAATTCTTTGAAACGTAGGGCTGGGTACGTGATAATTGCGTCATAAAGTCAATAGTAAGCCGTTCAAACAACAAGTCCTCGATGGTCTAGTGGTCATGATTTCCGCTTGTCAGCTTAACAACTGCAAGCGCGGGAGACCTGGGTTCGATTCCCAGTCGGGGAGTGTTTTTTTTTTTTTTTTTCCTTGTTATTTTCTTTTTGCCATAGAAACTACTGTACCCATATGACTGTCGTTAATTGGGCAACTTTGATACTCTTTGAATTATTCGTTCTGTCCGAGGGCTCGTACTTGTGACGGCCTGGTCACGTGTATACCTCTCACGTGCTGGAAGCCAGGGATATAAGTCTCGTCAACGCTGATGGCACATCATTCTTCTTCTTTCCTCATGTTGATTATTCTCGTCGATAGCTACCTAGGTAGAGCACATGAGTTGATGTTCCATTATCCTGGCTGAGATCCGTGACAGTACTGAATATATATACATGCCACTGCTTCATTCACTTTCTCCAACATTTGACCAACATTTCTATTTACAGCAATTACTCAGGCTTCCCATCCCCAACTTGTCTCCCCCCAGCATCATGCTTCCCAAAGCAAGCAAACTGATACTCTGCATCCCTCTTCAACCCCGGCACCGCAGCCACAAAATCCTTCACAGCACAGAACCCATTAACCCCCTTCTCACACCCCTTCAACCCATCAACCGGAACAGGTGCATTATTCAACATAAACCGGATATACTCCGTTGTGTTTTTTCTCCCGGAAAGATCCGGGTTCGAGTACAGCACGGGATCCAAGTGTTTAATAGAATCCCGGGATGGACAACTCCAGACTTCGGTGTTTAGGCGTGCGCCGAAGGGTGTGAGATTGTTAAGGTTGAATGTGCGGTTTGATGGGGCGTGGGTTATATTCGCCGCTGGGAGGCCGGTAGGGCCGTATTTGAAGTACTCCAGTCCCAGGGCTGTGAGGACGGAGACGATGATGTCGTCATGCGACATGTCCATATACAATGGCTGACCGAGCGGGAACGTCTTTTCGTTGTTGTCGTATGTCACATTGATACTCGTATCGCTCTCATGGATGAGTTTCGATTGTAGTCGTGCGGCGAGTTCGAGGACGTAGCCTATCCCCTGTGCACGACCTGTTGAGGCGCCGAACCCGTAGTTCCCGTAGAACTGCAGGTCGAGGATGTACTCGTAGTCTTTCCATTCTTGTTCTGTGAAGAGGGTGCAGAAGGGCGAGGGGGAGGGGTGGGTGCTGTAGGTTGCATATTCGTAGGGGCACATGTTGAGCATGGCGAGGATGTCGGAGGGGGTTAGGGAGAGGTCTTTTGGGAGGTAGCGGGATAGGCGGGATATGGCGGAGTGGGTTAGGGCGGGGAGGAAGGATTCTGCGGCTGTGTCTCTGTATACATGTATTGTTAGTTATTGGATTAGGGATTTGGGTGGTGTGAGGGTTTGGTTGCGGGAAGTACCCTTGGTAGCCTTCGCGAGAGTCACCGGGACAGGAATCGTATGAGGCGAGGGTGTTGTTGAATGGGTCGACTTCGGGGATGACGACGAGATCGTACTGCGAGTATGAGCTGTTGGCACCGGAGTTACCAAAGAAGCCGCCTGCACCATCATCAGAAATCCTATCCGTTCAATCAAAAAAAAAAAAAAAAAAAAAGGAACATACCCAACCACCACCGCGCACTCTCCAAAATCCGCGCCTGCGACGTAGTCCTAAACACCGGCTTCGCCCTCCTCGTCCCATTCCCAAAAACATTCAACCCCTCACTCCACCCCGCAACCCCAGCCCCAGCCCGATACAACAACCTTCCATACCTCCCCCACGCATCAGCCCCGGACGTCGCCTCCGTCGCAGCACCACTACCCAGCAACTCATCCTCACCCATAATATACTCCCAATCATTCAAGAACGCCAGCGGCCCACGCGCCAGCGTCCTATGCGGATGCCGCGCAGTGTAGTTCTTGAGCTTCTGCGCGAATTTCTGCATGCCCAGGCCGTCGAGGTCGTAGGGTGTTGGGTAGCGTTGCGCGTGGCGGTGGAGGATGTGCACTTGTGTTAGTTCGCAGCCATGGGGGACGCCGTTTGGAACGTTGAAGCCCGGGCTGTCGGCGTAGGGGCTTAGGTTGCCCCAGCTTGTGGTGATGTCGAAGTTGGAGGCATATGTTGCGCCGGTGGGTGCGGATGCTCCTGCAGATGATGAACTTGCAGTAGCTGCGGCGGGATCAAGTCCTACAAGGGCTGTGGCGAGGAGCGCCGCTGTGGGCGAATTTAGCAATTGCATTTCGACCACTGGCTACTCCGTACTACGCAGTAGAGTGTTATTATGAGATGAAAGGAGCGCACCTTGAAGGCACCCATGAGATATTTATCTCCAGCCATGAGCTTAGCCTATGCACTAATACCAAATCGTACTAGCCGGTGGGTCGTGCCTCCTTAAGGAACACAAAGGAGCCATAGTCAGCTTAGCAGTCTCGGGGGACTCCGACTTCGCTTATCGCCTTTTTTTTTTTTTTTTTTTATATTTATATTATTTATTTTTTTCTTTCTGCGGTAACATAGTTAGGGAAGGCTTTTCCGTTTGGGGTGCGATCAGCAGTCGGAGATGAGGTTGGTAAAAGCCAAGGGCGAGGTTGAGTAGTGTGGTCTGACAGGGCAGTTAGCAATTGCATTCAGTTGTAATTCAGCATAGCTTATCTTTGTATAAGGTACTCACCATATTGCTAGTTTTGTATACGACGTACATAGTTATCGAATGAAGCACGAGGAGTTTAGGCATGATAAAATCACGTGACTACATGCGGGCTGCGGGCGGTGAAATCACCGCTGTCCTTTAACGATCGCAGTCGCTCTCACTTGACAAGGATCTAGCTATTGCAGGCTGGAGTCTGGCAGGTCACTGGAAGTATTGCTTCTCTGAGATTTATTGAGAGCTACGGTATTCGGACAACTAGAGGAGTTCCTCTGCGAACGATCACGATGACCACCAAAGCTCCGGAAGACGAAGTATGCCAGTCCGTGCTGGACTTTGTCGCAGACGGCGCTTATCCAGAATCCGAAAAAGTCGTGGCATCCGATCTTCCGGTGTCAGCTCTCTCGAAGGAATTGGAGTTGATATCAAAGGCCCGTGAGCAAGTCGAGGTGGGTGTCCTTCCGTGATGGTCTTACAGCGCGAAGCCCGAACCCATACTAATGACAGTGACATAGGCCGAAATAAGCACGCTGAGTCGCGAAAATGACTTCGACGCCGACGGTTGGATATCGCAAGCGAAACAGCTACACGAGGACATCGAACGGTCGAGACATACTGCGCGGGAGATTGTTTCCATGCACGAGAGTACGAGACCATTGGAGTTGAAGGTCGTGGATGCCGCCGCCAAGGTGAACTTGATACAGACGGAAATTACATTCGACGAGGCCGTGACAATTACTCTGGAGGAGGTGGAGAGGCTCTGTCAGCAGCTCGAGGCTGGACGGGCGAGTCTGCACGAGGGCGGGATAATGGAGGCTATTGACATTCTGGAGGAAACTGAAACGGATGTCAATGCGGAAAGTCTTTTTGCGGACACGAATGTGAAGAGCATTCTGTCGGAGAATGTTGCTGGGTTGAGGCAGGAGATTGCGGATTTCCTTATTGCGCGGTGGGATGACCTGTTGTCGATTGATAGGGAGCAGCACAAGCTGCTCATTGCAGGAGACGGGTATAGAGTTATGCTGGAGGAGACTATTGCAGCGCTTTCTCGACTGGATATGTTGGACGCAGCCAACGACAAGCTCCAAAAGGATCTCCTTTCGGCAATCGTCAATCCAATCTTGCTACCTAGCGTGCCTCTTCAAAGCCGTGGTGTTCGTGTTGATGCCTCTGGAATTACAATCGAAACCGAGCCAACTACAACTACTGTTTCTGAAGTGCTGGATCGCATCGCTCAAGTCCTGGATCACCTCCAACAAAACCTACCGACATCTATGCTGACCCCGTTTTCCGATTACTTTGTTCCCAATCTCTCTTCGAAGATCATATCATCCTGGTTATCGTCTGCGATACCTACAGAACTCTCAGGGCTAGGTGAATTCGAGAACACGCTGGACAATGTTCTCAAATTCACCAAGTCCATAGAGACCTTGGGCTGGCACGGCCACGAAGAGCTTGTTTCTTGGGTGAACCAAGCCCCTCGTCTTTGGCTTACTACGAGACGGGTTGATTCCCTAGACCAAATCCGCAGAGTCCTTACTGCCGCTCGCGGTACAACCAAACAAGTGGAACGAGTTGAAAAGCAGCAAGTCTCTCAAGCGGACGAAGCTCTTTTGGAGAATGGACCTTCTGATGACTGGGACGCTGGATGGGACGATGACAACGAGGAAGAAACCAACGGAAAGCCTGCCGCACAGCCCGAAGATGAAGAGGATGTCAGTGCTTGGGGTCTCGACGATGACAAGGATGACGTTCCAGAGACCAAGCCGGACGCTGCTGCACTCGCGGCAGATGATGAGGACGATGCTGGGGATGCCTGGGGTTGGGGTGATGAGGAGGATGAAACACCTCAAGAGAAGCCTTCGCAACCTCCTGCGGCTGCCGCTACCAAACCCGCCAACGGTAATGATTCATCTGGCCATGGTGCTTCGAGAGAGGTCACGTTGAGAGAGACGTACATGGTGACGGACATTCCTGATTCTATTGTCGATGTCGTGCTGCAGCAGATCACGGACTCGCAAACCATATCACAGCCTGCGTAAGTGACCTTCAATCGCTATCTCTGTTAACAAAAGCTAATAAATAACAGACACCATAACTCGCGCGTTGTATCGTCGGGAGCAGCACTTCTTGCACTTCCTACCTTGATCCTCGCCATGTTCAAGGCCACGGCGTCGTCGTTTTATGGTTTTAAACTAAACGCAGGACAAATGTACCTGTACAACGACAGCATGTATCTCGCAGAACGAATTCGTAACATCGTCGAGGAACACCAACTTGCCAGATTGACCACTGATATCGACGCGCTTGAGAAGTTCGGCAAGGCTGCCTACAGCAAGGAGATGCAGACCCAGCGCACTATTGTTACGGATCTGCTTGATGGCACACAAGGTTTCGGCCAGTGCTCGGAACAGCCATTCCTGGGCGAGTGTGAAAACGCAATCAGCGCAACCGTTGACAGGATCCGCGACGTCTACACGGAATGGAAGCCGATGTTATCTCACTCTGCACTTTTGCAGTCAATTGGATCTCTAGTCTCGACGGTAATCAACAAGATCATCATCGACATTGAAGACCTGGGTGACATCTCCGAACCACAGTCACAGCGTCTCGTTTCGTTCTGCAACCAGGTCTCTCAACTGGAAGATATCTTTATTCCTGAAACCACGGACGGTGCGGAAGCTGTTCCTATGACGGCTGTCTATGTTCGGAACTGGCTTCGGTTCCAGTACCTGATAAACATCCTTGAGAGTTCGCTTGCCGACATCAAGTTCCTCTGGCTTGAGGGTGAATTGCGCTTGGAATTCTCGCCAGATGAGGTGGTTGATTTGATCAAGGCGCTTTTCGCCGAGTCTGACTATCGGCGGAAGGCGATTGCTGAGATTCGACAGAACTCATAAGCATGCCCATTTGATTTTCTTATTGTATATAGTAGCATAAAAAAATCGTTCAGTCTGTCAAGAAACCAGAATTGTAGATGTATGGATCTCCGACTTCTGCACAAGTGGCCGCGCCGGACGCCGTATTTTTTTCTCACCAGCGCCGCTTGGTCCAGCCCGCAAAAGACATCGAATTTTTCTACATTTATTTTTTACACACTTACCTTAGCCCAGACCTTCTTAATACTTCATAATGGACGTGGATTACGATTCCGCGACGGCTCAGGCCGCGCAGAGACAGGTTCGTGTGCAGCTCACGAGCAAGCAAGAAGATCTTGCTCTGCCAGAGAATACTGGACCGATCTTGGTTCCTACAGGTGAGAAACCAATGCTTCGCAAACTGATCAATACTAATATTTGGAACTCGTTTAAAAGGACTGCGCCGTTATGCTCTGTCTACGCTGGTGAACAACCTCCTTCAAAACGACAAGCCGATTCCGTTCGAATTTTTGATCAATGGCACATTCCTCCGGACTTCGATCGATGAATACCTGACTGCCAATGGAATTTCCTCGGAAACGACTATCGAGATCGAATATGTCAGAGCGCTGATCCCCCCGCTGCACATTGCCTCGTTCGAGCACGACGACTGGGTCAGCTCGACGGATGTGCTCTCTGCGACGTCGGTGCCAGCCTCGTGGGCTTCTGCGACAGTCCGTCCGGGTCAGGAGCGAATTCTCTCTGGAAGCTATGATGGTCTGCTTCGTGTATGGAATATGTCGTCGCAGATCGTCGCGACGTCGCCTTCGGTGACTGAGGGAGGTCACAGCGCTTCGATCAAGGCTGCTAAGTTTGTCTCGCCGACCCAGATTGTCTCTGCTGGTTTGGACCGGACGGTGCGATTGTGGAAGTATGCTGAGGAGGAGGGTGGTTTCTCGGGAGCGATTTCGCCGCAGCTTGAGCTGTATGGACACAAGTCTGCCGTTAACTCGCTGGCTGTGCATGCGCCGTCGAGCCGTGTCTTGTCTGGTTCGTCGGACAACACCGTTGGATTCTGGTCGACCAAGAAGAACGACGCACCCGCTGCGCCGGAGAACCTGCTCCCATCCGCTGCATCGCGAAGCTCGAAGAAGAGGAGGCTGAATTCGTCCGTGAGCACGGCCCAGCGCGGTCCTCTGTCATTGATGGCTGGACACACGGCGCCCGTGTCTGCTGCCATCTTCGACGCGAAGGACTCGACGGTTGGATACTCGACATCCTGGGATCACTCCCTGCGCACTTGGGATCTGGTCACTTCTGCCCTCGTCGACACCCGCACCTTGTCCCACTCGCTTCTTTCTCTGGAACACCTCCCCGAAGTCCACCTTCTGGCCGCGGGTACGTCTGCTCGCCACATCACTCTCATCGACCCCCGTACGTCTGCAACGACACTCTCCGCCATGACTCTGCGCGGCCACACGAACGCCGTCGTCTCGCTCGCGCGCGACCCCCACAGCACCTACGGCCTCATCAGTGGAAGCCATGACGGTACATGCCGGATCTGGGATATCCGGTCTACAAAGACAGACAAGGATGGCGTTGTTGGAGAGAGTGTGTACTCGATCTCGCGGAAGAGTTTGGAGGAAGGCGGGAAATCGGACAGCAAGCGCGTTGGTGGTGAGGGTGTTAAGGTGTTTAGTGCTTGCTGGGACCAGACGGTTGGCATTGTCAGTGGTGGTGAGGATAAGAGGATCCAGGTTAATCGGGGAGAGGGTGTTTTGTCGTCGGCGAAGTAAGAATAGAGCTGCGCATATGTATTTGGGTTTGGCGTTCTTAATGGATAGAAAAGTTTGTTCTGCATACAGAGTACGATTCCTTGTTCGCGAGTCCTTGTTTGAAAGTAGAATTGGGAGTCTAATATTTTTCCATCCGATCCTCATATATGACATTGAGTATAGTACAATTCGAAGCTCATGAAACAAATACAAAGAAATAACGCCATCCATGCCCTCATAACGGGGAATTTATCACCCAAGACACAGAACCCAACCCAACAAAAAACAACCCCCAAATCACAACCTTCTCTCCATCCGATTTAGCTTAACAGCCGTTTTAATCTACCACCACCACAATTAGCCAACCCATCCCCCCCCCAACCCAATCTACCCAGAAGCAAAAAACATACCTGTGTCCTCGTCCTCTGCCCCCGAGCCGGCAGTCCCAACGCATGCCTCCGTCCGCGATAAGCCCCCGTCTCCTTCAACCGCTTAATATCATCCAGATTCTGTCTGCGTAGGTCATTCTCAATCTTCATGTCGGAAAGCGCGGCCGTGATGTCCAGGACCTGCTTGTTGGCTAGCTCGCCGACTTTGCAGGTTGGGTTGATGTAGAAGCGGGAGAGGAGGCGCGAGGAGGTGTTGTGGCCGATGCCGAAGAAGGCTTCGAGGGATTTCTGTGCGCCTTCGTTAGTATGCGTGATATCGTGGTGGTGGGAGGGCAGATGGGCTTGCCTTGACGAGGTTCCGCTCAGGGAAGTTGACGCCTAGGATGAAGACCTGTGGTTTTGTTAGTTTGGATTGGTCAATGGCAATGGCAATTGGGGTCGAGAACATACCATCTTGACGAGTATAGACGTGCTTTGCCGGCTTTTTCGATCAGTCCAATTGAAGCGATGCAGTTGGATATCCGGAGCGGAAGAAAATCGCCAGTAACAATGTTTCTCCGCAGGATTTCCTATTTGGGCGTGGAAGTGCAAATTGCAACGCCGCGTAATATATTACTGTTACACTCGGCACAGCTTTACGTATATTTGGTAACAGAACCTGAAAAATACAAGACAAGACCACCCCTTCTCCGCAAATGCAAGCTGGCCTCCGAGTCTCGATTCCCATCTTCTGCTCTCATCAACCATTGTTCTCTAATCTCTTGTCTTTAGAGCATCGAGAGCATCATGCAGTTTAGGAGCATCCTTTTCTCTTTCTTCCTCGTCTTCGCGCTTGGAGTGGCCCTTGTCCACGGCGAGGAGGCCAAGCAGCCACGGGGACCTAAGGTTACCAGCAAGGTATGTTTTTGGGTACGTGGTGTATTATGCGAGGGCTTGTGCTGATTGTTGTTATTTGATAGGTCTACTTTGATATCGAGCACGGTGACAAGCCATTGGGTCGTATTGTGCTTGGATTGTATGGCAAGACTGTTCCTAAGGTATGTGTTTACTGCTACATGCGCTCTGGAGTAGCATGGACTAATCCGTTCTTGTGATTATAGACCGCTGAGAACTTCCGGTACGAGATACTTTGAGATCAATTGATATCTGGCGATATACTGACACCATCAAGCGCTCTGGCTACCGGCGAGAAGGGCTTTGGCTATGAGGGTTCCTCTTTCCACCGTGTTATCAAGGACTTCATGATCCAGGGTGGTGACTTTACCCGTGGTGATGGTGAGTTCAATTATGTCCCGAGAAGGAAACATTGGATGGATGCTTACTATGCAGGCACCGGTGGCAAGTCGATCTACGGTAACAAGTTCGAGGACGAGAACTTCAAGATAAGGCACACCAAGAAGGGCCTTTTGAGTATGGCCAACGCCGGCAAGAACACCAACGGTTCTCAATTCTTCATCACTACCGCTATTACTGCGTACGTTTGATCTCGGTGATTGACATAAGATTGCAGTACTGACATGTCATAGGTGGTTGGATGGCCGCCACGTCGTCTTCGGCGAAGTCCTCGAGGGTTACGACATCGTCGAGCAGATCGAGAACGCCCCCAAGGGCCGTGGTGACAGCCCCGCGGACAAGGTCAAGATTGCCAAGAGCGGAGAGCTCAAGGAGGAGAAGGAGACCCAAGGTAGCCATGAGGAACTGTAGACCTAAGCGGTCATTTTGCGATTCTTGATATTACGGTGCTGATGGTCATGAGCCTCCGACGACGATAACGAAGACGAAGTAGTAGAAGAAATTTCCGACAAAGTATCACCAACTGAAGTTTCCTCTTATTTCTACCAACAATTGACGCTGCTGTTTGTGGTGGTGGCTGTTGTTGGATTCTTGGTGTACCGCCGGAAGGGACGAGTGGCGGGGAAGATGAATGAGCGCACGGTGGTGTAGAGTTGCGTATGTGCTTTTTTACTCTGTATCGTGTCCATTGTATGTATGCGTGTCTAAATATATGGACTGTGTCATTGCTCGGAGTGTTCAGATCGTATCTGCACCTGCAGGAGCGGTCAGCATTGGCAATGTTGGCACTACTGATAGGGCTACCAGTGGTACTCCGTAGACACAACAACATTACAACAGAGAGTTGTAAATAGAGATCCGGGATATGAGATCTGTGTATGGGCAACATCTGGCTTGTGCTTAAAAAAAAAAAAAAAAAAAAAAAATTCCCTTTATAGAACGGAGTATGAGAAGTACATTCTCTGTGATAGCCACTATAGCCACTGACAGAAGTGTAAATGGTAAACTAGTGTCCATGAGATAGTCACGAAAGGAATCTACTCTTGCCTGTATTTATTCATTTAAAATGGTCATATGAGTCTGTCTATCTGTATCTACTCGATGTATCTGTAGAACGGACCACCGCCTGAGCGGACAGCAGAATCAACAGATGACAGAGCACTTTTCAACAGACAAAACAAACAATTTCAAATGGCAAAATGGACAGATAATAACACTCGTAGACACTGATAGAATAGATACAAGAAAAAGAAAGGAATAGAATGGCGGCAAAAAGGGCTGTTTTCGCACTGTAAATCGGCGGCCGTCAAAGTCACGCTTTTTGCCTCTTTTTTTTTTTTTTTCTTCACCCACAAAACTTTCACCTCTTCTCTTCCTCTTCTTCTTTTCAACTCTCCTCTCTCTCTGCCATATCAAGAACACTTTTTGTTTTTGTTTTTTTCTTTTTATTTAAAAAAGTTCCCTACGCCTTCTCTCTTTTCCCTTTATCCTCTTTCCTCTTGTTCCTGTCTCTCATCGGACCTTTCTTCTGTGTGCCAGATTTCAAAAAGTCCGCCTTCTGACTTCATCGCCACCGATTGAGCGACGAGGATTTCTTTGGATTTTCACGTCTCTCTTTTTTGTTTACGAAGAGAATCTGATTCTGGACTTTTCTGGAATCCTTACAGCAAGAAACGCTTTTCGAACCCTAAGTTTGTACGTGCGCCAACCCAGTCCGCTTGTGCTTAAAAAAAAAAAAAAAAAAAAAAAAAACCTTTCGTCGCTCTTCCGCACCTGCTACGTACCTGTCTTCCACCAAGGCGAACATTCACTGACCTACTCTCCCACTGAACAGAAATTTCGCAAAATGGCCGACGGCTTGAAAATGGGAAACCTTTCCCTCAACGAATCCCAGCATGCGCCTCAGCCCCCCAACACTGGCCGCGCTGCTTACATTCCTCCCCATCTTCGCCAGCGCAACACGGGTATGAACATGGATGGCGCTGCTCCTCCTCCGGGCCCCAGCTCCTTCTCTTCTAGGTATGATATATCTTGGTCTTTTTTCTGGAGAAATTTAGGACGGTTTGGCTGACAATTTGCAGAGGTGGCGGCAGTGGCGGCGGCGGCCGTGGCGGCAACTGGGCTAATGCCAACGACTTCTCCCCCCGTGGTCCCAATGGTAACAACAGCTGGATCCCCCAGGAAGGCGCTCGTCGACCTTTTAACCCAGATGCTTACGGAAAGCCCGCAGGCGGTGGCTACGGCTCCAACTCCAACTCCGGCTCCGGAGCCCAGGCCAGAGGATCCGGCGACGGCCAGTGGCGTGACGGCAAACATATCCCTGGTCCCCAAAACCCCCGTTTGGAACGTGAACTCTTCGGAATCCCCAACGACCCGGCCAAGCAGAGCACCGGTATCAACTTCTCCAACTACGATGATATCCCCGTGGAAGCCTCCGGTACCAATGTCCCCGAGCCCGTTAACGCCTTCACCAACCCTCCCTTGGATGACCACCTCATCACCAACATCACGCTCGCCGGTTACGTGGTCCCCACCCCGGTCCAGAAGTACTCCGTCCCGATTGTTATGAACGGCCGTGATTTGATGGCATGTGCCCAGACCGGTTCCGGAAAGACTGGTGGTTTCCTCTTCCCCATCCTCTCCCAGGCTTACCAGAATGGTCCCTCGACCGCGCCCGCACAGGCGCCTGGCCAGTTTAGCTACGGCCGCCAGCGCAAGGCCTACCCCACCTCGCTCATCTTGGCCCCCACCCGTGAACTTGTCTCGCAGATCTTCGAAGAAGCGCGCAAGTTCGCCTACCGCTCGTGGGTCCGCCCCTGCGTCGTCTACGGTGGTGCCGACATTGGCTCCCAGCTCCGCCAGATCGAGCGTGGCTGTGACCTGCTCGTCGCTACCCCCGGTCGTCTGGTCGACCTCATCGAGCGTGGCCGTATCTCGCTGATGAACATCAAGTACCTGATTTTGGACGAGGCTGACCGCATGTTGGACATGGGTTTCGAACCCCAGATCCGCCGTATTGTCGAGGGTGAGGACATGCCGCGCGTCGATGAGCGCCAGACCCTGATGTTTTCGGCCACCTTCCCCCGCGACATCCAGATGCTGGCCCGCGACTTCCTCAAGGACTACATCTTCTTGTCTGTCGGCCGTGTTGGTTCTACCTCCGAGAACATCACCCAGCGTGTTGAGTACGTTGAGGACCACGACAAGCGTTCCGTGCTGCTCGACATCCTGCACACCCACGGCACCACTGGTCTCACCCTGATCTTCGTCGAGACTAAGCGTATGGCCGACACTCTGTCCGACTTCCTCCTTAACCAGCGTTTCCCGGCTACTGCCATTCACGGTGACCGTACCCAGCGTGAGCGTGAACGCGCTCTGGACATGTTCCGCTCTGGTCGCTGCCCTATCTTGGTTGCCACTGCTGTTGCGGCTCGTGGTCTCGATATTCCCAACGTCACCCACGTCGTTAACTACGATCTTCCCACCGACATTGACGACTACGTTCACCGTATCGGTCGTACCGGTCGTGCGGGTAACACCGGTATCGCTACCGCCTTCTTCAACCGCGGCAACCGTGGTGTCGTCCGTGACCTGCTTGACCTCCTCAAGGAGGCTAACCAGGAGATGCCCTCGTTCCTTGAGAGCATTGCTCGTGAGGGTAGTGGCTTCGGCGGTCGTGGCGGCGGACGTGGTGGCCGTGGTCGTGGTGCCAACGCTACCCGTGACATGCGTCGCACTATGGGCGGCGGCTTTAATGCTGCCCCTAGCTACGGCGGCAGTGGTGGCGGCTTCGGATCTGGTAGCTACGGCGGCAGCGGCGGTAGCTTTGGCGGCGGTAGCTACGGTGGTGGTGCTGGTGGTGCTCCGTCTTATGGCGGCTACGGCGGTGGCTACGGCAACCCGTCTGGCTCCACCGGTCCCTCTTCCTGGTGGTAAAGGGAAATCAGCGGTTGTAGTCTCTGACGAGGCCGTCAGGTCTGATTGGCTGTCATCTCTCTACTTTTCTTTTGTTGCCTTTCATTGACGGTTACGATCAGAACGAGTCCTGAGTTTCTGGTTTTTATGATTTTCATTTTCTTCTTCACTTTCATCTCAGGAACGGCTTTGTCATGACTGCCACGACTATTTTTCTTTTATTGTCATTTTTCTTTCTTCTTTTAATCTGCGCCGGTGTTTATTATTGCTCAGCATCTTGCAAGCCCGTCGTCTGTCTTTTTGTCTTCTTTTTTTTCCTTTTTTTTTGTTTTTCTTTTTTTTTTTTTTTTTTTTCGCGTGGTTTAGACATGGGCACTCGATGCAGTCCGATATCTCCATTTTACGCTTTTGCTCCTGGTTATGTGAGCATCTTGGTCGGTATTGCATGAAAAAAACATCACATAGATCGCGTTGATATTTTTTCCTGCTACGACCGGTTTTCACCCCCCAGATACCCAAACTTCTTTCATTCGTCTTTCTCAGGCGTTCATATGGAGATAACGCGCTTGAATAATTGCGTGCCGAGCGAAAGGTTGCCGGCTTTTCCTTTTTTTTTTTATGAAAAGAAAAGTGCTTTTTTGTTTCTTCGTTTCGTTCGGTTGCGCTGCATCGGACCGTGTCTTCTTTTACTACAGCTGCAGTTCTCGGTTATTTAATGGCGGGCTCTTTTACTACCTCAAAATACTAGTTTTTCTATGATCTTTCCTCCTTGCATGTTTTGTGCGTTCTGATTCTCAAAGAGAAAGAAAAGAAAATGCCGCTGTCTGTTCCAGGGCTTTTGTGTGTTTGTTCTTTGCCCCAGTCAGAGTGAGCAAACCGATTGTCGGTATAGAAGGAATACATTGCATTGTACATGGCGTTGACGGGAGCTGCGGTGTGCACACGATATTCTCCGGGGTATTTTTCACTTTTCTTATTTTGTTTCTCGTGTTTTCTCGAATCCATGGAGAATGACGCTGTTTCGCCGTTTGCGAGATGCCGAAGATGGCACTGGAATGTATACTTCTTTTTCTAGGACAGATGATTCTGGGCATTTGAATCGCAGTGAGCATTTTCTTTCCATGATTTTTTTTTTTTTTACAGTTTTCTCTTAGTAAAATAAGTTGCTCGTTCCGAGTCGAGCTGGATGCGTTCCATGTAGCCGAGTCCGTACAGTTATATACGAGTAGCATTTCGAGTTATATCCTGTAAGACTTCCAGGCAGTTAGGGTATTCAAATTGACTTGGTTTTATATATAAAACTGTATAAAAAGTATTATCTGTCATTATACATACCAGAGTGAGGTCTACCGCCGGGATCTGTATACTCGGCGGCCGCCGAAAAAAAAGATCAGATCCCAAATCTCGACCTCCCTTTTTTCTTTCCAGCTGGAAGAATTTTCAACCTTCTTTATCTTCTCCTCTTTCTCTCTCCTCGCACGATCTTCAATCCGATTCTCTCTTTCCATCCTTCATTTTTCAGTTCTGCATTTGTCAGTTTTGTTATTCTTCTGCTATACAGCTGACTTCGCTACTTTGAGCTCCATTACGCCATCTATCCAAGAAACGCTCGCGGCCAGTCTGACGGACGCCCTCAGGGGGGCCACCAGCCATTCGACACGCCCAACGAAACCCCTTTGTTCAACGGTACACACGTCCCCCAAAAAAGAACCGCTATAATGGCCGAGGTCGACACCAGCGCCATCGCAGACGAGTCCTTCGCGCACTCCGAAATCCCCGACGACCAACCCACACCACACCCCAACACCAACGGCACAACCTCTACCTCTAATAATAACGCTAATAATGATAATTCCGCTGCGAACCCCTCCACAGCGAACGTCACGGTCGGCACAAGACGCCAGGCCAACGGCACCATCGGCTCCGTCTACTCAGGCAACAAGATCAAGCATCTCAAGAAGGAAGATGGCATTCCGCTGTGGCGCAAGGACATCCAGTACCAGTTCCTGAAGTTGGTGTTTGAGGACCGGACGAAGGTGTTTACGCGGCAGTCGGATGGGCAGAAGGGGATGGATTTTGCGGATATTTATATGGATGCTATGGCGAGGAGTAGCAAGACAAGCAAGATTCTGAAGGATAAGTTGCAGAATGATAAGCCGGCTGCTATTAGTATGGCTATGGTTTGTTTGTTGGTGAATTTTGGGAGGATGAATACTACGCTGAATTGTATGTTCCATCTTATTTTACGGCCGTCGTTTGTCTGCTAACTGTCGCAGTCTTTCCTGAAATGCGTGCCCAGCTGAGAACCTACCACTCCATCCCTTCGTTACAGGCGCATCAAGATCCCCATGCCTACAAGCAACTTCAAGATGCTCCGCGTCTGAAGTCGATCCTCAAAGGCGCGTCGGAAGATTTCGACCAACCGAATACCCTCGAGAAGATCAAGCGCCATGCTGTCCCGCGCACCAACCCCGTCAACCTCATCTTCGTCCTAGCCCAATATGCCCCTAAAGTCTCTGAATTGCACTTCTTCCCTCCGCGCGACTTCTTCGATCTAGTCATGCGATCGACCTTGAGCAGCGCTAGTCGTGCTAGGGCCTTCCTGTGGCTGATGTGGTGGTATCTCGAGAGCGACTTTAGCGCCGAGGCGGCATCGAACAACCCGTTTGGGGCTGGGCAGGATGGCGAGGGGACTGGTGGATTGCCGATTAAGGTGCCGGATTTCGAGAGCCTTACGGAGGAGCAGGCGAATGAGGAGAATATTGATACGCCGGAGGAGTTGGAGTTTGGGGAGGTTAAGCGGTTGGAGCGGAAGCGTGAGTTTTCGTTTCGTCCGATGTTATGCAGTCTAGCTGACCTATGACAGGTATTTTGGAGGAAGACGAGCCGTTGCCTCGTGTCAACAAGCGCTCGAAAAAGGGTAAGCTGACTCCATTGCCCTTCCATTGGCTCCTTGCTAACCCTACGTGCAGATGTCTACGACGATGACCAGGCTTCTGGAGTGGGCCGTTCCGGCGTTTCGACTCCATTGCACCCATCAGCCAGACACGATGAAGAGGACGACCTTACACCTGGGCAATTCGCCCAATCGCGGTCGAAACGCCCCAAACGGGAGGTTTCTCCGAACCGTTCAGTTGGTCAGCAGCGTCTGATCCTGAAAACCAAGGGAGAGCAGACTCCTGATGCTTCATCCCCGGCTCCCTCTGGTTCCAACCCAGTGGTTAACCGGTTCGTGAATGAACCGGCTGGACCCCAACCATCATCGTCCCGCCGCCCCCGACCCTTAACACAGCATCAAATCGCCGTCGAGCAAAACCGTCGCGAGCGCATCGGATATCTGCTCTCTAAGCGCAAGGACGAAGCCCACAAAAAGCTTCGCGTCCAACGCGAAAGCGAAATCCCCCTAGCCCGCTCCGCACGTCTCATCACCGGCCTCCCAGACGGCTACGACAGCGACGACTCCCGCGCCTGGGGTCCAGGCGGTGTTATTTTCAACCCCTGGCGCCGGGAAGACTACGGCGAATGTCCCAACTTTTACCTCTCCGCGATCCGGAAAGCCACCCGACGCCTTGACAGATGGGACTACGACAACGCCAACGGCCCCAAGCGGGACCGAAAGAAGGAGCGAGAAGAGCGCCAACGCGCGAAACAGAAAGCCATCGAATTCGATAACGCCCTCTCACATAGCAAATACCTCACAGCGCAAAAACGCGCCCGCGCAACCCGCGAAGCAAGAAAGAAGGCAGCTTCAGAGGCAGCGGACAAGATCATGGCGTCCCATGACACGGCTAGAGCTGGTGTTGCGGCCGAAGGCCAGGTTGATGCCACGCCGACTACAACGCCCGCGGCTTCCCGTTCCAAGGGCACCAAGGCCCGCACTACAACCGCGAAACCTACTTCTGCACCATTAGCGGAAGACGCCATGGACGAAACGCTGGACGATATCGACCGCGAACTCCTTGGCGAGGACCAGATGGCGGAGGCTGGGATGGATGAGAGTTTCGTGGGTGATGTTGATGGGGCGTTGTCGTCTGATGTTGATGCGGATGAGGAGGATCTTGATGAGGTCGAAGGGGACGTTGAGGGTGATGATCATTCGCTGGCTTCTGATGGTGAAGGTGACGATGTTCGTAATGGGGATGTAGGGAGTGAAGCTTCGTCTGCTGTTGGTGAGCCAGCGCCAGCAGGGCCGGTTTGAATGACCTTTGTGTCTGGTTTACTGTTTATTCTCGTTTTCTTTCCGTTTTCTTTCGGATATTCTGCTTAATCGATGTATTACTCTACCATTTATTGTATTGTTGGTTTTGAGTGATCGGGGGTTGCAATTGAGTGAATGTATACCTATGTCTAGATAGTGAGGATGCAACGGTTGCCATAAATTTGGTACCCTATACCTCATAACACGGTCATCCGAGTTTCCTATTCGGGATCTCTACTACGACGTCACCTTTGGCTAGATTCTTCTATAGCATATTCCTCTCATTTGTACAAAGTAGCATCTTTAACTACAATAAATAAATGCAAACAATAAACGACAGTATACACCATGACCTCAACCGCCTCCCTGGGCCCCATGCCCCAAATACCAATACCCCCAACTAACCCCAACACCACCACCACCATCAATAACACCAACCTCCTCACCCCACTAACAAACTGGAAATCCCTAAACCAAACAACCTACGGCTCGCGCCACATCCACGACCCCGCCCCCTTCACCCTCTGGAACCCCTCCACCAAATCCTTCCGCAACCCAACAAACCGCGAACTCTCCTATCTCTCCACCCTCTACAACGCAAAACAGCTCGACCTCTCATACCCAATCATCACAATCGTCACGGATACGATCCCCGACCCCGTCCCGCTGACTATCGCGTGCGTTGCGGTGCGGTTTGTAAGAAGTGACGAGGTAGGGTTGTTTAGGGAGGGCGTTGAGACGAATGCAGCAGCGTATGCGGATGAGGGGTTACCTGATCCTGTGGGGTTTCGGTTGAGGATGTGGAAGGCGCCGACGGAGGGACAGGTTGGGGGGATTGTTAGTGCTCTAAGCGGTGTTGGTGGTGGTGGTGCTAATGTGAAGGCTATTACGTGGGCGGGGCCGTGGTGCTTCGTTGAACTTGTGACTGGTGATGGGCGGGTTTATGGGAAGGGTTCTTTACCTGGGGTTATTGCCGGGAGGACGGTTGCGTATCATCATTCTGAGAAGGAGTTGTTCGAGGATGTTAGGGATAAAGCGTCACTCCGGGATTTGAAGGATAGTAATCAAACCCGCGAGAACCAGGGTCTACATCTCGGCGGCGTGCTGGGGAACAGCATAACCCGCCTCGTACGATCGAATGAAGTCGTCGACGGGGCGTGGTGCAGTGCTAATAGTCTCTCGACAGGGAAGGTGTTTTTCCAGTGTATTGGGATCAGGGCGGTTATGCGGGATTCAGATTCTTCACGAAGTCGAAGGCGAAGTCTAGAAGGAGGGTATGAGATAGAGAGGGTGTTTAGTGTGTTTAATCCGTCGCGAGGACACAAGATACAGAATCTAAGGGGGGTGCCTATGGTTGAGGAGAGTTCGCTGCTAGAGAGGTACAAGGGGGGAGGAGTGTTTGGGTTTTTTAGGGATGGGGATTATGATATGGCGTTCTGTACGGTGTTGGATGATATTGTGGATGCGGGGTGGGAGTTGTATTGATATACTCTACATCTTGCTAAATGCTGTATGTAGTTAACTATTTGTATAGCTGAATATTGGTATGCAGTCTCCTGCGCATCCATGGTCACGGTAGTTCTCACATGTCAGCTTCCCGCTGGTTCCGCAGGTGCTGTTCCTGTCTCAATAATTAATCCTCCTCAACCAGCCTCCTCTATTCTTATGTTGAGTGTTGAATGATTATATTATCTTATCATAATAACTAATTACTGTTCAGCTGCTCAGTATTCAGCGATAAGCATTCAGCATACTATTCTCAGCTTCTGCAGCCTGCACGTACGACTCAGACTCGTCGCCGGAAATTGACAGCCACTGGTTTTCTCCTATTGCTGGATTTCCCCGCGTCGTCGTCTCCTCTTTTTTCGGTCGTTTCTCTAATTACTATTGCTCGCTGGTGATTGATCGTCCGAGGGGACCTGCTTGCGAGATTTGTTGAGACTACTCCCGTCCCGATTTTCCCTGCACGTTGTTGCAACGGTTCTGTTCTGGTTACGCCGTTGAGCTGAGTCGGGTTTTAAACAGCGTTTCCCCTTGAACCTGTTCTATTTTTCCATCGCAATCACAACTGTGTACCACGCGAAACGCAATCATGTCTGAAGACCGTATTCTTCGTCCCCGGCCGCGACGAGCCTTCAACCTCACCCCAGAATCCTCCGAAGCGCCCACTCCAGCTGAACCCGCGAACCCGGACTTCCTCAGCCCCAAGGACGCCGAGTTGAACAACATGAGCCGCAACGGATCCATCATGAACCTGACCTCTTCTACCTTATTCGGTATCTACTCCCCAACAGCCTTCGACAGCACCCGCGATGAGTCCAGTCCCTGGGGTACGGAAGCTCACGCCCCCGGCGCCGAGCATCCCAGGCCGGAATTCAAGCTCGATGGTCCGGATCGGTTTACGCTCGAGCGCACCCGGTCGCGATTGAACCATGGGCTGTTCCGGGGTGTGATTCTGCCGCGGGCGCTGCGCAGTGCGTTCTTGTTCGGGTTTGGGATTGTGTATGGTGTGATTACGGTGCATCTTCATGAGAATCATTGGATTACGCCGGTGAAGTTGGAGAATATTCACTACTACGAGTCGTGGCAGTATCTGGGTTTCTGGGGGTTGACTGGTATTGCGTTGGGGAATGTGCTTCCTTGGTTGGATGTTTTCTTTGAGGGGACGGTTCCTGATACTGTTCGACGGACGAAGCAGACCCATAACAATGAGGATCGCACTTCGACGTGGGTTGCTGCTGTTCGCAGCGTTGGTGCTTTTGTTGGGATTGCTTTTGCTATGGTAAGTCCTCTTTTTCAATCACCCAATAGCATCGCTGCTAACTGTCATAGCGACGACTTCCATGGGAATCCACTACGCAAGCCTCCTTGACCCTCGCGCTCGTAAACCCCGTCCTGTGGTATCTCATCGACCGAACCAAGACCGGATTCCTGCTGTCGACAGTGGTGGGCGTGGCCGGAATGGGCCTGGTCCTGGGACTGAAACCGGAATTAACGCCTTCGTCAACCGAGAGCCCACCCACTACATTTGGTCTGAACAGTACTGGGTTGGAATTTGCATTTGCGACGGGAATAACGCAAGAGGGTATTGCTGTGCGGACCTGGATCGCCAGTGTTCTTTTCTGCGCGTGTGTATGCTTTGGCAATATTGGACGGCAATTGACAATTGGAGGAGCCAAGGAGGCATTGAAGAGTTGAGCTTTGCAGGACGAGATTTTCACATGAGATTTGGTTTTTTCTTCGTCTCCGATTGGCATTTTTACGACAGGCATATTTTTCGTTGCGTTTTGGATGGCATGCATGGCATGGACTCGTACAGATAGCTCATAGCCAATGTCAAGCAGCATGATTCACGAGCTTTGAACAATCCACTCACTACAGAACTACTAGACGTGTTGTAGAGTCAGTCATTGCAGTCCCTACTATTGAACCCCAGTAGGAGTTCAAGCAGGCACTGCACCCAAGACCGACCCTTTGCCAGAGGCAATCCCTCTCCATTCTACATGACGATTTCCGTACTTCATAGGAATGTATCCTCGTAGGAACGCTTTTGGAAGAATGTTGTTATTTTGCGTTGTTCATGAAGAAGAAAAGAAAAGAAAGGAAAAGTTCCGAAGTGAAAAATCGATTTTGTATTGGGAGGTGTTGGTCTGTGCGTTTTTGTCACATGATACATGAATCTTGCATAAAGTGGATTATATAACTATGTCGGCTATGCACGCCGCATTGGGTATAACGCGGGGTGGTTCAATAGACAGTCGCTGATTGGTTGAATCATGCCCTCCCCGCGGCAAAGAATTAGAATCTCTTCTCCGGCTTCGGACACTCTCAACTGAGCCAGTCTCTCTCTGTGTGTGTTTGGCAATTGATTCTGAGGACCACGGGCAATTCTTTTCTTCATCTCATATTCATCTGCAGTGGTCTGATTCAAAGTGGTGGCTTTTTCTCGCTTCTTTTCTACAATTCCGCGCATCATGGCTCAGAAGTCGGGTATGCTTTTTCACTTTTCTCAAATGACAAAAAAAAAAAAAAAGTTTGACGGATGCTAATTCATCTGCTAAACAGCAATTATCTCCGTCTATGACAAGACTGGTCTCCTTGACTTGGCCAAGGGTCTTGTCCAGCAGAATGTGCGCCTGCTCGCCTCTGGCGGTACGGCCAAGTTGATTCGGGAGGCTGGATTCCCTGTTGAGTGAGTACTCGCATGATACTACTATAAGAGACCAGGCTGATAGTTGTCTAATACAGGGACGTCTCGGCCATCACCAACGCTCCCGAGATGCTGGGCGGTCGTGTCAAGACCCTCCACCCCGCCGTGCACGGTGGTATCCTTGCCCGCAACATCGAGACAGACGAAAAGGACCTTGCTGAGCAGAAGATCGCCAAGGTGGACTACGTCGTCTGCAACTTGTACCCGTTCAAGGAGACCGTCAAGAAGGTTAACGTGACTATCGAGGAGGCTGTTGAGGAGATTGATATTGGTGGTGTTACTTTGCTGCGTGCGGCTGCTAAGAACCATGCCCGTGTGACAATCCTTGCGGATCCCCATGACTACCCTGAGTTCCTGAAGGAGCTTGAGGCTGGGGAGATCAACAATGCTAGCAAGCAGAAGTATGCTCTTAAGGCTTTTGAGCAGACTGCCGACTATGACTCTGCTATCTCGAGCTTCTTCCGCAAGCAATATGCTGGTGGTGAGCAGCACTTGGCTCTGCGCTACGGTACCAACCCTCACCAGAAGCCTGCCTCTGCGTTCGTGGCCCAGGGCAAGCTTCCCTTCACCGTCCGCAACGGCTCGCCCGGTTACGTTAACTTGCTGGATGCCCTCAACGCCTGGGGTCTTGTCAAGGAGCTCAAGCAGGCTCTTGGCCTCCCCGCTGCCGCCAGTTTCAAGCACGTCTCGCCCGCTGGTGCTTCCGTCGGTGTTCCCCTGAACGAGAAGGAGCGCAAGGTCTACATGGTCGACGACATCGCTGGCATCGAGTCGTCCGGCCTTGCCCAGGCCTACGCCCGTGCCCGTGGCGCCGACCGCATGTCCAGCTTCGGTGACATCCTCGCCCTGAGCGACGTCGTCGACGTCCCCACCGCCAAGATCGTCTCCCGCGAGGTCTCCGACGGTGTCATCGCCGCCGGCTACACCCCCGAGGCTCTCGAGATCCTCTCCAAGAAGAAGGGCGGCAAGTACCTCGTCCTCGAGATGGACGAGACCTACACCCCTCCCGCCGAGGAGACCCGCACTCTCTACGGTGTCCAGCTCACCCAGGCCCGCAACGACGCCGTCATCTCCCCCCAGAAGACCTTCAACACCATCATCACCCCCAAGAACTCCGAGTCCCTCCCCGAGCCCGCCCTCCGCGACCTCACCGTCGCCACCCTCGCCCTGAAATACACCCAGTCCAACTCCGTCTGCTACGCGCTCAACGGCCAGGTCGTCGGCCTCGGCGCCGGCCAGCAGAGCCGTATCCACTGCACTCGTCTCGCCGGTGACAAGACGGACAACTGGTGGATGCGCTTCCACGAGCGCGTGCTCAACATCAAGTGGAAGCAGGGCACCAAGCGTGCTGACAAGAGCAACGCCATCGACCTGCTCTGCTCAGGCCAGACGCCCCGCAACGACGCTGAGAAGGTCGAGTACGAGCGTGTGTTCAAGGAGGTTCCTGCTCCTTTCACCCAGGAGGAGCGCGACTCTTGGCTCTCGCAGTTGACCAACGTTGCTGTTTCTTCGGATGCTTTCGTATGCCCCCTTCCCCCTTCAAATCAGATTATCTCTTTGCTAATCAATGTAATAGTTCCCCTTCATCGACAACGTCTTCCGCGCCGCCCGCTCCGGTGTCAAGTACATCGCCGCACCCAGCGGTTCGCAGAACGACGGCCCTGTCTTTGATACCGCCGAGAAGCTTGGTATCTCGTTCGTCGAGCAGGGTACTCGTTTGTTCCATCACTAACCTGCTTTTCTGATGACGTGGTATAAAAAAGGTTGGAAAAAGATTACGATGCTTTGTTTAATGACTTATAGTACTCCGTACAGTTTAGTACATAGATGATGAAATATTATGTTCATGTTCAATTAAGCTTTTGTTAAATTATTATGTTTCTAACTAGCTGTAAAGAAAGAGAAAAAAAAAGTTAAAAGAAAGATCGGGCAAACAAAAAAAAAAAAGGAGGCAAAAAAGCAAAAAAAGGTTGCCCCCACGCGGATTCGAACCGCGGACCTCATCATTACGAGTGATGCGCTCTACCCCTGAGCTACAAGGGCAACTATTGGTGGGTTAATCACATACAGTGTTATATAAGGGGAGAATGAATTGTTGATTCTATGTGGTTTGTAACATTTTGTTCGAGAGGGTGGGAAACTGCCGTGTTTTGGGGGAAGATAGAATAAAGAATGAGGATTTCCGAGTACGTACTCTGTAGTATGCATTTATCCTGTTGCTTCAAGTGTAGACTGGAGTATGTACATGGATGCTATGGGTGCAATGTGTGGATCGGCTAAGTATGCACCACCGTACAGCCCTAGCTGAACCGTAACATAACATAACCCAAATTGAACCAAACCCCGGTCCGGTCCGGCGCCCCCAACCCCCAGCTACATGCATACGAAGTACGTAACCGGAGGAACGTAGCATTCGCATTCGCATCATTATCACCTCCCGGAAGTATATCGAGAATTTGTTGCTACGCTTTGTTGAATAGTCACGTTTAAAAAGGTCATGTTAACAGACTATCTAGCCCTCACCCTGATCCATATCATCTCTGCTTCTCTTGCCTCTCTTTCGAGGATTCGCTCGTTTGCCTTGCTCTCTTAGTTGGACTGCAGCTACCCTCTAAGCATCGCTGACGCGTTCAGGGAAGAGCATGGCTTCATCTCTCGGGATCTTGTATTCACCCAGCTTCTTTCTTAGGACTTCCTCGATCCGTAAATATGTTTTATAAGCGTACTGAGTGACTATTGAGACTGCAATCCCGCTTTTACCAGCGCGCGCCGTCCTTCCAACACGGTGAGTGTATGTTTTGCTGTCCTCGGGTAGATCATAGTTCACGACCAGGTCTACTGACGGTATGTCGATCCCGCGGGCTGCGACGTCTGTGGCGATGAGTATATTCTGAGATCGAGAGCGGAATTTATTCAGGGACGCCAATCGAGCGCTCTGCGAGAGTTGGCCGTGGATATGGATGGCAGGGAACCCTAGATTTCGAAGCATGATGGTGAGTCGCTAAGTCTCTTGTATTGTCCGGGTGAATATGATTGTCATTTGTCCCGCGTGTTCGTTCAGTAAATGGACAATATGCACATATTTCTATTCAAACGGGACGAGAGCATAACATTGCAAAAGCGTAGCAGACGTCCGACGCTGCTTAGACACCGAAACCCGCACTGGATCCGTCAACGACGCCCGCTGAAGTGTCTCAACCTTACTAGACATAGTCACTGAGAAAAGATACGTCGTCCTGCCTGGCAACACCTTCAGAATCCTATCTAGAACCGGACCAAAATCACAATCCAACAGCCTATCTGCATCATCCAGAACCAAATACTTCAACTCCCGCATCGAAAAACCCTTCGTATTCTCCAAATCATCAAGCAACCGCCCCAGCGTAGCGACTATAACATGCGGCTTCTTCGCCAATGATATCGCCTGCGAAACCATATCCATCCCTCCAATCAACAGCGTACACGAAACCGCTACCACACCTCCCAGATCCCCACAACAGTGGCAATCCGCGACGCGAGTTCCCTAATGGGCGCAAGGATAAGCGAGTGTAGACGCCCCAGCTTGTGAATCAGGCTTTTTAGAATCGGTAGTACGAAAGCGGCTGTCCTGCCGCTTCCTGTCTCTGCTAGGCTGATCATGTCCCGTCCGGATAGTGCTAGGGGGATGCATTGTGTTTGGATGGGGGTGGGGGTTTTGTAGCCATGGGAGGTGCATTCTGTGCATAGGGGGTTGGATATGCCTAGGTCGTGGAAGTTTGGGGTGTTGGTGGTGGAGGGGGTATGTTGGATTGGTGAGTCGAGGGGCTCTGGGTTGTTGTTTGGGGGTTTTATGGGGTGTTTTTGGTTTGATGGAGGGGTTGTGACTTTTGCAAGCTTTTTCTTCTTTCGTTGTGACATACTTGCTGTGTTGTTGAATAACTTGCAGTTCAGAAGATTGTTGAAAGATGAGATCTAGCTTGGATGGAAATAGCCCGCCTGAGGCTTATATCACTACCATAGTAGCTCTTATGACGCCTTGTACTGCTCAGTTTGCGGTAATTGTCTAGTCGATGTTTATATAGAAGTACCACAGCCCTGCGAGCATTGGGCATCCCGTATGGTAGCACATGCCTGTTGCCTCTCGAAGATATATTCTAAACTTCATTCTCCTTGATTGGGTCACGACCAGGATATATATACAGAGACAGCTTGAAGGTCGCCATGCCGCAGTGAATATTGACATTAGACGCGCCCCCCGATGTGATGTACGGCTTGCGTTACAGATACTCATTCCACGAGAACAGTGACCAGGTTTGAGCTCGGGTATCCGTATAGTGTTGAGCCTTGACTGGGCGGATAGATGGGTGAAGGCTACATGGCGCGGATGATATACGTTGAATTTGATGAATTACTATTCCAGGCGTTTTGGGATCACATTCGAGACGCATGGCGACGAGTGACTGTGTGATGAACGACAGTAGTATGACCTTGGTTGTATATAAAATAGCCTGCATAGAAATGTCACTGTTCAACTGCTCTGTACGTCATACATCATACAGCTTCACTGTCAGATGCAGTTAAAATGCATATAGAAGATGAAGAATAAAATAAGAATATAGAAATAAAAAAAAAAAAAAAAAAAAAAAAAAAAGCAATGAATACACGGCGTTGTAGGTGAACATCAAACGGCGCCAACAATTCACCCGACAATCAACTATTTCAACGGCCATATTTCTTTTTCTCCTCTCTCTATCTTTTTTCTTCTTCTCTTCTCTCAATCATACCTGTCTAAACATCCTCTCCTCTCTCTGTTTGCTGGTACATTGCGGCAGGCCGTGCATCTCCGGCAGCTTTACCCCTGGTGCACGTGACGAGCCATAAGCGACACCTCAGCAACGAGACAACCGGCGGCTCTCTCCTGAGGTCATATCCATCAATCTATCCATCTTCGAACAACCTCTCCTCCTTGTCCTTATTTTCCTTTCTCATTCTCTCTTTTGCTCCTCCTTACCCTCAATTCCTTTTTCTTTTCTGCTCTTTCGGTTCGGTTTTTGCTGGCGTTGTTTACTGGGGTGGATGAGGTCGTCCGGCCTTGATAGTAAATATGGCTCCTCTACCCATTAAGTTCACGGAGCTGGTCAATGTACGTTTCCTATACTCTCCCCAGTCGCTTTCTGCTGCTGTGTCTTTCCTGCTATTGCATCCCCGACTAACGCCTTGCGCTCTCACTTGCAGTTGACCAACGCTGAAATCGCGGTATGTTCCTGACGCCCAACCTGTCCTCCCGCTTCCTGTGATGGTACCACGCCGGTGCTTCGGTCGCGCTTCTCCTCCTCCCCAACGATCCTACAGTGCTTCCTTGACGTTCACAAGACAATTTACTTACGCTCTAGCCTTTTCACAGCCCTCCTCGATTGGCTTCAACTCATGTGTGAGTACCGGCACCCTCCGCATCCTCTGACAGCTGGTCTGTGCCCCTTGGTTGCTAATTCCCCGGTGTTCCTGCATGACAGACTCTAGAATCGGATCACTACCTTTGTGTTCGCCAGAAACTTAGCGAAGATGACAAGCCCCAAGTGATTATCATCAACCTCAAGAACAACAATGAAGTCATCAAACGGCCGATCAACGCGGACAGTGCTATCATGCACTGGACCAAGAACATCATCGCCCTCAAAGCGCAAGGACGGACAATCCAGATCTTCGACCTGTCGGCAAAGCAAAAGCTGAAGTCGGCGGTCATGAACGAGGATGTCGTGTACTGGAAGTGGTTCAGCGATACGAGTCTGGGCCTGGTGACAGACGTTTCTGTTTACCACTGGGATGTCTTTGAGCCCACCCAGTCTCAGCCTATTAAGATCTTCGACCGTCTTCCCAACCTGAGCGTATGCCTTCCGAATTCCCTGACTATTTCCCCATCACTGACATGCTATTGCTACCCAGGGATGCCAAATCATCAACTACCGTGTCAACGACGACGAGAAGTGGATGGTCGTGGTTGGTATCAGCCAGCAGCAGGGACGTGTCGTTGGATCGATGCAGCTGTTCTCCAAGGACCGCGGGATATCGCAGTTCATTGAAGGTCATGCGGCCGCATTCGCTTCGATTAGAGTCGAGGGCTCCCCACTGGAACACAAGCTCTTCACATTCGCCGTTCGAACCCAGACGGGCGCCAAACTGCAGATCGCCGAAATTGACCACCAAGAGCCCAACCCGCGCTTCCAGAAGAAGGCCGTGGAGGTCTACTTCCCGCAAGAGGCAGTCAACGATTTCCCCGTCGCCATGCAGGTCTCCAGGAAGTACGATGTCGTGTACCTGGTCACAAAGTACGGTTTCATTCACCTCTATGACCTCGAGACCGGCACCTGCATCTTCATGAACCGGATCTCCAGTGAAACGATCTTTACGACCGCCCCTGACTCCGACTCTGCTGGTCTGGTTGGTGTGAACCGCAAGGGCCAGGTCCTGTCTGTCAGCGTCGACGAGAGCACCATCGTTCAATATCTGATGGAAAACCCTGCCATGTCTGGGCTGGCGGTGAAGCTTGCCTCCAAAGCTGGACTCCCTGGAGCCGATCATCTTTACCAGCAGCAATTCGACAGCTTGATCACTCAAGGCAACTATCCCGAAGCCGCCAAGATCGCTGCCAACTCCCCTCGTGGGTTCCTCCGTACCCCGGAGACGATCAACCGCTTCAAGAATGCCCCTCAGACTGGCCAGATGTCTGTCATTCTGCAGTACTTTGGTATGCTTTTGGACAAGGGCGGTCTCAACAAGTACGAAAGTGTTGAACTTGTCCGACCCGTCCTGCAGCAGAACCGGAAGCACTTGCTGGAGAAGTGGATGCGCGAGGAGAAGCTCGAGTCATCGGAAGAGCTTGGAGACATCGTTCGTCCCTTTGACATGAACCTTGCTCTGTCAATCTATCTGCAGGCCAATGTTCCCCACAAGGTCATTGCTGGATTTGCTGAGACTGGCCAATTTGACAAGATCCTTGCCTATTCCAAGCAAGTCGGCTACCAGCCCGACTACACCCAGCTCCTGCAGCACATTGTCCGTGTGAACCCCGAAAAGGGTGCTGAATTTGCTTCCCAACTCGCCAACGAGGACACCGGTGCTCTCATTGACCTTGACCGCGTTGTGGACGTCTTCCTGTCCCAGAACATGGTCCAGCAGGCCACTTCCTTCTTGCTCGATGCCTTGAAGGACAACAAGCCCGAGCAGGGCCACCTGCAGACACGGCTGTTGGAGATGAACCTTGTCAACGCTCCGCAGGTCGCAGACGCCATACTCGGTAATGAAATCTTCACGCACTACGACCGCCCCCGGATCTCCCAGCTTTGCGAGAACGCAGGTCTCATCCAACGTGCGTTGGAGAACACCGATGACTCCGCCGTGATCAAGCGCAACATTGTCCGCACCGACCAGCTCAGCCCCGAATGGTTGATGAACTACTTTGGCAATCTCTCGGTCGAGCAGAGCATCGATTGCCTCGATACCATGATGGCCGTGAACATCCGCCAGACTCTGCAGTCTGTTGTGCAGATTGCCACCAAGTTCTCCGACCTCCTCGGATCCGGCCGTCTTATTTCTCTCCTGGAGAAGTACCGCACCGCTGAAGGTCTGTACTACTACCTTGGAAGTATCGTCAACCTGAGCGAAGACTCCGAGGTCCACTTCAAGTACATCGAGGCTGCTACGGCTATGGGCCAGACCACGGAAGTTGAGCGTATTTGCCGCGAAAGCAACTATTACAACCCGGAGAAGGTGCGGAATTTCTTGAAGGAAGCCCGCCTGACCGAACAGCTTCCGCTTATCATTGTCTGCGACCGCTTCAACTTCATCCACGACCTGGTTCTGTACCTCTACCAGAACCAGCAGTACAAGTCCATCGAGGTCTACGTGCAGCGTGTCAACCCCTCTCGTGCTCCGGCCGTTATCGGTGGTCTCTTGGACGTCGACTGTGACGAGGGCATCATCAAGAACCTTCTGTCCACTGTTGACCCAGCGCTGATTCCGATCGACGAGCTGGTGACTGAGGTCGAGAAGCGAAACAGGCTGAAGCTGCTTCTGCCTTTCCTTGAAGCAACTCTTGCGACCGGAAACCAACAGCAGGCTGTCTACAATGCCCTCGCTAAGATCTACATTGACAGCAACAACAATCCCGAGAAATTCCTCCAGGAGAACGACATGTACGACACCTTGACGGTCGGAAAGTACTGTGAGAAGCGTGACCCCCACCTCGCGCATATTGCGTACAAGAAGGGTCAGAATGACCTGGAGCTCATTAACATCACCAACGAGAACTCGATGTACCGGGCGCAAGCTCGCTACCTCGTTGAACGTGCCGACTCGGAAATCTGGTCGTTCGTTTTGAGCGAGAACAATGTGCACCGACGTTCCATGGTTGACCAGGTCATTGCAACTGCTGTTCCCGAGTCAACTGAGCCCGACAAGGTTTCCATCGCCGTCAAGGCTTTCCTTGACGCCGACCTGCCTGGTGAGCTGATTGAGCTGTTGGAGAAGATCATCCTCGAGCCCTCGCCGTTCAGTGACAACACCAGCTTGCAGAACCTCATGATGTTGACTGCCGCCAAGGCCGACAAGGGTCGCCTCATGGATTACATCCACCAGCTCAACGAGTTCAGTGCGGATGAGATTGCTGAGATGTGTATCTCTGTTGGACTCTACGAGGAGGCGTTCGAGATCTACAAGAAGGTCAACAACTATATCGCTGCCGTCAATGTGCTTGTCGAGAACATCGTCAGCATCGACCGTGCCCATGAGTTTGCTGAGCGCGTGGAGTTGCCCGATGTGTGGAGCAAGGTCGCCAAGGCCCAGCTCGATGGTCTTCGTGTGTCCGATTCGATCGAGTCGTATATCCGTGCGGATGATCCCTCGAACTACAACGAAGTCATTGACACCGCAACCCACGCTGGCAAGGATGAGGATCTCGTCAAGTTCCTGAGAATGGCCCGCAAGACGCTGCGTGAGCCCGCCATCGACACCGGTCTGGCTTTCTGCTTCGCACGTCTTGACCAGCTCGCCGAGCTGGAGGACTTCCTCCGTGCCACCAACGTTGCGGACGTCGAAGCCTCCGGTGACAAGGCGTACGAGGAGGGCTATCATGAGGCTGCCAAGATCTTCTACACCAGCATCTCCAACTGGGCCAAGTTGGCCACTACTCTGGTGCACTTGGCAGACTACCAAGCTGCCGTGGAGTGTGCACGCAAGGCCAACAGCGTCAAGGTCTGGAAGCAGGTCAACGAGGCATGCGTCAACAAGAAGGAATTCCGCCTGGCACAGATTTGCGGTCTCAACCTCATCGTCCACGCCGAAGAACTGCAAGACCTTGTTCGCCAGTACGAGCGCAACGGCTACTTCGACGAACTCATCGGAGTTCTCGAGGCTGGTCTGGGCCTGGAGCGGGCTCACATGGGTATGTTCACCGAGCTGGGCATCGCCCTGTCCAAGTACCACGCCGACCGGGTCATGGAGCACCTCAAGCTCTTCTGGTCTCGTATCAACATTCCCAAGATGATCCGTGCTTGCGAGGAAGCCAGCCTCTGGCCAGAGCTGGTGTTCTTGTACTGCCACTACGACGAATGGGACAACGCTGCTCTGGCGATGATGGAGCGGGCTGCCGACGCCTGGGAGCACCACTCGTTCAAGGACATCATCATCAAGGTTGCCAACCTGGAGATCTACTACCGGGGACTGAACTTCTATCTCCAAGAGCAGCCTTTGCTCCTCACGGATCTACTCCAGGTCTTGACTCCTCGCATTGACGTCAACCGTGTTGTGCGCATTTTCCATGCCTCGGACAACATCCCTCTGATCAAGCCGTTCTTGTTGAACGTGCAGACCCAGAACAAGCGGGCAGTCAACGATGCCATCAACGACCTGCTGATCGAAGAGGAGGACTACAAGACTCTTCGTGACTCGGTGGACAACTACGACAACTTCGACTCCGTGGAACTCGCCCAGCGACTGGAGAAGCATGATCTGATCTTCTTCCGCCAGATCGCTGCCAGCATCTACCGTAACAACAAGCGGTGGGAGAAGTCGATTACGCTGTCGAAGCAGGACAAGCTCTACAAGGATGCCATCGAGACCGCTGCCATCTCTGGCAAGTCCGATGTGGTCGAGGAGCTCCTTCGCTACGTAAGTTTTCTCTTCTTTCTATTTAATTGTTGGACTGATAGCTAACCTGTCTTTAGTTCGTCGACATTGGCAGCCGCGAGTGCTACGTTGGTATGTTGTATGCCTGCTACAACCTGATCCGGCCGGATGTGATCATGGAGGTGTCGTGGCGCCACGGCCTCCACGACTTCACGATGCCCTTCATGATCAACTTCTTGTGCGAGCAGACGCGGGCGATCGAGATGCTCAAGAAGGACAACGAGGAGCGCAAGTCACGAGAGACGACGCAGAAGAAGGATGAAGACAACACCCCGATCCTGGGCGGTTCGCGGTTGATGTTGACGCAGGGACCGGCCCAGGCGCCTCCGCCCATGGCCAGCCCCATGCCGTACGGCCAAACCAATGGTCTCACACCCCAGGCCACTGGATTCCGTCCGTTCTAATCGCATTTTCTCATACTTAATTCCCGATATCTACTTTAGTGTTATTTTTTTCAATTTCCCGTTGTCATTTGAAATTTCTTAGTTTTTTTTTTTTTTTTTGTGTATGTGTATAACAAGAAGCGCAATGGATGAACCATGGTAACCACCCCTGCATCATGGAAAAATGACAGTCGGAGGAAAACCGGCGGAAGGTCGGTTGTGGAGAGGACGAGATTTTAGTACAACATGGCTTTTACATTTTCTATTTCCTATTTTCTTTGCGTGATTGGAACCGTCGTCAGCATAGACTTATCAAAACTCTTATTTCTGGTATTAGTTATGTACACTACAATGCATAAGCGAGAAACCGTCCACGTGACCCCACATCCTTTCCCCATAGCAGTCCCGGTGTAGCGATGACGATCTAGAGTGGGTTAAGCAGTGACTTGTTCTCTGCAGGATGATTTTCCTGTTTTTTGGGGGGAAAATTACCGAGTCAGTCTGGAGTTAAGGCACATTGGCGGTGGATGAGCTATCATTGGCGGGGACCGTGGCTGGGTGTACCAAACGCCGAGACTCCTTGGCTCGATGATCAGGACGGCGTATCTGATAACTATGGAGAGATATGGGATAATATGAAACGATAGTCTACGGAAAACTAGTACTACACTCTTGCAGAGACAAGAACACCGGACTCTGGGCTCTGGAAATGCTACCTGTTTCGGGCAGAAGGAGGGCAGCGATACTGGGCAGGGATGCAGGAAAAGTGTTTTACCCCAGATTCCGGGTGGCGGAGGATTTAGGAGAGAGGCGGGTTCTACCTGGACAGGTGTGTAGCATGTTTCCCGTATACAATAATGGTGATAGCTGTAACGAAGATGAGTGGTACTCGTATGCGACGGAGACATTGATACTACTCAGGAAAACTAGTATCGCTACTATATCGGGTAGTGGGCTGGGCGGATACACAGGGCTTGGCATGTGACGCGGGCATGGGGTCAGCTGACCGGCGGGGAGTAGTATGAGCTGATAGCAATTGTCATTGTATCTCCCCTGATCGACCGCCATCGCCCACAATTGCCCAAGACAAATGCTAATGCTTTTATAAATCGACCCTTTCGGGTGATCTTCGACCGAGGTTTTCTTAGTGCTGCTATCCCACCTGGAGCTGTCCGGTGTGCCGGTGAAAACCGTCCTGGACTTGTCTTCTCGTAATCGTAATACTGTATCGTACCGTACCGTACATACTGCTGCACCCCGCCGCCATCAACTATATCTCCCCCCTCCTCCCATCCTCTCTTCTTCTTCTCTTCTTCTCGGCTATTTCTTTCTTCTCTCATCTTTCTCTCTTCATCTCTATATAAATCATTGTCCTCGCTTGTCCTGTCTAACCTCTCTCTTATCAATTAATCCCTCTATTCCTCTTCTCTCCGCCCGAGATCCGGTGCCCCGCTAGAGCTACGTGCTCTACTACCTCCGCCCACAAGGTGAGTCAATGCTGTATCCCGCGGGTAAAGGATGAGAGTGAGAGTGACCGAGGCTAACCGTTCCGTGTTCCTATATAGCCCGTCGTCTCGTCAATTGACCACTTTTACCTCTTCTCCTTGCCCTAACTCCTCACCTACCTACTCTTATCATACACAATGGCGGCTTCTCTTGCCCACCGCCAGGCCGAATCGGCCATCGACGATGTAGAGTTTCTTGAAGAACACCATGAGAAGTTCCAAGACTCTGTCCACCGTCGTCTACGGGCCAATTCCACCATCATGCAGTTCCAGAAGATCCTCGTCGCCAACCGTGGTGAAATCCCCATTCGCATCTTCCGTACCGCCCACGAACTCTCCCTCCAGACAGTAGCTGTCTACTCTCATGAGGACCGTCTCTCTATGCACCGTCAAAAAGCCGATGAGGCCTACATGATCGGCCATCGTGGTCAATATACCCCCGTCGGTTCTTATCTGGCCGGTGATGAGATCATCAAGATTGCTCTCGAACACGGTGTCCACCTCATCCACCCTGGTTACGGTTTCCTTTCGGAAAACGCAGTCTTTGCCCGCAAGGTCGAGAAGGCCGGTCTGGTCTTCGTCGGTCCTACTCCCGACACCATTGATAACTTGGGTGACAAGGTCTCCGCTCGTCAGCTGGCCATCAAGTGTGAAGTGCCGGTTGTTCCTGGTACTCCTGGTCCCGTCGAGTCGTTCGAGGAGGTCAAGACCTTTACTGACACGTATGGCTTCCCTATTATCATCAAGGCCGCTTTTGGTGGTGGTGGTCGTGGTATGCGTGTCGTCCGCGAGCAGAGTGAACTGAAGGACTCTTTCGAGCGTGCCACTTCCGAGGCCCGCTCCGCCTTCGGCAACGGCACTATCTTCGTCGAGCGTTTCCTCGACCGACCCAAGCACATTGAAGTCCAGCTCCTCGGTGACAGCCATGGCAATGTCGTCCACCTCTTCGAGCGTGACTGCTCCGTCCAGCGTCGCCACCAGAAGGTCGTTGAGTTGGCTCCCGCCAAGGACCTGCCCGTCGACGTGCGTGACAGCCTCCTGGCAGATGCTGTGAAGCTGGCTAAGTCTGTGAGGTACCGCAACGCCGGTACCGCAGAGTTCTTGGTCGACCAGCAGAACCGCTACTACTTCATCGAGATCAACCCCCGTATCCAGGTCGAGCACACCATTACCGAGGAAATCACCGGTATTGATATCGTTGCCGCCCAGATCCAGATCGCTGCTGGTGCTACCCTCGAACAGCTTGGTCTCACCCAGGACCGCATCTCCATCCGCGGTTACGCGGTTCAGTGCCGTATCACCACCGAAGACCCCTCCAAGGGCTTCTCTCCCGACACCGGTAAGATTGAGGTCTACCGTTCCGCTGGTGGTAACGGTGTCCGTCTGGACGGTGGTAACGGATTTGCTGGTGCCATCATCACCCCTCACTACGACTCCATGTTGGTCAAGTGCACTTGCCGTGGCTCTACTTACGAAATTGCCCGCCGCAAGATGCTGCGTGCCCTGGTTGAATTCCGTATCCGTGGTGTGAAGACCAACATCCCCTTCTTGGCTTCGTTGCTGAGCCACCCCGTCTTCATTGACGGTACCTGCTGGACCACCTTCATCGATGACACTCCCGAGCTCTTCGCCCTCGTTGGCAGCCAGAACCGTGCCCAGAAGCTGCTTGCCTACCTGGGTGATGTCGCTGTCAACGGCAGCAGCATCAAGGGCCAGATCGGTGAGCCCAAGCTCAAGAGCGACATTATCAAGCCCACGCTCCTGGATGCTTCTGGCAAGCCCCTGGACGTCTCCGCTCCCTGCCAGCAGGGATGGAAGAACGTCCTGGACCGCGAGGGTCCCGACGCGTTCGCCCGCGCTGTGCGCGGCAACAAGGGCTGCTTGATCATGGACACCACCTGGCGTGACGCTCACCAGTCGCTCCTGGCTACCCGTGTCCGTACCATTGACATGCTCAACATCGCTCACGAGACCAGCCATACCTTCTCCAACGCTTACAGTTTGGAGTGCTGGGGTGGTGCCACCTTCGATGTCGCCATGCGTTTCCTCTACGAAGACCCCTGGGACCGTCTCCGCAAGTTCCGCAAGGCCGTCCCTAACATTCCCTTCCAGATGCTGCTCCGTGGTGCCAATGGTGTTGCCTACTCCTCGCTTCCCGACAACGCCATCTACCACTTCTGTAAGCAAGCCAAGAAGTACGGTGTCGACATCTTCCGTGTTTTCGACGCTCTCAACGATGTCGACCAGCTCGAAGTCGGTATCAAGGCCGTCCGCGAGGCCGGCGGTGTTGTCGAGGCCACCGTTTGCTACAGTGGTGACATGATGAACCCCAGCAAGAAGTACAACCTCGACTATTACCTTGCCCTGGTTGACCGAATCGTCCAGCTGGGCACCCACGTCCTGGGTATCAAGGATATGGCCGGTGTGCTCAAGCCCCAGGCTGCTCGTCTGCTGATCGGTGGTATCCGCGAGCGCTACCCCGACCTCCCCATCCACGTCCACACCCACGACTCCGCTGGTACCGGTGTGGCTTCCATGATTGCCTGCGCCCAGGCTGGCGCTGATGCCGTCGATGCGGCGACTGACAGCCTTTCGGGTATGACCTCGCAACCCAGCATTGGTGCCATCCTCGCTTCTCTGGAGGGCACTGAGCTCGACACCAAACTCAACCTCGCTCACGTCCGTGCGATCGACACCTACTGGGCCCAGCTGCGCTTGCTGTACTCGCCCTTCGAGGCTGGTCTGACCGGTCCTGACCCCGAGGTCTACGAGCACGAGATCCCCGGTGGTCAGCTGACCAACCTCATCTTCCAGGCCAGCCAGCTCGGTCTGGGTCAGCAGTGGGCCGAGACCAAGAAGGCCTACGAATCCGCCAACGACCTGCTTGGTGATATTGTCAAGGTTACCCCGACTTCCAAGGTTGTCGGTGACCTGGCTCAGTTCATGGTCTCCAACAAGCTGACGGGCGAAGACGTTATCGCTCGTGCAGAAGAGCTTGACTTCCCTGGCTCCGTTCTTGAGTTCCTCGAGGGTCTGATGGGTCAGCCTTTCGGTGGCTTCCCCGAGCCGCTGCGTACCAAGGCTCTCCGCAACCGCCGCAAGCTCGATAAGCGTCCTGGTCTCTACCTGGAGCCTCTTGACTTGGCCAGCATCAAGAGCCAGATCCGCGAGAAGTTCGGATCGGCCACCGAGAGCGACGTGGCCAGCTACGCCATGTACCCCAAGGTCTTCGAGGACTACAAGAAGTTCGTGCAGAAGTACGGTGACCTCTCCGTCCTGCCCACTCGCTTCTTCCTGGCCCGTCCCGAGATTGGCGAGGAGTTCCATGTCGAGCTCGAGAAGGGTAAGGTGCTCATCCTGAAGTTGCTCGCTATCGGTCCACTCTCGGAGCAGACTGGCCAGCGTGAAGTCTTCTACGAGGTCAACGGTGAAGTGCGTCAAGTTAGCGTTGAGGACAACCAGGCGTCGGTGGAGAACACTGCTCGTCCTAAGGCCGATGCTGCCGACAGCAGCCAGGTCGGCGCTCCTATGAGTGGTGTTGTTGTTGAGATCCGTGTGCACGATGGCCAGGAGGTCAAGAAGGGTGACCCTGTTGCTGTTCTCAGCGCCATGAAGATGGTAAGTTTGCCCCCACGGCCCCCGAGAAAAAGAAAAAGACATGCTGACTAGTTTAGGAAATGGTGATCTCCGCACCGCACAGCGGCAAGGCATCCGGCTTGCTCGTCAAGGAGGGCGACTCGGTTGATAGCCAGGATCTCATTTGCAAGATTAGCAAGGCCTAATTGGGTAAAAGTGGGATTCTCTGTACAAATTAAGCACATGATGCTATGATGTTTTGAGTTTCTAGAGCGTTTCGTTTTCGATTATTTTATATAGCGGATGTTCATTGGAATGATTATTTCGTTCAAGTCATTCAATCGTAGCAGTGACATATCTACAGATCACTGTATGATTGTCCATCTACAATCGAGCATTTTCCCTCCCATCCCTAATTTCCGGCACAGCACCCCAAACCCTCATCGCCTCATTCCAAAACTCATCCTCCCAAATCCCCACCTCCCCATCCCCTTTCAACACCCTCATCTGTCGATGACTACTCGTCCCCCACCCAATATCTCTCTCCCCATCCAAAAACCTCGCCAACGGCCCAATCAACGCCCTCCCAACAGCCCCCTTCTCCCGCTCCTCGAGAACCTCCCCATTCCCCCAGAACCAAATAAAATGATCCGTCGCATGCGTAACGCCCCATTCTATCGGGATTTGCTTCTCCGCGCATTTCACGCGCATTTCTACACGATACCTGTAGATTGAGGAATCAGGAACGCCATGCGAGACGAGTGAGTGGATGAGCCCGCGCTGCATCTTGTAGACTTGCATGTCAGCGTATATACGCCCGAAGGCATCACTGTCCCAGTTTTCTTGACCTGGGGGGAGTTTGTTATCGGGGTAGTAGAGTGGGAGTAAAGCGTCGACGGTGGACGTTGGGTACTCGGCGATGAGTCGGGTGCGTAGTGCATCTAGGGTATTGTCTTCTGGAGGGGACCAGAGTGCGTAGAGGTTCGGTTCGTCGCGGGTTTCACCTAGCAAGACCTTAATCCCGCGCTCCCTAAACCGTCGCGCAAACTCCCCATTCGCCAAGCTCTTAAACAGGTCCTGCGAGACAAACGCGCCGTCGGATGTTGGACGGTATTGGTGGAATTGGGTAGATGTCGCTGCATTAAGCAGCGTGTCTGGATCGAGGGCGCGCAGACGGGCTAGTTTCTCGGAGTCTGGGAGGGTGGGCGAGATGTTGAGGGTTGTGAGGAGGGCGTTGAATTGGGATTGGGCTTCGGGGGGATGTTTGGGTTGGGCGGCGGGGCTGTTGGACCAGATGCAGGCGCGTTTTATTATTGACTGTTGGGGTGGGAGGGAGAGGTCGTAGGTTAGTTGGTGGAAGGTTGAGTATGCGCCTGTCATCGTTAGCCCTTGCCCTTAGGATAACTGTAAATGAAAGGATGGGGTTGAGAGGGGCATACCAGCAGAATATCCCGCAACAGTGATATTCTTCTTATTCCCACCAAACAACCCAATATTATCTCTCGTCCATTCTAACGCAAGTCGTTGATCCCAGAATCCATGGTTTCCTGTTGTCTCGCCGACAGAGGCCGCGTCGTGCTCTAGTTCGGAGGAGTACAGGAAGCCGAAGACGTTGAGGCGGTAGGCCGGCATGACGATTATGGCGTTTACGGGGGAGTCGCCCAGGATACCTGCGCCGGAGAAGCCGTTAGGGGAGCCGAATTGGAGCCAGCCGCCGTCTACATATACCAGGTTAGATTGGTTTTATGAAGGGAGGGATTGAACGTACGGATGTAGAAAAGAACAGGCCATCCTACATTCACATTCATTAGCAACCATACCCAAACCAGGAGGAGATATAAAAACTAACCACCCTCCGGCCCATCCCCAACAGGAACCCAAACATTAACCTGAAAACAATCCTCACTCCACCCACTCCTATCCACGGGTCCCAAAAACGCCGGCTGCGGACATACCCCCGCGCCCTTCTCACACTTCCCCGGCTCCTCTCTCGTCCCGTAACTATAATCAACCGGGAGGACAGAAGCTCTGCGCCATCGCTGCGCAGGAAGACCGTAGCGGAGGTTGCCGAAGAAGTGGCAGAGGGGGGTGTTTGTGGATGAGGCGGAGATGGTGAGGCCTTGGATGTAGCCGTGGTGGGAGAGGGAGTGGAGGTGTGGTTTTGTGGTTGTTTGCATGGTGATATTCTTGTTTCTTTTGGTTTTCTGGTCTTGTTTGTTAGGGATGGAGGATGGAGGATGGAAATGGTTTTATGCCGAGGAGTTGGGGTAACTTGGAGTTGTGCAATTTGCGGGGTTGATTTATCGGGGGTAGATTTGGAGGCCGAACCGAGCATATCAGTACAGATTAGATAGTAACTATACCACATTGTGAGTAGAGAATTGACCATGTCATTAGATATCCAACATATAATCAAGAAACAAACTTATCATAATCGTAAAACGAAATAAGCACGCAATCCGAAACTCCATCCATCCCCTGCACAACCGCTAATGACCCTTAGTATACCCATCCCACCACTTCGACAAAAACCCTCCCTGATTGGACTGCTCCTTCCAATTCTGTCTTCTCGTCGCCATGTTGGTATCCAAGGGGTTTCTCTTTTGAGTCGACAGCCCGCTGAAAAGCACCGCGTTGCTGGATCGTCGGCGGTCACCGACTTTGGGGGGGACGGTGTTTTGGTTGCTGGAGTTGGAGGGGGTGTTGGCGCTGGGTGTCTGCATTCGTGTTCATCATATTAATATGATTGAAAGATAGTGGGTTGATGAGGGGACATACTCGTCGCTCCATACTGGACGTCGATGTCTCACTAGACGAAGAAGCGCGTCTTGCTGGATAGTAAACCTGGGGAGAACCACCTCTCACCCAAACGTTATGATGCTCGTGTCTGTCTCCGATAGAACCGTGCCAGTGTTTAGGAGGAGAAGGTGCTGTAGGCGTAGTCGTAGTCGTAGTCGTAGACTGCGATGAAGCCGGGAATTGATTGTTCATAGTAGTTTAACAAGCCCTAACACCAAGTCAGTCAGGAACTCACGTCATCATGATGACCGACGTCAATGAGATGAAGGCTAGACATACAATGATGATAAATCGACGAGATTGTTATGGCACTAGGATGACCCGGATATTGCTCCGAGAATCGTGCGTATATATATCATCGCTGGGAGGGGATCTTGGACCGTGGATCGCACGATGACTTATGATGATGACATTGTGAGACTTTACACATATGTACTGCTTATTGGATGGTGGTCTAGGGTATCCGTGGATTGGCAGTATCAAAGAGAGGAATACGTGAGGAGAAGAGGAGTCCTATGATTGACGTCATCTTTCCTATTCAGGTAACTAGCACATGATTTCGATGTTAATCACGTGTTTGAAGACCTACTCTACTCTCGTTGGGACTGACGGTCATGTACGAGATAAGGGTTAATGCAGTATGGATAGAATGAGGACGCGTACTCGAGCCGAGACCGACAGGGATCAGGATAACGGGTCGGTCATGCATGTCAAATAATACTACAGAGTAATTCTCCGAGGTAGCCGTTATCCTTTTTTCGGAATGCATTGCATGTGCATGCCGCTGCGGCTCAAGAGACGACTCCGTACTCCGTATACCTCGGAGTATACTTACTTCAACTCGCCTCTGGACTCAATATCAACCAATTTCAAATACTCGAGCCTAGATAGCACCATAGAAGTATAAAACCTTTAATATGCGGAGTATAACCATGTCACCCAAGAACGTGCTAACCGAACAAACCCGGCTTATCAATACACTACGGCGCGATGCAACGACACCACCCTCAAGAAAGAAAAAGAGCCTCAACCCCTCTTCTTTTAGAGCATTCGCTCCATCACAATTTAAACTCGCGAAGAACGGTACTTTTCACACTTCTACCAAAAAGCGCCAATCTAGCCAATAAGCCTGGCTATGTGGATGATCTTCAACACCTCGTATTTGCACCGCCGGTGCGCATAGACTAGCGATGCACTAGGTGATTAGGCCCATGCACGCCGTTCATATACCTCAATTGTTATAGCGGCGGCTGCTATTGTTTAAACTGTGCTGTAGCCTCACTGCATGCCCTTGTCTACAACATAGTCCCAGTTCTTTGCTATCCTTGACTTCTCGATTGAACAAGTCTTTGATATGCACGACACAGGCTACCAACTAGGCGTCGACGTCGGCGGCACCTTTACAGACGTCTTCGTTTTCACCCCCACCGGCCACACCCTCCGCGCCAAAGTCCCCACCACAATCCCAGACCAAAGCATCGGCATCCTCGACGGCATCGCCAAAGTGCGCCACCAAATCCAGCAACACGATGAAAACTTCCACGGCACATTCCAATTCATCCACCACGGCACTACGACAGCGACTAATGCCGTGCTGGAAGGAAAAGGCGCATGCACGGCGCTGGTCGTTACCGCGGGTCATAGGGATATTCTCGCGCTGAGACGCTCGCATATTCCCGGTGGCCTGGGTGCTTGGATCCATTATACGCCTCCAGAGCCGATTGTGCCGCTGGAGAGGGTTGTTGAGTGTCGTGAGCGGATGTCTGTTCGGGGGGAGACAGTTGTTGATGTGGATGTTGCGGATTTGAGAGTGCGAGTGCGGGAGATGGCGGCGAGGCATCGGCCTGAGGCTGTGGCGGTTTCGCTGCTGAATTCGCATGGGAATGATAAACATGAGCGGGTTGTGGCGGGGGTTGTTCGGGAGGAATTGGGGAGTGATGTTGCGGTTATTTGCTCTGGTGATGTGCTACGGGAGGTGGGAGAGTACGAGCGGACGGTGACGACTTGTACGAATGCGTTGGTTAAGCCTGTTGTGCAGGCGTATTTGCGGAATTTGTCTGGGAAGCTTGCGACGGAGAGCGAGACGATTCGTGTTCTCAAGAGTGATGGCGGTTTGACGAGTCTTACCCTTGCCGGGGAGCTGCCTGTGAACATCCTCATGTCTGGACCGGCTGGGGGTGCCAAGGGGGTTGCAGATACTGTTGCGCAGTACACGCCGTACAAGAAGCTGATCACACTTGATATGGGTGGCACATCGACAGACTGTACGCTTATCTATGACGGCAAGCCGCAACTGCGACGGGAGACGGTCGTCGATACCCTGTCCGTTCGCTCGCCCGCCGTCGACGTCAAGACCGTCGGTGCTGGAGGAGGTTCTATCGCCGCATACTTGGAGCTCACCGAGACGCTTTGCGTTGGTCCTGAAAGCGCAAGCGCAAAGCCGGGACCTGCATGCTATAATGCAGGAGGACAGCAGGCGACGGTCACAGACGCTAATTTGGTGCTGGGATACTTGCCTAAAACCCTCCTCGGTGGTGAGTTTGCGCTGGACGTGAATGCTGCCGTTTCGGCTGTGGAGAGTATCGCGACGCAAATGGGCCTCCCAGTCACTCAAACGGCTGAGGACATCATCAAGATCGTCAACGAGACGATGTACGGCGCCCTCCGACTGGTTTCTGTCGAGCAGGGCTACGATCCTAGAGAATTCGCTTTGGTAGCTTTTGGAGGCGCAGGACCATTGCACGCCAACGCTATCGGCAAGCTGCTCGGTGCATGGCCCGTTATCATTCCCCAGTCACCAGGAACACTATGTGCCCAGGGTGACGTGACCACGAAGCTTAGCCATGAGCAATCTGCAACCTTCATCCGACTCCTCGCTGAGACGACCGCTACCGAGCTGCGAGAACAGTATGCCAAACTGGAGCAGCAGTGCAGAGAAACGCTGCAGAGGTCAGCATCCACCGAATCAGTAACCTGGAACACAAAATATCAAGCAGACTTCCGGTACAAGGGACAAGAGTTGACTGTCACTGTCGATTTGGAGGCAGATGAGTTGGCCCTCGATACAGAGGCGTGGCATGCGGTATTGCGAGAAAAGTTCGAGCAGAAGCATCGGCAATTATTCACGTATATTCTTCCAGGTTTCGAGTTGGAACTCATGCGACTTGGTGTTGTGTTGGAGGATGCTTCTCCCAGTGTGAAGATGCAGCAGTTGGACAAAGCATCGTCGAGCGAGCCCCCTGTTGATGCTAAGATTGGCGAGCAAACTATCATCGTTGAGGGACAGGAACAGCAGGCAACGTTGTGGGATCGGTATAAGATCAGCAAAGACGGCATCCGCGTCGTCGGACCGTGTATCGTCACCGAAATGGACAGCAACACGCTGATATTACCGGGTTACTACGGAGAAATTGACAATATTGGAAACATCCTCATCAGACCAATTGACGAAGAGACGCCCAGCTCAATCCAGCAACACAATGACATATCCCCATCAGACCTCGTCCGTAATACTCCGCTAATCCCAACCCTCGTCTCAGCCGCCCTATCATCCATCCGCGGCGAAATGGACAAGATGATGCTCCGCTGTAGCATGTCACCAGCCATCCGCGAACAACAAGACGAATTCAACGTAATCACCGACAGCCAGGGCAAGATGCTGGTAGGCCAATTCGGCAGCTTCATCACCCAGTTCTTAGAAGCCTGGCATGGCAGCATCGAGGATGGTGATGTGTTTATCACGAATGATGTCTACCAGGTTAAGGGGGCGATTAGCCATCTTAACGATGTTATTGTACTCCTACCCATTTTCTACGAGGGCAAGCTCATCGGCTGGGCTTCGCAGTTTGGTCACTTAACTGATGTCGGTGGTATGGTACCGGGGAGTATGTCGATTAATGCTACCTCTGTCTTCGACGATGGTATCCAGGTCCCGTGCATCAAGCTGTACTCCGAGGGAGTTGTGAATTTGGACCTCCTAGAGCTTCTGTGCCGGAACTCTCGACAACCAGCATGGTGCCGGTCCGATATCACCGCTATCATCGCCGCTTGCAGCATGGCAGCTACACGAGTCTGCGAACTAGCCACCCGCTTCGGATGCGAGGTATACCTAGCCGCCTGCGACGAGCTCCTATACCGGAACCGCACCGGATTCATCAAGATAGTCGAGCGCCAATTTGACGACAAGGAAAGTACATTTACCGACTTCGTCGACGACGATGGCCACGGCATCGGTCCATGGGCGTTAACCTGTTCGATGAAAAAAGTCGGCAACCACGGCCTCAAATTCGACTGGAGTGGAACCTCTCCACAGAGCTCGCACAGCATCAACTTCTACCTCTCCGAGACCATGTTCAAGATGTTCATCGGGTTTTACCTGATCGCCGCCGCAGCACCGGGAACAGTCATAAACGACGGCTTCCACGACCTAATCGACGTGTACATCCCCGAAGGAACGGTCCTGAAACCAGTCCGTCCGGCGCCTATCTCCTGCAGAACGCATTTCCTAGGACGGACGCTAGACATGGTGCAAGCCCTTATCGGCCAGAAAGACGATGCTTATCAAGCCGCCGCGGGATTCAGCGACTCGCCTCACTTCTTCTATTCCGGGTTTAAACCCGATGGTGAATGGTACCAGTTGTACCAGATTGGTTTCGGTGGCGTTCCCGCACGGCAAGCAGGCGATGGGCCAGACTGCCACTGTCTCTTCCCAGCTATCAAGTCCATTCCTACGGAGAGTATCGAATTGAATTATCCGCTGCGCATTGAAGCAAACGGGGGTGTCCCTGATACCGGCGGTCCGGGGTTCTACCGCGGTGGTAACGCCCAACGCACGCTATACCGGTTCCTCTCACACGGTGAGATCAGTCTCCACGACGACAGATGGTTCACGAAACCGTGGGGCTTGAAGGGAGGAAAACCAGGAAAACGATCTCGGAAGGCATTATACCGACATTCTACCGACTTGAAGGTGATAGATGTAGAAACCCTCCCCTCAAAATGCGACCATATCCGCGTCAACCCAGGCGACCTCCTCGAATGGACAACATGGGGTGGAGGCGGACTCGGCGACCCTCTAACCCGCCCCGCTGAAAAAGTCGCCCTCGAAGTCCAGCGCAATCTCGTTACCGTTCAAGGTGCGAAAACCGGATACGGCGTCGTCCTGACTGATAATCTCAGTGTTGCGGAGGAGGAAACGAGGCTGTTGAGAGCGAGCATGCGTGCTCAGGGGGGTGAATTCTCGAAGTATGATCGTGGTGGGGATCTCGAGGTGTTGAGAGAGTCGTGTCTAGAGGAGACTGGGTTGCCGGCGCCTATGCCGCAGTGGGAGGTGGAGGTTTATGGGCCGCATGCTGGGTTGGATTATGTGAGGGGTTGGTATGCTGATATGGGGCGTGAGAAGGGGTGGAGATTGGATTCGTAGTTGGACAGTGTATATAATTGAGTAATGGACGATGAATGAGTACCTCTCTAACTTATACATATCACACGGCTTTGACTGTCCTAATTTGTTTCAATTCCAAATTTGATTTCTCGTAATGTGCAAGCGCGCCATTGTAGCCCAAAAGAACAAACCGCACATTTCGCGGCTCAAACGAAACTTGTTCAAGATCAAAATGCAACTCGCAGTTCTCAACCGTGACTAGAGTATTGATCCAGACATTTGTCCAGACTTGCATCAATCTGAGTCCCTCATCCAATATGGTTAGAACTTAGATTAGGGTTGGTTCTCAATGATAATTGAAAAATAACGTAAATACCTCATAGTTCAATCTAATAAAGCAACTTCTGTAACCTGAATCTTAAATATTGTACTTCTCCCTTTGCATTGAAAATGAATTCAAGACTGAATGATTCGGAGTATCCGGCCTTGATGACGACGGATGGCTATGTTTTAGTGAGTCCTGGGTGAACGTTTCTCTCGAGAGCATATCGAGAGATTGTTGCTTCTCCTTGTGCTTATATTCACTGCTCGTCAGGCGCAGAGGATCTAGCAGCTTGTCACTGTATCTAGTCTTGGTGCTGGTGATGCTCGAAGCGACGAGAAAGAGGCTAGACATGACTTTGGATTTTCTATCTACTGCTATACAAACTTCTGAAACACATTATTGCGATGATGCTGGGTACAGGTCTTGTAATCACCATAGTATTATCTAGAGCGCAGAGGAAGCGAGGTGGTGCTTTGTTTCTGGTCCAGCAAGGCACTCCGGGCTTTAACATCAGGTATCTCCATTAAAATAGCCGGCGAGACCCATTGCCAGTTACAAATGTTCGGGTTTGCGCCAGCATCAAGAAGGAGCTTCACCATTCTCTCATGACCATAAACCAATGCCCAGAAGAGAGGAGTTCCTCCATCTGGTATGACATTTAGATCTGGGTTGGTCCTCTTGTCACTCAAAAGCAATTCCACCCCATCCTCAAAGCCACTGTGGACTGCGAACTCCAATGGAGTGTAATTATCGAATATTGCGTTTGGATGCACATCGTCCCTGCCGATCAACAGTTGTATCATCTCATAGTGTTCATTAAGCACAGCTCTGTGTAGAGGTGTTTCGATATGTGGACTGAGTGAATGGCCAGACGTGTTCCACGGGCTAGCAGTGCCACTACTATGTCCACATTCTTTTCACGTACTGCTTCAAAGATAGGAGTGGCTCCAACATCGTCAGAGATATCTGTGTCGATATTCGGGTATTCCAGAAGGGCGTCAACGACATCGGGTTTCCCCTGTGAGCAAGCAAGAAAGAGCGGCGTTCTACCGACGAAGTCGGTGGTGTTGGGGTCTATTCCTTTTTCGAGAATGATATGGACAATATCCGCATATCCATATGCAGAAGCGAAGAATAATGCTGTCCACTTATGTACATCCTTGGCAACAAGAGCATTGTGTATGTTGAGATCTGCTGAGCCCGGGGCTGAAGTAGAAGCAATGTGCTGTAGGAGCAACTCAAAGACCTCTATCGAGCCAGTAAATACCACCTGACCGAGAAAGGAAACGTCTAGGCCATACGGGGTTTGGTAGGTGTAGGACTTGACTTGTGCACCGGAATCGAGCACTCTACGTGTTGTTGAGAGCTGGCCAGTATGTGCTGCCCAATGCAATGCATAGCCATCTGCGTGCTTAACGTTATATTCGTAGAGAAATGGAGTAAGGAGAATATGAAAGCGGTGATTGATGCGAGACAAGCTATTGATGTCTGCTTCTGAATCCAGGCTGGATGCAATCACAAGCAGTAGCTCATTCGGGAGTTCCTGCATAGACATCGTGTACGTCTTGTGACCGACGGGTGGCAGAAAGACGATGAAGGACGACAAAGTCAAGTCAATCAGAACGAAGAGTGTAATCGTGAGGATGACACGAAGACCGAGACACAAGGATCGAACGGACTGGCGGATAGAACGGAACTAGAAGGAATGAAAGGAATGACCGAGGAGGTCGAAGTAAAGAAGAGCGAGGAGGAGGGAAGAATGGCACAAGACAAAGAAAACAGCACATGAGAAGCCATTGCTATTAAATCATTCACTATTATCACCACCTTCAAGTGTGAATGGCAGATCTCCGACAGCTCTTCACTGTATCTCATACTGCGACTAAAAAGATGACAAGAACTCATATATCTCTCTTACATATCCTAGAGGCGAACTTCTGAATCGTGTCACGCGATGAGATTGGGAATATAGCTCGTGATGCTATATTTTTGATTTGGTCTTCAAGATAATCAATTGTGGATCAATGAAGGGCATTGGGAAACTCCATTAAATGCATCTTAGTCGACATTCCGGCGTTATTGGCAAGCAACCTTCGTCTGGAGAGTAGCACGTTGAGATGTTGAGATACCGTGGCGTATAGGTAGGAGGCGAGAAGGACAAGAGACGTCAAGGACAAACAAGAACAAGCGGAAGATGATATGAGCGTCGTAGGGCTTCAATGTGCAGCTGACGGAACAGGGCAGAGAAGAGCAAATACTACGACACCAATTGTCTACGAATCAGTCGAGGATGATCATCCCCGACATGGTCTACCTTTGGACGACAGCCACTTAGGGCATATGTCCCTTACGCAGTTCCGAGTATAACGGACGAGGTCCAGACACTCGGAAAGAGAGGACTACAAACAACCGTGGTTGAAATGGTTGTTTGAGAGAAAGAGGAAAAGCCTTGTTGGAAGACCTTTCCTCGCCTCCGACGGCCGCCTCCATGACCAGAATGGTGCATGGAGAAAAGAAAAGCAAGCATCATCAAAAACATCTTTTCAACAATGGTTATGCGGAAACATTCACCCTTCGTGAAGCCTTCATTGTGAAAAGTAGATGCGTTTTTCTGTAAAACTTGGTAGTTTGATATCGCTAAAACACATCTAACTTTATGTCGTGGTAAGGAGTATTTGGAGTGCGACATGCCCGGAACGAGAAAACGCCTGCCGCCCTTTTTTCTTTCGGAAGAAAAGTTTTTGTTCAATTCATCGTAAAATAAACACGACCCCCACACGCTTTTCCCCAGAAGGCCCATGAAGGAGATATCATATTTACCGGACGATACCGTCGAAGCGGTTCTTGAACCACTTGATGGTCTCGGTATTGTTGATGCGGTGGTTGACACCGACCTGGGACTTGCAGCGGCGGCGCTTGGCGACGTGCTCACCGGGACGGGTCCTGTTGAGAATCAATCAGTCTCTTCCTCCACTTCGAAGTATTTTGCGGTTGTCGGGAAAGGTGCACTCACATGCAGCAGTAGAAGTCCATACCGTAGATACCAATGCCGGGGTCGTACTTGATACCCAAGTCGATGTGCTCGCTGATACCGAAGCCGAAGTTACCGGTCTCGGAGAAGTTCCTCTTTCTCAACTCGTACTCCTTGACCTTGAGGCCACGCTCGAGAATCTCCTCGGCCTTGGCGCCACGGACGGTAACGTGAACGGAGATCTTTTCGTTACGACGGATACCGAAGGTACGGACAGTGTAGCGGGCCTTGCCTAATCACGCAAATCCATGTCAGCCCGGGTCTCCGACAATTTTTTTTTTTTTTTTCCCTCTCGATTCCGGGGAAAAGGTCGCCTTACTGTAAACCGGAGTCTGACCAGACAGCTGCTCAAGCACCTTGGCGGCACGAGTAAGTCTGTCACCAGACTCACCAACACTGATGTTCAGAACCAGCTTCTGGATGCGCAGCTCGCGCATGGGGTTGGCGCTCTTGTCCTTTCCGTCCGACTGCATAGCGAAAATTAGAAATGTTCAAACTCGAGAATTTTTGTATTATTTTTTTTTTGTATGGTTAGAACATACCATGATGATTCCTTGGGCGTTGAATTGGTCGACTGAAGTTTGAAAAACACACGGAAAAGAAAGGTTGTAAAAAGTAAGTGTTCTGTGTGGGCTGGACGTGGGAAGCGAGAAAGCCCTTAGCGTCTTGGCATCATTTGGCGCTAACCGCAGAGCCGCGTCCGATCCCGACTTTGGGTGGCCGCAGCAGAGAACGACAGCTTAGCTAAAGTTGATAGCAGAGCTCCAGCAGACAGACAGACAGACAAGAAGGTACCTTCTTCTGTCTTCTATTTATTCATTCTTTGGTATATTTGGCTAAAGTCGCACTCGTGCGCACTTTCCTGCCATCATGGCGGCCAACAGGCAGGGCAAGATGGTGAGTTATCTTCATTGCTGGCTTCGATACGCGCTAGGAACCAGAGCTGGGCTAACGTCTTTTCTTTTCATCTCTAGCAAAACCTCGTAAGCTTCTCGAACGCCCTTGGTGTTTGGCTTCAGTGATGGGAGACTGATTGCTGTGACAGATCAACTACCAGATGAGAGTGACGCTCAATGATGGCCGACAAATGACCGGACAAATGCTCGCGTTCGATAAGGTAATTGATAACAGCTAACCCAGCATGGCCACTACCGTGTCTAACTAACTGTACCATTACAGCACATGAACATCGTCCTCGCTGATACAGAAGAATTCCGTCGCGTCAAGCGGAAATCCAAGCCCGCGGCTGGCCCGAACAACGCTCCGCTCGTCGAGGCTGAAGAGAAGCGCACCCTTGGACTTACGATCGTGCGCGGTACCCACGTTGTTTCCTGCTCCGTCGACGGTCCTCCCCCAGCCGATCCCTCTTCGCGACTCGGAACAAGTGTGCCTGGCGCTGCGACCGCCGCTGCTACCCTCGCGGCCGGCCCAGGTATCAGCAAGCCCGCTGGACGAGGCCTTCCTATCGGCCTTGGAGGTCCTGCTGCTGGTGTTGGTGTTGGTGCTGGTGCTCCCCCGCCGGGTGGTTTTGGTTTCCCTCCGGCTGGTTTCCCTGGTGGTCCGCCGCCGGGCTTCGCTGGACGTGGAGCCCCTCCGGGAGGTCCCCGTAAGCTTCCCTTTCACAACGATTATTGAAAGGCTCAAGTGGCATGCTGACTTTTATGATTTAGCTGGCTTTGGTCCGCCTCCAGGATTTGCTCCACAGGGTGCTCCTCGTAAGTGTTTCCAAGACGATCTCATATGAGGACTATACTAACATTTGACTACAGCGGGCGCTTTCCAACCACCTCCGGGCTTCCAGCCCCCGGGACAAGGACGAGGATTCCCTCCGCCGGGATTCGGACGGTGATTTGATCGTGGGAAGGAAGAATAACATGGCTACATTCGAACTCTCGACCGCGAACTGAGCACGGCTGGCTGTTCAATTGGAGACAAGACGAGAAGGAGGAAAAGGAAAACGACAAAAACAAAAGATCTATCCTATTCGACCATGAAGAGGCCGAGCATACCGATATTCTACCAGGCAAAGGCGTTACGGCGCGTGCGGTTGACAGACATGACCCCGAGAGGACGAAACCCAAGGTCGACCAAACCTTTTTCCGGGATCAACCAGAAGTAATGTTAGATACATACATGGATATTTTGCGCAATCATAATAGTTTTTATTCTTTTGCAAATGCGCGTATGCTCTATGGCGTACTTCCGTAAAGCGACTCCGCATCTGATGCACGTGACCCTCCGCCGGTTAACTCCGAAACGAGTTTGGCAGCGGAAGCGCCCACCTTCTTGTCCGTCAACGGTCAGTTTTAGCGCAAGCTCTCCTCTCACTCTCCCACTCTCTCCCACGTTTTCTCGTTTCTTTTGATACTTGGCAAAATGGCCGCCGCGATCAAGGCAATCAACGCGAAGATCCGCTCCAACAAGGTCTTGGACTATGTCTGCTCGACCCGTACGTATTACCCGCCTGAGTTCCCCCAATAATGCATTCCGGCCGAGACACGAGACCACCACGATGCACATATGATACCATCTGTATATGCAAGGACAGCCAATAGATCGCCAGAATGAACACCAACCCTATGAATGGGGCTATCTACATGTGTATCGCGGACAGATAGCTAACGGACTTTGCCCCGGCGTTTAGACTTCTGGGGCCCGGTCTCCAACTTCGGTATCCCCATCGCTGCCGTGATGGACACCCAGAAGGACCCTGAGATGTACGCTTCCGCTCCCCTCAGTACCATCGAGTTGCGCTTTCGCCGCGCCTTTCCTACCCCATATACAGACACAGACACAGACACTAACACTAACCAGCATCTCCGGAACAATGACCGGCGCTCTCACCGTCTACTCGGCTACCTTCATGCGCTACGCCCTCGCCGTCTCGCCCGCCAACTACCTCCTCTTCGGCTGCCACCTGGTTAACTTCTCCGCCCAGGCTACGCAGGGTTATCGGTACTTGAACTACTGGAAGTGCGTTTCCCCACTTGACCCATAAGCATGGCTGACTTGCGTCTGGGAGAAACAAAGAAAAGAAGCTAATTTATGATGTAGCTGGGGAGGCCGGGAAGCTCAGCTTGCTGCGCGCGGCGTGCAGACGGGTAAGGAGGCTACTGAGGCTGGGGCATAAAAGTAATGATGGGGTTTTGTGGCTTTTTTTTTGTTGTTATATAGTTGTATAGCTTGTATGCATGCATTATTTTTGATATTTGTTGAGCTGTGTAACTTGAAGATGTCCGTTTATATGTGTTTTCACATAGACTCGATGATTGGGTGTTGCGATGAAACGTATACATACGTACTACTCGTGGAGAACAATTTCACCCCTCAGATATTGCAAAAACCGGAAAGACGAAGATACTCTAAAATTAATGCATTGTATTGACTATTGAGACATTCTAACAAGTCATTCTACCAAGCAAATGCTGAAAAATACAAACCAAGGAAACATAAATACACAAAAGCATCGTAACTTCCATCCAAAACTGAGAAAGATAAAGTCAAAAACATGGCTAAACAGACAAACGCCGTAGCCTGCAAAAGAAAAGCGAGAGAGTTGCTAGTCGTGTAACGATCGTAAGGGAGTCATGTCGTGATTCATGAATCGCAGTATCCGGGGGTCTTTTCGACTTCTCCGCTAACCCAGTTGGAGAGGGTTAGTGTTGTCGTGTAGATACAGCCGAGGATACCAAAGCATGCGAGAGTGATGTCCAGGATCTTTTGTCGTTGGGATCGGGCGCAGCCTCTGAGATGTAGGATTGGCTAGAGTTCAACGTTAGTTATTATGGAGACTGTTAGAGGAGATAAAAGAAGCTTACCGGGTACACGTAGACCAAAGGCACACAAGCGAAACTGCCAACAACCGACACGAACTTGTCGAGGTCTGCGGCGCCACCCCACGCAATGACAGCACAGAACAAAACGAGGAAGAAACGGAAACAATTCTTCTGCCATTTGATGCGCGGGTTGTACTTACCGCTGCGCGTAAACATTCCGTTCTCCATGATACGAATAGCCGGGAACAGCTGCAGTGGGGTGGACAGGAGAATCGCCATCGAGTAGAGAAGCTGGACTGCGTTCACGAACTTGTTGTCCTGCGGCATGTTGAGGAGCACGACAGTTCTGGTCTCGGATCCGAAGGCTGCGTAGCTGAGGGCACCTGCGGAGAGGAAGATGGTTGTGATGATTATCATGATAAGAGCGAGGACACCGGGGAATTGCTCCGGGCGCTTCATGGATTCCTGGATTGGAAGAATAAGGCCAATGCCTTCAAATGTGAAGATAGCAGTTCCGATAAAGAGCGTCCATGAAGATGAGTTGAAGTTCTTCATGTCTGCGACGCCGCCTTGCGATACAATATGACTGGCATCGTAGTAGTAAAGATAGATCAAGCCCAGCATGATGAACAAATCTGCAATGAGGGCAGTGAATCCGAGTTTGCTGATATCACGGAATAATGAAAGGGGAAGGAAAAAGAGCACTTGCAGCAATATCAACCACTTGACGTCGATGAATGATTTGCACTTGCTGACAGCAAGGATAAACGCCTGCAAGTTTTCGGCCGTGAAGACCGTGTACGCAGCCACGAACCCGAGTTGGCTGATCACAATCGAACTTAGAATAATGTGCCGAAACTGCTTTCCGTAAAGAATACCTCCCATGTCACCAAATGAACCGTCAACCCTCAATCGAGTATTAACCAAAAGGACGAAACAATAGTAACTAAGAAGCGATACACCAAGCAGCACCAAACTGCTGAAGAGCATGCCTCCGTTAAAAAAGGCCTTGGGCAAAAAGAGAACACCAGTGCCCATGAAAGCCTTGAGCAGAAGCATAGCCGCTCCCCACCTGTCATTGGTTCCAGTCACACCTCGGGGCTTGCGTACCCTCTTGCCGGCCGCATCTCGTCGTTGAAGAAGGGCAGTTTCCTCTCCTATCCATTCGCCTTCGCCTTCGCCTTCGTCCCATGTATCAGAGCCAAAATACTCGTCTGGTCCCAAGACCTCGTCGTCTTCTTCGAGCTCTTCACCTGCGAAGTGGCCGTAAAGGGTCAAGAACTCGAGGAAGCTGCTTGTCGGCAGGTGAGGCTGAGTCGGTGCTGGTCGTGCACTTGAGCCACTGATACTCTCTTCATAGGGATAGCCCACCGTTCTTCGTATATGATCTCTCCGGAATCCTCCTGGCACCCGGATCGTGTTGATGTCCATTGTTTCGGCGTCCGGGAGCGGCCGCGTGTGACTAAAACTCTTGCTTCGGTGTGGTTTCCCTGGAAGATCCCCTTCCTCTGCTTGTTGCGCCCACTTGTATATCTGTCTCGTCACATCGCCTCCCTGGAGTTTCAAGCTAGAGAACTCATCGTCGCCATTACTCGTCGAGTCTTGCCAGGAACTCGCGGGCCGGCTAGGCGAACCCTGATGGGGCTGTACCAAGTGTCTCTTGACGACTTCCGGGTCCTCGACCGGAGCTCCAGCGTGGCTTGGGCTATCCGTGTTGGATCTGTTGTCAAAAGAGCCGTAGATGGACTTGACCGGCCGCAAAGCGGGAGACGCGGTTTGCCCTATCTGTGTTTCGAGTCTTGGGGATGAACGACCTGGGATATCCTGGAGACCCGACGCGATCATCGATTGTCCAGGACCTGGCAAGGAGGACTGGTTCTCGACTCTCTGGAGGTCTGGGTCCGATCCGGTGGGCAATGGATGCGATGGTAAATGTCTAGCCGGAGACGATCCCGGTGACGAAGGTATTCCAGACACCAACCGTGCCATTGAAGATTGCCGCGGTCTTCCATTTACCGAAGGAGATCCAGAACGCATCTCGGAGATCGGCACGGGCGTTATTGATCGAGGTTGGCGGGACGAGCCCTCTCCGTTATCTGGAGGTTGTGCCATTATTCAAACACCACCGTGACTAGCCTTCTCTTTCCGATTCCCACTTCAACTGTCGGGTTATGCCAGGGATTGTGATATTAATTTGTAAATTCGTACGATTCGATGCGCAGAGACCTTGACTCCTGGGATAGCGAGCGACGCGCTTAAGTAGCGGAGAAGTGACGAAAGAGGCCGATTAGATACGAGCAACACCAGATAAGGACTCGGAGACGACTTCTCACGAACGAATGAGTCTGTTGTTCAAGAAAGCCACGCGAGAAAACGAGAAAGTTGGAGAAATGAAGCGATTCGGACTCTTTCACCGTTCAGCTAGCCAAAGCGTCGAATCCCGTGACTGGCGGTGGATTGGCCGATTTGCACTGTTTGTCCGGTGAGGTCATCGCCAATGCCGGCTGCGAATTTTCCCTTTTTGGTCTGTGAAGGGCATCGGTTCACATATATTGTTACTATTTGTTACTTGTTTCGACTCTCTTTTGTTTTTAGCGATCGTTTTTTCTGTTTTGTTGCGAATCTGAAACCCCGGCTTGCCGAGGCATTTCAATGTTTACGATTCTTACGTGAAGAAACCGAATTCGCCTCCAGGTACCTGAGACTATCAGCATCAATCGCATCAGTCTCATGGCAGACGGCCAGTCCATGTCTCGGAGAACACCCAATTTCTCGACGCGAACCCCCGAAGAGGATGTCTCCAGGCTTGCTCCCAGCGATTCGGCGCATGCATCACCCGAGGAGAGCAGCGGGTTCCTCCAGTCCTGGCGCCACAGGCTGTCATTTCGACCATATGAACCATTGAACTCCTCGTCATCTCGACCGGCCAATCGTCAGCGTCATTCGTTACCCTCGAACTTTTTTAGCGATCTCTTTCGTTGGTGGGATAAACGGGACAATGGAGAGGGTGAAGGGCAGGAAAGGGCACGATCCCATGTGTCGCTTTCTGCTGGTCCGTTAAGGGAGTCTAGCCGCGACAGGAGTAAGGTCCAGAGTCGACCCAAGGTGGAGGGATCTGACAAACTGGGGACGTTCTCGGGAGTATTTGTCCCCACGACGCTGAACGTGCTGAGCATTCTGATGTTCCTGCGTTTTGGGTTTATCCTCGGGCAAGCTGGCTTGCTGGGAATTCTGGGTGAGTGGTGTTTTCTGTCTGCACATCGCTGCAGCTGCTAATAGTGTGGTGGGAAATAGGACTACTTCTCGTTTCCTATACTATCAACCTCGTCACCACCATGTCTCTTTCTGCCATTGCAACAAATGGAACTGTTAAAGGGGGCGGCGCATACTATTTGATCTCTCGGTCTTTGGGACCGGAATTTGGCGGTTCCATTGGTATTGTGTTTTACCTGGGATATGTTCTGAACACCGGAATGAACGCTGTCGGTCTGGTAGACTGCTTTGCGCAAAACTTCGGAACAGAATCTGGAACTTGGGGCAACTTCCTTCAGGAAGGATTCTGGTGGGAGTACCTCTGGGGGACTGTTGTCTTGATCCTATGCACCGGGATCTGCTTGGCCGGAAGCTCCATATTCTCTCGAGCAAGCAATGGGTTACTTGTGGTCTTGCTGGTGGCAACTTTTAGTATCCCGGTATCAGTATTGGTCATGCAGCCATTCAGCATCCCGCGACTCGGGATTGAATTTACGGGACTGAGTCTTCGAACATTGATGGAGAATCTCAAGCCAAGGTTCACGAAGCATGCGGCTGGCAGCCAAATCCCCGGACGGGAGAATTTCCAGGATCTTTTTGGAATTCTGTTTCCTGCTACCGGAGGTATCTTTGCCGGTGCCAGCATGTCCGGAGATTTGAAAAATCCCAGCAGGTCAATTCCCTCCGGGACGCTCTCTGGTTTGGCATTGACCTTTGTCACTTATACCCTGGTTATTCTCGCCATGGCTGCGTCAATAACAAGAGCGTCTCTTTATAATAATGCCAACGTTATGCAAGTGGTCAATCTCTCTGGTGTGGTCATTCTTCTCGGAGAGTTTGCGACGTCCTTTTTCTCTTCTCTAATGGGAGTGATCGGTTCCGCAAAGCTCCTCCAGGCCATTGCTCGAGACAGCCTACTTCCAGGGCTGAGCATCTTTGGCCAAGGCACCAAGAAGCATGACGAGCCTATCTACGCCATTATCATGACTTATGTTGTCGCCCAGCTTACGATGCTTTTTGATATCAACCAGATCGCGTCTTTTGTCACGATGACCTATCTCATGACATTCTTAGTGACCAACTTGGCGTGTTTCCTGCTTAAGATTGGTTCTGCTCCTAACTTCCGGCCGTCTTTCCATTACTTCAACTGGCAAACTGCCGCTGCCGGGACGTTAGTCAGTGGGATTAGCATGTTTTTTGTGGACGGTCTCTATGCGGGCGGTTGCGTTGGTATTCTAGCCTTGTTATTCCTACTGATTCACTACAACTCGCCTCCCAAGCCGTGGGGCGACGTCAGCCAGAGTTTGATCTACCACCAAGTGCGCAAATACTTGCTCCGTCTACGACAAGAGCATGTCAAATTCTGGCGCCCACAGATTTTGCTGTTCGTTAGCAATATTGACGACCAAGAGAAAATGGTCTCGTTCTGCAACTCCCTGAAAAAGGGGGCGCTTTTTGTGCTTGGCCACGTCCTCGTGACGGAGGATTTCACCGCGGCTGTTCCTGAAGCACGTCGCCAGCAGAGCGCGTGGACAAAGTTTGTAGAATCCTCGAAAGTCAAAGCTTTCGTCAACATGGCCGTGTCTCCATCTGCTGAATGGGGCATCCGGAACGTCGTCTTGAATGCGGGTCTGGGAGGGATGCGGCCTAATATTGTCATTATTGATCAGTTCCGCAGAGGGCAGTCGTTGGTGGAGACGCTGAATGCCAACCGGGAGGAGCCCGGGATGAGCTGCAAGAGCTACGTGACTGTCCTCGACGATCTTTTGTTCAAGCTACGGATCAACGTTGCGGTGGCTAAAGGATTTGAGCATCTTGAGTTCCCTAGAGCTGATGGGCAGAATACCAAACGGTACATTGATCTCTGGCCCATTCAGATGTCTGCGGCACTGGGAGCGGACAGCGAAAGCAAACAGAATGTGCTTACGACAAATTTCGACACTTATACCCTGATTCTTCAGTTGGGATGCATTCTCAACACGGTTCCGTCGTGGAAGAAATCTTACAAGCTACGGGTAGCAGTCTTCGTCGAGTATGAGACAGATGTCGAAGACGAGCGCATACGGGTTGAAGCGCTTCTCGAGAAACTAAGAATCGAAGCTGAAGTCCTGGTTTTCTGGCTGGCGTGTGGTGATTCGAAAATGTATCGGGCAATCGTTAACGGCGACAGGTCGCCGGGAATGGAAGAGGCCCGGGAGAAGGCCCATGAAGTGCTGAAGGATGAAGAATGGTGGCAGGAGATTCAGAGAATACGCCGCAGCGCCAGGGGACAAAGAGGCTCGGGTCCTAATCGACCAGGTCGTGTTTCCAGTTGGCATCCGTCAAGCCACGATGGCGGATCAAAGTTGCAAAACCCCAAGATTGGTGGATTGAAGCGATTCATCAACTCGTCGGACGGCCGTCGCCGGTCGATTTCCAGTTTCCGGACAACTGGCAACGTTAACTTTGGAATGCAAACACACCATCTCCTTGATGCGCTCGTGGATTATGATATCACAGATATCACCAGTGATAGCAGTGATAGCAGCAGCAGCAGCAGCGATAGCGATGAAAGCGCATTTGAGCCATACGTCGACGACCCGGGTAGCGGCAGCGATGATGACAGTGATGATAACAACCGCAGGGATGAGGCTGACAGTAACACAATGACCGGAGTCCAAGCGCCACGCATCTCAAGTCCGAGTCAATCCGCACTATCTCCGGGTACAGTTCCTCATGAAGAGGAAGCCGAAGCTTCTGATGCTGCAGGACCATCAATGGTATCTGTCATTCCCCCTTCCGAAGAGGGAAGTTTTTCACCCCGGAGCCAAGAACCACCTGTACGGCCTAAACCCAGTCGTTCCCCATCCAGCAACCGCTTCAGCTCGTCGCCCATTCCGGAGCCCCGAGTCAATGCGGACGAGACTGGGGGTCCGTCTATTATGTTTGCGGCCAACTCACCACCGCCTCAATCCTCGCCGGAGAGTAAGGCTGACTCGATTTACACCCGTCATTTATGCGCCCCTGGCAGTGCACCAGCAGGAACAGCAGGACCAGCATCTGGCTACCCCAGCCAAGCGGCTGTACCGCTGTCGTTCAATGACCTGCCCAGTCGGGCGCAGCATCTAATTCTGAACGAGCTGATGATCCAGCAGAGTGCGGAGACAGCAGTCGTTTTCACGACGCTGCCGTCACCGAGTGATGGAACGTCGCACAGTGAAGAGGCGAGCGAATCGTATCTGAGTGATCTGGATGTGCTGTGGCAGGGATTGCCGCCGTGTCTGTTGGTTCATAGTAACAGCATGACGGTGACGATGAATCTTTGAGTAGAAGGTCCGAATGATTATGATTGCGACTGGTTTTCTTCCCTTTTGGCGTTTATGTAGATGCAGGTGTATATGCGGGTAAGATGGACATGTATATACGACCCAACTAAATAGAAATCTGATAAAAATTTGCTGTATATATAAGAAGCGTCTTCTACTGTCTTGTAACTATGCTATTGTCTTGATCGCATATTATATACCCCTATAGAGTGGTCAGCACTATTGTGACAAACGCGATTGGCCTGGTCCGTGTTTACTCTAGTACTTCCAAGATGTTCCTAACAATTGTCCTTCTTTCTATTCTCTTCCTTCTGTTTGTGTATTTTGCCTATAACCCCCCAGTTCCTCTTCCTTTTCCATCTTATCCTTACTCTCCTCCTTACTCTCCTGATCCTGTTGCGCCCTCCTTTACCGCCTTCCCCCTGACGATGCCCAGTCGCGGCCGCAAGAAGAACACCAGCTTCAGAGCCAAACATCACCGAACCATGTCGAGTCAGAATAGCATCAAGTCAGCTGTGGTCAGAAATTGCGTGCGCGAGTACGACAGCCCCGACAGCCTCGACAGTTCCGACGGCGATGTCTCCTCGACCACCCCCTGTACGTCCGCATCGAGTACCACCACCACTACTGCCACCACCTCAGCTCCTACACCCACCAGTTCCTCCTCGCATAATACTCTCCCCAACGGCGTCTCGATAAGCACCAGCGCAGAAGAAAGGACAAATAGAAAGAATATGGCTGCTCGCAAAGCATCGTCGCCAATGGCGCCCGCCTTTATGGTGTCAGCCCCCGGAAAGGTCATCGTCTACGGCGAACATGCAGTCGTTCACGGCAAGGCAGCCATGGCAGCGGCTATTTCGCTGCGGTCTTACCTGCACGTCACGACGCTTTCGAAATCGCATCACGCAGTCACATTGAATTTTAGGGATATCGGGCTGGATCATACGTGGGACATCGACTCGCTACCCTGGGACCTCTTCCACCACCCGTCCAAGAAGAAGTTCTATTACGACCTGGTCACCACGCTGGACCCCGAACTCCTCGATGCGGTTAAGCCACACGCCGAAGCCGTCTCACTGGGTAGACCAGATGAGCAGCGCAAGATCCACGTCCGCTCCGCTACTTCCTTCCTCTACCTTTTCCTCTCCCTTGGGTCGCCGCAGAGCCCCGGCGCCGTGTACACCATGCGATCGACTATCCCGATAGGCGCGGGTTTGGGAAGCAGCGCCAGCGTGTGCGTGTGTCTGAGTGCGGCGCTGTTAACCCAGATCCGCGCCCTGGCCGGCCCGCATCCCGATCAACCGTCCGACGAGGCAGAGGTGCAGATCGAGCGCATCAACCGCTGGTCGTTTGTGGGTGAGATGTGCATACACGGGAACCCCAGTGGGGTGGACAACACAGTTGCAGCAGGCGGAAAGGCATTGCTCTACAGGAGGGGTGACCCGCCCATGGTAACCCCAGTGCCCAACTTCCCCGAGGCGCGGTTGTTGCTTGTGAACACCAAGCAAAGCCGTTCAACTCTGACAGAAGTAGCCAAGGTGGGCAAGTTGAAGGCAGAGCACCCATTGGTAACAGACACAATACTCGACGCCATTGACAAGGTCACCGATGCTGCACACCAGCTCATCTGCGATCAGAAGGACAAGGGCGAGATCCTGGAGGCCCTGGGCACACTTTTCCGCATCAACCATGGCCTCCTCCTCTCGCTGGGCGTGTCGCATCCTCGACTTGAACGGATCCGCGAGCTCGTCGGCGACCTTGGCTGGACGAAACTCACTGGTGCAGGAGGCGGTGGATGTGCCATTACGCTTGTCCGCCCAGACGTGAAAGAAGAGTCACTACAGGATCTCGAGACCCAGTTAAATGCAGAGGGATTCGAAAAATACGAGACCACTCTGGGCGGCGACGGCATCGGAGTCTTATGGCCAGCAGTCCTCCGCAACGGCACCGACGAGGAAGGCGGCGAGGAGATTGACCAGCAGAAATTCGAAAACGCCATCGGGACGGACGGAATTGACCGCCTCGTCGGTGTTGGAGGTGGCGATGAGCGGCGTGAGGGATGGAAGTTCTGGAAGAGGGCGTCGGCGTCGGCGTCGGCGTCGCCGTTTCCTTGACATTGGCCATGTCCCTACGTTGATGCTGCTCCTCGACCATGCATGACGACTTTCGTTTCCCGACTTCAACCCAACTTTGACTTCTAGCATCCTTCTTTAATACCTCTTACAATATCTAGTGACGGAGAAAAAGGGACGCGTGTATGTGTTGATTGACTGATTGATTGTGTGATATGGTATATGTTTAATTCATGGTTTACTGGGCCTAATTCGATTCTATGTATAATAATTCATCCTTATTCTCTTATTTCCTTTTGTTATTGCATACCCAGGGCTTCATCTCGGTTGTCTTGTCTTGTCTTTGTGCAGTTCTTATATATCTGCTATGAATTGAAGAGCGATTGAGCATCTCGGTATTGTATACTCTCTGTATACTCTCGAAATAAACAACCATTCTCATTAATTCATACACAACTCATAACTCATACAACCAACTGATCACAACAGAACTACCCCATAGTAGTCTCCCACCCCCTCTCCATCATAACATCCATCCAATAAACATCCCTCTCACCAGCATCCGTCCTCCTCCAAACCTCCTTCACCAACTGCAAGCACACATGTATTGGTTTCGGTGGCAACACATGTAGATACGAAGTTAGACGGCCGAGGACGAATTTGCGTGTTCGCAGGACTTCGACGGCGTGTGATACATTCTCCTCATTGCTATTATCTTGATTATTGGTGTTGGTGTTGGTGTTAGACTCGTCCATTGGAACAGTAGGGAGTCGTAGCTCGCTACTCGATGCAACGAAGAGGAAGGGCTGCACGCAGCGGGTGCGGGATTCCATGGGGATGGCTTTTAGGCGCGAGAGGGTTGTTAGGGTGAATTCGGTGAGCCAGGTGTTGTAGTAGGAGTCTGTTGCTTTGGTTTTGGTTGTTGTTGTTGTTGTTGTTGTTTCTGATGGTGTTTTCTTTGGGCTGTTGATGTCGAGCCAGGGGAATTCGAAGCCGTCTAGGTTACAGTCATTGCCTAAAATTGGATCTGAGAGGAAGGGGTCTTGATCGGTCGTGCTAGTGTTTGGTGATGGTAGTCGACAACGAAGAAGGTCCGGGAAGACGCGGTATAGCTGTATTAGTCCCGTGCATCGGTAGGCCTCTGCCATAGTCAGGAGATGCCAGACGGGTGTGTCGTCGTCGCCGGGGCTGATGATTTCAGCTTCTGCGGGGTGCGCTAGTCTAAGGAGTCTTTCTTCGAGTTGCTGTGCTTGGTCGATGGCTTTTTGAGCTTGGGTGATGTCTTCTTGGGAGGTGAAGCGCTGGGCGCGGATGCGTTTTCGTTCTCGACGGACGAGTCTGCCTACTTCTTGGACTGCGGATTGAGTGTCGCGGGCGATGCCGGTCCAGGGGTGAGGCATGCGTTGGAGAACAAGTGAATCTTCCATTCCAGAGGTAGTATCAGACAGAGAGAGCGAGTCATTATCCGCGACGAAGGAGAGCAGCATCTCCCAATAGACCAAAGCTTCCTCGAAGAACTGGTAATTCTTGCTGTGTCTGGACAAAAATGAGTCCGCACCAGACGACTTGCCATTGAGGTGCTTCCGAAGTAAATTGAAGAATGAAATCCCCAGATCTTTAGGATCGTGCCAACTAGCCGTCTGCCCCAGCATGAGCAATGCCAGGAGAGACTTATCGTCCATTGCAGTCTCTTTGGTAAGAATGTCAACCGCTTCGTTCCGCATCTTCAATCCCATCGGCCCGAATTGAGGAAAGTCGTGCACTAGTGTCGCTGCGGCCATGCTTTGCATTGTTCGACACATGGCCAGTGATGATCCCCAGAGACGAGATACCGTTGTGCGAAAGGGATTCATCTGGCTATCATAGCTCGAGAACAGCGCTGCTACTTCTTTGAAGTAGTACTCGATTAAGGTCCAAGATGAGTTCCCGTTCAAGGGCCGGGGGATGCGCTGCGGCCTCAAGGACGGAGGAGGATAGCTGCGCACGATGGCCGTTGGGGAGAAGTGCTCATACTTTCGACTGCTGTCTTGGAACGCTGGTGCTGCTAGTGAAAATAGGTTCGACAAGTCTGTTGTTGCGAGATTTGTAGCGAACGGTGAGTCTGTTTGTTGGATTGATTCCTCGGATGTCGATGCTGCGACTGAGATGGGAGAGGATAAGTCGTCTAGCTCTGGTAGGGAGCCTCCGTTGAGACCCCATAGGTTTTCGCATAGAACGTTCGTTTCGTCTACATCCAGGCTGGACGGGTCTGGTAGATCCTGGGTAGCGGTAGTGGTATCGATCGTGGCGGGATTGTTCACGTCGCCCTCCTCCAACGCCGTCGGAGACATAGGTACTGGCTCGATGAATCCATCTGGTGCTCGAGTAACAGGGGACTGAGCTGCTCCGGGGGTAGCAGCATTATCAACCGTCCTTGTCATTGTAGCATTCTCAAACTGAATGCCACCGTGGTTGGTCACCCAGCGCAGCGACTGAACATATCCGGGACATCTGACACCCAGTCTAGTGCAACGATTGCAATGAGGTTTCTCTTCGCCGCATTTGACCTGTTTATGATTACTTAGTACTCTGTAGACTGTCTCTGATAAGCGCAAGACTCACGCGTTTACTCTTGCATCTAGCACAGCCATTTCGGGATTTCTTCACTCGTCGCATTTCGGATCAACCTTTGGATACAATAGAGGAGCCCAGAATAAGTTGGGAGATGCGATGAATGCGACGAGAGACCAAGCGATAAGGCATTTTGGAGGCTCTCGACGATGCGGGGATGCGACCGAGGGAAAATATTGCCTGTTTGGGATTCGACTGACTGGACCTTTGTTCATATTAAAGCTATTACTTACATATTATAATAAGAGTTGAAAGAAGTAGATGAAGACATGGTCATAAACAGTGTCTGTATGCTATGTACAAGTATGCACTTAGTTGCAAATGTGCTCGCTTTCCCTTTTGGGTTAACCCGGCAATTGACTTTTTCACCTTGTGGCTTCAGCCTCATCTTTCAGCCATCTTATCTTCATCACGATCAAAACACCGAGAGACCAACAGCGGCATTTCATTCAATCTCAGCTCTGACTTGGCCCCATGTGATAGTCAACACAATGACAACGACTGCTTTGTACGCGTACAGGCCCATACAAAGATCGTCATAGCCGGGCAAAGGGCCATACAGAGGCCATTACTAGAGAGAGAGTTCAATATGACCCGTCCGCCATTACAAAATCACTCGTGAGCAATTTCTCGATTTGTCAATCATCGGCATTCCACAAGGTCATATCGCATGTTCTTTTGCCCAGTCAGGAGTGCCAGACTGACAATCGCATTAGGTCAAGCTTTTTTTAAACCCCTTTAACTACCTCACAGCCCTAGAGCGTCCAAGCCAATCCGATCCCAAGGCGTGTCCCGGACACAGTAATGTGGAACCGAGCGCTAGCCGAAGCGGACGAAAACTTATGGCTACTATCGTGCTCTCTCCTATTCTGCGAATCGTGGCGCCCTGTCAGTGCCACTCAATCTTTTCATTTGGCTTGACCCTCAATGATCCTTGGTTATGATCCGGATTAAACCGCAAAAGTCGTGTGCCGGATGTCCATTTCTATTTCTATGGAGCACTTCCGAGGCATTTTTGAAGCCGGCACAGTGAAGATGACTTGCCTGGTTTGTCGGTCAACCCCAAAGCGAATTCCGCTTTTGGGTCATCGCTTGCGAATCTCGAGCACAGCATCTCCACCGAAATAGGCGCTAAGGATGGATCACAATCCCCTACTATTCTTATCCGCAATTGAAATTCCAGGGTGCTGCTCCACGGGACCCATGCCATGTCTTTGATTTTAGCCTTGTGAAATAACGCCTGATGTAGCAATCTGCTTTTTGAACCCTTCATTTCTAGTTTACCAGATCTCTTTAAGCTACGGGTCTGGTGTCCGTTCGTTTTCTCTTCATCCTAAATCCGGGGAACTACTCGTTATGGAGCATTATTGACGACTATCTCCGTTTGACCTCCCGGCGTCTATCATGTTCGTTTCACGCTCTCATTTCTGGCAGCCATTTTTGGTATCTATCTTGGCCGTTTCAGTGCTTTCGTCAAAAGCGCTCCATGTGTTTCAACATGTTTACTCCGTTCCTCGCTATAGCCTGGTGCTATACCTCCCAACCTTCTTCGTTCAGGATGTCTTGCTGTGCATTGCGGTTTGGTTCCTGCTCCACAAGACGTCGGGTGTAAAATCCGTTGCAGCAACTGCTTTTGCTGGGATAATAGTGTAAGATAGTTTTTTTTTTTTTTTTTTTTTTTCCTTCTTCCCACCCTAATAGATGGCCATAGATGCATCGCCTTAGCCGCAGCGTCATCGCAAATCGGCTTTAACCTCGTCACCGGTAGCGAGATTCGCTGGAACACCGCCAAAAGCGTTGGAAATGACCCCGAAGGACGAAAGTTGATGATGAGTGGCCTGAGACCAGTCCTTGCGGTTTTAGCGTGCCTTACCGTCATCGCATGGTTCCTAACGCCTCATATATACGCCCTGATCACCCGCTGGGTGTCTGCGCTTTTTGATGGAACAACAGGACCAGAAGATTCGACCGCAGTTTTACCAGGGCCTGATACGAAGCGGAAATTCCGTGTAGGAAGTCCAGCTCGGATCTGGACATTATGCTTCACGATAGTAACCGCCGGATTATGGATCGTTCGGCCGTCCGTGCCGTATGATCATATGTCCGGAACCCTGCCTGTCATCCTCATGCAGGTTCTCATCCCTCATCACCCTAGTTCCCACGGAGATATCGAGCAGCAATTTCCGTTCCCGGACCTTCTGGAGTCAGAATTCTGGGAAGCACCTCATGACCATTTCCCAGGATGGGCACCAACTGCCTCCCACGCTACCCCAGAAACGTATATTCGGCCTCAACCTTGGTGGTCGCTTAGTCGGTTACCTCGAGGATTCCAGCGGTGGGCAGATCCGACTAACTTTGCAAAGAGTGGCTCGGATGGGAACAAGGATGAAACCACGCCTTATTACAACCCGGTAACTGATCCTCTGAAGATCTCAAACTTGGATCTGCCGATCTTGGAACCGTTGAAACAGGCTTTACAAGACCATGACATCCCAATCAACCACGTCGTGTTTGTTTTGATGGAAAGTGCCCGAAAGGATCTGTTTCCCTTCAAGGCTGGTTCTCCTCTCCATGAGAAGATCCTCGCCTCTCATGACACTACGGACGAGGCTACTGTTCAAGAGATCAACGGGAAGCTATCTAAACTCACGCCGGTTGCCGAACAACTTACGGGACAGTCATCTGGACTCTTCGCAAAGGACTCGGCTGGTCAATCCAAACTGGGCGGAATTGACATTGAAGGAGTTTCTACAGGCAGTACCCTTTCCTTCAAAAGCGCCGTGATGAATTACTGTGGTGTACAGCCGCTGCCTGTCAACTTCATGAAAGAAGCAGAATCAGATATCTATCAGCCATGCATCATGCAGATTCTCGACCTGTTCAACCAAGGGAAGAGTGATAAGACCGATGCTGTGCATGACCGCAAATGGAAGTCTGTCTTTCTGCAGTCGATCACCGGACGCTATGATAACCAGAATGTTCTGAATGAGAATATGGGATTCAATGAGTCCATCTATAAAGAGACTCTTACCAACAGCCACTCCAAGCATTACCACGTGCCGATGGAGAAGATCAATTACTTCGGGTGAGACTCGACAAAATCCCCATTCGTTGACATGTCGCTAATTCAAGCCAGGTACCCGGAGCCTGAAATATACCCGTATATCCAAGACGTGATTAACGACGCTGTGGAGAACAAGACCCGGCTGTTCTTGTCTCACTTCACCAGCACCACTCATCATCCTTGGGGGACTCCGAATGCGTTTGAATATAACGACTACTTTTCGAAAGATAGTGTTCTGGGGAACCACCAGGATATGAACTCATACCTCAACGCCATCCGTTACGTAGACACCTGGCTAGGCGAAGTCATGAAGCTCCTAGATGATTCTGGAATCGCCAACGAAACCCTGGTAGTCCTCGTGGGAGACCAGTAAGTAACACTACCTACCCATTATACATCAAAAACTAACCAAAAAAAAAACAGCGGCCAAGCCTTCCAAGAAGACGCCCCCATCTCCGGAACCTACCAAAACCCACACACCAGCAACTTCCAAATCCCCCTCGTCTTCCACCACCCCCTCCTCCCCCGCATGCAAATCACCGCAAACACAACCTCCATCTCCATCCTCCCCACAATTCTCGACCTCCTTATCCAAACCAAATCCATCAACACCCAAGACACGGACATCGCCTCCGACCTCCTCCACCAATATGAAGGCCAGTCCCTCATCCGCCCCTACAAAGTCACCCACAACGGCCGGCAGGCGTGGAACTTCAACGTTATCAACCCCGGCGGCGAGATTTTGAGCGTGGGATCTGCGGCGGCGCCGTATAGGCTTATTATGCCCATGACGGGTGATTTTGAGTATAAGTTTGTTCATCGGGAGAAGGACCCCGAGGAAGTGAACGGGATTACGGAGTGGGAGGTTGAGATGTTGGCTGAGCATGTTAGACATGTCTATGGGGATGAGGCTGCGAGGTGGGTTGGGGAGGCTGAGAAGGTTGGGAGGTGGTGGATTGGGGAGAGGTGGAGGTTGTGGGATTATGACGAGGAATAAATGTTGTGCTGTTTTAGACTATAGAGGTAATAGTAATGCATTGGTATATGAACTTGAATGTGCTGGCACAGGTGATATTCGTCTCCTGGACCGTAGGCGCTATCATAGGCCTTCTCTGAACCACCCCATAACAGCGATTGTTATGATGATTTAGCCACGGTACCAGTATGGACCATTACAGGAGAATGCTACATTCGAGATCACAATACCTAATAAATCATCCATCGTATCTAAATCAACATGTATTGATTAACCTCATTACTGTAATACTTTTCTGTATAATACATGTCATATCTCGTCAATAAGAAGGAGCCTCAAAGTAAGCACCCTTAGCCCTAATCTCCTCTTTACATAGCACAGCTGCGCGGCCCAGAGGTCAGCGCGCGGCCGGTTCAAATCGCGCACACCCGGTAGTAAGACATTATTCCATTTCAATAACGGGCTCGAAATCGATAGAACCCTTTTCAAATGGAAACTCAGTGCTGGTCTCCTCTGCCCCGTCGAATTTTCCGTCGAATTTTCCGTCGTTTATCAATTTTTTATTTTATTTTTTCGTATATTTTCCCCTCATCCTTCACCAAATGTTTGCCTTCAAGATGAAATCCCCCGACTGCGTTGAGAGCCTTCAACGTCGACCTCGTACCCCGGGCTGCCAAATCTAGGATTTTCTCCCGGGGGGGGGAAGCCGTACAGATAGACAAATTGTCATAACTCTTCGGTAGGCCTACATTCAGAGAACATCAAAACATCTGCCTCGGCGCACCCACCGTGGACAATCGACCGGTTTAAAGAGCGAACTCGATTAGTGACTTCTGGCTGTCTCCATTTGTCTCGCAGATAAGTCAAAAACGCGCGCTCCCGGACATCCATGAAGAAACCCTCCAATTTTTCCATGCGGCCCATTTGTGTTTTCAGTTGGGAAATCTCTCTTCCATGCTCTTCCCTTAAGGCCTGCTGTTCGCCCATCACAGCTTGCATGGTATCAAGAAAACTCTATCCTCCCTCATTTACCATAACGCGGCAGCCGTCCATATCTTTAAATGTCGCCTCTGCTGCAGCCTGTTCGAGTGTACGTTATGCAGTTTCTTCGGGGGTTTCGTCGTCGTCTTCTTCGAAAATTTCGTGAATGTGAATTTCGACTTTCTGTCGACCCTACAAGAAAACGAAGAATTCATCAGCTGAGTGGTCACGAATGTGAATAAGGAAGCATAGACTCACGCTTTGGCGAGGGCACTCAGTCCGTAATCGTGCGTGCCACTTCTATCCCCCGATCGATCTCCTGACTTTCATCACGAACACTAAAACAACCTCAACAGGGTATATAATCCAGTGTGCAGCTACCTCGGAACAAATACCGAACGCCCACTCTGAAGATTCTCGACCGTTGCTCGCCTTGAAGGTCTTGCCCAGTCATATTGTCCTCGCAGAATGCACTTTCTTTTTGAAGATCTGGCACGTAACACGCGATTCCTGATCGAATTCGAATTGTGAGAATGCCCTTTGTAATGGATACCGGGCCCTCATCCGACATTACCTCCGGAAGATGCACCCGGGGTTTTTTCTCCTCATCAGGATACAGCACGCGGGACCTAGACCGTATCCCGGGAATGCGTCCGAATTGTAATTTGAGTGTTTATAATAGTTTAAGGGGTACCTCATCTCTGGACCTTTCCCATTTTCGCCTCTATCTATCAAGAAAACAAAACAAAAGTGAGTTACTCGGCCCAAAAAAAAAAAAAAAGAACATTCAGAATCACTGATACACAAATTCACCTTGTCAAGTGTCCAGCAACCTCGTTCCGCTTACCATTATCAAAGGCGCCGGCCACGAGTTCATCCCCCTCCCTCAGGGCCAGAACGCAACTACAGCCGACTTCCACTCTGTGCGCACCAAGACGACTGAATTCCCCGCGCACTTTACCTCGGGATTCTATAAGATCGAGGCTGGGCCTCAGCGACCCGCGCACTATAATTTTGAGGAGACGAAGTATGTCCTCAGTGGTCAGATTGATGTTTTGGTATGTCCCCTTCTCCAACCCTGTCATAATTCTGAACAATATTGACTATTTGATAGGACGAGGCTACCGGGATCACCCACCACCTAGTCCCAGGAGACTTTGCTTTCTTCCACGTCGGATCCAAGGTCAAGGTTTGTCACTCACAACCCTCTCTTTACTTCTCCTCTCTATCCGAACTGACATAGCTCTACTTTCTTCTAGTTCTCGACCAAGTCCCAAGGTTTTGCGTTCTACGCTGTGACTCGACCCGTTCGAGCTCCTCACCCTAACCTTGAAGGTCGGGAGGAGGGTAAGGCTAGGCTGTAGGAAATTGATGAAGATGAAGATAAAGATGAAGATAAGTTTATAAATGGTAATAGATATTCACCATTTAAAACTTTTGGCCCCATTCTGCTGTGTTACCTGTAAATTAGATAGCCTGGTGTTTGAAACCAGGTGCTTGGCGATAAGCGAGCGCTGGTAAACTCGGGCAGCATCGCCATGCCAAAGTCGGAGAAGGAAGGCTTTGCCCCTGAAACTATGATTACAATGTACTTGGACCTGTCAGTAACCCAGCTGCAAGCATTTTTTCGTGCCCAAGATCGGGAAGCTGTCCAAGTCGTCTCGATATCCTCTAAGCGATCAGAGAACTTCTGTTTGTGCATTATGTCCGGCGATAATTCAACGTCATCCTGCAGGGTCTTTTGGTACAGATGGCGAAGTAAGACTTTCTCCCAGTCCTTCCGTATCTCACTGAGCTCAGGTTCGACACCCCCTGGGGTTCGGGGAGGTGGCGGCTCTTTCACTTCAATGCCTCTCAAAAAGAAGGGACGCTCTGCCGCTTCCCAAGTAAGATGTATAGAGATGCATTCCCAGTCTACGATTCCAGTGACATGAAAGGACAGCGGATCCACAATGATGTTGGAAGCTGAAAGGTCGTCATGGTAAAGCACTTTAACCTCGTCGTGCCGACTGGACGAAGGGAAAACATGAGGTACTAGTGCCTCTAGGCTGTAACACGCATCCAAAACACCATCATGCGCCTCTGCTAGAGCTTCTTTGGTCTCAGAGTAATAATCATCGGTAGGGGGTGGAGAGAGGTGTTTGATCCGCTCGATCTGCATCCGCGTTTTGGCCGTCATGAATTCATACGAGGATGAGAAAGGGCCACAGTCGCCTGAAAGAAATATGCGCTTGTCTCTGAAGAACCAAGGAGAAACAAAACGGCTGATCAAAAAGTCTGTTCCATCGACGGAGGCATTCGTGCCCACTCGTTCCCGAGTCGAGGAGAAATACAGATTTCCAATCTTAATAAACCGAAGATCTTGGGGAACTTTCAGGCGTTCACAAATACCTACCGTCAGGCTTGCCTTTGAGTCGAAGGACATCCCATCCCAGACATCGGCCAAGGGGACACCCTCGGTCTTCTCCATCAGAACCCACTCAAAACCAAGCTCATTCTCTGCTGACGAGCAGTAGGCTAGCACGTTCGGCACAGGGATCGTGGTATATTGACGGATGTACGCAAGAGTGGCAACCTCGCTCTCCGTTATTGAAAAATGATTCGACTGGTAACGTTACACGCATGAGATACTGCCGTGGAAGATTGGGTGAAGTGATGCAGTATAACTTGTTGAAGGACCCTTCGACGAAAAATGTAGTAACCGTTAATATTGGTGTAGCCGCCGGGCAGATGCTTGACTGCGAGAGATTTTATGATGGAGATGCCTGGTGCCATCGTCCATGTAGGGACAAGTTCGCCCATTTCATCCTCTTTCCAAAGGAGGGTTGAACCATGGGTTAGCCTTGGGCAGTGCCTTAGTCTGCTTTGGAGCGGTTACGGATGGAGTAAAAATAGAAGTACTTGTTTTAATTACTATCGAAGAGAACAGGCGGCTCCGACTCCACACCTCCTTTCAATTACCCCTCACCCTAAAATGTCCCGTAAAGTCCTCAATCAAATGTATTTGGAATAACCCACAAAGCCGCTTTTCAGCGCCGCTGGATCTGGCACATTCTTGAGGCAGGACCAGGAGGCTGAGACTGAAGAACGCTACTCTTGCAAAAACAATCATGTATAGTCTTGCTGGTGATATCATGCTTCCATATCTGAATGATCCAACGAACAGCAAGCTCCGACGACATTTCATGAATTGGATTCATGGGTTCACCACTATACAATTTCCCAAACATGTGTTTTATCCAGATTTGCTTGTAATGGCTCTTGAGAGCATTGTTTATACCTTTATCAAGAGGCTGGTACCGCTTAGTAGTCCCTGGAGGGAGCCATTGAATCCGAATGTTCGATGGCGGAGGCGTTGATTCAATGCCTTTTTTATGGCCAATGAGATTGTCGAGAAGGAGGATGACTGAGCGTCGCTTGCCTATATGAGAATAGAATAAAAGAAGCCACTTCCGCATAGTTTCAGCTGTCATCGCTAACTTATCGCTAGACTGCCAAACAGCGCCGAAAGCTTTGGGATCCAACCCATCAATAGAAACAGGCTTCTTCTCAGATGATATAGCCCAGACAGGAAGTCTATCTGAGCCGGTGGCGTTCACGCATAGTGCCAGGGTTATTTGCGAGCTGTCCTTCGCTGATTCTGGAACAAGATCACCATATATGGCGTATCTACAAGAGAGAACAGTCTCGTCCATGTTGTAGACATCACTCTCAGGGTATTTTGCGCAGAGGTCTCTGATGGCGTTCATTTCTTTGCAAACTGCGACTGCTTTATCATGTTCTTTTGATAGAGATTGGGGTTTTTGATCTTGAGGCGTCGTTGGAAGAAGGATCCGTACTGCCTCAGTAGTAAGAACAGGTCCACTAATTTTGCTGTGCTTTCTCTCAATATTTTGCTGGTTCTTCAAGGGTACGCCCTTCTGGACAGGCCGAGCTGAAACTTGCTGACACGAAGTCTTAAGGGAAAAGTCTATAGTATCCTCCTTGTGCTTCTGGATCTGGTTCCTAATTCTGGACTCTGGCGGTGGAAGTCTTTGATATTGAGGCATCTTTGGAAGAAGGACCTGCGCGCCAATATTGCATTCTGGCGACAGAAGCATTGGATATTGTGGCATTCTAGGAAGGAGCAGTGTTGCTTGACCAGCAAGAGCATCACCAATACCACTGTCCATTCTCTCAATTCTCTGCTCCCTGGAGCGTACATCCTCTTTGACAGGCTGATCTGAAGCTTGCTGGCCAAACATGGAAGGAGAAAGCTTCAACAAGGACTCCTAAATAACGCGAAGTTAGCATACCTTCTGGTCATACAGGATAGAAGTAACAGATGTTGCTGTACCTGATATGGCATGTACGATGGCTGGAAGAAAGGGATTGCTTTAGAGGACTGGTTTGGATTTCCCGTGAGAATGCGCAGCATTCTTGGATATCGAGATCGAAGCCGTTTGATATAGGAAGATAGCACAGGCATTTCGAAGATAGTATATTCTGCTATGTCTCTCAGAGGAAATATTCATATGCTGAGTAGTACACAAAAAGAGCGAGAGTTGCCAACTTGTTGTCGGCCAAGTTGGTGCTGATTATATAAAGAGTCTATACAAAGAAAGGATACATAGCAGTGCATCAGGTGACTGATATGAAATAAAGGCAAACAGTTGATAGCAAATACCATATCATGAAGTTTCTTTGAGTCCTCACAGTACCTATCTGGGAAACGGAGTGATGTCAGCGGTATACCCTAGCAAATCAATTGAACCTACAGACAATATACTAAAGCAACCCAAAAAAATCCTAGTTAGATATAAGGTAATCAATTCTGTACTAGTACTGTCAGGGACTCGACACATCAGTAGCCCCTAGACCACTATGCTGTTCTTCAAACATCATAGCCATCTGTATAGTAGATGTCTCCAACAACAAACAATACATCTGCTAGAAAACACAGACCCATCAACAGCAAAAAAAGAGAATGACAAAGGTAGAAATTCCCACTCATTTGTTCTTCCTCTTGCAAAGCTTCTTTCATTCAGCTAGTTCTTGATTTCTTGGAAAACTTTTGTTTTCTTCAGCTTTCAAATGTATATCTTCTAGATGAAACCATATTGTAAAAGGGCGGAAATATAAAGAAACACAAACTTATGCGGTTCTTGAGGAGTCTTTTGCCTTAGGGTTCGATGTTGTTGCTTTTATTCGTGCCTCAATCAATTCTAGTAAGTCGATGGTTTTTATGGTACTCCAAGCGCATAGAAACGGCCATTGCGGAGCTGTCAGGTAGCATGAACATGTAACAGATGTGTAGATACTCAATCCAACTTCATCTGAATAGGTCTGTCAGGACATTTGATCACCATGCCAATATGCTACTATATTCTGCATTTGAGTCCTGGTGGTTTGATTCGCTGGTGAACAGGGCCCAAGGTATTATCCTTTTAACTTTCATGGATGTGTGAGGTAGGTTTCCTCTATTGACGAAAAATTGGCTCGATGTATCCTCATTGCATGTCTTATTGTCTCATATTAATTGAAACAGTGTCTTCATTTGTCACCATTCATTAATGGTGCTTGTTCTTTCACTTAATGCAGTTTGTTGTTATAAAGCGGCGCTAAGCATATAGCCACATAAAGTAGCCATTTCAAGGGTGCCCCCCTCAGGATGCAGGCTCCCAATACTGGATTCACCTGTCAAACAGTACCTTCGCATGTTCTCTGGTATGTTCGCTTTATAACGAACAAACATGCCAATCATATATGGCAACGTACTCAAGTCTAGCGGTGTATTCGTACTCTTTGAGTGCCATGTCATATAGAACCCCGATCCTAAACTTCCTGTGCATGGCTTCATCAGGGAAAGAATATTGCAATGCCACGCTAATATCTCGCTGGTTTGTCTAAAGGTTGGTCGGCTCGACATTGTCCATCTTAATGGGACCGAGGAACGGCGGAAATGATCCCCGGCCCAGCTTCCTCACAGCATAAACTTGATATTCAGGGTAGATCTTCGGTACTTTTCATGGTGAGCGTGGTAAAAGCGCCGATTGAAATACTCTTATAATCCTTAAATTCACCATGTGCCCTCTTCCAATTGCCGACTGCCCAACGCACTCAAGGCTGTCTGCCTCGGTATGGTGGCATAAATGTGGATAGTGTTAGTTCTAGGATGATATTGGTGAACTTGTTCTATAAAAGCCTCTACAGTGGTTAGTGGTTGTTTCGTAATCGCCAGCCTTACGGCGGAGCGTCATAGTTGCTTCGTTGCTGTTTTCAGCGTGGAAGCCACTGTCTTTGTCAGTTGCACGATACATGACCTTTCGTGGTTCTGGTTCTCGAAAGCTGGAAAAAATGCAATGGTCTTCTAGGGTCGTGCTGATAAGTGATTGGTTCTTCACTATCGTTATGGCCCTTAACACTGCCTGTCCTAACTGAGGGTTTGCCGAGCAGTATCAGTGCAAGTATTAACCGGCACTGTGCTGGTGAGACAGTACCAATGCGTGCGTCCATCTAAAAGAGGTTGAAACTTCAAGCATCTAGACCGGAGACAACTATTAGAAACAAGAAGGAGAGATCATTGTGCTTGACTTACTATGGTTTAAAGTCGGTTTCAAAAAGCTCGGCTGTCTGCTATCTCGACGGCCTTCTGTCTGCTCTTCAGTATGCATTGGAATACTGCCTGCATAATCACTACCCTGGAGCTCATATCATCATTTATCGTCTTTCTCGAAATGTCAAAATGTATCTGGATTGACCTGTGGTGCCGTTCTGCCATGATGTCTTGTACGTGGAGCATGCAGCAGCTCTTTCTTTGAGGTTACAGTCATGTTTGACCGAGTAGTCGCTAACACCTGTTTGGACACCATTGGTCTTCGAGTCAATGCTCATGCAGTAATCATATAAGTCAACTCATTGTAGAATAGAAAGAGTGGAGTGATTGTCGTTGATATTGTTCTCGGCCATTGTCTCTGCCTCAGGCGGTGACATGCCCCACACGTGCACCTCAACGACCGTTTATTTCATCGCTTCACCCATTCACTTCTTCAACGTCGACGTATTTCTTTTCTCACATTCTCTACTGAAAGCAACAGATATTTAGAACATCTCTGCTGCTATTCAATCAATCATCTACGGTGCATCGCCCAAGCGCATAGTGTTTGGCCGTATCAAGACTCCGGTTGCTTAACGCTCAGCAAACCACCCAGGATCCTTGGATTGGATACTTATAACCATTTAGCTTGATTCTCTCGCATATCAAAACTGCATATTCATCTAAAATGGCGGGCAAATACTCCTCAGATCCCGAATGGGCAAACATCCAGCCCATCCCCCTAAACGACGGCTCGGACTCGGGGGCTCTCCCTCTGGCAACCATTGCCTACGCGGCTGATTATCTCGAGGCCATGTCGTATCTGCGTGCGGTGATGGCTGCCAATGAGATGTCGGACCGGGCGTTGAAGTTGACCGAGGATATCATCTCGCTGAACCCGGCGCATTATACAGTATGGTATGTTTACTCTGTGTTCCGTTGAATTGAATGTTATTAACGATGTTGGCAGGATCTACCGGGCAAAGATCCTCTTCGCTCTGGAGAAAGATCTACTCGAGGAACTTGAGTGGTTGAACGGTGTGTCCTTGACATACCTAAAGAACTACCAGATTTGGTACATCCGCCCACACCCAAAATATCCTCACACGAACATCTCTAACAGTAGACAGGCACCACCGCCAAGTCCTCATGTCCAGCACAACCCACTTCCCCACCCTACCCCCCAAAGAACCCTCCTTCCTAATGGAAATGTTCGCCCAAGACTCCAAAAACTACCACGTCTGGACCTACCGCCACTGGCTCGTCCGTCACTTCAAACTCTGGGACCACCCCGTCGAACTCGCAGACGTCGAGTCCCTCATCGACGCCGACGTCCGCAACAACTCCGCCTGGAACCACCGCTTCATGCTGCGCTTCGGGCCCCGCGATGACCAGTTTGCCGCGGGGATGCCGAATGGCGATGCGCCGGGTCTCGAGAAGGGGAGGATGGCGGTTGTCGATGAGGATGTTGTGGATGGGGAGTTGGGGTATGCGAAGGCGAAGATTGTGCGAGCGCCGGAGAATCGGAGCCCGTGGGCTTATGCGCGGGGTGTGTTGAGGGCGGCGGATCGGGGGTTGGAGGAGTGGAGGGAGTTTGCGGGGAAGTTTGTGATTGTGAAGGAGGATGGGGAGGTGGTCGTTAAGAGTACGCATGCGCTAGAGTGGTTGGCGGATGTGTATGCGCGGGAGAGTAAGGAGGAGGCGGTTCGGATGCTTACGCTTTTGAAGGAGAAGTATGACCCGATTAGGACGAATTATTGGGATTATCGGATTCAGATGATCTCTTCTGCGGCTTGATTTGGTTATGGGTTGCATTGCATGGTGTGATTTATTTGAATATCGTTGGATTTATTTAAATTTGAAGAATTGGAATCTATTCTCTTTAACTAGAGAAACCAATATGCTGGATCAAACAAAAGGTATCGAAACAAGTATTATGCATCATACGCGATTTTCAAAAATGCCCGCTAATAAACCCAGAAAAAGCAACAAAAAGCCAACAGAAAGTAATCACTGCTTACCCCATCCCTCTCGCAACATCTTCCTCCACTCCACCGCAACATCAACAGAAACATTACTCCCACCACAAACAACAATCACCACACGACTCTCGGGGTTCAAATCCGGCACCAACTGCTTCAGCTTCGACTGCAACGAGCCAACCTCACCCGATACCGACGACGGCAAGGATCCGGCACTGAAAGACAAAGATGCGGAGTGGTTATACTCCGTATCAGACTCATTCTCGACAGAAGATCGATCATCCCCATACCCCTCGTCAGATGAAGACCTCTTCCGCTTTTTGCTGATCATAGCCGCACGCGCTTTGCCGGCGTCGCCAACAGCAGCTTCAACGCAGACACCGCATGCCAATTCCACGAGCAACCGCTCATCATCAGCCAGACGAAGCGAGCCGCGCGCAGCGTCTGCATCTGACAAAACGGCGCTGTGCACTTTCAGCCCCGGTGGCGGGGAGAGGGCGTAGTTGAATGTCTTTTCAGAAACGCGGACGCAGCCGAGGGAGATAGCTTGGGAAGTAATTCTGGAGAGCGAGATGTGAGATTTCTGAGCCATGGCTTGGGCGAGGGAGTCGGTGCCTAAGGTTTCGATGGCGAGGAGGTGGATGTCTTTTTTAGAAACGGGGAGGTGCTTCTTCTGGCGTTCGCGTTCAAGACCCATGATCAAACCGTTGAGGAGGCCTCCGCCACCAACACTGCAGATGATTGCGTCAAGTGGAAGTGGTTTGTCGTGGTAAGATTCCACAGATGCAGACGCAGGAAGCTGAGTGGCGAGTTCATCGACAATAGTGCTATTCCCCTGCCAAATCGGCTCATTATCAAATGGATGCAGCGCAACCTTGACCACATCCTCACTCTCCCCCTCCCCAACCTCCTTCATAAGCACCTCCTTCATGAACTCCCCGGCCTCAGAAATCGTCTCCCCATGCTGCACCACACTAACCGCCCCCGCCGTCCGCAACCGCTCCACCATCATCGGCTTCGTGCTCGTCGGCAACACAACCGTGCACGGGTACCCCAGGCTCCTGGATGCGCAGACAGCAGCAAGACCCGCGTTGCCGCCGGACGAGGCGTAGAAGTGCACGGGGCGGCCTGCGTGCGCTGGGTTCTTGAGGTGTGAGAGGATTTGGTTGCCCATGGCGCGGGACTTGAAGGAGCCGCTTGGTTGAACATTTTCGAGTTTGAGGAAGATGCGACAGCCTGCTGCGCGGGAGAGAGAGGCGGATTCAACGAGGGGGGTTTGGATCCATGGGCTTTGGGGGATGGGGGTTGTGGTTTGTTCTGGAGCGATGCTTCCCATTTTGCTTGTCGCCCTGTTGGGAGGATGACTTGGAAGTATTAGGAAATATAAAAAAGAAGGATGAGATAGTGTTCCAAAATAGGCAGGATCGATTGTATAGATCGGGTTTGAATCAGGGTTTAGAGATATGGAACAGATACTTGGTACAGATAGAGTGAAGAAAGAGGAAGGCAAAGAATATACAAGACCTCACTGTTCTGAATAGTTTTGATGAATGATCCAACCCATTTGTACAACCGGTTCTGATATACAAATGGCGACTTCCCGATGATAACCCTCAAAAGTTTGCCGCGGGGAACTTCCGAGTTTCCCGCCCCGATCCTCTATCAACCCTCGCCATGTCGCCTCCCGAATCCGATTTTCCGTTGAGTAACTTTGAGGAAGAATGCGCAAGATAAGCTATTGGCTGTGACATGCCCACGGGGAACAAAGATCCCATTATCGTTTCGCATAGGGTATGCACTCCGTATGACCTTGGTGGAATAAGGGCTGACCCAGAACAAGCAAGTCATACTCCTGGGGGAAAGACAACGCGAGCCTCGGAACCGTAATCCCTTACGTTCTTGTGGAGAATGAGGAGGAACACCGCAAGTCACAAGTAAGAAAAAAACCGCGTTGCATTTGTTGTGATTGGATTGGGCCAGTTCTTCTTATCAAATCGAATTCCGGGGTCCGGTTTATTCTTCGATGACAAGGGGCGGGAAAAGGATGCTCTTTTTGATACCTTCCCCATACTCTGCATCGCAACCGAATCCGGCATCTGTGAAGCTTCGCTTGGCGTTATCTACGCGGAGAATATTAAGCAGATCTTGCGACTTGTTAGGCATAAATGGTTGCAATAGAATGGCCGAGATTCGTAGCGATTCCGCCACGGTGTAGAGGATCCTCTGCGACTCTGGTCGGGCCTTCCATGGCTCCGCAGCATGGAAGTATTTGTTTGTCTAGAAAAATCGATAGTCAGCATCGATAAGATAGGTCATATGAGTAGATAAAAGTCGTGTGACGAGTCATTCCTCACCTTCTCAACAATTGATACGATATCCTGCAGGGCGGAACGAGGGTTCAAATACTCCATGTGTTCGGCCACTTTGCTGGGAATCTGTTCCAGGAACGATTGGTGCTCCTGGTCCAGAGCTGTGGTCGGCGGGAGCTTATCAGCGGCGGCATCGATAATGTACGACCGCAAGTTTCCCTTTGCGCAACCAATTGTGCGGTGTGCGAGATTACCCATTCCGCTTTGAAGAACCTTCTTATAATCTCTGATAATGTAGGCGTTATCATAATCGGAATCTCCATCAAAGCCTCCCTGGTATGCAAGGAAGAAGCGCATCGTATCAACGCCAAAGCGATCGATAGCAAAGAAGGGGTTCACGACATTTCCAGTTGATTTCGACATTTTCTCATGGTTCATAGTCCAATGACCGTGCACAAGAACATTACGTGGAAGAGGAAGATCCAAAGCCATGAGGAATGCCGGCCAATAGACACAGTGGAAGCTGTGCGCAGCTATTAGCTTTGACCTACCCTTTTACAGGAGGTGTACCTACCGAACGATATCTTTGCCGACCACATGCACATCGGCTGGCCATCCAAATTGGCCTTCTTGGCCTGGCGGAAATGGATATCCCGCCTTGGTCAGGTAGTTAACGAGCGCATCCAGCCAAACGTAGATGGTCTGTGTTTCGTCGCCGGGAACGGGAATGCCCCAGTTCAGTCGCTCGACGGGTCTGGAGATGGAGAGGTCTTGGAGATTCGTAGTGACGGATTTAATGATGTCAGGCACATAGTTCCCAGGGGTGACAAAGTTGTTTTTATACAACTCGAGGAGGCGATCTTGGAAGGCAGTCAAGCGGAAATGGTAGTTCGTTTCAGACGACCACTCCACTTCCTTTCCAGTCTCGACGGAGACCATTCGTTTCCTCCCTGTAGACGGATCCAACGAATTTTGCACCTGCGACGGCGGGTAGAACGTTTCGTCGCTAACAGAGTACCATCCCTCATGTTTCGCGGTATAGATGTAGCCTCGGTGATTGAGCATTTCCTGCATCATTCAGCTTCTGCTATCTTAAAGCATCCCTCCGAGACTCACCCAAAAGTACTGAACCGCTTCCCTGTGTGCTGAGTCGGTGGTCCGAATGAAGTGGTTATTGTCGATATTCGCGGCTTTCGCTAGCGCCTAGATCGCGACGATGTTAGAATATAGCCACACGTCGACAAGGGTCATAGGGTACGCACCTCGAAAGTCTTGAAATTCCTGTCGCAGAAGGCCTGGGTATCCATTCCCGCTGCGAGGGCAGCTTGTTGAATCTACCCATTGTCAACGCCTGGCACAGCTGTCATAGGTCGACCTCCATACCTTCATTCCATGCTCGTCGGTTCCTGTTAAAAGCTGAGCGTCTTTCTCCCCAAGAAGGACCCGCCATCGTTTTATGATATCGGCGATCACCATGGTATAGAAATGGCCGACATGAGGGGCTGTCCAGCACAATCCGTCAGTAAATTGCAGTACAATTTTCCAGAAAGCAAGATGACATACAAGAATTGACGTAGAAAATCGGAGTAGTAACATAGTAAGGCTTCTTCTTCGACACTTCATCCTGAAGAACTGTTGTCGTCGCAAACCTGCGCGGAGAGCCCAACCCGGCCGGCCGGACATTTCTGCAAGAGGCACATTTCCACGAAGGTCGTCTGTAGGCCAGCAATTGCGAGGCCCACGAAATAGCGCGAAATTCTCTCCTTGGAAGCGCCATTGGCAAGCGGGAGACAGTGGTTTATAGCAGTTGTTGGAGTTGGATTTGTTTCCGTTGTTCGGCGCGGGAGAATCTCCGGCGAAAGCTCCGAACTGCCAATTTTTCGGCGATTGCTTCTCTTCCACCCCGACAAACACCTTGACAGCGCCATTGTACTCAGCTCTTTGCGGGTGTTTCGTTTATTGGACCTACTGCGATCACTTGCTTGCTCGCAGACATCAGACGAACCGTCCATCTGCCACCCTTTCAATATACAAGATGGGTCCCCCGAGCGATGACGTTCTGACCAAGGTGTCTACCGATGGTATGTGATCGCAGAACGAGTACATTCTTTGTTTATGCGCTATTCCAGATTTCTAACTATGAGATGTCTAGCTGCCACCGAATTCGTCCAGTCGTTTTACCCCGCGCTCCAGAAAAACCGCGCCACGATAGCTTCATTCTACAGCCAACCCACCTCGACGATTCTCTTCAACGGAAACGCTGTCGCCGACGGAAACGCTGTCCAAGATATATTCGTCAACCAGATGCCTCCAGCACACTATGAAGTTCAGTCCTTCGATTGCCAAATCATCAACCAGGCGTACCCCACCCCCACCCCGACTGGCACGAAAGCCCCGAATGAGACAACCGTCAAGGATATGTCGATACTGGTTATTATCAGCGGATACGTGCGATTTGGCGAGTCGAGGGATCTGCCGCAGCGGGGGTTCAGCGAGACGTTTGTTCTTGTGCCGAACCCGGCCGCGGAGGGCGGAAAGGCGAAGCAAGTGAAAGAGTGGCTTATTTATACCCAGAACTTCCGTCTCGTTGTCTGAGCTATTACCCTATACGGTGAACACAGTTGGGTTGCAGTGCAATTTGCTCATAAAGTAATCTATCTATATGTGCTGCAAAGGAGAATAATGGTGCAATGCGGGGTATAACAGGAAAAGCAGACGAGAAACACGGAGACAGAACAAGAGACTGTGCGCGCATTCATTTGCTACTGGCCGGAAGGCCTGGGCACACGCAAATTCGCTTTTACTCGCTCGAGTAGCTCTTCACGCGTGGCTCTCGCGCTGGGCAAAAGGCCTCTCTGGATATTGTCAGTATCTATGTCGGCATGCGAATGAGGGGAAGCATGTACCAAGCGGAGCCACTTCTGCAACTCATCGGCTGTCCAGTCGTCGGGGTCTTCTCAAAGTCAGCGTCTGACAAATCGACAGAATTTCTAATCCTACCTCCAGTCGGGTCTTGCTCCGCAGGAAACATGTCGTTGCCCCAGATGGCCCAAACCGCGGCGGCTGAGATCATCCCGGTGAATCCTGAAATGACATTTGGTTAGATGTTTCGATGTTATACTATTATTCCAAATGAAGAAATGCATACCCAGGAATAGATTCTGGAGAGATTTGTTAGTCAACGTCTATTAAATATCTGGGAGTAAATACCTTGGAATTCATGGCCCGATCCAATGGAGTTGGCATCTTGAATCGTAATAGCACTAAAGTCTGAGGCCTCTCAGATTATGATGATAATTGGTAAAATATTTAAGGATAAATGATGAAATGGAATCTTTTCAGTCGATGGAAGTTGGCCGTTGAGTCAGGTTAGCCTCTTGCAGTTATAACGTGGCACCGCCACTAAATTACTACAACTACGCCACAATATACAACCACCAGTTTAGTATAGATACAGAGTACGATTTATCATCTCAATCAAAGGATGGCAATTTAATATTTTAGACTATGACATAGAGCTGGACAAGATATATGCTATTGTGAGCATTGTCCTGCTCCCGGCCTACCATGTTCCTTCCTAATTGTGCATCGGACTGTATACACCTGCACCTTCCCTAGTAGGGTTCAAGATGGAAGGCAGGCAGGAACTGGACGACGCCATAGCGTTTAAATCTCGCATCCCGCTCTCACCTCGTTCATCTAAGCAAGACACTCGTTTCGTTCATTATCTTCATATTGGCTGTCATACACTATTATTTCATTGACCATCGTTCTATCCTGAGTACACAATACCATGGCTTTCCCTGGTCCTCACCACCCTCCCCAAATTTCCAAACCTCCTAAGCTTCCGGTTCCTCTTACCACGGATTACTTTGACCAACGTTTGCGACCTATCTTTATCCTCTGCGTTGCTACGCTCTCGTTGACCTTGACCGTCTCTGTTGGATATGTGTATGTCTCACTTCGTTCTAGACCTGCCAGATCCTGACCAATACGCTGCTGCAGATACATATCGTGGAGACAATCCCGCAATCAGTACCGCAAAACGTCGACGACGCGGGGCCCATGGCCAACCCCCTCGGGCGATGGAGCACCATCTCGTTCGGGAGACGAAGCGGATATCGAGAGCTACCCGTACACGATCAACAGCGCAGGCAGCCCCCCTACAAGCACACTGAACGCGGGCAACAATCCATACAATACAGAACAATGGCAATGGGTCTCGACCAGCCGCACCCCGGAAATGACAGCACCAGCCACAGGTGACTAATGACCCGCACCGCCACGCGACCCAGGGTTTGCAAAGAGGCTAAACCCTAATTGCTAGAAGTTCCCGCACAATCGTCGTCGCCGCCTCGTCCGAAGCTGTCCGCCCGCTTGTTTGACCGTTTCCCAATCACCCGTCTCGATCTTCAGAACCACGACAGTCCGTCTCATAATCGCCAATCTTGCCCATCATGCCTCAAGAGGTCTCCGACATTAAGCAATTCATTGAGATTGCCCGGCGCCAGGACGCCTCCTGTACGTGATACCCGCCCGAGGTTCCCCTCTGTTGTTTACACCGTGGCGGAGCTATGGGGAGCTTTGTTTTGGAGGAAGATCATATCTTCCCCCTATTTGCTTGGAGGATACATGCTGACTATTGGATCCGAAATAGCCGCCCGCATTAAGCGCAACCGCAAGACCCAGCAGATCAAGTTCAAGGTCCGATGCAACCGCTTCCTCTACTCTCTGGTCCTGAAGGACTCCGACAAGGCCGACAAGCTTAAGCAGAGCTTGCCCCCATGTGCGTACCTCCCTACTATACCTCTCTATCGTCCACGTGTCTATAATTCAGATTTGAAGATGGAATTTGATGCTGACGTCATTCGTTGAACAGCCCTCAAGGTCGTCGACGTCTCCAAGGGTGACAAGAAGAAGGCTCTGTAAATACGACCTTGAGATGAATTGAATAGGATGCCATTGGGGTTGGAGTGTGGCACGTGCAATATCTTTAGTGCATGATCTTTGATGTCATAGTTAGGGGTTGACATTCGGGAGTGATTCAAGCAATGAGCGTTGTCTTCTCCTGCTTCATGACTTGGACATTCTTACATCTGGGTACCGGAAAAAGGCCATTTCGGTCAGATCTGCATCTTCTGGACACCCGATGCCTGACATGTCTCCTCTATTATTCTTCCCCGGAGCTTCCTAGGTTCTACAACTTAATGAAAACAGTTGAAGACCATGGTTGCGCTATATTCGTTCGTATACCTTCCGCCCGTAGTCTTGTTCCCATATGCCTTGACTTTATGGATTCAAGTAGATGAGTTCTTGAAGAGATTGTCATGCGCCGTCAATCGCCACCAGCCACTGTCAGCGTCCAAGATCAGCAGCAGAGCATTGCCTGTTCCTTGCAGTTATCGCCTTATCGAGAGTCCTCCATATTGTCCAGAGTAGATGAAGCCGTTTCACCATGTGACCACGCGAGGTCTTGGCAGCAGGCCTTGAAACAACACCATTCTCTCCTGTCATCTTCATCTATCTCATTGGCAGCGTCTATCACGATGACAGAAAATACACGATGCAATGGCCAACTGCATCGTCTTGGCTCGAAGCCCCGTTGACAGACGGAGCGAACCACCCAACAAGTACTCGCTCCTATACAAAGCACACATCCCGAATCATCCATAAAAGAAACAGTGGATTCCTGATTGCTGATCATTCCTCTACAGTTCTCAGCGCCGTTCCTAGTAGATTACTCCAGATTACCTGATCTCCCCTAGTCGCGTTGGTCTGAGCTTTGGGTCATCCCTATTCGGGAACGGATGCCAGTCGGCTAGCCGAAGGGACCAGAGGGTTTTATATACCTGTGACTGGTGATGCTATTATTACCTGCGATATTTGACAGGGTAGGGAGTACTACTGTGGGAGTAATATTCGGACGTTGGTCTCCGAAGGGACCTGGGGGATCGGCGGTGTTGGTACAGGGGTTTTGTATTCTGGAGGCGCTTATTGGACTTGCGCTTCATTAAGAAGAAACCGGGTTCTTGCGGTCAGTTGATTGCATGCCAGGGAAGGCTCGCTACGGAGTGCTGGTATAGTGGCTGTCTTCGTCAGGGTCCAATCTGCCGTCACTGATGTCTACACTGCATTCACATGGCATATGGACTTGAATTGCTCCGAAAAAGTCGTTTTCTATCGGGTGCCTTACATCGAGACCGTGAAGGAAAGTGGATCGGGCATCATATAGATACATCTTGCCGGAACCAGAAAGATCTCGCCCTTATATCAATTCAAGACGAAACGCTGCCAAGAGCAGTGGAGACAGCAATACTTGGGTATCAATATCGATATCAACGTCTACAGCAATGACCAAGGGCTCATTGAAATGGCTATAAAAGGCCCTCTTCTCGTCGTCTACTTGTGTTGAACCACTGACCTCGCTCCATCCAGTTGATATTCCCATACATTCTTTTCTTGCCTTTGATCGTTGCTGGTCTTCATCAAAGCTCTTTTGACTTACTGCCTTTCACTATTTTCAATTGAACATCTACTTTCACTCTTTCGACTAAACTTTGAAAATGGCTTTCTCCAAGATCGCTTGCATCCTTGCCTCTGCCTCCATGGTCGCTGGTCACGGCTATGTTTCTGGTATCGTTGCTAACGGCCAATAGTACGTCATCGAATGATCAAAGGTTGAAAAGAGAAAAGCTAACCTCTCCAGCTACGGCGGCTACATCGTCGACACCTACGCCTACAGCGACAGCACCCCCGACACCATCGGCTGGTCCACCCAAGCCACCGACCTCGGCTTCGTCTCCCCGGACAGCTACTCCTCCCCGGACATCATCTGCCACGAAGATGCCAAGCCCGGCGCCCTAACCGCCAACGTCAAAGCCGGCTCCAAGGTCGAAATGCAGTGGACCGAGTGGCCCGAATCCCACCACGGCCCTATCCTCAACTACCTGGCCCCCTGCAACGGCGACTGCTCCAAGGTCGACAAGACCAGCCTCAAGTTCTTCAAGATCGACCAGCAGGGTCTGATCGACGGCAGCAGTGCCCCTGGTACCTGGGCTAGTGACAACATGATCGAGAACAACAACACGTACACGTTCTCGATGCCCGAGGCTGTTCCTGATGGCAACTATGTTCTGCGTCATGAGCTGATTGCGCTGCACTCGGCTGGTCAGGAGAATGGGGCGCAGAACTATGTGCAGTGTGTCAATGTCAAGGTTACTGGTGGTGGTAATGCTAGCCCGACCGGTACTGCTGGTGAGCAGCTGTACAAGGCTAGCGACAAGGGTATCAAGTTTGATATCTACTCGGACCTTAGCAGCTACCCTATGCCTGGTCCTGCCTTGTTCAACGCTAACTAGATGTATGTATTGCTTTGCCCCAAGGTTAAGCGCATCTGCTAATGGTTCTCTAGTGAATTGGACGCTGGGCGTCTCTCGGATACTGCGGAAATCAACTGGTACTAAGGGCAGTCACGACAAGAAATATCCGAGAAATTCAAGAACATAACCATAGATAGCGTTCAACAAGTTAATTGTACTTTATACATTTGCATCTCATCTGTACCGCATAAACGTTCATAACAGCATTACTTCACATAATCCAACTCAACATACCCCCCAACCCCCCCCTCAGTCCCCTCCTTAACCCTCTTCCCCCCCAAATCCCCTCTCTCCCTCCTTAACTCCACCTCCCCAAAATAATCCGCCTCCCCAGCCACCCTCCTAAACCCCACACTCTCAAAAAGCGCCAAACTCCCCGTATTCCCCTCCCCAATCTTCACACTCAGACACGAAAACTTCCAATCCCCCCTCCCATCCCCCGTAAGCAAAACCTTCGACTTCTCACCCACCGTGCCGAACGCAAACGTCGACGGCACAAATTCACCCAAGATCTCAGCCTCATGCTCGATGATATACCGCATGAAGCAGAGGAGTGCTGCGCGGCCGTAGCCCTGGCGGTGGTTGCGGCGTTCCGCGATCATTAATTCGATTTCGCCGATGATGAGGCGTTCTGTTGAGGAGGCGATGTCTTCGTCGACGTCGCCTTCGTCGACGCGTAGGAAGAGGTTTATGTCGCCGAGCATTTTGGACTCGGAGTCATCTTCTCTCGCCTTGATTGTTCTGTGGATACCTGGGGCTGGGACTGGGATTGTAGAGACGGGTTGGCAGATGATGAATGTTAGTTTGTCGGGGTCTTGTCGCCAGCTAAGTTGCATGCCGTATTCCTCCTCTAGGGTGAGGGGTTCGGAGGCGGTTGCTTGTTGGATTTCCTGTGTTTATGGTTAACATCTCCCTTTTTGTTTATGCATAATGCATGCATAAAGAATAAAAAAGATACCTCATCTTTCATCCATTCGTGGTAGCGGGGGACATGCCAATGTGAATAGGGGACTAGAAGGATGGGTACGGTTGAAATGGCTGTTATGGATTTTTGTCTACCAAGTTAGGGGAGTTTTTTTTTTTTGATTTTTTTGATTTTTTGATTTGTTTTTTTTTTGATGGATGCAAAGTACGGTTGGGATGTTGGTGTTGCGGTGCATACCCGTGTGTTCGTTGAGCAGCATATTGCTATTGGTCCTTGGCCCTGTTTATTGGGGATGTTTGGGGTGTTTTTTTTGAAGAGAGGAGGAGAGATAAAGACATTTGTGGGTCTTGGCATTGTTTCTATATATGCCCGTCTGTCTATACTCCGTGCGGGAAATACCTTAACATGCAATCCATTATTCTAGTAAAATATACTAGGTATTATTGCTTCTCCTCTTGTCCCCTAAAAATCCCAAACTTAACAACCTCCGCCTCCAAACTCTCCGTATCAACGAGTACCAACTCGCCCGTCTCCTGGAACCGAGGAACACACAACACCCGCACGCGCTGAGTCGCTGCTTCTTGGTCGGCGTCGGCCATTTCGGTGTCTGCGCCGTTTCCGTTTAGCGCGAGAGGAGGCTCTTCGCCTTCGATTAGGGCGGTTTTGAAGCGTGGTTGGTTGCCCGCGAAGAAGATGTGTGGGCAGGAGTGGAGGACGAAGGGGTCGTGGGTTTGGAAGGGGTAGGACCCTGTTGTTGTTAGCATGCGCGCATGTATAAGATGAGAGGGAAGGGGGGAACGTACAGATGGTATCCGGTGCAGTGGGCGCACCACATCTCCATCGGAGCATGGACTCCATGACTCGGATCCGCGACTCGACGTCTCCGTTCTTCGCGTCCTCGTTCCCGTCGTCCAAGAAATCCAAATATCGCAGTACATCGTCGACGTTTTGTCCGCTGCATCCCCATACCCGCCATCCTTCTACATCGCCTTCCCATGGATTCGTCACACTGTCCAGCCAGCCCGTTTCGGGGGTTTGGTTATCGGCCGATAGCGGCGGACCGCAATATGCCCGTGCTTGCGGGAACATGGCGCGGTGGATTCCTTGTTGCGGGAGGGAGAAGTTGGCCGGGTCGGTTTCGCCGGGCATTAGCGTTACGGGGATACTGGGGAGGATCTCTGCGAGGAAGGAGTCGAGCTGGGTGATCGGGGATGCGTTGTATGCGGAGGCGTCGTATCCGTATTTCTTCGTTCCGGCCTTTTTCGCAGCAGCGTTTTCTGTCGAAGCTGCGGCTGCTGTGACGTTCGCGCCGAGCGAGTTGCCCGCGATGACGAGTCTGGTGATTGCAGACGCATTGGGCGGTGCACCCTCATCCTCATTCGACGTCCCTGTGTACCCGAGGAGATAGTCCGCCAAAAGATCCAAAGTCAGCGTATTGCTCGCAGTCCCCGTAATCCCAAGACCACTGACAAACGCAATCTTCCCTTTCCTCTCGGTCTCCGGTGCTTGAACCCCCTCCCACCGATGCGGTTGTCGAGCCAAATCCGGAACCTTAATATCAACCACCTCGAAATCACCATTCGAGTTCTCCGTTCCCAATACCGCAATCACAGCGCCGGTGGCTAGTTGTGTCGATCGGAGTAGACTTCCTGTTAAGCGTAGACGGCCCGATTCATCCTCCAGCATGTATTGCGTTGCTTCGGGGTTCGAGGAATCGATATATGTGCGTCGAGGGGCAGGGGCTAGTGTGAAGTTCTATCGAAGTTAGCACCGTCCCTTGAATCGACAACAAGCAAGCTCACCTCTTTCGTCAAATCCTCCAGAATATTCGGTTTCAGCGGCATATCCATGTATATCGTCCCGGCGACCCAGCACAACTCTCCCTGTCTCACGTCCAGCACTCGTTCCACGCGACGAGCGTGTTCCCCTGCAATCTTTCCACATTGTCAGATACTTATTCCCATATCCCAAACAAGTATAAGCACATACGCTAAACCCATCCCACGTCTCCGCCGCAACTTGTTCCGTGGCGGGTTTTAACCGGGCAAGTCGGAGGAAGTACATGTCGCCATATTGCTGTTTATAATGCTTTTCCTGCCCGCTTGGCAGTTTGAATGTGTGTAGTGGGTTGTAGTGTGAGGGATTGCGATAGGCCGGCGCATATTCTTCGTCGCTGTTGATCGTCGAGTTAGTTACTGGCCATTGAGTGGAAGGGGGAAGTCGATGGACGAACCTTGGGGGACGGAGGAAGTCGTTATTTGCGTTGCCGTCGGCCATTCCCATTTCTTTTTATTAGGGTGCTGTGATGCGATTGTGGTAGAGTAATTGGAGATGCCTGGTTGTCGATATGCGGACGCGGATCACGCGTCGTTTTGGCGTCGGTAATTACAGTACCGCTTTCGGCAGTATTCGGTGCTCTCTATTGTTTATTATTGTCTTGATAGTTCGGATATAATGAATTATATTTAGCTAGTGTATACATGAATTGCTGGGATTTGGACAATGCCGTATTGGCAGATATTTACATCAGACGATAGTAACAAGTTATAGATGCAGTGCAGACAAGAAGATTGATATGAAGAGACCTGCTGTGCTCAACGACCGGCCTCTATCTGCCATCGCTATCGCATTAGCTGCCATGACGCGCTCAGTGACCGTCGCAGTGGCAGTCACCGTAGCCACGTTATGATTAGGTCTGGGGTAAGATATCAGCTATTTGCACCGCATATAACAGCATTTAAACTCACCGGGCAGCAGTTGTATTGCCGGACACTCCTGGCGCTTGTCTCAATTCATGCATAAACTCTTGGACAGTCGTTGTCGCAGTCTCTGCCGTGGTCTTTGGCGGTACACCCAATGTCTCTATTGATTGCGTTTGTGCTTGTGCTTGTGCTTGTGGTCGATCGATGACAGGCCCCGGAGGAGGATGATAGTATCCAACTGCTCCCTCAGGCGCAGTGATGAGGGATCCGGGGAGACTTCTTCGGAGCCGGGAAAGCTGACGAGAGACTGAGCCAATATCAAACGAGGATGCGACAGCACATGTTAATAAACTGATAATGATGGAGCTGCACAGCAAGCTTTGGCAGACCCGTGGTACCCTCATATTGTATGGTGAAGCGCTATCGAGACAACACATGGAGAGGCTGATGCAAACGGGAAAAGGTATAATATGAAGGCCCAGGATGTCTCAACTGTACATCAACACTGGCGCATGGCTGCTAGAGACACAAACCGTGTTAAGAATGAGGCCCGATCAACCGTGGATTTTGACCGCGGTATTCAATCGCATCTTTACTTCCAATGAAAGACACCAAGCAATAAACAGACTCCAAAGAACGTCGAGGAGAAACAAAACAAGTCGAGAATCGATTGGCTTGGAATTGACGAACGATCCTGCTCCGCGAGTACGCGGCATGTCAGTGACAGATCAGTATGTTAGTGACCCGCGATCCCTTGATCAGATCGATGGCAAAAGCTCAATGGCTCGCATTTCTGAGCTCTGCCATGTTTGTCAAAGATATTCTCGCGTGAGGTGTCATATGCGACTCCTGCGCATTCCCGTCTGACTGAGACATTCGAGCCGTGGAGATATGGAGGGTGGTCTTGACAATCCCTTCATTTTCTGAGCTTGACCTAGGCAAATCACAAGCCTTGGACTTCGCGTATCTCTTGTTTATCCTGGTTCATTCCGTCGCTATTTCATTTTCATTCATCCTCAGTCGGTCAAACTGCTAACGGATCCCCCCCCCCCCCCCCATGGGTACCCTAAGTCAATGGACCGACAGTCATCAAGCCAAATGGGGCTATTCTTGCGAGTAGATCTGTCGATCGATAAGTCTAAAAGAACACACAGACAGCATGGAGAGGAAAGCAGGGAGAATGGCAGTTGAAGCGAATCAGCCTCGGCTCGGTTCCGGATCGTTTGGGGTCTCCGCACTCTCTTTGCAGCAGTCTCCATCGACTTAAAAGCATCGATTGAATAGGTGTGATGTTTTTATGAAGATATTAATGAGAGAATTGAATCTTGATTGATTATTCTTGATACGCAGTTTACTTGCTTGCACCATTTGTATGCCCATAACCACCTCCTATTGCACTCCGTACCTACGATACTAACCACCCAAGAATCCAGTTTACATCGCAAAACCACCACCAAAATGTCCCTCCAAACCCCCCTCTGCCCTCTCCTCAACATTCAACACCCCATCCTCCTCGCAGGAATGGCCCGCGCCTCAAGCGCCCCCCTTGCCGCCGCCGTCTCCAATGCCGGCGGTCTAGGAACAATCGGTGGCCTAGGCTACACCCCCTCCCAGCTCTCCGAAATGCTCACAGAGCTCAAATCGCTTCTCCGCTCCCCCAACCTCCCCTTCGGCGTCGATCTGGCCCTCCCGCAGGTCGGTGGTAATGCGCGCGCGACGAACCACGATTACACACATGGGCAGCTGGATGAGTTGATTGAGGTTGTTATTGAGCATGGGGCGAAGTTGTTTGTTTCGGCTGTGGGTGTTCCGCCCGAGCGGACGATTAAGAGGTTACATGAGGCGGGCATTTTGGTGATGAATATGGTTGGCGCGCCGAAACATGCGGAGAAGGCGTTGGGGTTGGGGGTGGATATGGTCTGTGCGCAGGGTGGGGAGGGGGGTGGGCATACGGGGGATATACCGTTCTCTGTGCTTGTGCCTGCGGTTGTGGATGTGGCGAGGAGGTTTAGGAGTCCACTGACGGGGGGACCGGCGCTGGTTGTGGCTGCGGGGGGTGTTAATGATGGGAGGAGTTTGGCGGCGGCGTTGATGTTGGGTGCTGCTGGGGTTTGGGTTGGGACGAGGTTTGTTGCGGCTGAAGAGAGTGGTGCTAGTCGGTTGCATAAGGAGGCTGTTGTGGGTGCGAGGTATGGGGATACGAAGCGGACGCTGGTTATTTCGGGGCGGCCGCTGCGGATGCTGCCGAATGAGTATGTTAAGGAGTGGGAGAAACGGCCGGATGAGATTGCACGGTTGACTGCTAAGGGTGTCGTGCCTATTGAGCATGACTTTGAGAACGACAAGGAGGTTGAGATTCCGTTTTTGATGGGTGATGTCTCGGCTAGTGTCCAGGAGATCAAACCGGCCGGTGCGATTGTCCAGGAAATGGTCCAGCAGGCTGTGGCCATGTTGAGACAAGGTGGTTCGTATATCACCAGTGAACCAGCGAGTAAACTATAGCGCTGTTGAGGTTTATCTCTACCTCAAAATGTACATACTGACAGACACCAATTCGAGTTTCCGATTCAATGCATTGTAGTAGAATGATCCATGGCCGTGGTATGAGAGACATGCTTTTGGACGTAAATAACATGGTACGTACTTGTACAGGGACAACAACAAGAAGCAGACAAACCCGGAACCCGTACAACTAACCAGACATACTTCAGCCCTGGCCGGTCAGGAGACCAACGTCAGGACAAGGCTGCGAGATGCTTGTCTACATCCGCTGTAGTCCATTTCTTTTCCCATTTCCCCATTCCCTGTCTTCTTTTGAGCATATCAAACCAATTGAATAAAACAAACTTGAATTGACAGTGAGATTCACTAGCACAAGCCATGACAGAAAAGCTTTCCAACAAGTGCTGGCTACAAGTGCATTATGTGGCCTTCTTATCACCAAAACAGAGAGCACATGTTTTTTGTTTTTGTTCCTTTTGTTCTCAAAACATTGTTGATGTTGTTCGATATGAGTAGTCGCTAGTGACATCCATTGATCATGGCCTTGTTCCCATTCGCTGCTCGTGCCTCCAGAAGTTGCGGCGGCGGTGGTGGGCCAAAGACAGGCTTCTCAGGTTGCTGGGGAACGTTTCCCCCGTTGAGTTCCCGGCCTGCATGCTCAAGCTCGTACTCGTCGTCGCTGATATCCTCGTCATCCTCCTCGTCTTCATAGTCCTCATCGTATTCGCTTTCTGTCCCCTCGTCGTCACCGTCCAAGTCGGCGGGAAGACTTTGACCACGACCTTGCGCTTGCATTCGTCGACACAGTGCCTCCAAGTGGTGACTCTTCTTTCGCCATTTTTCCAGTTCCTCATGGTTTCGTGTGCGCTCCTCTGCCATCTCGAGTATATTGCGGTTCGTTTGGTCGTGTTTTCGGGTAAGCGTGAGGTTCTCCTTCTCCAGGCGCTTGGTCTTTTTCGACATTTCCTCCATTTCTTTGCGGAAAGTGAGGAAGAGTTCGTTGCTGTTATTCAGTGTATCCTCCACCTAAATATTATTATTACCAGCAGGTCATAACAGAGGGGCAGAGCTAGCAGAGCAACCATACCTGCTTAAACTTTTCCACGTAGATATTAAGCTGACTGCGCAGTTCAGCCTCTGTATGCGAAAACGTCGAAACCTGGGAGCTCAGTGCACGACAACGGGCGGCTTCATTCTCGGCAGCACGGCGCTGTTCTTCGTACTTGGCGGTAAGGCACTGTATCTCTGCGTCTTTGCTGCGTAAGAGGGCCTTGTAGTGTAACTCGCGCATTTCGAACTTTTCCCCGATGGTCTTGATCTTGGCACGTAAACTGTCGCATAATGTCAGCGGGCGAGAGGAAAGGGATGCGATCTTTGACTTACGCCTCGTCCAAGTCAATATCTATCTTCTCATTGCGCGGGTTGCCTTTGGCGGCCATGACATCTTGTATGTCATACAGGAGAGAGTCCAGACGTTCGTTGACGATCAACCGTGCCTTCTTCTCGGTTTCCTCCAGTTTCTTGTTCTCGTCCTAGGCGGTATAGTCGTATTAGTCGATTGTTTTGTTTCGATGGTGCCTCGATTGAGATCGTAGTCGGATGGAGGAGTCCGCGAAAATCCGCTCAGCCCCGGATCGCCACTCACCTTGACCTTCTTGTTTTCCTTGGTAAGCTCCCTGCACAGCTTCTCCAGTTTATCCTTCATAGTGACGGTCTTGTTCAACTCCGATTTGCCCTTGTCCTGGTCCTTCTGCAGTTGATCGGATCGTTTTTTGCTCTTGGCATAGTCGCGATCCAACTTCTTCATGTCGGCGAGGAGTTCGGTGTATTTCTTGTGGACGGTCTCGAGTCGGGTCATCGGAGACTCAATATTGCTGAGCAGCTGGTTCAGATCCCTCGTAGCCTTCTTGACTTCACGCTCTGTAGACGCAAATCATCAGTTAGGTAAATCTTTGCCCCGCCATACATGTAAACCCCACAAACCAAGGTCGACGAGAAATTGCCAGCGCATAACGAAAATTGCAAAGCAGAATCACGCACCAATTTCCGCTTCTTGATCCTTTTCCCCTGCTGCATCTTGCTCCAACTGTGAGATCTTGGCGGCTAGCAGTTTGGATGTCTCATTGGGGTCCGCAACCTTCTTCCCCTTGTTCTTTTTCGACATTGCTGCGGAGGACATGGTGAACGGAGTCGGGAGGTTCGACTTCTGGGGACAGTGGACTCGTAGACGGTGATCGCGTGGGCAACTCCACGGAAGCCGAAAAGTGCGAGGACCACGGGAGGTGGGTTTAGCCGGTCACCGGACCAATCTGGAACGAAGGCGCAAAACGGCTTCAGAACGAGGATGGCGCTCAATCAAAAGCGAATCGACAACGGAGAGGAAAACGAATCGAGTCTAACGGAAACCTCAAGTTTCCCTCCAGGACTCGTCGGTTGAACTCGCACGGAGGGATTCCACCAACGAAGAACTGGAAGACAACAGAAGCCAAAAGTGCCACAACGATGAATCGACGTTATTTCCTTTCACACACACAAACACAGATCAACTTGATATAGCGAGGTCGACAGAAGGCATAGAACCACACTTTTTTCCCACACTTTTCGCACGTAGTCGAGGATCTTTTGCCTGGGGAAGAGGAGGATCGAATCCAATCGTCGGCGTTGATTAAGAGGGGATGCGCTAAACCGTTTTTGGTAATTGATCTTGGCACTTTTTTGGGGCTGGTGTGGCTGAACTTCACTTCACTTACTTCCGGCCACCGTCTGCTGTTTTCTTTTGTTCTTGGATACAAGTCGCGGCTGGTAATTTCTCATTGACGCTAGCTAGGCGCTTCTGGACCTGCTTACAGACAGTGTGGTCTCGCCCGTGGTGGTGACTCAGCTTCCGACCTCCGTCCGTTCGGTTCGCCGAAGCTTTCGATGTGCAGCCGGCAAAAGCGCAACGAGACGACATCTTCATTCAACCACTCTCGACAGTTTGATTTCGCATTCGTTCCATTAACCGGACAGCTTGCGCCATGTTGCGTCCGTTCTTAGGAGCCAGCAAATGCCGGGTGCCCGTCTTGCGGCAACAGCTCGCCGGTAGTCGTGGACTCAAGTCGAACTATGATTTATCACGATGGAGCCAGATCCGGAAGGCGTCGACGGTGACAACTCTGGAGAACTTTCCTGGAGTGGGCGAGAAGCTTCAAGGGTTCACAGTGCAGGAGAAGAAACACGTACCGGAGCTACACCTGACAGCAGTGCGGTTAAGGCACGACAAAACCGATGCGGATTATATGCACGTGGCGAGGGACGATCAGAATAATGTCTTTGGGATAGGATTTAAAACAAATCCTCCGGATGCTACGGGTGTACCGCATATTCTGGAGCACACAACGTTATGCGGAAGCGAAAAGTAAGAACATCCCTTCCGGTCGTTATAACGGTGGAAGTGCTAACTGAGATATCCTAATAGGTTTCCCATTCGCGATCCCTTCTTCAAGATGCTTCCCCGTTCTCTATCGAACTTCATGAACGCTTTTACTGCTTCCGACCATACCACATATCCTTTTGCCACGACGAACGCGCAAGACTTCCAGAATCTCCTATCGGTGTATCTCGACGCTAGTTTCCATCCTCTGCTTAAGGAAGAGGACTTCAGACAGGAAGGATGGCGCTTGGGGCCCGAGAACCCTCGTGCGATCGAAGAGGCTGAAGGAAAACTTACTCCGGAGGACATCCTGTTCAAGGGCGTTGTCTACAACGAGATGAAGGGTCAAATCTCGGATTCGAACTACCTCTACTACATCAAGTACAAGGAGAACATTATCCCTGCTCTCAACAACTCCGGCGGAGATCCCGAGTATATCACGGATCTCACGCACAAGCAATTGGTCGACTTTTCGAAGCGGAACTACCATCCTAGCAACGCCAAAATCTTCACCTACGGTGATATGCCTCTGGGCACCCATTTGGAGCAGATTGGCGATGTGTTGAACGGTTTCGACAAGGGCCAAGCCGATACGGACAATAAGAAGCCTATTGATCTCAAGCGTGGCCCGGTGAACGTCACCGTTCCAGGTCCTATCGATACATTCGCTGGAGAAGACAAACAGTTCAAGACTTCGACGTCGTGGTATATGGGAGATTCAACTGATGTTGTTGGGACCTTCTCCAACGGCATTCTTTCCTCTCTACTCTTGGATGGGTTTGGCTCCCCGATGTATCGGGCGTTGATCGAAAGTGGCTTGGGTTCGTCTTTTACCCCCAACACTGGTCTTGATGCCTCGGGTAGGACACCCGTTTTTTCTGTCGGAGTCACTGGTGTCAGTGAACAAGACGCGCCCGCCGTGAAAGAGGCTATCCAGAAGGTCTATCAGGAGTCACTGTCCGCCGGGTTCAGTGACGAGAAGGTGCAGGGGTTTTTGCACCAGTTGGAATTGTCGCTGCGGCACAAAACGGCTAACTTCGGAATCGGTGTCATGGACAAGACAATCTCCTCTTGGCTCAACGGCTCCGACCCGATGAAGGAGCTTTCTTGGAACGAGGTCATTGACGAATTTAAGGCAAGATATGCCAAGGGTGGATATCTCGAATCCTTGCTGCAAAAGTATCTCATGAACGACCAGTGTTTGACCTTCAACATGGTTGGTTCGCCCACATTCGGCAAGGAGCTAGATGACAAGGAAATGGTGCGAAAGGAGAAGAAGTTTAATCAGCTCGTTGAGCAGCACGGATCCGTGGATAACGCCGTTGCCAAGCTTGCCGAAGAGGAGTTGCAGCTTCTCCAGGTCCAAGAAGCGGCGCAAAATGTCGATCTGAGCTGCTTGCCTTCGCTTCGTGTCAAGGACATCTCTAGGGAGAAGGAGCGCAAGCCAGTGCGGGAATCTCGCGTGGACGATGTCGACGTTGTCTGGCGCGAAGCCCCGACAAACGGCCTCACTTACTTCCAGGCGTTGAACGCCTTTGAGGGCCTTCCTGACGACCTTCGACTGCTCTTGCCGCTCTTCAATGACTGCATCATGCGGTTGGGCACTGCCAGCAGGACTATGGAGCAATGGGAGGACCTTATCAAACTGAAGACCGGTGGCGTGTCAACGTCGTCGTTCCAGGTTTCCTCTGCGACCGAGCTCGGCAGTTTCAAAGAAGGCCTTCAGTTGTCTGGATTTGCCTTGGATCAAAACATCCCCGAGATGCTCGAGATCTTCTCTGCCCTGATCACCGAAACCGACTTCACGAGTCCCTACGCTCCCGCCATGATTCAGGAACTCTTGCGACTGGTCACAAACGGCGCATTGGACTCCGTTGCCAGTTCCGGTCATCGATTTGCGTTGAATGCGGCTGCATCCAGTCTCACTCGGAGCTTCTGGGTTCAGGAGCAGCAGACGGGTCTCGCACAACTGCAGGCTACGGCCAACCTCCTTCGCGATGCCGAAACTTCTCCTGAGCACTTGGCAGAGCTTATCGAGAAGCTTTGCTTGATCCAGTCGTTTGCTATCTCCAGATCGTCGAACCTCCGCGTTCGCTTCGTCTGCGAACCCAGCAGTGCTGCGCAAAACGAGTCCACGCTCCAAAAGTGGCTTGGCGGCTTGTCTCAAGTCCGTGCACCCACTGCCGCTCCCGAGGCCTCCAACATGAACCTGGGTGTTGACAAGGCATTCTACGATATGCCATTCAAGGTCTACTATTCTGGCTTGGCCATGCAATCAGTCCCATTCGTCGATCCCTCCAGTGCACGTCTGAGTGTCCTCTCACAACTCCTCACTCACAACTACCTCCACCCCGAAATCCGCGAGAAGGGAGGCGCCTACGGCGCCGGAGCCAGCAACGGACCTCTTAAGGGTATCTTCGCCTTCACCAGCTACCGTGACCCCAACCCCGCCAACACCCTGAAGGTGTTCCAAAACAGTGGCATTTTTGCCCGAGACCGCGCCTGGTCTGACCGCGAGATCAACGAGGCCAAGTTGGGCATCTTCCAGGGTCTTGATGCGCCTATGAGCGTTGACGATGAGGGTGCTCGCTACTTCATGAGCGGCGTCACTGATGCGATGGACCAGCGCTGGAGAGAACAGGTGCTGGATGTCACTGCGAAGGACGTTAACGAGGCTGCGCAGAGATTCCTTGTTGAGGGGTCTCGCAAGTCTGCCTGCTTGCTGGGTGAGAAGAAGGATTGGGCGGACTCTGAAGGCTGGGAGGTGCGGAAGCTCTCCATGAATGTTGAAAAGGGCGAAGATGACGTTGCGTCTGCTTAAACTTCTTGCTCCTTGTTTCCACCATAACCATTTCTTTCGGTTTCTTGGGATATAGAAGCCGGGATTTTTCTTGCATGATATGATGTGTGGTATACCCTGTATTTTACGCTGATGTTGATGCTTCTTACGCCCATGAAAAGTTTGTATATAGACATTTTGTACAATATCCCCACTCATCTTTCCTTATCTTCCCTCCCTGACCTTCTTTTCTCAATCTCTTACGCGCGAACCAAGAACAGGTAAAACCTGCCTCTGGCCTTCTACCATGGTCTTAGACAGGTTTCCGTTTCTCTTACGAGAGGACGGAGCAAGCGCAATATCAAATCCAGAATGTGAACTCATCGCCTGGCAACAGGCGTCGAAGTACACTTCTCATCTCCGTTTATCAGACCCGTCCTGGATCCTCTTTCAGCCTACGCAGAGCGGACTAAGAACGTGAGAACATACCATACCTTAATGCAACGTAGAAATGCATATCTACATTATATAATAAACAGCCTACTCCCTCCTAACAACAAACCTAACCTTAATCTGCCCCTGCTCCCTAACCAACCTCAAAATCTCCTCACTACCAGTCTCCCCCCATTTCTCCCCCACAACATGAACCCTCCACCTCGTCCCCGTCTCCCTCCCCACAACCCCCCACATCGCCCTCCAACTCTCCTCATTATGGTAATACCCAATCAAACTCCCCTCCGGCTCGGGCCCCTCGCTATGCTTCACCTTCCCAACCTGCCGTCCGACGAGTAAGGAACCGGGTTGTGGGCGGAGGAGGGTTACGATGCGCTTTGCGATGAGGATCTGTTGATCCCAGGTGAAGAGGTGGAAGAAGGACATGGTGTTTATTATGGAGAAGTGATTTGTGAAGTGGGTGACTAGATCAGAATTGTTGTCGAAGATGTCGCTGACGATGAAGTGGGATTGAAGGGTGTGCCGGTCGTTGAAGAGGTCGTAGCCCACGGTGAAAAGATCGGGGGTTAGGTCGCAGCCGTAGAGATTTGTGGAGGGGGCGCCGTCGTGGACCTTAGTTTCGTTAGTTGACTAGATCCGAGAAGTGGCTTGACTTTGAAATAGTGGGTGTGCTCACTAAGTGCCGGAGTTCTTGTCCCAGTGCACATCCTAGATCTAGGAACTTATCGCCGGATTTAACTCGTTCTAATATCTCGGGGTAGATTGTCATTCGATGGAGGTCTAATTCGAGGAATCTGAATAGGCCGATGCATGGGTATGGTGTCTATAGAAAGGCGCAGTCGGTTGTTAGCAGCTGATATACACGTTTGTATATGTTTTTGGAGCAAAACATACCACGGCGAAAGCACGTTTCCTCTGTTCAATAGCATTAGCCTCAATATATCTTGAGTGACAGATATCTCACAACACTACTCACGACTTCGTTAATATGATCCGCGATCTTCTCATTTGGAATCTTGCTATATTCCTCGAATATCGTTCTCGCGGGTTCGCGGACGGATTGGATCTCTGGATCGTAGTATTTGCTTGAGTCATAACTAGATGGAAATGATTGAGATTGTGCCATTGTGCTATCGGTACGCTGGGATATGCTATTTTCGTGCGTTGGGAGAATGCTGATAAACACAGGAATCCGCGGGCTCTCCTGGGTTTATATGGAGATGACGAAAACGGGAAAGTTTAAGAATGTGGGATAGACTTCACTATGCAGATACCAGCGGGCCCGCAAATTCATGCAATAGATTTCTATCGTTGGCTGCTCTAATCCAAATATCGGTGAAGCAATGACATAGATTCAGCCAGCCTGGGTAGCAACGAATTCAAAGAAAAATTATATTTACATCCAAAATAAAACGAGTTTCTAGTAGAACCTAGCCATTTCCAAAATAGGGTATAAGCATCATATCATGAATCGTGTCGTAGTTATACAAAAGGGCAGCAAAGAAGTTCTACAGGTTGTGGTTTCCTGTAGCGCGAGGTCCCAAAATTTGACCTGCAAACAGAATAGATAGCCAGTGTTGGCTGCATGGGCCCGCGAAGAAATAAAGTCAGCCAATGTCAAATGGAATGGTCCGGCCATTCTGCAACATGGCAAAGGCTGTCCGAGAGGGAGTATGACAATAATTAGCCGTCGGTTGCTCTATCGGAGCTCGGATAAGGGGACCCCGGATTGTCGTCTGACGCCTTCATATCGGGCCAGATTTCATGATCTGTTGACGATACCGGAGTTTGGGGCAGAGATGGAAAAGGTTCGGTTTGCATATTATCACGATCATCGGGCAAGTTTCTGTCGCTTATTGATCCCCGCGGCGAATGAACCGCGTTCGCATATTGGGCATCTGACGAAACGGTTGTAGAGCGTCCAGACAGAGAAGGACGAGATGTTGACTGGTTTATACGTTAGCCAAACATACATGCATAGGGAACTGGACACCGCATGCTACCTTGTTGTTCTGATCGAGACCACGATTTGAAGCCAATCTCTGCGCAGCAAGCCGTTTTCTAAAAATCTCCTGCTCCTCTTTGAGTGCAGCTTGCTCTTCCTCTTTCTTCAAGCCATCTAGTGACTGTGTATCAGGGGTCTGCGCATCGACAGAAATAACTCGAGGTGACTGAATGCGACTACCTCGCTTTCTCTTCATTCGTAGTTCCTTCAAAGAAGCGTCTGTTGTAGAACTGACAGTCCCCGAAGTAGACCTTCTCACCGAAGATTTCCTCCCGGACTGGTCATCAGAATCTAACCCTGTTCCGCGACGGCCCAACGCCAAGGCAAATTCATCATCTAATGGCACAGCATCATCTTCCTCATCACTCATGATCAAATCACCTCGGGAACTCAAGGAGTTGGTAGTTTCCCGCGACGACTGAGTTGCGCTCCGATCTCTGCCGTTACTATAAGAAACAGGACCCTCAGATCCCTCACCAGCCTCAAGCAATGGCTCTTCTTCACGGTCAAAGCGACGTACCCCCCCGGGATGCTCCTGTAGATCTGCAGCCGATGGACGATACTTCTGCCCCCGCGCACCCAATCTCCAAGGAAAACGTTCCAAAAATCCCAAAAACGAAGAGCTAGGTATTACCGTCGGATCATTTCTGTTCTCAGGTACAAGCACACTGCTCTTTCTCCTGGTACCGCGCGTCCCATAACTCATCTTCCGCTGCCGGTGTGGTTGCTCTGCAGTCCCGCGTGCAAGGCCACTCCCAGCTAGCAAACGATCCAGCTCATCAGACCCCCAACCTAACAGGCTATCATTGGCAATATCATTATCCCAATCATCGTAGAAATCGAAATTGGCCTCCGCCCGGCCCCGTCGTCGACGCCGGATATGGTCTTCACGACTAGGAAGACATGGCGCTGTGCATGCGTAGACACAGTTCCTAATACTGGCAAAACATGGCGAGATATAATTCTGCGAAAAAGCGTAGATGCCTTCCTGGGCCGTTTCGTTTGCGCTCTCAAGATTGGAGGAGATCTGGTTGAGGGTTTGGCGAATGCGAGGGTCTCTGGGCCGCATCGTGACGGGCAACCGCGAAAAAAGGGCGAGAACAGAATCGAGCGTAGGTGTATTTCAACCCACTGTGACCAGTTACATTTGTCGCGAGAAATACAGGAAAGGATGAGCGTGGTTAAACTCAATAGGCGTGTATGCTGTCCCTGATGGGGAGTTCCCATGCAGTCTCCGCCTCACGATGTCATTTCGTGGCCTCAGGCTTGAGGATTAGTCAGGGGAACACGTGCCATCACGGGATCTGGGGTTAGCCATTTTCAAATTGCTTTAGCGTCCATAGTACGACAATCAAGAGGTATGGCAGTATAAGAGATAGTTTTGACATTTCTGTACTTGCTGGATCATTTTCTGTTCACACCCACAGGATGGTCTTTTACATCCGCTTCCTCAAAACTCCCCGGCTTCAGAAGCAAAAGGGGACTGTTTCTGTTTCTGCTCTGATCTGTATCACTACGGACCTGGGCGATGCATTCCTGGCTGAAGATGTGCAATTGCTCGCAACGCTGAGTGTTGATCAGACAGAAAAAATCCTGTACAAGGAGCCATTAAAATGGACCGCCGGCAAACGACAGCTTCCCATCTCACTGGGACCGTTTCCCGAGCATCTTGCCCGACAGACTGTGTGTCTAAGCGTTAGTGTAATTGAACCCCGGAGACCAGAAACGCGCTGGAACGATGTTATATTGGGGGGTGCCGGCGTCCCTTTGGTTATCTCCGGCTGGAGCGCACCTTTTGGAGGGTCTCAGTCTCTAGTGGCAGAGAAACTCGTGGAGAGACGGTTTGGTCCTACAGACCGATTGGACCTGAGAATATGGGAGGAGACAGGCAACAGCATTGCCCGGCATATCTGGTGAGCGGGCATCAATCTCCAAATTCCTTACATCATTCTAAACAATACTTGTGTCGGCTCCATTAGGGATGCAGCCCTTGCATCAGTGATACATCTCGAGCAGATCATGCAAGGTTCCAAATCTACCCTGCCGGTGCTTTCAAAAATTCTACAGAACCCGCGCGACAAGCCCCTCCAAGTTCTTGAACTGGGATCGGGATGCGGGATTGTAGGCATTGCTTTGGCGGAACTACTCCCACAGTGCTCAGTTATGCTGACCGACCTACCTGAAGTCGAGGACATTGTAATGCAGAATATCGCTGCGGCCAGACAGGCGCAGTTATCTAAGATTGAATATCAGAACCTCGACTGGGACGAGCCACTGCCGGAGAACCTCTGTCACGAGCCTATAGACCTGATTCTCGTTTCGGACTGTACATATAACGCCGACAGTTTGCCTGCATTGGTCTCGGTTCTAGACCGGCTCGTACAAAGTTCCCCGAGTGCACTTATTCTCGTGGCATTAAAGAGGCGCCATGAAAGCGAAGCAATCTTTTTCGGCTTGATGCAGTCTGCAGGACTCTGCACCCAACACCAAGTCCATACATTATCGCTCCCGTCACAACATGACCAATTAGATCGCATTGAGCTGCATTGCTATGGACGGAATCCACAGCCGGAATCCGAATGATACACTCAAAACCTCCGAAGAAGCCACCTCGACCGCTTTCCTGACCACCCCTGGGTTCTGCTCGGTCCTCCCGTCTGGATTTCAAAACCCGGGTCACCAATGAGTGGGCAGCGGATTGCTGCCCAGCATTGAAATTTCTTTTATGTTCTGGTCCGTGCATGTGGATGTGGAAACAAGCCCGGAAGTGCGTCATAAACAGTGGCATAACATCATTGCTGGCCGATTTTCAGGGGAAGCGATTCTTTTCAGCTTCGACTTCTTCGATGAACTGTGCTGGACGCTTCGATATGATGCATGGTCGGGCACTGGAATTAGAGTGTACGCACGAAGGATATACTAGTGTGTACTCAGCCTGTGTGGCGAATGGTAGGCAGCCGTAAGACACGGTCAGGAGGCCCTTGCCATAACAACCATAATACTGACTATCGGTCAATTACTTCCTTGCAATTTGAGTCATTTTTTGTCCTCCCCGTAGAAGCGGCCTCCCGAATTAGGAAAAAGCGGCGTCTCGGGAGATTCCGTTACAGGCTAAGCGACGGGCTGCTGACTAAGACCCCGTCAGTCTTTTTTCATCATCGCCGCTGCTGGCTCTCGTTTCTCCCTCATAACAAGACGACCTCCCCGTCTGAACGAGCGAAAAGTTGAACCAATTGCCAGGTGAGTGTTTTTTTTGTTCTTCCCCCCCTTATTCCCGGATTATCGATGTGATCCTCATGTTGGTATCCATGGCTTGTGTGCCTTGACCCCTCAATTAGCGTGCCCTTTGCCCTAAGCCTCCAATCTACACACCAGAAAATTCCTTTACAACACTACTCGTACCCCCCTTCTTCTTACCACATAAGCCGTCTTTCTGGGATATAAAACCAAATTAATTCCCTCGTTCATTTCGCTGACCGTCTCTTCTTCTCCAGAAATCAAGGTTTCTGTCCTATAAAAAAAACTTTCCTTCGCCTTTGGAATCCGTAGTTCCAAAGGCAACAGCTCACCACGGCTCTCCTTCGTCAAATTGTCTGCCATAGACGTCCTCGCGACACTCTTAACAACATTCCACCTCCGACTCCTATCGATCCCCGCGTCTTTCTCCGCTGCGTCATTTTTGCCCCCGTTGACGCCCTTCCAGCTTAATCCCTCACCCCTTGAGCTGCCGCATAGGACTTCTCTGAAGGTTCTTCCTCTTCAGGAGGAAGGGTCTAGGAGGCTTGGTCCAGTCAACCTCGGTTGCGAAACTTTTCGTCCTCCCTAACACGCTTGTCGCGTTCTGAAAGTTTCCTGCTTTTTTTCGGTCTGATCAGTTTCCTTCCAGAATACTGCTCAAACACCCATTTTTTTGGTTTCTATACCATATAAATTCGTCTTCCCGATTCCCATCTACCCACTCAGGTTTCCATCGTGCGCTCAATAGCACGTTTGGTTATGGCACCTACTGCTTGTGTCCCTCCCGTTGAGATTCTCGCGACCAAACACAAACCTGAGATAATACATTCTCATAATAATTACAATCTGCTCGGTAATCATGGAGGGGACGAATCGTTGCAATCGAGGTTGACTGCCAAGGACCTCGTCCTGGAGGTTCTGAAGAAGCGCGCGGCTGAAGTGGATGTTGACCAATGTGGCGCCGGAGAGGAGGATGCGTTCTATGTGGCAGACATGGGCGAGATCTACCGCCAGCATTTGCGCTGGAAAATGCAATTGGGCCGTGTGAAGCCTTTTTATGGTATGTTCTCGTCGCATGTTGGGCTCAAGGATTCATACTGACAATTGATTAGCGGTCAAGTGCAACCCCGACCCGGAGATTCTTCGTCTCATGGCTCAGCTTGGAAATGGTTTCGACTGTGCTTCCAAGTCTGAGATTGACTTGGCCCTCGCGACCGGTATCGACCCGAGCCGCATCATCTACGCGCAGCCTTGCAAGACCAAGTCGTACTTGCGCTATGCGGCCCAGGTTGGAGTGAAGCAGATGACTTTTGACAACGCGGACGAGCTCTACAAGATCAAGGCGTGTTTCCCGGATGCTGAGCTGTACCTGCGCATCTTGACGGATGACTCGACTAGCTTGTGTCGTCTGAGCATGAAATTCGGCGCGTCCTTGGACGTTGCGCGCGAGCTCCTCGAATTGGCCGCGCAGCTCGATCTCAAGGTGGTTGGCGTGAGCTTCCACGTCGGCTCGGGCGCCGAGGACCCCAGCGCGTTCGTCAAAGCCGTCCAGGATGCGCGCATGGTGTTCGACCAGGCGGTGGAAGTGGGCCACGAGCTCCACACCTTGGATGTGGGCGGTGGTTTCAGCCATGACACGTTCGAGAAGTTCGCTGGATATCTGGGTGAGGCCCTCGATGCCTACTTCCCGCCTCACGTCCGTATCATCGCCGAGCCAGGTCGCTACTACGTGGCCAACGCCTTCACCTTGGCGGCCAACGTCATTGCGCGTCGCGACATCCCTGACCCGACCGATACGACCCGCAACGCGTACATGGTCTACCTGAACGACGGCGTGTACGGCAACTTCTCGAACATCATCTTCGATCACCAGCATCCGATCGCGCAGATCTTGACCTGTGCGAATGGCATCGACCGCTCCGCTGAGGGCATCCACTACTCCGTCTGGGGTCCTACCTGCGATGGAATCGATGTCATCACCCAGCACATCGAGCTGCCGGGAATGTTAGATGTCGGAGACTGGCTGTTCTTTGAGGAGATGGGGGCATACACCAAGTGCAGCGCGACACGTTTCAACGGCTTCTCTGACAACCACGAGGTGATCTACATCTCTAGCGAAGCCGGAGCATCTGCTCTCCTCGACTACTAATTTGTTTTTATACTGCGCTTTGTTTACTTGTATGTTTGTCATTGGCCTGTAGGCCACGTTGCTTGCGTTTAGATTAGAGTTAGTGTTTCACCTGTAATTTTGTTGTCATTATCATTGTTCTAGTAATCCTTTGGGCTGTTTAATGATAGACCTGGGCTCTTATGTTTATAAAAGTGTATTGTTAACTTTGGTAACTGACCGTTTTGCTGCGAATTACTCGAAGCGGCATATATACAGCATGAAAAGTTTTTGGTTATTTACTCAACCATGTCTAGGAGTGCCAGCTCCATCCTCTAATCGTGTAGTAAATGAGATGGATATCTAAACAAGTCGCTCAACCGACAACTCAGCCCCCTCAGCCTGCACAAGACCCCCAGCTTCCAGCTTCTTCTTCCACTTCCCAGATTCGTACCGCGCGAGGATGAATGTCAGACGGGCGGCCACGCTTGGGTCTGCGGATTCGGCAACCACAGCGGACGGCGTGAATGTCCAGCGCCCAAAGGCCCAGTTGAGGATGTAATACTGAGACGGAGGAGAGTCTGGCTGGGGTGTCGGTCTGGGCTCGTTGAGATTTTCGGATGATTCTGCTGGTGGAGCGCTCGTCGAACAGCGGAGGATGCCCTTGATGCGGTAGACTTCTTCTTTCGATGCGGAAGAGAGGAGTTGTTCAAGCGAGGGGACGTTGACAGTCTGGTCTGACTTGAGTGTTACGGAGAGCACTTCGACCTCGGACTGATGATTATGCTGGTGCTCATGCCCATCCTCATGGTCATGATGCGCCTGCCCCAAAGCCACATCCGCATTCTCCTTCGCAAACATCGCCCCATCAATCCCCAACAGCACATCCTTATCCACCCTCCCCCGATCCGACTTAACATACGGCGTCTCAACCTCCAAATCCCCCACCCTGTCAAGACAAGTATCAAACCTCCTCTCCCCAACCCCCTCCCACTTATTAAAAATAATCAAATCCGTATACTTCGCCTGCAACTTCGCCGTATAACTCGTATCCTCATACCCCTCCCAATTCTCCACATCAATCACACTAATCACCCCATCCAGCACAAAACCTTCTCCCTCATCTGACTCTTCGCGCGATAACCGATTAACCTCCATCGCCAGCGTCGCAGGAAACGCGCTACCGGAGGTCTCGATGACGATACGATCCGGTTGAACCGTTTCGCGGAGCTGGTTTAGCGCATCGCCGAGCTGCCCGACGAGATTGCAGCAGATGCAGCCGTTGAGGAGTTCGCGGACGCCGGAGATTGATTGGGTAGAGGCGAGTTGGGAGTCGATGGCGACGTCGCCGTATTCGTTTTTGAGGAGGGCGAGGCGGTAGGATTTCGGGAGTTGGGGGATGAGGTTTAGGAGGAGAGTTGTTTTACCGGAGCCCAGGAAGCCCGTTACTATTGTTACGGGGATGGGTGCCATTTTTGTTGTTGATATGTTGGAGATGGGATGTTGGTGTAAAGATCATTTGGGTAAGATGGGAGGCGGGGCAGGCGCTAGTCCTGTTTGGGGGTGCCCTAATATTGCCTGTTTGGGAGGAGGGTCTTGGGATTGATGCAAGGCGCGTTGGATGTTGTTGATGGTTGGATATATATATACCTACAAGTAATTGTTATTCACTTCTTCTCTTTCTTGGTCTCTCGCTATGTCCTCTGCTTTTACTTTTCTCTCTTCGTTGGAATAGTATGAGTGGCAGCTATTTTTAGCACGACAGTTTGTACTTGCGCACACTCCTCAGCTCAGATTTCAGCAGAAATACATTCCTTTATCTAACAATACACCTCTACTTAATCTTGAATCCTCCATAGACATCAAATCTCATAAACTCGAACGATACTCAAAAGTACCGACGACCTCGGTAGCTGACTCAGCCGCGGCGATCGCGATCTGGATTCAGGATTCAGTTCAGCCGTGTCAGGCGTCAACTCGATACTATCCATCATCATTCTCAGAGAAAGAATTGATTATCCTATACTCTATCAACATGACTTCCAAAATCACGCTCTACTTTGACATTGTCAGCCCCTTTGCGTACATCGCTTTCCACGCGCTGCAAGTAAGTCCGGAGAAGTTTCCAGACCGACAATGAATGGCGAACTAAACAATGGTAAACAGAACTCCCCAGCCTTCCGCAATTGCACCGTCTCCTATGTTCCCATCTTTCTCGGTGGTTTGATGCATTCTTGTGGCAATACGCCGCCTATTAAGATCAAAAGTAAGAGAATACAGCAAGAAAAATGAGCCGATATTAATAAATACAGACAAGGACATCTGGATCAACCAAGAGCGCATCCGATGGTCTCGCTATTTCAGAGTTCCGATGGTCGACCATTTCCCCCATGATTTCCCGCCAGTGACGCTGGGCGTGCAGCGCGCTCTTTGCGCTGTCTCCCAGAGATACCCGGAGCTACTTGTTCCTGCGATCGCAAGTTTGTATTATGCGTTCTGGGCAGATGGGAACTCCAAGGTTATACAGCCGGAGATTTTTGGTCCGATTTTGGAGAAGGTGTTGGGGAAGGAGAGGACGCATGAGATTGTGAAGGATGTATGTTATCCACTTTGATTTGAGTGATACCGTTCCATACTAATAAGGGACAGTCAAAAACATCAGACATCAAGAGCCTATTGAACGAAAATACCGACCGCGCGTTCAGGTCTGGTGCTTTCGGCCTTCCTTGGTTCGAATGCACTAACCCCCAGGGTGAGATGGAGGGATTTTGGGGAATTGACCACTTGGGCCAGGTGGCCGACTTTTGTGAATTGGAGCGCAGAATCGAGCCGGGATTCCGCGCATTGCTGTAAACGTTGTCACGTTGGGATTGGAAATATGGGAGTTGTTTATTATTGAGATTCGTTGAATGATTGATCTTTCTTGTTGTTCTGTAAATACCTTAAATAGCATTGCATATATCGACTATCACGTACAGGCAGAGGGGTATATGATATAAATTATTTCCCGCGTTGTAAATTGGCGTTGCTCATGTGTTTCTCCTGAAGGAATTCTGCGATCTTCTCCCTTTCCATATTTTCGATTATTTGGATTTCTTCTTGGGTCGGCGCGTTCTCTGCTTCTATTGCATTCAGCATTAGCACACCAAGCAATATCAAACAAGTCAAGAAAAAACTAACCCTGCTTCGCAGCCCGCTCACTCTCCGCATCATCCTCATTCCCATTCCCATTCGCTATCGACTGAATCTGTTCCCGAACACCATCAACCACCTCCCCCGGCGATATCGAACTGACTCTATTCTTAACCTCATTAAATGACTCCCCAATCATCGCACTCGCATTATTCCCCAGATCCGCCAATGAACTCCCCGTCTCTGTCGAGTTGACCTGGTCCTTGACGCTGTCCGTATACCCCTCATTGCTAGTGCCTGGTGTCGGTTCGGCGCGTTGTTCGATAACGGTTGGGTTGTTGTCGTTGGCGGAGGTCATGGCGTGGCTGCGTATATATCAAAGGAATAGCCAATTGATATAGCGAGGTTAAATCGAGGGATGAGATTGATAGGTGAGAATGTCTGGGCAGTGTCTTTGGGGATTTTTGTCTGGGGTTTTGAATTTCTGTTGCCTGTGGTCCCGTCCCGTAGGGCTGATGACATCAACGGGGCGATGATATCATTGCGATCAGCCTTATCGTGCCAGGCCACACTGTGTCTACATTATATTTTATGCTTGAACAAGGATAGCTGTAGGGGAAAATTGGATTATTAGAATGAAAGAGAAGAATATAAACGACATCATGGCCGAATAGGTGCTGTAAAAATCACGTGATACCGACCCGACTCTCAATTATTTTCTCTCCTTAACCCAACTGATGGCAGTGGGATGCTCATCTATTGGGTAGCTACGAGATATGCTCCCCGGGACGAGAGCAACTCAAGATGTGCCACGCGCCTTCCCCAAATCACCGGTCTCCACAGAGAAGGAAGGAGCACCTTCACTTCCCTCAGTTGATAAACACTAACTTAACCATGGAGCAACCTTTTCGTCCCTGACAGAATGCTTCTTGGGTACCAATAGCATATCCATTGCACCTTTTACGTTGTCGCGCTTATTCTATTAATCTTTAATAGTGATCGCTGCATCTCCTACCATGTCTTTTATAGACTTGTTCGATTTCTACTCTTCCAAACTCGGAGAATACGACCCTTCCCAGGAAAGCACAACGCCAATCAAAGAGTTGCCCGCGACTCCGACCCGCAAAGCTCTTTCAAAAGAGGTCCTAGAAGATGGACCAAGTTCCGACTCTGTGACTAAAAGACGTCGACATGCTGTGTACATGGAACGACCTCCAGTTTGGCTCTTAAGCCCGGATCTGCCTTGCGGCGACCAAGACTTGTCTGGTGGGGATGGTGATATCCTGTGTGGACGCTGCGGGAATTCCATGAAGCAGAGCCCCGGGGAATGCTCTGCTGGTGTGTGTTTGAGGGATTTTGCGCAGGATACTGATACCCCGGATATCGCTATTGAGGAGACGACTGAAGAACAGGAAGTTTTTAAACGGGAGTTGCTTTGTGATATAGCAGCCGCCGTGGCGGAAGCTCAAGCGACCGAAACTGATTCGAATTCAGAGCCGGAAACGCCATTGCTTGTGAGTATCTTATCCTTTGGAACACATGCGGGTGTTCTGACACGAGTATAAGAGTCCCTTTAGTGAGCCTACGAAGAGGCAATGCGATTACTTCTCTGTGGCAAACGATCATTCGGATTCATCAAACTCCTCTGAGGAAGATCTACCAAGTCGAAGTCTACATAGTCCCCTCCGGCAGACCAAGGCTGGCCTTTGCACACGCCTGCATTCGTACAGAGATGTACGCCTGGAAGTTGGCGAGAAATGGGCTATACAAGAAGGATCGCTAATTATCTGCGTCGATCCATCCTACACTCAGTTTATTCGCCAAGAGAAGCTCCCAGATGAGTTTGACATCACTACTGGCGACTTCTATATCGTTTGCAGTCTATATGCGGATTTGTGGGCTCTCTGTCTCAAAATATCTTTTGACCGACTGGCAGACGATGGCATAGACAAGGCATTGGCAAATTGCTCTACACATCTTGGCTTTCTTCCACTCTGTGCAGTGACGCTAGCAGCCAACTTTAGCTCGTTTATTCGAAGATGTCAATCTTCGAACGGGGCATCGAAATACCCCAGTAACGGACTCCCTGTTATGCCACCAGAGCGCTCGCACAGTCTTAATGCAAGCAAACAGTTCTTCCAAGGAGACCGACTTCATATCGGTCTGCCTAGTATTGTCTACGAAACTTATAATACGTTGTCCTTGGAAGCTATCGATATGGACTTTATACCTCTGGACTCCACTCTACAGCAGTTATTCTCTTCCATCGGGGCTCGACGGGATAGTGTGCATAAACTTGGAAAACGTATGTCACCTTGGAAGCTCTGGCGCGGAACAAAGTCTCCAGATTCAGGACTGCCAGATGAGGCCCCAAGGGAAAGACGATTTTCGTTCCGAGATTATTCTGGCTCGCGGAACTCCGGGAATGGGTCCAGATGGAGTTCTTTCTCTTCTGCTGCAAGTCAAGGAAGGAAATGGTTCTCGCCTCGTGTCCCATTTAATGGACATCGCCGAGGAATCCGGGGTCTGATGGGAGGACATGATGGATTTCGAGGTCATACACGGGGGAACTCCACTGCATCCGATCCTCTAGGTTATTATTTGTAGTTACATGACTTGAATTGCGCCTGATTATTGGACTATGTGGCGTATTGTACAATAAATTGCCTTCGATTGCATGTCCTTCATAATGAGGTCACTCTTATGTTGAGTGCCACCAGAGGTTTATAGATAGCATTCTTCCCAAACGCACTACTAATTACAACAATTCAACTACCAATACTCCAAACTACAAAACGACTCTAAAATAATACACACAATGTCCTCCCACCGAACCTCCTCCCCAGACCGCGTGCAAATCCCCTCCCCCTCCCCTTCCCCCTCCGAATCCGAGTCCCAAGAAGACAAAACCTCCAACGTCGACCGCGACGTCATGGGCGTGACAACCCAGGGCCGACCGCCGCGCGTCTCAAGAAGGAGACGCTCTGAGCATGCGCCGACTTGGCAGCGTGCGCAAGCGCATCGGCATCATGGGACGACGGGGGCGAAGTATCGGTCTACGTCGAGGCATTAATGTTTTTTTTTTTTTTTTTTTTTTTTTTTTTTTTTTTTGGAAGGGGGAGAGGGTTTTAATATGAGATTTGTGTGCTAGTGGGGGGTTATGTATTCATATGGTGTATAGTTCTTGTTGTACTGTGTGTGTATATGTATGAGGGAATTCGATGGGGTTACTAGAAGAAATGAGAGTTGGAGTGTATACTACTACAATTGAGATGAGATTGGATTATAATAGGAAAATATTTGATGATGAACTCATCTTTGCATTTAACAAAAAACAGAACACAGGATAGAATAGACTTACCTGTACACCTTTGTGTTATGTAGTAAGTACCTCAAAACAAAACAACAACAACAACTGAGCAAAACAACGTAGCAACCAAACAATAACAATAAAACACGAGTAAGAGTAAACAAAAGCTCGACATTATATCAAAAGCATCACAGGAGGGGGGAAGGGGATTAACATACCTTTTTCTTGTTGAGTCAGGTTGTAAGTCCTGTGAAGTGAGCTTGAACCACCATTCCAACACGCAAAAGCAACGCAATCTATGAACAGAAAATCAAGAAGCCATAACAGTCTATAAAAACCAGACACAAAAGCAAACAAGACCAAACAAGCTGAACACAACATTCGATAAAGCACAGTAGCATAGATCAAATCATTCAATTTGTAGTCAATCAATCACTCAATCACCAGTTATCCAATTAATCAATCAAAAACCTCCCCCTCTTCGACTTCTGCTTCGCCACCACCCCCGGACGAAGTTGTTCAGGGATTCTACTCGCATTATGCTGCTTCCTGTTAGCATGCTCAGCACCGACACCGGTATCATCAGCAGCAGTAGCACTAGCCACACCACCACCATCATAGCACTGACTATAAAATCTAGCCGGACCGGATTTGGAACATTGGATAGCCTGCGCGTTTTGTACATCGATGTCATCGAAGGGACTGCTATTGCTGCTACTGCTAGCATCGTAAGCATCGTCAGCATAAGCGTTAGCATTGGTAGTATCAGCGTCCGGGGCGTCGAAAGCGAAATCGAAATCGGCGAAGGGGTTGGTGTGCTCATCGTCTTCGTCTTCGTTGGAGGTAGAGTCGTCCTCGGCTAAGAAGCGCTGAATAGCTTCTCGCTCGAGGGCTGCGTGGCGGGGTTGGGGACAGATGATTTCGGGACCGGTTGTGTTCGGGTCTTTGTAGAAGAGAAGTTCCTCGTTGCGTGCATAGGGCGAGATCGGTGGAGTCTGCACTTGTCCGTGGTTCATCTTTGAGTGCAAGGGACGATTAGGACGACGGTCCGAACCAGAGGATGCGATCTGCTCGTACAAAGGTTGACCATCGTCATCGTATAAATCGAGCAGTTTGAGCGTGCGGACGGCAATCTCGTCGTACGTGACATTCTCATTAACCAGGGTCGTCACGATGCCACCGACAGACTTATCGCGGCCGTAGAGCACTTTGGCAAGATGAAAACCTAGCTCGTCAGCTGACATCCCCGGTTTAATAAAGGAGGTTAGAATGCCCGGGATATGGCGCACGTCCTCCCACATCCACTCGTCTTTCATAGGCGAGATATCGATCTCTTCTATATACTTGTTAGCCGTGTATCCGGTGTTGGCAATGTTGATATGACCCTGACGACCCGTCCGCGTAAAAGAAAACGGCCTGGTTCTACCCGCTGGAGTAGGTGATTCTGCACGATCGTCCTCACGCTCACGACGATAATTAACCAAAACCTCACCTACACGTTTAATCGCGTTTGAACGGCGTAGACGAGGCGGTTCCAGGGGGTTGGTTTCCATGGGTAGTTGGCCGGGTTTGGGGGATGGGGTTCTGGGGGTTTTAACGGATTCGTTGCCGTTGGTGGACTGACCGTAGAAGCGGTGCATTTTAGGGTTGGTGGTTGGGTTGTTGGTGTTGATAAAGCTGGGGGTGGTTTCCGTGGGACTGGCAGGCCAGGCGTATTGTAAAGGGCTTGGTAGCTGTTGGTCAAAGAGCTGGATTGAAGAGAACAATAAAGTGGATAAGAGAGAAAGAAGGATCGATGGTGATGAAAGGGAACATCAAGCAGGGATTGCATGGTAATATTTATATCCTAAAGCTGTCCCAAGATGCTGAATGGCCATGAAAGAGATAACCATGTTTCTGAAGTAGGAGAAACACCTACAACATCCTACAAACGGTTAGTGGGGAGAGCCCTAAACAATGAGCATTATGAACACTTACATCTCTTTGTGGTTGCGTTTTCTTTCAGTTTGTTTCATGGCACTCCCGTCAGACAAGGTCATTGTCTCAGGTGGACATAAAAGAGATAAAAGACCAGATCTTTTAAAAAGAAACGAATTAAGTTGATTACAAATAATAATGACATATGTACAGATGAATGCGAAAACCAGAAACACAGAAGGATATAAAAGGATGTCAAACATGTCTTGAAGAACCATATGAAGCATGCAGACCAAATAAAATATTAAAAAGAATAAAAGGTAGAAACCAGAAACTCCAGAAGATGGGGTATATGCGCATCTTGAAAAAAGTGTACAATGTGAGACATCTAACTCACGAAGAAAAGAAATAGGTATTAGGGTTTGGATGAAACCCACGGCAAGGAGATGGAAACGGCCATCACAACCACAGAACCCATCGGATTCCTGAAATCGCACCGTGGAAGGCGCTGCGAAATACCTTGAAGGCCATGACAATCAACCACACCCACCAAAGCATACCCACGAGAGCCCATTCGAGCATCACAAAGCCGGCACGTCTCACCCATCGTAATCGACGGCGACGCTTTCTAACACCTTTGTCCAGTGTATCACTTAGCTGCTTCAGAGCTAGCGTGCTAGTGGTATTCAACTGAATGCTCAAGCCTTCGGCGTCGGATGCTACTGCTTGAACCCGCGGCGTAAGCGAATGGCTGACCAGATTTTCCAGATCGCTTAATCGCGATTTCAAAGGCGACACGGTCTCCTTTGGAAAACGGTCCATGGATTGCTGGAATTGAAGCTGTGTCTTTTCAAATCTTCGCTGTAGGTTTTGAGCCGCGAGGTCGAATTCCCGTAGTCGGGTCACCCGTGTAAAAGTGCAAGCATTATCCATCGTATTCGTGAGGAATTCGGGCGGAGGATCGCGAACAGTCTCTGCGCGGCGTGTGATTTCTCGCGCTTTGATCCCCGAAGACAAGAGGAGAGCTCGCGTGCGTTCGATTTCCCGTTTCTCGGATACACCAAGATCGGCCAGGGTAGTAATGCTGCGGTCTGAAATCGTCCAGGTACCTGATAAGGTTGGACGTCTCCCTTGAGCAGAAGGCGGTGCAGATGCCTCTGCCTGTGCGAGACCGGTGACGGGAGGACGGGTCATACTAAAAGGAACAGAAGGATCCTTGATTTGCTTCTTCCTGTTCTGTTCCTGAACATTGCGAAATGGTGGTCCGATGCCAAAGTTCTCATTGGAATCTCTCACGGAAACGTGGGTGTCAAATTTGCCTGGTTGAGCGGCATGAGTATCATCGACCTTCTTGTGCAATTCTCTTGTATCACGAGCACCTTCAAGATCAGATGCTTCTCGCTGCCCATCGTGGTCATTCTGCGGAACTGGCGCTAGAGTGGGTATAGAAGGCACATGAGTATCTTTCTCCGTATCTTTGCGAGCAAACCGGCCATTGTCGTCAGACAGGGTTGGGAAACGGCGCAAGAAGCCCTTTGGATTGACGCTCTTGCTGACATTCGCTGTTTCGAGATCGACATCATCGGATGCTGCACTGGTTGCGAATGACGACTGACGAGAGTGCACCGGATGGTCTTTCTTTAAAATGAAGTTGCCCATTTTGGAGACTTCGTTGCCAACCTTCGCCGTAACTTTTCCTTTTCCTTTGAATATGCCGCGAAGTTTAGACTCGTGACCGGATCCCTTTTGCGCCGTATCATCCATTGGTTGATCATCCTGGTGAGGTGACGAGGCTTGGTCTGGGTGAGCGCTTGACTCAAGCTGCTCAGAGCGATCGGTTCCCGAAGGAGTTGTGACATCCAGATGGGCAGGTGATGGGTGCTTGCGCAAAAACTGGGAATCTAAAGGAAGATCCTCACGCTGCTCTTTAGTGCGGTTCTTGCTCTTACTCCGCTCGCGACGAGCAGCGATCCTCCGAGACAACCGCTTCTTGGATGGTGGCGAGGGCGAACGGCTAGTTTGAGGAGAAAGGTTGACTGCGATACTGGGAAAGGGACCAGGATGCATAGGAGAGTTTGGAGCAGTGCTCTGCATGGCGTCTAGGGACATTCGATATCGATCATCCATGCTTGCTGCAGATGATATCGAGGGTCGCTTCTCATCTGCGCTTGCCCATGTAGAGCCCTTCTTTTGTCGATACAACGGTGAGTCAGGGTCCCGCGTTGACTTAATATTCGTGGATAGAGCACTGGAGAATCCCGATCTTTCGGACAACCCAGCGCCCATGGAAACGCTGGAAGAGCTGCGGGACCGTCGTTTGAAGAGTCTGCCCTTCGCCGAGGCACTGCTGCTGTGGATGGGACTAGATGGACTTTGGAGTCTATGCCGGGGTCGCCCGCGGCCAGCACCCTGTAAATCGTTGGACATGCCCCGATCTGAAAACGATGAAGGAACATCCAGGGATACCCTCTTTCCAGACAATGACGCTCGTTGGACACTCGAAGTATCGAAATTGGCGTCTGAGGAGCGCAACTCCATTGGATCTGGGTAAAGGCTGTTTCCGTCCTTATCAGTCATTTTGCTCTTGTTCAACCCATCTTCGACCCATGCGGCGTCGGCCAGTAGCTCGGCCGACGAGACAACCCAGTCGAATCTCGGCCTCCGCGCCTTGGCACTACTGGAGCGCCTTCCTGGCCCCCCACTATCAGAAGGAGAAACGACAGCGGATAATTCCGCATCGTCGTGTTCGCCTTGGGGGGGCCGAGAGGTTCTTTGACCTAGCCGCGGAAGTTCCAAGCACTCGTTGGGTTGATGCGGTTGATGGCCGTATTGTTGCTCTACTATGTTGACCCACTCATGGATCGTTGCGACATCGTCCCAACCTTCCCTTTCGACGTTGATCGGGCATTTCTCACGGTATCTAACCTTTCGATTGCGAATAGTCTGAAGGGGATTGTGCACACGAGATGGATCATGGCCACTGTCCCCAGCGCCATGACTTCTCAAAGGAGGGAGCGACGGAAGTAAGCGTAGATACTCGTTGAACAGTTCAAAGTGGCGGCGAGCTTTGTCAACTCTAGCAAGTGTGTTCTCCGAGATGTCATGCGGCAGGGCGCCGTCATTGACTGTATCAGGTAGAAGGTTAGACACGGACAACTGCTCATTGACGGGAGACTGCTGCGCGTATGGGTCCAGAGGCCGAGGACGACCGTCGGGAAACGACTGAGTGAGGCTACGACGTCCTTGGGCTCGGCTGCGATTCTCCAGACTACCTCCCACAACAGCTGGCACATGACTATCCGTGTAGTGAGCAGACGGCTGCCGGGCTGTCCAAGCTCCCCCAGAAACCCGATGAGATGCTGATCGACCAATGTTGCCTCGCTGTCTCGACTCATTCAGGTTCAAAGCCAGGTTCACAATCTCGATAGAGTCCTGATCGAGACCTATTGAGCCCTGGTTTGCCTCCCCCTGAGTATTATCTGGCTCATCATGCGGTTCTTCTTCGCGCGCGGCATTCGACGGTTGAGGATCCTCACGGACCGCTCGTGAACTGGTGTCGACAGACAGCGATTCTTCCAATGATTGACGGTAGCGACTCCAAGGAAAGCGTGATTTCTTCCTCGAACTGTTGTTCTCGACCTCTGGTGGCTTCCGCTTCTCTTTGCGATCGGGTTCGGAGCGGCGTGGACGCTGATGCTGACTAGCTCTCAGACTCTTCGACTTGTGCAAAAACGATGAATCCAGTAAGAAGCTACTTGAGCCTGTCCTCTGCTGTCCCGGAGTTCCTCCCCGTTCACCATCGCGAGAGCTGCTCCCGAGGGTGCTGCCTTCCAGCTCGCCGCTTGCTCGACCCTCGTTCATTTGCATGTCTTTTCGTCGATCGGCCCCGCCATCGGCTTCAAATTTGCGCGACGGAGTGCTTGCGTATGACGGATCGGAAGGTGCGACCATAGAAGGGGGTGGGTGGGAGTCATTTGACTGTTGCGACATCAGAGGTCCGGGGAGCGGGACGGAGTGTCGTCAGGAAAGGAGTGTAGTTCGCCGGCGTTAGGAATTATGGAGGCATCAAGGCAGGTACGATTAGTCAAATAGCCGAAGCAACGGCAGAACAGCAAATACAGAGAAAGGCCAGCATCACAGTAAGTAAAGAAAAGCGTAGTGTACAAGTAGAAGTTCCGATGAATACGGAGGTCGATCTCCTGCGACGCATACGCACGTGCAGTTGCAAACACTGCAAACATATGCTCCCGAACGGTGATGCATATCTGACTGAGCAGCTATATGGATACCAGGGATATATTTGAACAAGAATAAAATGCATTTTCTGCCATTGAACCTAACAATGCAGAAGAACAACTAGATGTACAGTTCCTTGGGAATTTTACTAACAAAAGGAAAACCAAACGACTGCTAAGTCACGTATCTATTCCACTCTCAGACACTGGAGTCGTGCCTCAGTCTCAATAACCTGTGAAAGAAAGGGTTAGCCAATTATCCCAAATGACAGTCATGGATGCGACTTACCTCCAAAGCTTGCTTCACCTCAAGAACCCGGCGCGCATCTGCCAGCCAATCCTTGCTCAAGATTCTTGCCCATCCCTGGAGAGAGTTCATCTCACGGGCGGCAGAGTCAACATTGCCCTCCTCCAAGAGAGTCTCAGTCCGCATGAGAACACTCTCAACGCCATCGCCATCGGCCACGGCATCCTTCTTGAACATGACCTTGCTCAAGACAACGCTGGCAGCGTGGCTGGCGATACCAGCATCCTCAGGCAGAAGGCTGGCCTTGCGGACCTCAGAAGCAACACGGCGGAACCGCTCGATCAGCTGAGAAGTGGAGGGGATACCGCGCTGGTAGGCGGTGGGGTTGATGGACGCGATGGCTGCCTCAACAACGTGGTCATCAGTGGCCAACTCCTTGACGGCAACAAGCTCACGAATGAATGGCCGGGGAACCTCAGAGCGCTCAAGGACAGAGCGCACCGCGTCCACAGCAACCTGGAGCTGCTGGGTCTTGAGGTTCGAGTCGATGACCTCCCTCCAGTCGGTGGTGAGCTTCTCGAGGTCGTTAACGCTGGTGGTCAGCTCGTTTAGCTTGCTGAGACGCCCTTCGCGCTCCTTCTCAACCAAGTCCTGAATGTTATGCAAGTACTTGCGGTTGAGCTCAATAGCCTGCTCGACGAGTTCATTCTGCAGGCGCTGTTCCGCGATTTGCTGGGCTCTTTGCAATTCGGTCTGGATCTTGTCCTGGTAGGCACGGGCCAGCCTCTCCCGCTCGACCTCGAACTCTTCACGGTACTGAGCAGCGTCCGCAGAGCGAGAGTCCTCGAAGCGGCGGATCAGCTCACGTGCAGACTCGTCGAAAGTCGCGTGCACCTTTGTGAGTTCGTTCTGGGCAGCCTTGCGGGCCTCTTCGCGGACTGCCACAATCTTCTCGCCAATTTTCTGGACTTCCTCCTTAGCCTTCGCGATGGAAGAAGAGTACTTGCCGGAGTCCTCATCGGCGCTAATGACTGTGACAATGTCGTTGAAGGTCTTGACCAAGTCTTGAACAATAGCTTCACCTCCCTCCTGCACTTGCGCAAGCTCGATAGTAGGGATGGGAGCGGCGGGCTTCTTCTTCTCATCCTTGGCCTTCTGCTCCTTAGTAGCCTTGTCGCTCTTGGCCTTTCCGACGGCGGCAGCCCTCTCTTCAGCCTTGGCGCCGGCGGGCTTCACCTGAGCATCATGGACAGCACTCATGTGAGGACCCTTTTGCGAAACATCGGCTCCAGCATCCTCCTCCTCTGTGACCTTCGAAAAAAGACCACTATTGCTCGGGATGGTGACATGCCTGCCTGCATCCTTTGGTGTAGACTGAATCCGGTGTTGGTGCTTGGAGGCATTCGGGAATCGGCGGTAGAAGTCCTGCTCCTCAAAGTAGAGAACACATTCCTCTCCGTAAGGCACGTACTCTGTGAAGAAGTCGTGGAAGTTGTCCGACTTCAAAGCCAAAAAGATACCTCCACCATAGGCAAATCCGGATGTGAGAATCAAGTACAACAGGAATCGACGGAAACGTCCAGTCTTGGGAGTTGGGGGAGCCGGGGGGACGTGAGATCCTGTAGAGTGGTTTAGCATTCAACAATTATTGATATGCCTTCCAATCCCGGCAATATGGCAGTCGCACCTTGTTCTGCCTTGGCAACATTCTCTGGAGGGACGGTCGACTCGGATGAGGGAGAAGCGGGGGTAGGGGACTTTTCGTCGGCGAAGAATCTCTAGATAGAAGCAAAACCCATTAATCAAACTAGCCTTGACAGAGGCACACAACGCAATGTCAACATACCTGACCGGAGAGCCGGTTGCTGGCTCCAGCTCTAGACAGCCATTGCGACGCTGTCCGCTGGCGAATGGGCGACGACAGCAATTGCCGGCTCTGGAGAATCGAGGAGCGCAGCATGATGACCCGCACTACCGGACCAAAAAGCGCTGGTGGCGGGGTTGATAAGAGGGGAAGAGAGGGAAGGTGATGTTAAGGCGTGAGAGAGAAAACGCGGACCGGGAATTGGAATGATGCTTTTACGATCCGCTCCGAGAATCCTGCACCGCCATATGTGCACCGCCACATTGCGCTTCTGCCACAGCCGATTAGCACTGATATGCCCTGACAGTGATAGCTACAAGGTTCAAAAACACTATTAAGTATTCTAGAACAAATCCATTCGTCGAGACATCAATTCGAGCGTATAATAAGTATTATATGAGCATACTGAGGTTCCCCAGGGCGTAAAGAAAAGTAAAATAGGGAAAAGAAAAGGTAACATGAATTCAACCCAAGCAAGAAATGATGCAGACGCCAGGTGTAACAAGCAGCAGCAAATAGAGTCAAGGTTAAAAGAGGAAATAAAAGAGCATAATAGCTTCTGCTCTTTGAAGTCTAGAGAGCCAATCCAAACGCGCCTTAGAACGCGGCTTTCCGTTGCACGAACAGCATCGAAATTCCAGTCGAATGAAACGAAAGAGCAGCAAGAGAAGGTTAGTCGAGGACAAGTTCGCAACCAAGGATCCAGCCGTAATATAGAGAGATCGCTTGCTGGATGGAAGATTGACAATGTAATCTAGTTCCAACCCCCTCCCCGAAGACCGTAACACCGATTGGACATCAAAACGGAAGTAAAGAAAGAGACATTCTGGTTCATAGAGATAGCATAGCGTCGCAATGTACCCTGATACCACCATTCTGCATCAGGCCAGAAGACGCCTGTCGTTTCTTTCTTGTGTCGAGAAACCTCACAGGCGATGGTCATGTTGTGTTACGATTAACAGTTGCATGCTCCAGCGCCTTGAGTGCCGGGTGCCTCCGGCCGCAAGTCAACGCCGGGACGGGGAGCGGTTCGCAAATTCCGTGGTCCGGCTTGGTCTAGCGGCAGCTTCTTTGCGATGGCGGTGAAGAGCTCTTGCACGTTCGAAGAGGTCTTTGCCGACGTTTCGAAGAAAAGCAATCCAGCTTCGCGCGCGTACGCCTCGGCATCAGCCGTTGGGATCGCTCTCTTGTCCGGGCTCTCGTTGACGAGGTCGAGCTTGTTACCCGCGAGAGCAATCACGATGTTCTCATTTGCCTGGCGCTGCAGTTCCTTCACCCACGACTTGGCCTTATCCAACGAAGACTGTTCAAGATCAACCCGATTAGCATCTTCCCGCCATACCTATATATATCAAAGGACGAAGAACGAAAAGAGAAGGGATCGTACAGCCTGGGTGATGTCATAAACCACAACGGCGCAGTTGGCGTTTCTATAGTACATGGGAGCCAAAGACTTGTATCTCTCTTGGCCGGCGGTATCCCAGATTTCGAACTTGACTGTCGTGTTTTCGTCCAGCGAGATGGTCTGTGTCAGGAAGGCGGCGCCAATCGTCGACTCTCGGTAGTCATCAAATTGATCCTAATCCATGTTAATATGGACATCCCATCCCCAAAATTCCTCACATCCTTGAATAGTTTCCGATCACTCACTTTGACGAATCTCAGAACGAGCGAACTCTGGAAAAGTAGCATCCATGTTAGTTACTGTAACAATAGCGGGAGGTGAAGGGATCTCTTTTAACCTTTCCGACAGCGGATTCTCCTATAATCAATCAAACAAACCGAGTCAGCGACTGTCTCATCCATTTGTTTCCCAAAGAAACCCAAGAATTTGGGGCGGAAATGTAGGAGGCTCACCAAGCAAGACTAGCTTGAACTGGGCGAATCGGGCGCCCGGGCGGGCTCCTGCTGCCGCTCTAGAAGCCATAATCAGGGTGCGCGGGAGGGAAGCGATAGGGGGAAAAGGAGAATAGAAGTAGTATTATAGAAGAACGGAAGATCTAAGCCACGCTTGGGACAAAGATAGGGCGAGGGGAGATGGAGATGAAGCTGGATGATTATTAGCAGGCAGTAGCAGTAATAGTTATTGGGGCGAGTGGGCAGATCGGGGACGACGCTGGGAGTGTTTGACTAACGTTACCGTACAGTACGCTGTCAGATGACGAAAGGGGATGGCCTCAGCCACAGTTGAGCACCTTCACCGCCTTCGGTTTCGGCGGGGGCGGTGGGCGGTGTGGCGGCATCATCCCGTGGCTGGATGCAACGACAACCGACACCAACCAGGATCATCGTTGGATTCTCTCGTCAGTCGGGCTTGTGTTGGCATTGTTTGCTATTTGATTCATTGTCGCTGTCACTATTACTGCGCCATGCGTTGAGGCTCTCTGCGGTGCTCTCCTTTATCTTCTCCATACTACTTCACTTATCCGATATCAGTCTACTACTTCCCTACCCACTCTTTCCCTCGTTTTGATCATAGAATCGTTCCCCTGTCGACCTGCTACGCATCATGGCTCCTCCTGTACTTCCATTCCATGATATAAATCTGCACGCCGCATCGTCGCACTATGCGTTCACCTCTCCTTCGTCGCCAGATGCCCCGACGCTCATCGTGGACCGGCCAACCGGGGACTTGCGCCTCCACGATGGTACCTTGTCAGGGGCGAAGCGGATCAGCAGCATCGCTGGAATTCTGGGTATTATCAAACTGAAGCTGGGTAAGGAACAATTTAGGGAACTATATACTGGTGTGCGATGCTGATGGAACAACAGACAAGTATCTCATTGTCATCACCAAGGCTCAGCCGATGGGAAGGCTTCGCGGCCATATGGTTTACAAAGTGGCCGCAACAGAGTTTCTACCTCTGCGTGAGCGCCCTTTGCATGACTATGATGAGGATACCTATCTGGCACTGTTGAAGGAGTTGCTTCGGACTGGGCCGATGTACTTCTCTTACTCCCTGGACCTCACCAACAGTTTCCAGCGTCAATCACAGAGTGACCACAGTCTTCCCATGTGGAAACGTGCTGACGACCGCTTTTTCTGGAATCGCTTCATCCAGTCCGACTTGATTGATTTTAGTCTCGGAGAACATGACAACACTGGTGTTCGTTACGGTCCTCAGCCCGGAGCTGATCCGTACATTTTGCCGGTGATGTTCGGTATGCTGCGCATAACTCCGGCAAAGGTCAAATCCACATCGTTCGTGTTTGCGCTTATCACTAGGAGGTCGAGACATCGGGCTGGTACAAGATACTTCTCGCGGGGTATTGATGAACAAGGCCATGTTTCCAATTATAACGAAACGGAACAAATCGTGATCCTGAACGACACGGCCGGTGGGCTCTCAGGGTTTGCTGGCGGACAGTCGATGAAGGATGAAAAAGCAGGCCAAGATACGCAGGTTCTGTCTTTCGTGCAGACCAGAGGAAGTGTTCCAGTCTACTGGGCGGAAGTCAACGACCTCAAGTATACCCCGAAGCTTCAGGTTCGTGGGGTGGAGACTGCGGTTGATGCGGCACGCAAGCATTTTGTCGAGCAAATCGAACTATATGGGGAGAACTACCTGGTCAACCTGGTGAACCAGAAGGGTCGGGAAGAACGGGTGAAACGGGCGTATGAGCAAATGGTGCGCGCATTGGTCTCGCCGACAGCCGAGGATACTGAGGCCAATGGCGCTACACCTGAAAAGGTACACATTCTGGAGGCTAAACAGACACAGAAGGAGTTGGACCGTCTCCACTACATATACTTTGACTTCCACAGCGAAACCAAGGGCCTTAAGTGGCATCGCGCCGAGTTGTTGATGGATCGCTTGGTGAACGGGCTTTCGCGAGGTGGCTATTTCCGTGGTGTGGAAAACCCTGGTGCTCCTGGTGGGTCACTGGACATTCGATCAGTGCAAACCAGTGTCGTGCGGACCAACTGCATGGATTGCTTGGATCGGACAAACGTCGTGCAGAGTATGCTTGGACGTTGGGCTATCACTCAACAGCTTGTGGAGGCCGGATACCTTAGCCCTGGTGAACACGCCACGGCCGACCCGGCGTTCGAAGATCTGTTCCGCAACATCTGGGCTGATAATGCCGATGTCGTGTCCAAGTCATACTCCGGTACAGGGGCCTTGAAGACGGACTTTACTCGTACCGGAAACCGCACGCGGGCCGGAATGGTGCAAGATCTAAGCAACTCTATCACTCGATACGTGCGCAATAACTTCCTGGACGGTCCCCGACAAGACGGGTTCGACGTGTTCCTGGGTACCTATCTCCCCCCAGACTCAACCATTGGCAGCTTCCAGCTCTTCTTCGACCGTCGGCCATTGGCCATCCAGTCTATTCCGTACATCCTTACCGCCAGTATCTTCATGATTGCGGTTTCCATCTTCACCAAGCGCGACCTTGATTCCGCCGTGTGGCCTCTTCGTCTGTTTGCCATATTCTGGATAGCTGTTGCCGCATGGTGTCTGCGTTTCGTCTCTGGACATGGAATGCTATATGTAAGTATCTACTCGAATCTATGGCAATCATGTTACAGTGTGCTAACCACATTAACACAGGTGAACTGGCCAAAACTGAACACTCCATCAGCTGGCGCAGAAGGCTACCAAGATGCGCTCGTCAAGGCACGTTCAGACCCACTTATTGGGCATTGGATTCCCATCAAGAGACACCAACGGGGCTATAGCAATGCTCGTTTGGGATTCCTGGAAGAAGGAAAAACAAGGATCGAGTAGATGCCCTTTCTGCGACTGGGATCAGCTTTTTTTCCTTTACATTCTTTACCTGGCTATTCATTGACTGGCTGTATTTCTATTTTCTTTCTAACTTATCACCCGATACTGGCGTTCTTAGATCGTTTACTTACTGTTCCACGATCATTCATAATCCAATGTTTTTCTGTTTCATCATACCCTGATTGTCAAATCCAATAACCCGTTTTAATGGTTTCTAAATCTATCCACCCCGTGTACAATGACACATCGTCGCGCCGCGCCATTCAACCACCAGCTAACCGGGCGTATCCCATTGAGTCACCTGTAGTATCCATAGATATATCATTTGTTAGGACATTTCGCGCAATCAGCTCACGTGATATTTCCGGTTATCTCCGGTGAACTTCTGCAGAAAGATCACGAGATCCCCGCGCATTTCCTGCAGAAACGATCCTCGATGGGGAGTTTTCGCACCTACGCTCTGTTCCAGAAAAGCCATCTGTTACGTCGATTCTCTACTTCTCGCACAATGTCTCGCAATTACGGAGTAAGTCGTATGCGACAGTCAATTGAACTCCTACCCCTCCATATTTCCCCGCGGAATACCGTCATGGAGTGATCGTTGACAGAAAGCTCTCCAGGATGCAATCGCAGCGCTCAATTCGCTGCAGACCAATTTTGCGGTGATCCAGAGGTCTAATAAAACGCATAGCAGGAAGGATATGAACAAAACATCTATTTCGGAGATGGTTGAATGGATTAGACGTATCGGGTACCAGGTTTGCTTCACACCCAGCTCCATTGCGCATAGGTGGAGAGTCGTTAATGAAATTTTGTATCTGTCACTGATAGCGCTCCGATCTGAACCGCCTGAATGCAGTCCACGTCGCCGGAACCAAGGGCAAGGGCTCTACTTCGTCGTTTATCGCATCGATCCTCTCGCAGTATGCCTCCGGTCCGTCGCCGAAAGTCAACCGAGTCGGCCTGTACACCTCCCCCCATTTGCGATTCGCCCGGGAGCGCATAGGGATAGACAATGCGCCTTTGTCGGAGGAGAAATTTGCCAAGTACTTCTTCGAGGTGTGGGATCGGCTTGAGCAGGCTGCTACCGCAGCCGGGGAGGATCCGAAGGGGCCGCTTGCAAAGCCACAATACTTCCGATACCTGACGCTTATGGCCTTCCATACATACTTGAGTGAAGGGGTGAACGCTGCGGTCATTGAATGCGGAATTGGTGGAGAGTATGACTGTACGAATGTGCTTGAGCGGCCGGCAGCCAGCGCAATTGCCAGTCTGGGAATTGACCACACGGCATTGTTGGGCGACACGTTAGAGCAAATTGCGTGGCAGAAGGGTGGCGTAATCAAGCCCGGTGTCAAGGCTTTCAGTGTTTCGCAGGCCGCTAGTGCTGAGAAGGTCCTGCAAAAACGTGCGGAGGAAAAGGCGACACAGATTTCCATTGTATCGCGTCACCCCGATCTCGAAAGCACCGATATCAAGCTTGGTTTGGCTGGTGACTTTCAATATACGAATGCGATGTTGGCCGTTGCGACTGCTGCTGAATACTTGAGGAAGGTCGGGGTAGAAGGGATTCCGGAGGACATAATGAGCCAGCCTTTGCCTACAGAATTTCGCCGGGGACTGGAATTAGCTCGTCTGGGGGGCAGATGCGAAACGAGACATGAAAAGAACGTCACCTGGTACATTGACGGAGGCCATACCCTGGAGAGCATCAAGGTTGCTGGCGAGTGGTTCGTCTCTCAAGTCAAAGAAAACTCAGTAGCAACTGAGACTGCAGACCGCAAGCTGCGGCTTCTAATCTTCAACCAACAGAGTCGCGACAGCAATGCGCTGGCAAGAGCACTTCATAGCACGCTGTCCGCAGCTCTAGAGGCAGACATGCCGTTCACTCACGCGATATTTTGCACCAATGTCACATACAAGGAAGCCGGCTACCGGCCTGACCTCGTGAGCATGAACACGAGTGCTACTGATATAGAAAGACTCCGAGTTCAAAACAATCTTGCCGAGACGTGGAAGGAGATTGACCCACGAACTGAGGTTAAAGTGTACAGCACCATTGAAGAAGCCGTCGATTACGCCCGGGAGCTTGCCGCGAAAGAGCAGGGTATCGTCGCGGATGAAGCGCCGTTGACGACCTTTGTCACCGGCAGCTTGCATCTGGTGGGTGGCTTCCTCGATGTGATTGAAACCAAGCCGGGTCCGCAGTGAGCTTGGCTTGGATCCTTTTCGTGCTGCTCCATGACCTTTTCTGTACCATTTGTGCTTTTTAACGTTGTATCTACGGCATTCACTTTGGAATTTCAACAGCGTCTCGGTGCCTGCTGGAGTTCTTGGAGCGGTGGTTATCTGGTTTTCAACAGCCATTGCTGAGTTATGTATCCTTATATCCTTAAGAGGTCAAAGAGCGTTTAGCTGTTCCTTTCGAGCTTCTTTGCCGAGGTAGATCATAATCGGCGTACCGAGAGGCATTGCATATAACATAACCCCTGACAGCATATAAGTGAATAAAGCAAGCAAGTGTAGGAATAAAAGTAAAATGACACCAATCTTCAAGTTGATTCGCTGTGGTCCAAATAAACACTAAGCATCTACAATAGCTGAAGAGCCGCACCCCGCGAAGTCTCCGCCGCCGTGGGGCCGAACCATTTTCTTCCAACACACGACATTCAACAACCTTCCCCTCCTCCAATTCACTCACCCCTCCACAACGCTCGCCATGTCCGACAAGCGAGAACTCGAAAATAAGGCCCCCGAGGCATCGAATACCGACGCTGCGAACACCAGCACCAACACCAACGATGCCGGCGCATCGAAGCCCGCGCCCAAGATGGACCCCAAACTGACCGAGGCACTCCTGGACCTAAACCCCGCCCTGAAGAACGAATTGGCCACTATGGATAAAGGGAAAGCCGCAGAGACACTGCACAACCTGGATCTCTCTGAGCTATTAACCGGGTTGTCCATGGGCGGGAAGAACCCGAAGGACATGGCATCGTACAAGTTCTGGCAGACGCAGCCTGTGCAGCGGTTTGACGAGGATTTCAGCAAGAAGGAGGTTGCGGAGGGGCCGATTAAGATGATTGATCCGGAGAGGGTGTCGAAGGAGCCGGATAGGTTGTTGGAGGGATTTGAGTGGACGACGCTGGATTTGACGAATCAGGGGGAGTTGCAGGAGTTGTGGGATTTGTTGACGAATCATTATGTGGAGGATGATAATGCTATGTTTCGGTTTAGATACTCGCAGTCGTTCCTGCATTGGTAAGGGCTATGTACGATCTGTGAGGGCTTGTTGGCTACTTGCTAACAGAGACAGGGCTCTGATGTCGCCAGGCTGGAGAAAGGAATGGCACGTCGGTGTCCGCGCCACCAAGTCGAAGAAGTTGGTCGCTTCCATTAGCGGTGTTCCAACGGAGATTCGAGTGCGCGACCAGAAGCTCAAGGTGACCGAGATCAACTTCCTTTGCATCCACAAGAAGCTCCGCTCTAAGCGCCTGGCACCCGTCTTGATTAAGGAAATCACGCGCCGGTGCTATCTCAACGGAATCTACCAGGCCATTTACACGGGAGGCACCCTCCTCCCCACCCCCGTCAGCTCGTGCCGCTACTACCACCGTCCCCTCGACTGGCTGAAGCTCTACGAGGTCGGCTTCTCGCCTCTCCCCCATGGATCCACCAAGGCTCGCCAGATTAGCAAGAACCACCTTCCCTACGTCACCTCCACCCCTAACCTGCGTCCTATGGAAGTCAAGGACATTGACGCCGTCCAAGAACTGCTCGAGCGGTACGAGAAGCGCTTTGACCTGAACCAGGCATTTAACCGCGAGGAGATTCAACACTGGTTGCTGAACAAGCCGGAACAGAAGGATCAGGTGATCTGGTCGTATGTCGTGGAGGACCCTGAGACCCACAAGATCACCGACTTCTTCTCTTTCTACAACCTCGAGTCCACCGTTATTCAACATCCTAAGCATGACAACGTGCGCGCTGCATACCTCTACTATTACGCAACCGAGACTGCCTTCACCGGAGACCAGAAGGCTCTCAAGGAGCGCTTGTTGCAGCTCATGAACGACGCCTTGATCTTGGCGAAGAAGGTAAGCTTCCTTCCACCTTCCTGTCAGGGAACACAAGAGCTAACCATGACTAGGCCAAATTCGACGTCTTCAACGCCCTCACCCTCCACGACAACCCTCTATTCCTTGAGCAGCTCAAGTTCGGCGCAGGCGATGGCCAGCTCCACTACTACATTTACAACTACCGTGCGGCACCTATTGCGGGAGGTGTCAATGAGAAGAACCTGCCTGATGAGAAGAAGATGGGTGGAGTTGGTGTTGTTATGCTGTAGAGCCATGTATACCAGACTTGCAGGCCTCAAAGGCGTGAATAGCGCGGATATACAAGGCTAAAATACCCCTAGAAAGTAGAAAATCTCTATATTTTGGCTATTAGATAGCTAACTCTATAATTAAAATAAAAACCTGAATTCCCTATCCATGTCTTTTGCACGACTAAACCCGTCGGCGCCTGAAACATATTAATGCCTCAGGCAAGAATTGTTTCCGTGACGTCGTCATCCTCGAACGTTCTCGACAACAACAATGCTTGGCTTCCATTTCCTTTTCAGGTGCTGAGGGGATGCTTTAAACAATCCAGAGATCTAGATTTTGTATTGCTGTTTGCTTCAAGTTGTGAGGTCCGTGAGGGGTAGCTCCACGTGTTGCTGGTCTACTATGCAATAGTTAGCTGACAGTTCCATCTAGACGTCCTCGGGATTCGGGATTCTCGGAACGTTAGGGATTTCACTGGAAGAAGTTTGTTATTTATTCCTGGATTGGACCTATTGCGAGAGACCTGGAGAATTATATCCAACAAAATGGGATTAAGTCAGTCCGTCGAGGATGCTGGTCAATCCAGTCCAGGTGAGTCTCGACCACTAGAACCGTCATCTCCATCCACAATTCCATCTATAAAAGACCCTGCACTATAAAACTAACAAAACCAGAGGCCCTAAGCTATATCCTCGCCGAACGCTTCGCCACAAAATGCTTCACCCCGCTAGAACTAACCCACTTCAAAGACAACTTCTTCTCCCGAGCAACAGACCAAAACGGGCTGAAATACTGGAACGAAAAGACCCTTTCCGATTTCCTGGGCATCCCGGATAGCAGCGATGCCGAGTGTCCGCTTGACGCTGGTCCGGTGATCTTCCGGATGGTCTCGTATCTGGGGGCGTTTCCGTTTCAGAAGACGCTAGCTCCGAGCGTGTTGACTTTTGATGCTATGGTAAAGGTAGCTGTGTTGTTGACGGAGAGGTATGGGAGGGTGCTTAGACGGGGGAGGAGGGATAGGATTAGGTTGTTGTTCGGAAGTCTTGCGGATGTTGGGAAGAAAGATCTGGGTTCGTCTGGCCAGGATGAGGAGAATGAAGATAGTAAGGCTTCTGAGAGGCATCCGTCTGGATATGATATCGACCAACCCGCCAATGATGATGAAGAGGATGAAGACGGTGATGATCTTGCTTTGGCGGCGTTGGAATCGCTGGATGCCATTGAGGTGTTCAAGCACGATCAGCGTGTGGACAAGACTGTCTATGAAGCTCATATCTCGACTGACACGTTCCGTCGTCTGTTGATGCTGCTTCTTGTCATCGCACCGTTGAAGACGCTCGACGATGTCAGGACTTACACGGGTGACCTGAGTGCAGAACGCATGGAGACGGTCAGAAACGAAGCAGACAACATCCTGGCCGCGTTCGTCGAGGATGAAGCCACTGAAAGTGGTAACGGTATCAGCTACAAATCGTTTTCGAAGATGATATCCAACTCGCTGCCGCACCTCTTCGACCCGCTGACGCCGCTATTTGAACACATGCTCTTTAGCAAGAACCTGAATTTGTCTCAGAAGCGAGGAAGAACTGATTCGACGCCATCAGTGCATACAGAGGAGCAACCGGAGTCCGATATACCTGTGCTGCTGCTGCCGCCGCCGCCACCTGTCATGCTCCCTGGAGCGTTCGAATCTGTGATTCTAAACCCAAGCCTCATATCCCATCTTTCATTCTTTCTACCATCCACCTCTCGTGGCCTGAGCTTCCTCCAAAGCAGCGCTCAACTACATCCCGTCTTCTCAACAGCAGCCCACGGCTCATCTCTCACCTCCTTCTCCCACCACGTCCTAACATGGCAAGCACCCTCCCTCATGATCCTCCACGGAGTCATAGAAGAAAACACAACAATAACCCTAGGTGCCTACCTCCCCTCCTCCTGGACATCCTCCAACCACTCATCAAAAACCTCCGACTCCCTCCCCTCCCTCTTCCAACTCTCCCCCAAGCACATCCTCCTCCCAGGAAACCCTTCCCCCTCAGCCCAACAGCAACAAAACACACCAACCGCCTACTTCTCCACAGCAACTGGCCTCGCACTCGGCTGCAGACTCCCGCCCTCGTCCAGAACAAGTACACCACAGCCCTATCCCCACGGCGCAGGCTCCCTCCTCATCGACTCCAGTCTCGAGTCAGCAGACTTCCACGTCTCGTCCGTAGGACACGATGGCGCGTTCCTCCCGCCAGTAACCACATCAACCCCGGCAGAAAAGATACATATCGATATCTATAACCTGGAAATATGGGGCGTTGTGCAGCCGGATGATTCGTCTATGTCGGCGGGACAGGGTCAAAGTGCTGTTGAAGTACAGAAGGCGAAGTGGGAGTTTGAGGCGAGGGAGGCGGAGAGGAGGAGGAATGTGAATTTGAATGCTGGGGTTGGGGATAGTGCGAGGGAGAGCGCGAGGTGGTTGTTGGAGTCGGCGGGGTTGGTCGGGGAGAGTGGGAGGTATGGGGGGAGTGTTTAATTCATCGATTGAATATGGTTTTTGGCGTGCTATAATACTTTAAATTGATCTGGAGAGGTGTTTGATATTCATGATATTTGGAGAATGGCCATGGACCTATATCTTTACACATACAACTACCACAAATTCAACCCAGTAGGCGCCCCATAATAATCCCTCAATTCCTCCTCTTCCTCAACACCTTCATTCTCCGTATCAACAACATCCTCCTGCCCAATCACCACATTCTTCCCCCTCGAAGACTTCCTCGACCCTCCAGAAACAACCGCAGTCCCTGCACTACCCTTTCTACCCTCCTCACCCTCATGCACATGAACAGTCTCATGTTGACTCCCCTCCCGCGGCAACCGCACCGCCAAAAACCCATCCGGTGCACGCTCTGCCCGGTCCATGATCTCGTTCATGTACTTGCGGACTTCGTCGGCGGGTTTGACGACGCGGGCTAGCGGCTCGAGAACTTTGGGGTTTGGGCTGGTTATGCGGAAGGTTACGGGTTGGTAGTATTCTTTTTGGATGGGTTCTTTTTTGTCTTCTTTGGGGATGGAGTCTGGGTTGTTGGTGTTGGTGTTGGGGTCGGTTGTCATGGGTTTGTCTTGTGACTCGGTGGGTTTATCGGATTCTGTGGTGGGTTTGGTGTCGGTTGCTGTAGAAGGGTCTGGGTTGGGTTTTGGCTCTTCCTTTCCTTTGTCGTCCTTTTTCTTCTTGTCGGACTTTTTCGATTTGGTTGATTTGCCTTTTGCCCGCGAATTGGCTATCTCTGTTGCGGTTTCTAGAGGGAATGGAGTATTTGGGTCGACCTTTCTGACGACCAGGAATGAAGCAAGGACTGTATTCCCTCCTGGCAACCAGTCCAAGATCGTATACTCGGGGAAGAGGTAGCGATCTCCAGACCCTGCGTGACCCGACGTGCTACTTCCGTACGGAGTCAATGGTGATGTAAACTCGAAGACAACCGACTTATAGTTCAACCTTGGCGGAGGAGGCGGCGGTGCTTGTCGATAGTAAGTAGCAGGTGATCCATACTGCGGCGGACGGGAGTGAATTGGAGGCTGGCCTTGGTGCGGAGGTTGTTGGTAGGGCGGATATGGAGCACCTGGACGTGGTCCTGCTGCTTGCGGGGGAGGGGGTTGCGGCATCGGACGGACAGCAGGGCTCGGTTGTTTGGCGTTCGGAGGAACAGGTGGTGCGCCTGGTGCCACGCCAGGATTTGGCCCTGGGGGTGTCACATGCACAGATGGTGGTTGAGTTGGTGTGGCGGCGCCCGACTCCTGTTTAATCTGAGTTTGGGGAGCGGGAGTTTGTGGTTGACTCGCTGGCTGGCTCGGGGTCTGCGGCAGAGGGTTACCAGAAGGTGAATACTGCGGAATCTGTACTTCCACCCGTTGCATTGGCTGGGGCTTCGATTGAGGAGCCTGCTGTGCTGGAGGAGATTGTTGTGGAGGCAGAGGCGGTTGAGCCTGAGCAGGAGGAGCGGGGCTACCAGCATAACCTCGAGGAGTAGGCGTAGTTTGTTGGGCCTGCCGCTGTTGTTGCCGCTGCTCCCTGGCTCTGATGATCGCGTTAAGCTCGTCGATATGGGCCTGAAATGCTCGAAGTTGTTCCTGCGTCGCCTCTGTTGATGCCACCACTCTCATCAGCGCCTTCAACTCTGGATCTGAAGCTGCTCGGGTCGCAAGCATCTGAATAACGGGATCCGGACTAGGCTTCGGGGGTTGCGGTTGTGCAGGTTGCGAAGGGGATAGACGCTGCTGCGGTCCCGGAGGCGGAGCATGAGCAGGAGGAGACATTTGACCAGGAGGATGACCCTGCTGCGAAGGCGGACGCATAGGCTGGTTGCCCCTTGGTTGATACCCTGGCGGAGGAGGGCCTGGAGGGACGGTTTGAGGATGTTGTTGCGGCGGTAATGCATGCTGCGGAGGAGGCGGAGGAGGGTAAGGTTGATATTGCTGGAAGTTGTTGGGGTGCCCGTAGTGAACCATCGGCCGCTGGGGAGGTGTATACTGAATGGGAGGCGGCGCATTGGGGTCCTTGACGGTGTAGAGCATGCAATCAAAGAGATGCGGTCCAACCATGATATGACAGGGCCCGACCTTCGACATGGACTCCTTGGGAGGATTCTTGCCTTCGATATGTTCTCGTTTGGTCTTTTTCGGTTTTGTCCAGTATCGCACCAGGATGCCGTCGCTCAGCCATTTTTTCTTCGATCGTTCGAGAGACGTGAGAAGCACCGCACTGTAAAAAGCAAACCCGTTAGCCTCCCAGCCGCGTATAGCAATTCAGATTCAACAGGTGAATACCTCTCTGCAATCGACTGATAGTCCTTGTCCGAAAGCGACGCGACTTGCTGCGGCGTGGGGACGGTGGGCAGAGCGTCTCCATCCTTGATCTTGATCGGCAACGGAGGCGCGACAACTGCGGGTTCTGGAGGCGGCGGAGGAGTTGCAGCCTTTTTCTTGCTCGACGACTGTGTCTGGGGGGTCTGTTGGGGCGTGGCTTCAGAGGCTCGTCTTTTCGCGGCGGGTTCGCGACGTTCGCGTGCCGGGAGTTTGCGCTTTTCGGCCATGGCGATTGAGAAGGAGGTATTTTATCGGGTGTAAAGGAAGATTGAAACCATCCCGAAAGCGTGGAAGAGGGTATGGCGAGGGGAGTTGGCAAAGGGGAAATACAGAAAAGGTTGAAGAAAAGTGTTGGCGGGCGGCAGATAACGTTAACGATAGAGGTCACCACCGCTATTATCACCACCACGACCACAACCGCCGCAAAGAATAGAAGTACAAGCAACTGGATATTTTATGGAATATCTGGGAGTTTTTGGTGCTTTTATGGACTTGTAGATATTGACAGGTACGTCATCCAGCCTTCAATCCAGACATGAAATGAAGTTGACCATACGCAGATATATATCGTCAGCATGGAACTGCTGCCCATCTTCAAAAGGGCATACTGGACATTGGCTGCCGGAGGCCTGTTTTATGTATGCTTCATCATCTCCATGACCTATCCCACGGTCCAACGATTGTAGGTGGTATCCCTGTATACCTCAGATCGATCCCAATCTGATAACCGGGACCATCCTAGTGTGCTGTACGCGAACAAGATCAACCCGACGCTCTGGCAGAATGTCAACGACGTCGAGCCTTTTGGATTTCTGAGTATGTCTCCGGAGCAGTGGTGTTTGACAGAGAGAGGCAGTTGTTGATACTCGAACAGAGACGCAGGTTCAACCTTTTCATCTGAAAACCCCAGACAACGAAACGCTCTATGGTTGGCATCTTCTTCCGCTGCATCTGTGCTATGAGCATGAAGAAGAACTAGCTGTCAATGAACCTTCCGGCCCGGCTGAGGACTACACCAAGACAACCGCCTTTAAGCTGCTTGCCAATGACCCAAAGGCCAGAGTAGTTATCAGTTGTAAGCACCATCTCCTGATTCATGCTAATTCGGCACTTGTATAGAAGCTAAATGTATGCAGTTCACGGCAACGCAGCCCACCTAGCATCAGCCCAAAGACCAGAAATCTACCGAATGCTCCTCGGTCTCTCCACCCCCTCCGACCCCGTCCACGTCTTCGCCATCGACTATCGCGGATTCGGCGTATCCACCGGCACCCCCACAGAAGAAGGCCTAATCACAGACGGCATGTCACTCATCAACCTCCTCACCTCTGCCCCTCTGAACATCCCCCCATCCCGCATCGTCCTCGTCGGCCAGAGCCTTGGAACAGCCGTCAGCGCCGCAGTAGCTGAGCGTTGGGCTTTTGGATCCGAAGATCCCACCGCCATCCAGCCTGCTATCAAGAATCCGGAGCCATTCGCTGGCGTGGTCCTGCTCGCGTCGTTCAGCAATGTGGCTAGTGTGATTGAGTCTTATAGTTTAAAGGGAATAACGCCGCCCATGCTCTCTCCTCTTAGAGGCTACCCCCGTGTGCAGAAGTGGGCAGTGAGCCATATTCTCGACCGCTGGGATACCGCGGCGCGCGTGGCCCGTCTGGTGGGAATTGGACCAACAGCCCAAAACGACTCCGATGCTGGCTACGTTAGTAAGAATCTGGACCTAGCTATCGTGCATGCCCGGGATGATGTTGAGATCCCGTGGTACGAGGGTCGTCGGGTCTGGGTGGCTGCGACGGGCGAGGATCAACCGGATGTTCCTGGTCGTTTGGTTTGTGAGAAGAAGCAGGAGAATGGGCCTGGTGAGGTTAAAATCTGGGAGAATAGGTCCACTAAGGATTCGTCTGTTGTTAAGAAGGTTCGCTGGGAGCGTGTGGGATATGGAGGTATTTTATCACCGGTGCTTTGTCCATTGCGAGCGAGGCTGACTCAATTTAGGTCATAACCGTGTTGCGACTTTCTCTGCTGCGTCTTTGGCTGTGCTCAGGGCTTTTGAGAATTGATTCCGACGCATGATGGATTATAACGGCTTTATTCCGGTTACGATAGACCGAGGGAAATGTTCAGTATGAGATAGCTACGAGACAATCAAGTCAATTATGTATACATGTACATCGAATACTTTATCAGGTCATGGTAACTCCAAAACAGCTAAATTTTGATTCTAATTACAACAAAAACTAAACGTATTTTCCATGTACCGTTCTATTCTACATATCTCAGGTCATCAATCAATCAGGATAGGAGAGTGTGAGGAGGCATATTAGCATCGGATTCAAAAGGGCATAATACATGTCGGAGAAGAGAAGAGGATTTCGCGGGCGAGGGATATATAACTGGGCGGGAGGAGATTCATGATTCTTGTCAGGGTAGGGTTAAAGGGCTTATTTCTTGTGTCTGTCGGCCTGGGCCTTCAGGTGCTTGTCGATGAGTTCTTTTCTGCGCGTGGAGAAGAGTTTGCGTTAGTGGTTTGAAGCAAATGAAATGGAGAACCAGGGGAGGAACGTACTGTAATTGACCAGGAGCCTTCTCGTAGTGGCTGAACTCCATGGTGAATTCACCCTTACCCTGGGTGGCGGCACGCAGGTGGGAACTGAAGCCGAACATACCGTTCAGACTGCAGTCGGCGTACACGGTGAACTCGTCAACACCGACTTCACTGTCGTTGATGGTGGCATTGCGCTTGTTCAGGAGCGAGATAACGTCACCCTGGAACTCAGCGGGAGCCGTGACGACTGTCTTCATCAGGGGCTCCAGGACGGCAGGGCCACTCTCCGTGAACGCCTTACGGAAGGCCTGCTGCGTGGCGTTCTTGAAGGACATTTCCGATGAGTCAGTCATGTGGGTGGCACCGTCGTTGATGACCATCTTGGTGCCCAGCACCTTGTGGCCGATAAGAGGGCCCTTGTCGCAAGCAATGTGGAATCCCTTTTCACATGCGAACAAGAACTTCTCCGAAATGCTACCTCCCACGATTTGCTCTTCGAAGTAGTTGTCTTCCAGCTTGCCGGTTGGCTCCATCCAGCCGACAACACGGGCGTATTCTCCGGGACCTCCCGACTGCTTCTTGAGCAGGTGGTCGAAATCAATACGGCGGCCAATGGTTTCACGGTAGGCGACCTGCGGCGGGCCGGTTTCACAGTCGACGCGGTATTCACGGCGCATGCGCTCGATGTAGATGTCCAGGTGCAGTTCACCCATTCCCGAGATGAGTGTCTGTTCACTCTCGGTGTCGTAGGTCACACGGAAGGTAGGGTCTTCTCTCTGGAAACGAGCCATGGCCTTGGAGAAGTTGGCGGCGTCCTTGTTGTTCTTGGGCTTGATGGAGAGCGAAATTACAGGTTCGGGAACGAACATGGACGACATGCTATAGCCCAGCTGTCCGTCGGTGAAAGTGTCACCGGAGGCGCAGTCAACACCGAACACTGCACAGATTTCACCAGCACCGATCTCCTGGACTTCCTCCATTTCGTTAGAGTGCATACGCACAATACGGGGTACCTTGATCTTCTTGTCGTTACGGGCGTTGAAGACGTTGGCTCCCTTCCGCAGGGTACCTTGGTACACCCGAATGTAGGTCAGCTGTCCAAAGTTGCTCTCTTCGAGCTTGAACGCCAAACCGACGAAAGGCAAAGAGTTGTAAGGGACAAGCTTCACGGAAGCCTCGTTGCGCTTCTTGTCAAGAGCAGTGTTCTGCACCTCAGATGGGTTCGGGAGGTAGTCAACGACACCGTCTAGCATGGGCTGCACAGTCTTGTTCGCCAGCGCGGATCCCATGAAAACCGGAGTAAACTTGAGCGAGATGGTTGCCCGTCGGATCGCGGCCTTAATCTGGTCTTGCGTGGGTTCCTGCTCGTCCAGGAAAAGCTCGGCCATTTCGTCGTCGACATCGGCGAGGATCTCGACGAGCATCTTCCTCCGCTCTTCCACCAACGACTTGACCTTCTCGGGAATCTCATTGGAGACGTGAATTTCTTCACCGCTCTCCCCGACGTTGCGGAGCGTCCTCATCTGGACCAAGTCCACAACGCCTTCGAACTCGTCTTCGGCTCCAATGGGCACCTGAACGGCGGCAGCGGGGATCTTGAGCTTGTTGTTGATCTGGTCAATGGCCTTGAAGGGGTTGGCACCCATACGGTCCATCTTGTTGACGAAGGAGATACGAGGAACGTTGTAACGTCTCATCTGTCGGTCGACGGTGATGGTCTGCGACTGCACACCCGAGACGGCGCACAGAATCATGACTGCACCGTCCAGAACACGCAGAGCTCTCTCGACCTCAATCGTAAAGTCAATGTGTCCGGGGGTATCAATCAAGTTAATGTGGTATTTCTCGTCCTCGCCATCCTCGTTTTTCTTCACCCAGTCACAAAAAGTAGCCGCAGACTGAATGGTGATACCCTTCTCACGCTCGAGATCCATGGAGTCCATCTTTGCGCCAACGCTGTCCCGACCACGGACTTCGTGAATCGCCTTGATACGACCGGTGTAGAAGAGAACTCGTTCGGTTGCGGTGGTCTTGCCGGAGTCGATGTGTGCCTAAACCACAATGCCCTGTCAGACTCCGGGAACTGTCTCATTCTCAGAGAAGGTAGATGTCCATACCGCAATACCAATGTTCCGAACTTTCGACAGTCGTGCGGCTTCAACGGGATCGAGGTTATCAATGATAGCTTCTTGCGAGAGGGTTTCCGGATTCGACGCAGCAGCTTCGAGCCTAATAAACAATAACCAATTAACAAAACCAATCACAGTATTGAAAAATAAAAGAAGACACTCACACTGCAGCTGCCGTAGTCGAAGCATGTCTCCTCTGCTGCCATTGCGAGTTGCAGACAGTCTGGTAAGCCGGGCCAGCAACAATGGGGCTCCGGAAAGCGGCCGTCGAGGAAGCGCATCGTCTAGTGAGGAACTGCTGAGACTGGAGTCGAGCAGACGATCTGGTCAGGCCAGAAACGGCATGGTATTGCAACCGTGCAAGAGCTGGAGATCTCATGGCTGTCTGTCGTCCGCCCACACACAGTAAAAGAAAGTTGAGGCTTTCTTTTCTTGCAATTCCTTTTCCCCGTCGCGATTTCGCTTTGCGGAGGAGAAAAAATTTGGAGAGACAGGTACAGATCACGTGAAAGCTATATTATTGGTCAGTCGCTTAGTATCAGATATTCCTTAACGCCGACTGGACATTCGGCTCGACATTTGGCAGTTGAGGAGTTAGTTATAGAGCAGTTGCCTGAATAATTAGTCTTCATTTGAGAAAGCATTGAATCTGTGCTCGCATTGGGTGAGTTACTATCATGGTGTTATGTCTACGCCAGATACGATCTATATTAAGCTTGTCCATCAGAGAACACCCACCGGAGGATGTTCTTTTCATGTGTATTTCGCTCATCTGATGTAATTGTCATTTATAATACGGAAGCTGACCTGATTTCATTAGCATTAAATGAATAGATTATATCAAATAGGATCGTAGATGACAAGACCGGCTTAACCAGCCCTCGGAAGCTCGAGATCAATTAACCACGGCGGCTGTACCGAATATTCGTCAGTAGAACCCTCTATGGCGGAATTGACGAAGAGTGTATGGGCGCTGTATTGAATAGGATGCGAGTCGTTGCTGCAGTGGCTAGTTTGATAGGACGTTCTGTGGACATTCTCCTGAACAATATCGGCAAGTCTTCCAACCACCGTCGAATTTTCGTTATCAATGTCAGTCATATAAGAAGGCTTCTCACCGACCATTTTCCTCCATGCAGCAAGCTTTGCTCCCCATCCCTCGTGGATGTGACCAAAGCAGTGCATGCACGGTCTGGCCCGAGCAACAGCTTCAAATAGATCCGAACTACCTGCACGTTGACCATTAGCGTAATCCATGATGCCATTAGGCGGTCCATGCGTGATAGCCACGTCAACGTTGCTTGAGATCGCAAACTCATGGCCTTGCTCGGGATGATACTGAAAACCCCAGTCTCCAAAAGATGGGGTGTATGGGCTGGTGTAGACGGTTAACGATGCTCCATTCTGCAGATTGAAATGGTGGGTTCCTTCATCCAGCAAGATGACTCCGCTATTGTCAAACATGCTCCTGGTTTCTTCGTAATCGCCGTATACTCTCCGGACTAATTCTGAATCCAAAGGCTCATGTGCTTCTACAACCTTATTCTTGAACATAGGCGTATATAGAGCGAAATTGTGATTCCCGGCAATAGTTAGCTTGAGAAGAGCATCGATTCTTTCAAGCAGTCGGATAGCGCTTTCAAATTCATCGAGCTTGGATTCCGTGGTGAGATCGCCGCAATGTATGGCCACATGCTGAAGATACGGTCAATACCGTGAGTATCTGAGATGACAAAGAAGCGGGTTTTGAAGTTAAAGGCCATCGTAATGTCAAGACTATGCCTTCTAGTATCTTGGGCACAGTCGTTGGAGAAACGAAGCTCAAGTCCAGAGATAGGCGCCTGGAAAGTCACGTGAAAACAAAAGCGATTAGGCAGACTATACCAGATATGGCAATCAGTCGTCACGTCACCCAGGAATAGTACTGGTCCGCCTATTTCAACAACAACAGAATTCTCCGTAAATATTCACATTTTCTTTCATATCAAGTGCAGAGCGCCTCTGGCATGCCTCATAGCAGATGCGGTCATCACTGAGACTGCTCGCGGCCATTGCCCGCGACCAACCGTCAAAGTTGAGGAAGCCGGCTGTTAGCTTCGACCATGTGAGTTGTTGGCATATGGCTATATAAGCGATTATTACTTTGCTTTACTATATTCTCATTATAAATTTTCGAAAATGGTCGCTAATAGTGGCATCTCCAGTTCATCCAAAGACAACGAGTTCTCGGCCTATGGAGAGAAATTGTCAGAGCTCTGAACAGTGAGCTTCTTCGTCTCAACTCTAGATGGAAGTCAATCAGCTGATTGAAATTTGAAGAAATCCCCAACTCGCCAACGAAGGTTGAGTTACGGAACTATGCTCGCGAGGAGTTTGAGCGCCACCGCAATGTAACCGACTTGGTGAGTCGATAATACTGCGTGAGCTTAGGTATTGAGCTAATTGGTTAATAGCAACATATACGGTATTTACATTCGGTAAGAATAGATTCATCTGTTTTTCTTTCTCGCATTATCCGATATCTGACATTTGGCAGACTGGCAAGTCGGAGTTTCAAACCATGAGACGGTATATCGATGAACTGGTGGGTTGACATCAAGAGGTTCATGCCTCATGTACCTTATAGACCATCAAACATGGCAGAAATACCATAAATATCCTGCCAAAACATGTATATATGTACCTATATGAACGAATTCCTTCAGAACCACTGTAACGTCTAGCTCCCGCCACTATCTTCTGTATGCTGCGGTTTCTAGTGTATTCCAGAGTAATTCGCTCTTCTTTCGATTCTAGAAGCACATAACATCAGTCCTTCTTCTTAATCATGACGATGCTAGAAGCAAATCATCAAACTCACGATTTCAACGAACTGCTCCTGTCCACTTGTGCCCTGTGTACGCTACCCTTCTCTAGATCCTGGTCAACCGGCGCCCTACTTCTATCGGCTGCAACTCCTGTCGTATTTTGTGCATCTGCATCTGAAAGCTCTTCTCTGACATTGTGGGGCGTCTCCCGGGCCTGTTCCAAGAGAGTATCTGTATCGACGAAGTATGGTTAGAGGACTGTGATTCTTGTCGGATGAACAGGGTCAGAACTCACTTGTTGATGGTTCCTTGCGGGATAAATCGGTGGTGAGATTGGACATATCTAGTTGATAGGTTGATAGATTGGGTAGACAGCAATACAGTAGTGTCGTTGTTTATAAAGTCGAAGAACGGTTACGAAATTATACGTCATGGGGCATACCTTTGCCTTCAGATAGTAGACAAAGCTTCGACGATAACCCACTGAAGACGTGTAGCAGTGCGCCTACCACGATATTTACCATCACTAGTTAGTTCTGGAGTAGTTGGCAGAGGAAGCGCCATGTTTGTCTACAACTAAATTATCATATATAGAGATCCAGGAAGTGACGGTAACTTACCCAGAGCACATCCTCACCCCTGTTCTCTTAGCTTATCAATCTATGTTACAGGCATTGAAAATCAAAATTGGTCAACGGTACTCGTTGATGACTGACCATGCTTCCGAGTAACTTCAATCTGCGATTACCTCAGTCGTGAAAGTAGCAGATACTCGAAGCTTCTGTATATAGTTCGTTATACTGAGAGTAACACAGGCGTGATATGTACAATCTTCCCAGAAGTGCACACTGATCAAACCAACTAGTAACGGATGGTAACTTATATCAAACACACACACATTGTATTGCAAGACATTGATAGTGAATAACTAAGTACAGATAGAGCTTTGAGACGACAGCCGAACAGTGAAGCTCTGTATTCAACCAGCAATTAAGCCCGCCAAAACAGAATAGGTCTCGCTAGGAGGTCAGGAGACACAAACACGGCCATGCAACCTATACACCAGTAAATATTTCTTTGTCGGCAACAACAGATCAAGCAAAGGCACATACAAGTTCAAAAGGAACACAGATTCAAGCAGTTTCGCAAGACAATAGGGAATCATCAATAGTAGGGGCCGACCACGAGAGGGTATTGATTTCCACTAGGGTACTGCGTAAGAATAGCATTTTTGGCCTCTATGATTTGGGCCCCGTTAACCACGAGACCGCAACTCCGAAAGAGATCAATCTGATGGTCGGTCCAATATCTGCAGCCTTGGCCATCGCTGTTGAACTCATACTGGTGGCGCTTTTGGTTCACAAGCAGGTTGACGAATTCGCGTACCGTGGTGTCGGGCCGAACATCGAGTTTGACTACCTTCGACGCTGACCTCGAGGTGGGATATGCCAGATGGCTAACGACCATATTGGCCTTGTTTTTAGCTATCAGGATTGGATTGTATCATTTGATGCCACTTCCACTAACTACCGCCGGCGCTAATTCGATCACCACCGAGACAAATACGGTAAAATCGAGTGGCAATCTGTACAGAGCCTATCGCTTATTCTTTCAATCATTTAGCACCGTGATAGTCAAACTCCATCACATATCACAATGCATATTACCCATACACCGCCACCAAATGCCCACTATGGTCCCGCAGTAGCAGCGCAGGCGCCGGAATGAGGTACATATACGAGAAGGGTGGGAGAATTTTAATCAAACGATCGATTAGTGATTTTGTTCCTCTAGAATCGAAATTGGGGCGGGTGAAGTTTGGGGAAGGCGGCGCGGTCAATTATGCCACCTCCTACCGCTTTCCTCATCCGAGCATGTTTTGTATGCCCCTTGGAACCGGATATGTAGTATTCCTACATATCTTGTTAACAAGAGCATCACGATGTTCTCAAGACAAAAGACATACAGAAAGGATCTGGCACATGAATATTGAGAAGCAGAATGCTAATTCAGTCCATATGTTATGGATTTCATTGACGGTAGATCAGTTGAGGCATGCTGGGATGAATTGAATCAGACAGAGCGTGTGGATGTTGTCTCCCAAGTTGCTTCAATGATCACTACTCTGCAGTCTATTCCGCTACCCCAGCAGTCACCTGGCCCAGTGGGCTGTGAAAGCTGCTCGGCCCGTGGCTTCTGGTTCACTGACATGGGAACGGGTCCATTTCGCTCAACGGAGGAACTAGAGGCTTGGTTCAATCGCCGGCTCACCATCTCCAAACAATTCAACCAGGCACCAGATGATGTTCCGCCATTTCAATTTGACAGGCTGGTTCTCACACACCAGGATATTGCGCCCCGTAACTTGATTTTGGGTCTTGATGGCACAGTTCATCTGATTGACTGGGGTGATGCTGGGGTATATCCCGAGGGGCTAGAGTTTGCGTCACTCAAGACACGAAGCTACACCGCGCCCGAGTTCACTGATATGTTACTTGAAAAGGTTACTCAGTATGAAGAATTGGCGCAGCAAATGGAATGGATTATGTTTGCTTTGACTACTGGGCAATATCTTTAGGAAAATGGAGGTCTAGCGAATATTTTACTTGACGAATATGATTTAACTTGATACCCTTGAAGGCAGCAACCTAACGTAGGTCGTATCGCTACTATAACATGATCCGAGCTGTTTTTGAGGTAGCACAGGAGTCCGTGCTTAATAGTCCTGCCTTGCCTTGAAGTCCAGCAGTGCCGGCGGTGAAAATGAACATAGTCAAGTGATAAATCAAGTGTCTTTGGGGATAGATCAAGAGGTTGTTGTCTACTCCACCTAGCTTATATAGACAGCCGACCGAGGTAGACTTTCACTTTTAAAGGGCAATTCAAATACCCAGACGGGAAAAGGGTTGTGGGGATATTAGCTGGCTCAATATCGGCCTGGATACAATGTGGTGCGTCTCGATGGAGCTATCTTCAGAACAACTTGCAATCAAAGCAGAAAGACATAAACACACATAAAGAGAAGGGAATCAATGCTCTAGAAGATCCAACACATGTACAATGATATAAACAACCAAACAGATCAGTCTGCCATATCAATCCACCCAACCCATTTCAACCTTACCCCCCCCTCGACGCCATATCCCTCACAGCATCTAATACCCCAAGCGACCTTTTCTCATCACCAGGCTCCAGAGCAGACCGAGCGGTATCCTGCTCAAGCGCCGCCTTAGCAGCCCCCTTCCGCTCCGCTTCCTTAGCAGCCGCCTCCATAGCAGCATGCCTCTCCCTCCAGTCCCGATCCTCCTTATCACGGATTTCCAGTTCCCGCAGCCACGCATCGCGCTTCTCCTGGGACCTCCGTACCTCGACTGCTTTCTCGAATTCGCGGCGCTGCTGACGTTCCGTCTTGAAATACATGCCTCCGGCGACGATGGCGACGAGGGTGAATCCTTGGGCGTAGATACGGGCGCGGAACATCCGGTTCATTTCCACAGAGTCACGGGCTTTCATTGAGCGGTAGGCGCGGTATAGGGCGTAGCATGTTGCGGCGCATCCTGGATTTAGAATAGGTTGTTAGACCTGGTTGTCCATCGTCCGACGTTCGTAGTTCCCAGGGTACGGGGGCAGAGCTAGAATTACCGAGCGGGATCAAGGGTTCCTCCTTGAGTCTTCTGGTGAACTTTTGAAAAGACGATTCCTCCTTGAATTCACTACATCGTTCACCTCTGTTAGCTTTCCCCGCCCGTAACGGAGGACGGTTATATAGCGGTTCGGCACGTACGGATGGTCGTCGAAAGACGAGGGAAGAGGTTCGCGGCTGCTCATATTGTCGACGGTAGTATAGTATACGACGACGTAGGAAAACTAAGAGGCGTTGGATTCTATTAGGATCGATCGAGGTACGGCCGTTCCGGATCAATCACAGGCGGAGCTCCGAGTCGCGCGGAGTTGGATGGGTTTCTGTATTGGTAGCGGAACACGCAGAATTGAATGTACAAGTCCAATTTGGTCCTTCTCGAGACCGTTGAATGTTCCTGGAGAGAATAATGGGCTTTTGTAGTATCAGTTGATGCGGAACATGACGTCGCAAAAGCGAGTTGATGCCAAGCGATTTTTTGTGTTACGCGTATTACAGAACGGAACGGTAAGTAACGGCAAGTAACAATCTGGCCAATCAAATGGGATGAAGCGGACAAGGACTCCGTACGGAGTAGATATCGAGGAATTATAAACCGAGTCTTGCGCCTTGCGTATATATGCCCGAGAGAAAATTTGAGGCTATTTACATTGTTTTCTGTAGTTAAGCTGCAAGTGATCGTTCATGCAACACCACTGCATCTGTAAAAGGAGGGGATTAGGGCCCAGGCTTAGGGTTGATGACTCATAGACTTTCCCGCAGTCACGGGATTTTCCAAAAAGTAACGCCGATGGTCTCACAAGCTACTTCGAGGCCTTATCGCTGCTTCCAACTCTGCTCTTTGGGCTGTCTTTTTATTCAATCCAGCTTGCTAGAGAGACAACCATGACTGACGGTTCGACAACTCCCCTCGCCGCCAAGGTGAATAACCTGGCATTGACCGAATACACTGCTGCTCCGACGCCGCCATCGGAGAAAGTTGACCAGTTAGGATCGGCGCCGGATTGGGGCATCGCGGACTCGTTCCTGCTTCCAAATGGTTATCCAGACGTGAGATTATACCTGTCTGTGCAATTGTTTGATTCAAAGACCATTTTTGTTTGCTAATGCAAGTTCGTCATGAGTCTAGTATCTCCGGTTGATTTTGACGTCGCGGGTTTACGATGTCATCGAAGAAACACCACTGCACCATGCTGTCAACCTCAGCAATCGCCTCGAATGCAAGGTCCTTCTCAAGCGAGAGGACATGCTCCCTGTCTTCAGTTTCAAGCTCCGTGGAGCGTACAACAAGATGGCGCATTTGCCTCCGGAGAGGCGGTGGAAGGGTGTCGTTGCTTGCTCTGCAGGTCAGCATTTTGTACTTCTAGGAAAGAAGACAGCTGCTCATATCTGAACAGGTAACCATGCGCAAGGTGTCGCCTTTTCTGCCCGCCATTTGAAAATCCCCGCCACCATCGTCATGCCCTCCGGTACCCCCGCGATCAAGCACCTGAATGTCTCTCGTCTTGGTGGTAGTGTCATTCTTCACGGAAACGACTTCGATGCGGCGAAGGAGGAAGCACATCGGTTGGAGAAGCAGCATGGACTCACTAGCATTCCCCCATTCGATGACCCGTATGTCATCGCTGGTCAAGGAACTATCGGAATGGAAATCGTGCGCCAGGCGAACCTACAAAACTTGGAGGCAGTCTTCTGTGCTGTCGGTGGTGGTGGACTAATTGCTGGTATTGGTGTCTACCTGAAGCGCATTGCACCCCACGTGCGTATTATCGGCGTGGAGGCTGATGACGCCAATGCCATGGCTCAGTCTCTGAAAATGGGCGAACGCGTTCTTCTCAAAGAAGTTGGGCTTTTCGCTGACGGAGCGGCTGTCAAGACAGTTGGTGAGGAGACATGGCGTCTGGCCCGTGACGTGGTAGACGAGGTCATCCAGGTTACGACAGATGAGACGTGCGCGGCGATCAAGGATGCCTTTATGGACACCCGGTCTATCATCGAACCGGCCGGTGCCCTGGCTCTTGCTGGTTTGAAGAAATACATTGCGCAAAATCCCAGCCCTGACACCAACCGGGAATTGGTTGCCGTCACCTCGGGGGCGAACATGGACTTTGATCGATTGCGTTTCGTCGCAGAGCGTGCTGCTTTGGGTGAGCGGAAGGAGGCTCTTCTGAGCGTCAACATTCCCGAGAAGCCTGGCGCGTTCGCAAAACTAATCGAGATTGTTATGCCTCACGCTGTAACCGCCTTCAGCTACCGGTACGCCCGTGCTGAATCCGCAGACATCTTGATGGGCATCTCTCTGTCAGCATCAACAGGTCAAAAGGATCTAGCCAGTATTATCAACCAATTGACCAAGGGAGGCATGTCCGCGAAGGACCTGAGTGATGACGAGCTCGCCAAGCGGCATCTGCGCTTCCTGGTTGGCGGCCGCTGCGAAGTCCCGGACGAGCGTCTGTTCATGTTTGAATTCCCTGAACGTCCGGGCGCTTTGGCCAAGTTCCTCACTACCCTTCGACCTAACCAGAACATTTCGCTGTTCCACTACCGTAACTACGGAGGTAATGTCGGCAAGGTGCTGGCGGGTATCCAATGCCCTGAATCCGAAAAGGAAGACCTGGAGGCTTTCCTTCAGGATCTGAGTTACCCATTCAGCGAGCACACCGATTCTCCTACTTACCAGACCTTCCTCCGCAATTAAAATCTTTTTACGCAAAATCACGGAAACGAAAAGTGTATATTCGGATTCAGTGTTGATTTCACGGGGTTGAATGTTCCTGTTAGGCGTTCGGATTAGTATATGAGACAGAATGCGTGATGTAGTCATGTTTTTCGATATTATGTATAGTTTACTCGAATAGATAATAGAACGAGGGATGCTGTTTTGACAAAGTAAATGCACCATTCGTGGTAGATGGGCCTTGTAGAAAACCCCGGAACCGGCGATACAAAATCTCCGAGGAACATTTCCTCCGCGCGGGAGTGCGGAATAGAAACCATCCAACACCACCAAAAATCCATACCAACCCCAGGATCAAATCAATCCTGATCCTGCCCTTATTTCTGTCCGCGGAGACACCTATCGGCGGTCCTTCAACTCGATAAAACCCCCGCCGAGTCGCCACGATGATGTCCCTCCGCTCCCTCCTCGGTGCCTCCACCGGCACCCTCCGCCAATTCCTCCCGCAATCGCTATCCCGCCCGACATTCTTCTCGCGCTCGTTCTCCCGGTTATCGCTTGCAAATGGGCTTCGGAGTTTGCGTTTGCGGTCTGAGCAGAAGCAGATGCAGGCTGGTGTTGGGGCTGTTGGGGCTAGGCAGATTGAGCAGGTTCGGGGGATGAAGACGCGGTCGTCGGTTAAGAGGCTGTGTGATGGGTGCAAGGTATGATTTGCTTGGTTTTGTTTTGTGGGGTTTGTTTTGAGGTGACTTGGTTCGGTGTTTGGTGCGATGCGGTGCGACTTGAGGAAGGACCTTTGGGGAATGAGTTGAGGTTTTGGATGTGAAGCTAACGTTGGATGGCTATAGCCCGTCCGGAGAAAGAACAGGGTTTATATCATTTGGTATGTTCACTTTATTGGCAAGGTTTGGAGAATCGGAACTAACGGTGACTGTAATAGCTCCAAGAACCCCAAGCACAAGCAACGACAAGGGAAATAAACGTCTCAATCGAATAACGGGATCAATTCATCACGGCTTACCACTTTAAAATGCTACGAAAGTGCATAAGATCGGGGGATTATGTACTATTTGATACCTAGAACACTTCGTGGATATACGGTTTTGCATCTCGACGCCTGGAATGTCTTTGTCTTTTTTCTTTTTTACTGCTGGCTGGTCGCGGCGTACGTTACATTGTACATTAGGTTTATCATCAAAAGGTCATCATACATGGTTATTTTCTGGTTTCTGAATGGAATGTCTTTGGATGTGTAGCCCTATCTCCTACAGATTGCGATGGCATGGACACCCTGCAACCCTTTGAGACTCAAACCACTGCTATTAATATACTCGCACTACCTACCATGCCCCAAGAGGCTTCAAATGCGCCTTCATATCCTCCGCCTGCAACCGATGATACTTGGACGTCGGATGGTAACTATTCCACCAAACACAACTATGTCCATCATCATTCACGCAAGTAGCATTCGGAAAGCCGTATTTCTGTGGTTGATTCAGCACCTTGGTCATAAATGACCATGAATCATATAGCACAGTGGTTGTCTGTATTCGTTTCGTCAGCTTCTCTTCCTCCAGGGAGATCACAGGCACGTACATCTTCATGGTTGGTCGTGAAGTTTTTCACCATCAACTCGACGTTCTCATTGAACACGGCGAGGTACTTTGCATGCGACTTCGCAGCCTCATTCCCTTGACTCAGGATCTTAGGAGTACGACTGGCAGCCGGCACATTAAGGAAGAGGAACTTCCGGCCCCCGTCGCGGTAGATCTTCTCAACCAGCGATCTATACCGCGCAATCAACTTCGACGTAAAAGTCTCCGCATCCGTACTCGAGTATGCATTCCCGATACTATTCACCACGTTAACAACTCACCCATAAACACCAAAACAGAAGAAGAAAGAACATACTCATTAATCCCAATCCAAACCCCAAAAACCGCATTCTCACCCGTCCACAACACATCCTCCTTATCAGCATACGTCGACTGAAACTCATCTACCTGCGAGACCAGATCTTTCGAATGACCCGATACAAGGGTGTTATCGATCGTTGCGCCGCCGACGGCGAGGTTGTAGGAGAAGACTAGGGAGGCGTTTTGGGTGGCTGTTAGGTAGCCGACCCAGTTTGTGCCACCGGCTGTTGTACCGGTTCCTGCATACTTACAGTGAGAATTTGTTAAAGAGAGAATCGTGGGTGAGTGGTGAACGAACCTAGGGATGGGTTTCCCATGGGGTTGGAGGCGGATGGGGCGGTTTTGTTTGGGGAGAAAGTTGTGTCTGTGTAGGAGTTTCCGCTGTTATGCTATTAGTATTATTATTGCGGGTTCTTGGAGAGAAAGGGAGGTCTTACAAGGTGAAGAAATACGTCGTATCGACATTCTGTCGTGGTAGAGGTGTTGCAGTAGCAATACCAATACTACTGGCTACCAGCCAGATAAGGTGAGCTTTCATGTTCGTACTAATTCAATATTCAATTCGTATAACAGAACAGAATTATATCAGATGAGATTCCAACAGGGTCTTTTTATAAAGAATCCAGCATCGTCTCAGGCTATGTACACTCCGTATAGCTGCAACACAGCCTCAGCCTTGCCGAGAACCCTGCGCCTCGATCTCAGCCCAGCAAGCATGTTGGAAGTTAATTGCATCGTATTCTTCCCTCAGGAATGCAGCGGATAAATATGGATGTCACATAGGATTGGTGGTTTTTGCGGGGTGCATGTTTAGGCGCTTTTGCATGTGCCGTTTGTCCGGCCGGGTTAATAGGCTAATTGTCACTGATTGATAGATGTGGAGGATGAATATTGTACATGAAGCTTTAGCTGTTGCAACCGGGACAGGATAAATTGGATGTGTGATAGGATCTTATTGAGATCTGCTGGTGTTGCCGAGAGTATATGGTTGATACTTGATCGCCGATGCCATGGTCTCCACGGGCTGTTCTTATGAAACAGGAGGTGCTTGGGACATGTCAACATGGAACACTTTTATCTATATTATTATTTTTGTTGTTGTTGTTGTTGTTGTTCATACACGCATCTGTCAGCCCTGTGGGCCGAGTGGCGGCAGGTCCTGCGGGGCGGCCGGATAAGCCGCCGTAGTGGTAGTCGCTATGTACATCGTCGCCTTTCTATACCTATCCTGACATCTTATTCCGCATGTTGTATGTCCCGTGCTGCTGATTTCGTACTGCTGTTCCCATGGCCACGAAGGTTCATGGGTTTGTTGGATACTATCTCGTTTCCGTCCCTACTTCTGCAAGCGCACAACCTTGGCTATGCTATGCTGCCACCGGTTGCTTGAAGTCCGTTTTTGTGACTCGGTATGTGGTTGGTAGAGTCTGAAACTGGTCCAGAAGGCCTGTCCCAAGTATGAATCGTACTGCCTTCGGTACCAGGTCTGGCCGTGTAAGGTAGGCCCGGTAATCCAGCTCCCGCCTTGAACCCTGTGTAAGATGGCGCATCCGGGGTCCTGCCTGGTTGGTACAGTGGAGGAGAACATGGCGTGTATCTTGGAGGCCACGTCCACAGGAGTATTTAGTCGATTCCATAGCCTTGAAGGTACCAAGGTAACTGGCCAGCGCAATCTTCCCAGTTTGCATTTGAATGAGGACTGACGTAGCAGCTCTCCGTAAGCCTTGGTATAGCTGCATTGGCGCTTTTGAGGGCTCTTTCCATAAGCGACGGACGGAGTTCCTGTGGGGGGAAGCGGCCCATTCAGTCTTCCATGCATTTGCTGCTTCTATGCGGAGGGTTCTTCGAGTGCTAGCCATGAGAGTGAGCTCTTCCGCACCATTGGGTGCCAGGGAATTAGCAGCTTCTTTTGCAAGAGCGTCAGCACACTCATTGCCATAGATGCCTTCATGACCCGGGAGCCAATACAGCCGTATATCCCAGCCGCGTTCCTGTAGTTGAGATGCAGTGCGTGTAATTTCGCTCAGGATATATTGGCCAGAAGACCTTCCTGGAGCTGAGCACGCTTGTATCGCCGCCTGGTTGTCTGTAAAGATGATTGCCGTATAGGTCTTATGGGAACATTGTGATGCCAGTCCGCCCGCGTTGCGTATTTGGGTAAGTGCCATCTTTATGCCCTGCAATTCCGCTGCATATACAGTGTGGGTAGCTGGGGAGCCAATGCGAACAGCCTGGCGCCCCAGAGGTGAAACTACCGCTGCTCCAACTCCCTGTTCTGTCAAACTGCCATCTGTGTACGCGAACTTTTATCTATATATTTTCTATGTATGTACAAGGTCATGCCAAATAAAAAACAATACATCACATCACATCATAAGAACGGAAAGCTCATCCAACCCTCACCATTTCCATCCCAACCCCACAAACAAGTAACTTCACACCCTCCCCCTCTCCCTCATCAGCAACCCGAACAACATCCAAAGCCGCAATATCCGCCACAGGACTATAATGATTAACCACATTCCTCACACTAATCGCCTCCACCCCCTCTTTCGCGGTATCCAATTTAACCGACCAGATTTTAACCCGGTGGTCATTGCCCGAGGAAGCAATCGTCAAATCAACCATTGTGTTTCCGTCGGCAGATTTCCGTTGTGAGATTACCTTGACGGTTGTTACGGATGCGGTGTGCGCGTCGGGGATGCTGACTGTGTAGACGTGGGTGGCTTCGTCGGTGGTGTTGGTGAGCGATGTGTGGAGGAGGGAGAGCGTGAGGGCGTTGTCGTCGCCGCTGGATGCTATCAAGGAAGTTGTTTCTGAAACGGGTACTAGTTCCAGGGATTTGATGCTGTTGGAGTGGATTTGGTAGCGGCTTTCGCAGGTGATGTTTGTCGGGGTGGTTGTGGGTTCGAGTTGTTGTTTTAGGGATAGGTTTGAGGCAGTTATTGTGTAGAAGGGTAAGAGGACTGGGGTTAGGTTCCAGAAGGTGAAATGGCCGTCTGTGGAGGCAGTAATGAGACCCATGAAAGAGTCTCTTTGGATGAATTGGGCTTGTGTTAGGCAGTTGCTCATGTATGTTCCCTTCGCTAGGAGGGTGAAGCCGTTGTCGGTGGATGGGGAGTAATGGAAGATCTATCATTATCAACATTGGCTCAAACAGGCTTATTCTTGGACCTGAAAAGGACTCACCTTGATCACAGAGTTCGGGAAAGCCAAAACAACCAGAAAGCCACACTGGCCATCCGGTTCCTGAACCTCCAGGGTATCAAAACTAGTCACCCGACACTCCGAATCCGGATCCTCCTTTGGAGTCACGCCCACGAGCAACGTTGCAACTCCAAACCGAGGAATCCAGCGTATCCTCCAAGCAAAGAACTCTTCATACCCGGAACTGGTAAACAAGTACTCTCCATTCTTCGACCACCCCACCTGCTGCAGACCAGCCCTGTGCTTCTTGAGAACCCGCAGACTCTTAAATGCACCCCATAGGTCTTCCTTGTCGGGCTGCATCGGCGCGAAAAGACGCACAGTGGTATCCTCAGCTCCCGTGGCGAAAATAGTTTTCTTCCCTGCATCAGTGGCATTAAATGACTCCATGGACTTTATCTCCCTCCCATGACCACCTGCACGCACCGGATGACTAGCCTCAGCATGTACCCGCCGACAATTAAACCCAGACTGATGCCAAATAAACAACCCATCACCCGGATCTTCAAGACTAGGCTGGAAAGCCCAGTTCCGACGTGCACCACCGCAAAAGAATCTAGCGACTTCGGATTGCATTGTCTCGTTCCAGACGACAAAGTCCATGCCGCGGAAGCCGTAGAGCATAAGGTCGTCTGAGGTTTTGTCAAAGTATGTGCCTTCTACGTTCTGGTTTGCTGCTGGGGAGGAGCGGTGGACGGTTTGGAAGTTGAAGGAATCGGTGGTGGGGTTTGTGGTGATTTCGTGGACGCAGTAGTTTCCGTCGCGGCCGCAGGTTAGGAGGTAGTCGGTGGATGAGCCGTCGTCGTGGGTGCTTGAGGAGAAGGATGTGATGTGGTTGACGCCTTCATCGCCGTGGACGAGACGGATGCTTGTTACTGGTCGTAGCAAGTCCTCGAAACTGTCGCCAGGGCTTGGTATCCGATACACGGCAAGTGAACCGTTTTTGAATCCCAGAACAAGATATTGACCACCGCAGACGAGAGAGGCGCATTGTACCTCGGAAGGATAAAGAAGGCACAAGGGCATGTTTTGCACATGTGGTTCTGAACCCTCCTTTCTTGTGACGGTGAAGAGGTTTGCCCTATCGGTAGCAACATAAGAGGCAACAAAGGAGACGGATGGACTAGACGAATCCGGATCCGAATCCAGGGCAAATAGCCCAAGCGGTCTCTGATCCGTCTGAACAACCTTGGCCAGTGATTTACTTTGGTGATCATATAAGCGAATCAATCCTCGTGCATTGCCCAATAACGCCACTCCCTTTGACGGTAGGCCAGAAATGACAGAGTACCCACGGAGATCATCTTCAACGCAGAGAATCTCCTTTGACACTTCAGGCTGCATACCGAGTTCAGCCACATTCTGAGGCCCGACATATCCCAGTTGAACTTCTCCATTCACGGACGTTGCGATGAAACAATCTGGGGCGATAAAGTCAAATGCTTTGAACGGCACTTCCTTCTTGCTTTTCTTGGGTTGATTGTTGGAAGGAGCAGGTGCAACGGCGTTGTTTGATACATCTCCTTCCTCATCAACCTTGAAGGTCTTGATGGCGCCGTCATTGCCTCCAGTATGAACAACAACCCTACCATCGACCTCGTGCAAGCTCAAGGAAAAGATATGCTTTCCAGTGTGATAATGGAAAGATGAAGTTTCACGCAGACCAAACTCCGGTCCTTGAGAATATTGCTTCCAAGTCAAATCCCACAACAAGCACTGCGCATCCTCGCCACGCGATACCAGCCGTAACTTGCCATGCTCCACCGTCGCCGTCGACATGAAATGAACACTCCATATCCGAGCAATATGACCAAAGGCCTTCGCGATGCAGGGTTCCGACCCCAGTTCCCGAACAGCGCCAAAGCCCGTACTGCGGAGTTCGAAACCGTCTGTCGAATATGCCGATGGATCGTTGGGAGACGCACTATCGCAATCGGATATGTCCCAGATCCTGACGGTTCTATCATCGCTACAGCTGGCTAATAGCCGGCCTTGCTTGTTGTTTCCCAAATTAGGGATCGTGGGCGAGATTTCAACGCCGAAAATAGACCCCTCGTGACCTGTGAAGAAGTGGTGGATGGAGCTGACTGCGTCGGAGCAGAGACTCTCCGGGGCGTTAATGAAGCACGACCATACGATAATCTCACCAAAGACAGTACCAGCGGCAACCAGAACGTGGGATGGTGAAAGTTGAACGGTGTGTGCTGAATAGAGCATGGATTTGACACTCGTTTCCAACTGGTGTAAATGGAGGGCGTTTTCATACTTTGATGATGAATCTGCTTGCACGAGATGTAAAGCGATGAGAGCATTATGCGCCGTGACAAGATAAGCGCATTGCTTGTCGTCCTCGTTAGAGGCACATCCAGCCAGAATCCAATCCGGCGCTAGAAATTCCGCACTTGCTGCTGATAGCGTGGTCTGATTTCCCCCGTGGTTCAAGTTAATAACCCTAACCGACTGTCCTCCCCAAGCTACCAGTTGCACAGGTTCACTGTCTGCATTCTGCGCTGTCTGGTTGAGAACCGCGAATCCATGGATGTTGTTCCTCTTGAAGGTCTTGAGCTCAGCAACAAGCTTGCCGGTGTTCTCATCAATCAAGCGACAAAATAGACCTTGTCCTTGCAAAATGAATCTCCCGTCCTTCACTTCAAGTGCCTTCAGTGCCGTAATAGGAAGGCAAGCATCAACGTGCTAGTGGGAGTCAGCGTTATGTCTTACAGCACTAGTAACGGAACAATCACTGACCTCCAGCGAGGAATGCATTGGCACAGCGACAACGCACAGCCTGCCTACGGGAATTTCGTAATATCTCAATTTAAAATAGTTCGCACGTTAGATCGTCTCTTGATTCCCCGCGTGAAATTCCAAAAATTCGGATTATGTCATCTGCCCTGGCAGGGCGCTTTTCCAGATACGGCAGTATTAAGCACGTGATCTCGCGCATCTCGTATCGGAGTGGCGACGCGAAGAGCATCGCCTCGATGACTCGAGATACGGACTCGGACTACCATGCTGCCATACTTGCCAACTTGATAATCCTGTGACGTCCCCATACCAACATGGGTGTAACCGGGCTGTGGACAGTCGTCCAGCCCTGCGCACGACCTATCAAACTCGAAACACTCAATAAGCGGCGCCTAGCAGTCGATGCATCAATCTGGATATACCAGTTCCTAAAAGCCGTGCGAGACAAAGAAGGAAATGCGTTGCGCAACTCGCACATCGTTGGATTCTTCCGCCGGATATGCAAATTACTATACTTTGGGATCAAACCTGTCTTTGTGTTTGATGGCGGGGCACCGCTTTTGAAGAGACAGACTATCGCTGGTAGACAGAAGAGGCGGGAGGGGCGGAGAGAGGATGCTGCGAGGACGGCGGGGAAGTTACTGGCTGTGCAGATGCATAGGAGTGCGGAGGAGGAAGCCGAAAGGCGTAGGAACAGGGCGCCTAGGGAAGAGGAGGAGATTTCTGATAATCCGGTGTATGCGGGGGAGGCATTTATGACGGACAGAGAGAAACAACAGGCTCGGCAGTTTAGGAAGAAGGACGCTTATCATCTTCCTGAGCTTGAGATCTCGCTTGAGCAGATGGGTGCGCCGAATGACCCGCGTATCATGTCTCATGAGGAACTGGAGGAGTATGCGCAGCAGTTTTATAGGGGTGAAGATATTAATCTCTACGACTTTTCTAAAATCGACTTTGATAGTCCGTTTTTTATGAGTCTTCCCGCTACCGATCGGTATAATATCTTGAATGCTGCGAGGCTCAGGAGTCGATTGCGTATGGGTTATTCTAAGGAACAGCTTGACCACATGTTCCCAGACCGCATGGCGTTCTCCAAGTTTCAAATCGAGCGTGTGAAAGAGAGAAACGATTTGACGCAACGGCTGATGAACCTGAATGGCATGAACGGGGAAGATGCTTTCTACGACTCAGGACAAAGGATTGCAGGAGAACGCGGCAAGGAGTATGTCCTGGTGAAAGACCCCACCAATGAAGGTGGTTGGGTACTTGGTGTCGTTGGCAACAAGGGCGAAGGCGGGGCTGAGAAGCCTATTGATGTTGACCGGTACGGACAGCAAGAGGTGCTTTTTGATATGGGAGAGTCAGATGACGAAGGAGGATTTGAGGATGTGCCTATTGAAGGGTTAAACAGACTTCCTAAGCTACCGTTTCTTCAGAAGGGTGCTTTTGATGAGTCGATTAAGGCTCAACGAGAGGTACCTGATGCAGTTGAAGACGATTCACTTTTTGTACAAAGCGACTTGGATGATCGTTGTGGCATTGACAACATTTTCGAGGACGGGAACGAAGATGAAGACCTTCAAAAGGCAATCGCCATGTCATTGCAATCGGCTACAGATGCTCAACATGACCACGATCTTCCAGAGATCTCAATTAATAGGAATGCTGCAGCACCAGCACCACTAAATGAAACAGAACCCAGTTTCATGCCTCCTGAGAGTGACGATGAGGAAATGGATTTCGCAGCTGCACTAGCGCAGACAAAGCGACCGGAAAGAGAAGCACCGCGTCCCGTACCTGCTGATCCATTCGGGGGACCTTTACCGTTCGAATCGATCAAACTCAGGCCAAGTGCGGAAAAGCCGCAAGATAAGGCAATTGACGAAGATGCGGGTGGTTTTGTGAAAGAACCTGCTCAGCCGGCAAAGGTGGCCAAGGAGCAATTACCCCTGCCACCGTGGTTCTCTGCTGAACACAAGAATGCCGAGTTTGTCCTTGATAAAGTTGATGATACTTCGCTGGAAGGTTACCGGGACAGCATAATGACACCGAATCGTCAGTCTTTGAAGGATTATCGGTCTCCGGATGTCATTGATGTTGATCAGGAACCGGAGGCTAAGAAAGAGACAGATTCCAAGGAAGTGATTGATCTTGAGGCTCCAGCAGAGAAGGGAACTGCTGAAGCTATTAGACTCCCAACTACGGACAAGGAAGATACTACAAATGTGGCGCCGGAAGAGGCTCAAATATTGCTACCAAAAGAGGACGTCATTACAGAAAAGCCTTACGAAGGACCTACGGAGACTAAGGAGCCAAGCCCCGTTGTTCAAGAGGACATTGAACGCACAGAACCATCCCCCTCGCCGGAATTTGAGGATGTCGCGATTCAGCCAGCGAAAGCACCTAGCGTTGAATTCGAGCCTCAGCCCCCTACTGGGTTCAATCAGCAGGATGCTCTCTTTGTAGAAGAAGGGGACGAAGAAAGAGAACAACAGGAAACTGCGATTGATCTCGAGGATGAAGATCTGATGCGACAGCTTGCAGCGGAAGATGAAGAGCATGCTCGCTTCGCAGCCACGCTGAATCCCACAGTACCTGGTCAGAGTGCTGCAGAGTACGAACAAGAGCTCAAGCAGCTGCGCTCCCAGCAGAAGAAGGACCGCAGAGATGCAGACGAGGTTACGCAAGTCATGATCTCGGAGTGTCAGCAGTTGTTGACCCTTTTCGGATTGCCGTATGTTACCGCGCCTATGGAAGCCGAGGCGCAATGCGCAGAGCTGGTCTCGCTCGGCCTTGTTGATGGTATCATCACCGACGACAGTGATATTTTCCTCTTTGGAGGAACGCGCGTGTACAAGAACATGTTCAACCAGAGCAAGTTTGTCGAATGCTATCTAACATCAGACATGGAGAAGGAATACGCGCTCCATCGACAGAAACTCATCAGCTTCGCCCATCTTCTCGGGAGTGATTACACAGAAGGCATTCCCGGCATAGGACCCGTCACGGCACTAGAAATCCTCGCCGAATTCTCCGGCCTAGAAGAATTCCGCGACTGGTGGACACAAGTCCAACTAGGCACAGACATGTCCACAACCACCCACCCAACCTTCTACAAGAAATTCAAGAAACACGCCACCAAAATCTTCCTCCCCCCAACCTTCCCCGACACCCGCGTGGAAGAAGCCTACCTTAAACCCGAAGTCGACTCAGACCCATCCCTATTCCAATGGGGCGTGCCCGACCTGCACGGACTCCGGAATTTTCTCATGGCCACGATCGGATGGAGCCAGGAACGCACGGACGAGGTTCTGGTGCCGGTGATTCGCGATATGAATAAACGGGAGCAGGAAGGGACGCAGGCTAATATTACGAGTTTTTACCATGGGCCTACGGGGGCGGGGGCTTTTGCGCCGAGGGTCCGGAGTGGGGGGAAGAGTCGGATGGAGAAGGCGTTTAGTCGACTGCGACAGGAAGCTGCTACGGGGCAGCCTGATGGAGATATCATTGATGCTGGTGTCGATGTCGATGTCGATGCAACATCGGGAGACAACCCTTCTCCACGTTCTCCTTCTCCTGAGCGTACCACCGGACGGAAGGGCAAGGGAAAAGGGACGAAACGAGGAACCACCACCACGTCCCGGATCGATTATGAAGCGACAGCTAAAAAGCGAAAAACCAGAAAAAATGCCAAAAATTGAAGCCTAGTGGTTGTGGTTTGCACTGGGTTAGTGGGGTAGACCGAGAACTCCACCGGGTCTGGCGAAAGAGAATTGATATCTCAACTGCAACATGCGAACAGGGAGAGTGTACCTGGAGATCTCAGCGATCAGTCGATCATCCGATATCTACAAGTACAGCATTACATTCAGCATAGTATATCTGTGCTGCCTTCGATCTTGACTTTATGATGGAGTTCAGGGGTAGATAGAGTACAGTAGTAACTACATAGTATCTTAGATGACACTATCATCGCCGATGGCCAGCGCATGACATCATGTTTCTAACCATGACGTAGAAGTCACCAACCACCGCCCAAAAGGGGAAAAGCCAAAAATAAGACTAAAATGGGGAATTATTGTTAAATACGACCTTCCCCTTTCCACTTTTTACCCGTGGTTCTTCAAGTCAATTCATCACCATTACTTACCTGTACTTACCTACATATCAATCTCAATCCGGTAATATAGCCGGCGACGTCACGGGACACTTGCCATTGCCGCCCAACTCAGCAACTCAGCAGCGTCTATCTTGACTGATCACCGTCTTCCTCCGCTTGCGGCTCGGGTCTTCCGTCGCATCCCGTTCATCCTCTGGTTCCCTCTTGACTCCTGCACGTCATCTCTGCGCAAAGGATCACTCCCTCTGAGACACCCCCTCGATCAATTATTTCCCTTGGCTCTCTCTCTCTCTCTCTCTCTCTCCTCCCATTTTTCCCTACTTATCCACCCTCCACCCCTGATTTCGCGTCCGGTTCCTATCCCGACCGTCCGATTCCTCGTGTACCTACCGAAGTCAGTCGAAGTCGAAGTCGAAAAAAAAAAAAAAAGAGGATCGCAATGCATCGCACCTATTCTATGCGCCAATCGCGCGCCCCCACGGCGTCCCAGGTCGAGAACCCCCCGCCTCCGCTGTCGACTACAAAGACCAACAGATGGCTCGGGAAAGGTGGTTTGGGTAGGTTGATACCTACATGTTGGGATTGAGATTAGGCTGACAGTAACGAGCAGGCCATGCCTTCCGTAAGAACACCGCCGGTGCTTTCGGTCCCGACCTGGCCCGGAAACTCTCGCAATTGGTCAAGATGGAGAAGAACGTCATGCGCAGTATGGAGTTGGTCGCAAGAGAGCGGATGGAGACTGCCGTATGTACCATTTTGTGAAGGATTGGGATGATATGATATGCTGACAATGACAGCAACAACTGTCCATCTGGGGTGAGGCCTGCGATGAAGATGTCTCGGATGTTACCGATAAGCTGGGTGTTTTGCTCTACGAGATTGGTGAGCTAGAGGACTTGTTTGTCGACCGTTACGACCAGTACCGTGTTACTATCAAGAGCGTTCGTAACATCGAAGCCTCTGTCCAGCCTAGCCGCGACCGTAAGTTCCCTTTCGTGAATTCAGAACGCTGCGTACTAACCGGTCACAGGTAAGCAGAAAATCACCGACGAGATCGCCAAGCTCAAGTACAAGGACCCCAACTCGCCTCGCATCGTCGTTCTCGAGCAGGAATTGGTCCGTGCTGAGGCCGAGTCCCTCGTCGCCGAGGCTCAGCTGTCCAACATCACCCGTGAGAAGCTCAAGGCCGCCTTCCAGTACCAGTTCGATGCTCTCCGTGAGCACTGCGAGAAGGTCGCTGTCATTGCCGGCTACGGCAAGCACCTTCTGGACCTTGTTGACGACACTCCGGTCACTCCCGGTGAGACCCGTCAAGCCTACGACGGATACGACGCCAGCAAGGCCATCATCCAGGACTGCGAAGATGCCCTGACCAACTGGGTGTCCTCCAAGGCTGTCGTCAAGTCGAACCTGTCTACCCGTTCCCACACTCTCTCCCAGCGCCACCGCGACAACACCTCCCGGACTCGTGAGGGGGTCGACCTCTCCTCTCAAGACCAGCCCTTGAAGGACCGCGACTCGTGGGTTCCCGCTGACCAACACCCCGGCTACCAGCCCGAAGATGAGGGTGAGGAAGTCGCCAGTACCGTGGATGGCGAGACACCCCGGGGACGAGAAGAGGAGAGAGCACCAGTGGTCTCTGTCGTCTAGACCGGCCTTGAAAAAAAGAAGACACTCGAGTCCATCCAATTCGAATAATACCGCCATACACGTTTTGGATTATAATGTCTTTCCCATGTTTGATGTTCCGCTTCGTCACACCCCCAATGAGTTCTGTGTTTCTATTGTTTCCTTTTTTTTTTTTTTTTTTTTTTTTTTTTTTTTTCTTAATTCTTTATATATTACTATTTAATTACACCCCATGAAGGAAACGCTCGTCTTGCCCGTGCTTGTGCCTGATGTATCACTATTCTGATGTTCATTCATGATGTCACGACTACGGATTGCAAAAACGAACTAAAAGGGCAAAAGAAAAGCAAAAAAGCGGCAGGGTTTGGGCAAGTTTGAGCAGAGCATACGAGGGTTTCTACATTAATGATGTAATACCATTTGTGAATTGAATTGTGATAGTGGTTGTGTATGGAGTTTAATTGGATTTATTTAGTCTTTTTGTCTTTTTTAGTAGGTTAGTAGGTCTATGCATGTCCACTCGAGCATGATCAATTTGTAGACGATAGCACCAGATATCAGCGGTGACTGAATAGCAAACAAAAAAGAAACTTATGTATCACAGGGAGACTTGGGACATACGCTGCAGGTTGAAATAAATCGAGGACAAACCGCATTGGCTTTTCACGCTCCCCCCCCCCGGTAATGTCTGGCCGGATTTCTTTGAATAGTACAATCGACCATTCTAGAAAATCCAGTATACTGCATTCGGGTATGATAGGGGGAAAAATAGGAAAGGGGTTAAAGAAAAGAAAAGAAAGAAAGACAAACACGCGCTGGCTGTATATTCTCAACCCTACATATTAGTTACTACTTCTGTTTTGTCAACTCCCTCCCTCTCTCCACAATGCCCTTATGCCCTACCACTTGCTCACTCCCTCCATTCACAGCCAGATCTACCATCACTGCCGCCAGCTCATCTGTCTTTACTGAAGCCATCCATAACAAACATCTCAGCAGAGCACTTCCATCTTTTGCCAGAACTGCCGCCGGTCTCACAGCATATGTCTTCACATTCTGGTTCTGCTTTCCAAATTCCAGGAAATTTGTCTGGGCAAGCCCCTGAGAGGAGTCAGCATATAGCACGGTAACACCACAGAGAATGAAGGTGTCGTAAAGGACATACCCGCACATGTCGTCCTTTAGCATAGAACCACAAATTCTTCTCTTGGTCCGGCTCTGTAAAAGCACCACCAAGATAGATGTATCTGAACGTCTTCTTGACATCCAAGATCCTCAACAGCGCTTCCTGAAAAGCCTCTGGGTACTCTATCTCCACCACTGGATCCCAATTATATGTTCCGATTGACCTTCCACGGTTAGAGCGATTGCGAGATAGTGGCATAAATGCTAACTGAGATTTACCATATACAAGCATCCGCACCTTTCAGCTGCTCTAGAACGGAGTCAGGGTACGAGTTGAAATGCTCCATGATAACCACGGTAAGTTTGGGGTTTGCGGCTGCTTCAGGAAGGGCGCGGCGGGAGAGCGCGATAAGGGAAGTTATGGAAGGGGTTTCTAGGCATTGATTGAGGACTTCTTTGCCAATGAAGCCGGTGCTTCCTAGGAGGATGGCTTTCATGTTGGTCGGTGTGAGATTTAACAAGAATGAGTGTCCTGATGAATGGCAGTGAGGTAAGCGAATTGATGGAAGAGATGGAGGGTTGGGATTTAGGACATGGCTTTTAACTGACATAGTACATAGTACCTCATCTACATACCGTTTGCGGAGCGGAGTTGCGGAGCGGAGCTTGGTGGGGAACTCCGCCAACTCTACGCAAGAGCCTTCTCCACAGATAACTAACAATAGCACTTACAAATTATACCGATGTAGTTATCACCTATGGCGGAGGAGCCAGCTCCCGAATCCGCCTCCGCCTCGCGGCAGAAGAGCTGCAACGCCTGTGTGAAAGCCAAACGAGGCTGCGACAAGCGGCATCCGGTCTGCTCAAGATGCGAGGGGAAAAAGATTTCATGTATCTATGCCAAGCGGCCATACGCCGAAGCTTTTCAGAGCGGCTTTGACTTCGATCCGGTTGAGTTGGATATGCCCTGGGCGGGATTAACTGCTCCGTCGTCGTCGATTAATCTTGTTGATGATATCCCAGCTAGCCCCGCCACCTGCCTGCCGACTCTCGATGCATTCATCGACCCGTTCCTAACCTTTGCAGACAACCAAGCCACATCATCAAGTGGCATGCAGCTTGTCAACAGTGCGCGCGGGCAGCTCGGTCAACAACAAGAGAATCAACAGGGACTCAGTAAATTTGATTATGCTCAAATGGCTGATATATGTGTTTGTTACTCCCTCATGAAGTCATAAAAGAAAATATGCCACCGCTAATATTCAACAAGATACAATACGAGCCATGGCAGGTCTACGACCCAAATACCAAGATGCATTTCATTGCCCAAAGCCTAAAAAGCTACCCCAGCACCTTCGTCAAAGACAGCCACACGCCCTGGATGCATAGGTATCTGTACAAAGACCAAATGCCGTCCTCAATACAGTCCTGTCTCACTGTCTGTGCACTTTATAGTAGCATGACGAGTAGCAACAAGGCTTCGGTATTCAGAGTTCTTTGCCAAAGTCTGAGCGAGCTCAAGCAGCAACAGCAGTTGGCAAACACTCCTCTGGAAAAGCTGGCAAGGGCCCAGGCGCTATTCTTATATCAGATAATCTGTCTGTTTGATGGGGATCTTACTCTAAGATCCAATGCTGATCGGGACATGCTGTTATTGCAGGACTGGCTGGATGACCTGTGCAAGATTAGAGAGAACCTTGGGATGCCAGAGTGTGTGAATGGCCTTGACATTTGGGAGACTCCAAGGTCATGGGAGGTGGGTGCTCCAGTTCTTTTCTCCCATTCCCATTCCCCTCACTGACGGCCAAAAGTGGTGGATATTTTCTGAATCTGTCCGGCGAACCATCGTCATAGCCTATGCCTTCCTCGGGCTGTGGAATTTGATGTGCAAAAATAATGACCGTAAGCCAATCACTTCCGTATTTCACTGTCCTGACAGTCTCCCCTCATTAACCTGCATGATGCCAAAGATGTATTTTTTTCCGCTTGGAAATACCTTCACTGCTGGACCATGTCTCGACCCTTGTGGGAGGCACCGTCATCCTTCGACTTCTTTCTGAGCTGGAGGAACAAGCCGCATCACATTATTGAGAATTTCGAGTTCGAGAGCTTTCTCGAATGTGGAAGCGCCGACGATGTCGATGATTTCGCCAAAGTCCTCATGGTAGCGTAGGTAGTCCCAAGTCTTCAGCAGCATGTGGATGTTTGCTAATTGCTGGCACATCAGTTATATGGGGTTAGATGAGACGAAGCAGTGGTTCATGGACAAAGGCTCTGTATTTTGAGAGTCTGGATATCATTTTGTAACATAACGGAGTTCTTGCTGGGCTGTAGATATTCTACCATCATTTACTTCAATGGTGTCGAATTTATCTCGCATTTAGTTACAATTTATTATTGGCAAGCATCATTTCAATTCGTATGTAAATAACATATCGGTCATCATCCTTCTCACCTCAAACCGGTGCCCATATAAACCAGCACCAAGGGAGGCAAGCTACTCCATCACAAGCACTCATAGGTTGTCGCAGCTTCCACGTGCTTGGGCTTGGGCCGGAGTCACAGTGTAGTTCCCCTCTCCCGCAATAACAACGGTGCTACCATCAACACCAGTGATGGTGCAAAAGCCGCCTCCATTTGAGTAGATGCTCTGAACAACCGTCGGATTATCTAGGGTGCATTAGCACGCGTTTCTCTCTAATGGGCAAGAGTCAGACTTACCGATTTTAACTAGCGTGGTATCTGCGGGAAATGTCTCGCCGTAAGAAGACCCGTCAACGCCGTAGAAAGTCAAACCCACGTTGAAGACCTGTTTCTTGACAGGGGTTGCACTTGTAAGGGCTATAATGCTGGACAGGATGGCAGTGATAAATGAGGGCTTCATTTTGATTGTTGTTGGGAGATAGTGGTTACTATCAAAATGGTTTGAGGTGGTCGTGGGGCTAAATGAACCGCAGGATCTTGGTGTACTTAGCGATGCTTCTATGGATGAAACTGAACTGAGTGATATCAAAGCAATGCATGCTGGAAATACACTTGATATATTCTATGATACGAGAGAAAAAAAAAACAAAGCATGGAAGTGGTTGCTACTCCTCTCGTATTCGATATGCCAAATATAGACCGTGGAACACGAGCTTATTATTAGCCTTTGCAGATCTGTATCCATCCATCGACATTATTGTCCCAGTCGTGCCTTGAAGAGAATACAAGGGTGGCCATGATCACGGCCCAATGTATAGATGAACATACGTAGTATCATGTCTTTGCCACGTAAGTCAACCCCATTTTAGGGACAGGAAAATAGCAGTGGATCTTGGTGCGCTGTACAGCCCCAAGTGCAAGCAAAACCATCCATTCGAATTGATAGATCTAGAAAGTACATATCGTGCCTTGGTTGAACGGCTTGGTTGGTCCGTCAGCAGCCTGTTCTGTTAGGGATAGGGTGGAGATAAGGGACAACAGATCCATCGGCAATTTTTTGGCGCAAGAAAATTGTATCGTCTGTTGACGTGCTTGGTCATTGGGCTCTTCGATGGTGTAAAATGCTGCTTGATTGTCCATCTGGAGTATTGCCGGACATTTTGTACGGCAAGGTGTATTGACGTTAAGTTTACCAAAAAAAAAAAAAAAAAAAGAGAAGAAGCTGACCTCTTTGGGGTAGCTAGTATCATGGCGATGTATTCCGATTCAGTTCTTGATAGTGCAGCGGTTGACTGCTTTCTTTGACATCCAGCGTACAGGAGTTCCTCGGACTCTGGGGTTGAATCTCTTGGGCGTCTGGTAATCATCCCAGGATGGGGATATACGCCACCGATAGAGAACATAGATACGACCCGCCAGCCCGACGTGCTGAACTGAAAAGCCCGTCCACGTCCACGTCACTGTGCACCTCTATACCGGTGGATGAGCTTCGCGAAATTGAGTGCGCTGTTACGCGACTTCGATCTAAGCTGCCCACTTTCAGAATTGGTTCTCTAGCCATCAATTGTGAATTTCTGTGTGATGTTTTGAAACGGACAAGTCTTTGTCCGTCTGCACCCCAGGGGAGGGACATGAATTCAGCGGTGAAGTGCTGCACTCTGATGGAAGATAATCTCGTATGTATTGGGAGATTCCTGCTTGTATTAATATCAACTCGGAATGGAATTGCATGGGCTTAATCGACTGTAGATTGCAAATCAAGCAGTGCTCTCCATTCATCATTGTCTTGCATTGTTTTTACGATACTCGTATGCATGTTCGTAGTGGTTACTGTACCATGCATGCAATAATAAACCTGGATTGGGCTTCATCCGTGGCACATGGTACAAGATGCAGACTCATTATATTGGTCATTTTTGGTCAACCCTTCCATCTTGGTGTGAACTAGATTTCCTCTCTGTCCTTCACAAATAAAACTATCTCTCATGACTTTTCTGGTGTTACCCAGTCCTTGATACTTTAACGCCGCAATTGAAGGTATCTCTCAGGAATTCGAAAGTCTTTTGTTGCATGGTTCTGCCTATTTGTTCGGCTCCTGGTCACCATCGTGTATTGCAAATCACGTTCCTCATAGATGAGCAACATGAAGTTGATTGATTTCAAGGGTTCATTCTGGTCGCTGGCCATTTTTGTAGCGAGTTTTTTTCTTTCTCGTGGGATATGTGCTGTGCACGTGCAATTTGCTGAAAAGTCTTGTGGTACGACATGACTTCAACTGAGTGAGACGAATTAGCTCAGCGTCTTGGAAAGGCCTTGTGGCAATGGCCATAAGATTATTCTGGTTTGGCTATATGTAGCATGTCAAAGCAATGTCTTGGCTATGAAATCACAAGATGGAGTGTGAGGAAGAAGATTCGATGAACACCTATAGGCACCCGGGACGAATGGCTCGTATCGTTCTCTCTGTTACATTCCCTTGAGTACTTAGGTAGATTTGTCTCTCCATTTTAGTTTAGAATTTCAAAATGCGTGCCCGAAGACAAGCTGTAAAAATAGCATCGAAGACCGGTGGTCTCTTCGACACAATGTCTTCCCAGCAATCCCGAACCTATTCGTTAAGAAATAAATCTGGGTTGGGGGGGCCTCAGGCAAGCTGGTTTAACCTCCTATCCAGCGCGAAGCTTTTGCTTTTCCCAGCAAGATGGAGTGTAAATCACCATATGGTATTCATAGTGCTGAACAACAGCCGGCAGCGCCGTATCATTAGCCGCTATGACTGCCTTAGTGACGTGGTCTTTCTCATCGAAGGAACCTCTGTAAGGCGAATACCTGTGTTCAATAGTAGATCTTAAGCATCCATCAACAGGGTAACCAGATACTAAGCACTCATCAAAAGTCCGTAGGCGCAAGCTAACTGTGGGATGGCAAGCCAAACGACAAGCACTTGAGGAATAGCCAACAAGCCCAAGGTTTGCGGCGTGTATGACAAGAATTGACTAATTTCTCGGTTATGTGCTGTCTCGCGGACACAGCAATGGTAACCCAATTCAGACGAGCCAGCCGTTCCCTGGGCCTTTTTACCCGGAATGGGCTCCTCGTCCGGTTTCGGAATAACAAGTACGGATCATCTGTAGTGGTATAGGTAGCTAGAAAAGCGCATTTTCGTTCTGTGTGGGTTAGATGGCGGCATGCGCGCCGGCCAGTAAGGTTTCTTGTGGGCTGTACATAAAACTCGGGTGAGTCCAAATAACTCAATACTCGAAGAACCCAGTATATCGAGGAATGAACCCATAGTCGAAGGAGACGGGGTCGAGATGGGATCGAGATCATATTGACTGAGACCAATGGACCAAAAAGGCGCCACGGTGGTATACTGATCTGGTTTGACTAGTAGGACTTGAGTCTAAGTAGCATGTCAAACGAAGGTGAGAAGTAGGGGGAGCGAGGGAGGAGAAAAATCACAGGAGCTAGAGACCTGAGTAAAAGTAGGGCAATAGACTCTATTGTTTCTTACATTCACTTGGGCATTTCTGTAGACTCGGCTAGTCACTTAAGAGTATGCCGCAAGTGACAAGCTACTGAAAGTAACATCCAGGCCCGTGTCGCCTAGAGTTACTCCGAAATCATGATTGGGTACTACCAGTACCAGGCATACAGAGTAAAAGTAAGTTGTGCAGATTCTTGAAGAGTGGATATCTCATTTCAATCTGATACTGGTAGTATATCCATCAATCCATTAAAAGCAGGGGGGGAATTAGAACCAATCAAAATCAAAGCGATCTTTATACACGCAACAAGACCAGAGTAATCAAATCAATCAAGAAAGCAAGCAATCAAATGACAATAACCTCGCACCGTGAGAAGAACAAAGGACCCCCGTGTAATGTGGAGAAGCTCAAACTCAGCTCTCCGGATTCAAGCAAGCATCAGCAGAACAAAAACACGAAACACAAGTCGTGACATCGTTAGGTGATTTCATCCCAGATGATCAAATCAAACTGAAAAGAAAAGGGAAGAGGAATAGAGCAGAGAAGGAAACAACGCCTGCCGGTACATAAGTAAGAAAGGAAAACAATAAAGGCAACAAGACCCCAAACATGCAATGGTAATAGATGTAGGCAGCATATGAAGCAAAAGAAAGAAAAGCAAAGATATCAATATATGGTTTTTTGATATTTTTTTTTTGAGTTTGGGTCGTTCAAGCGTCGGTCCCTACGCCCTTCTTTTTTGGCTGAATATGTTTTTGTCCGCTACCCGTCGCGTTCGAGGTCGACTTTTGATTCTTTTCGGTAGTCTCACTCGACGATGGGGTCGTACGAGAAGAAGTGGCATCATGCTTCTCTGTCAAAAGGTTCTTCAACCATCGGTTCTCCATCTCCAGTTGGGCAACGCGAGCTTCGAGGGCAGCATTCCTCTCGGTCGTCTCGCGCACGCCCCGCTCCAGCGTTTGCTCCCGTTGCTTCTTCTTCATGCGGAAGCGGGCGCTGGCGGCGGTGTTGCGCCGCCGCCGGTCTTCTTCGGCAGAATGCCGGGCATGTTCCTCTTGCCCGAGGGCGGAGGCGATACGGTCGCTGGGAATGGAAGTGCTGTACTTGGTATTCCCGATCTGACCGTTTGGTGGTGAGATGGACGACGAGACATCAGAAGGCGTCAAGGCGCCTGGTGCATGGCCCAGGTCGTCGGTAGTGTAAGGGATTGGTGGGTAGATCGGATGAGCCGAGTATGAAAGCATTTGGTCTGTAGGGAGAGAGTAGTTGATGGATTTGTCGGCTGTTGGATGGTGTAAGTGATGGTCTAGATAAGGTGTAATCAAACAGTGCAGTGAGGTGAGGTGATGAGATGATAATATATCAACAGAAGCAAGCTCTTTAAGGACATCCCCCGGGTATAGGGTGCGGTTGATCAACAGCAACAGGAGACAGAAGCGCAAATAAGCGATGGATAACACCGGGGTCTCTCGACGGTGTCATTGGGGTACGCTATTGCGTGCTCAACCACCAGTACTCTGCGTCGCCCGACACCCTTCGAGATGAGCAAGTGCAGAGGGCGATGAGATCATGGAAGGCAGAAAATTAAACAAGGGGGGGAAATACAGGTGATAGAAAGAAATGAGTCAGGGAGGATGCAGTTGTACTGGTCGGGCTGCTAGAGCCCATGCAGCAACTGAGGATGTAAAGACACGTGGGAATGGCACGCAATAGAAAAAATTATTAAAATTCAGACGAAGCTTTCCCCAGACAGCATTGGACAAGTCAGACAGACCGAGTGGCCTCAGCACAAGCTCTGATGCTGCCATCGATCTCATGCACTGCACAAAACGAACCATAGCCCAGGGCGATGGCGCAAAAAATGCAACATTTGAAATCATAGAAAAAAGAGAAGGAAAAAGCTCAGACTCACCATAAGGGTAACCTCTGAGATCCAAGGAACTGCGCTCGTCCTCGAGCGACTCATACGAACTGACCGAAAGACCACCCATGCCTTCCGTTTGGTCGTAATCCATGCTCACGCTGTTATTGAGCGGTGGTGGTGGCGCCAGACCGGTCGATTCGGCGTCAAAGGAATAATGGCGACTCTTAGCCAGGGCAGGGTCGTGACGAGAAAGGAGGAAATTGAAATTTTCCAATCTATCAAAACTGGGCGCAGGTTGACGGGGATGCTGTTGTTGTTGCTCGTCCGCCATAATGACTGGTGGATGTTGGAGACAGAAAAAGAGAGATAATAGCAGGGGAGGGGAACTAGGTATGCACCTCGGATGCTGCCTTTCTCGTGTTTTCTTTTCTTTTTTTTTTTTTTTTTTTAAATCTCTCTCCTCAAATCCTTTCTCTTTCCGGTTTTTCGATGGGCGTCCGGGGGAGGAGAAAGGAGAAAAAAAAAAAAAAAAAAAAAGTAAAAAAGACCACCACCACAAGGGCAAAGGGAAAAAAGTCTACCCAAGACGTGCCAAAGCTCCGGGTGAGACGGGCAAAATAAAAAAGATCGGAAAAATAATACAAGTACGAATGAAAATAGTTGCAGATTGATGGAAGGTGACTTGTCGCAAAGAATTATATCGGACCTTCACTCACTCACGCCTGGACTCTCTGCGGCGCAATTGAACTAACGCGGGATAGAATGGGCCAGCCACGTACGCAATAGGAATCGTAGAGAATTCGGAGAATAGCAATTAAGAGTAATAAATAGGAATTATATGGACGGAGATGAAACGGACGGCGAATGGAGCGAGAGACAAGACGCGACGAATGAGAGAGAAGCCGGAATGGGATGACAGAGATCAAGGCGTCCAGGAGAGACAGAGAGAGACGCGAGAGACACAGCAAAGGACTGGGAAAGACTGGGTATAGACTGTGATCGTCTCATGCCCTCAGAGGCTAATTGATGATCTGATGGAATGGAGAAATGTCGTGATCGCGCACCCTGGTTCGCCAGTCACAAGCCGAGGATGATACACCGCTTTGGTATAGCGTAGCTGAGAAGGATTGAGGATTAAGAACCAAATATGGATAACAATGATGAGAGATTAAAAAGTGAATATAAAAGTGGAATTCGAAGGGTCGAGGTTGAGGTCGAGAAGTGAAGTAAGAAAAGTGAGAGACCGAGGTGAATGTCCCGATTGATATACGGCTCTCCGTACAATTGTTCTGCCGTGTCTCCTGAACAGGATATCAGGTTCAATACTCCTGCTCCATACAGCCATTGCGTCTGTTCCGAATAATGTTCTTTTGTTCTTCTGGTTGGCTTTTGACTCTCCCTCTGGTATTACTCCCGATTACCGGTACTAACCGCTTTATCAGCCGTTCTCATGACGCGGACTTGTAACACCCTGTATTGCTTTTTTTTTCTCCCCGCGCTCCACGGCGGGACAAGAAGCATCGAATTGTACAACTCACTACGGAGTACTACTGTCTCGCTAAGGTAGACTAAGGCACAAGTACTTTGTCTTTTCTATGGTACGTTCTAGCACTGACATCATTGAGGTCCCGTTCAACCCAAGTCTCGGACTTAACCTCGTCCGTGCTGGTCTGTGGTCTATCTGCATGTGGTCGGCCGTAACTCGCGTGGCTTCCGTATTTACTCCTTTACTCCTCATTCTCTCGTTTCACTGAATCTTCTCGTCCACTGCCTATGATTTCCGCTGCATCTTCAACCGTTGTTCCTCTCCTGCGATCTCCAGTCTTCTCATCTCCCAACACTGTATCCTCCGCAACGTTCCGATACACCTCCGCGAAACTATCATAAACCCCCGCTCCAATTCCGTCCCAGTGTCCCTCAGTATCGAATGCCTCTCCAATTTCTCGCATCTCGTCAACCCACCGATACGCCTTCGGAGCCATCCCAACGACCCCCTTCTTAGCCGTAGACCCAACTGCCGGGGCATACTCATCCAGATGCTGAAGCAACTCCGGAAGCAACGATTCCTGCTGCGCCGTGGAGAACGACAAGATCGAAAGTGCGGTGAGTCCCTTCGTCAGGGCAGCAAACGAGAGTTTCAATGTCGATGCCGCACCAATCTTGGCGGACACCAGCTTCATGTTCAGCACCTCTGCCAGTCTGGGGAATGAGGTGGGGAGTTCCACGTCACCCGAGATTACCAGACTGGGTTTCTTCCAGTGTCCTTCTGGTGAGTTATTGGATGGTGGGGGTCCGATTATTCCTCCATCGAGGTAGTGGCATAATGCGGATTGATTCCCCGCAAACAGGGAACCCACTTCTGTTGACAGGCGGGCTGAGGTGGCATTCAAATCGAAATAGTAGGGTTGACGTCTTGTGGAGAGACCATCGACGTCTTCAATGCTTTGTCGCTTTGCACTCGTGCTGGGGAGTTGATATGCAGTTACAATTCGATGAGCCGTAGCAAGCGCGTCTCTTGGGGGTACGATAGATAAGATATAGTCAGAGGATACCACCAACTCCTCGTCAGATTGTAGAGATTCGATCGACGCTGCCCGGATCCGGGCCAGAGTATGCTCACTAGAAGATGTTAGATGTAACGTCCCGAACAATGGATTGATAGTACAAATACTCCGTACCTTCTACCCTCTCCCACAGTGAGAACACGATATCCATGAGCCCTCAAAAGTTTCGCAATACCAAGCCCCATTTCCCCAATGGAGAGGATTCCCACTGACACAGGGCGCATTGTGGCAATCTTTACCCGTACTGTGCAACTCGAACCGTTTGAGCAGTGCTCGAGTATAAAACGGGGATGTATTAGATTGCTACAGATTGCGGGGTTATTGGCGATTTGTCAGCCAGCGATATAACTAAGTTAGTTATACACCATTACCCTTGTTGGAGATCTGACATGCATTGAAGCTTTTTAGTTCTTATGATCCTTGCTCTGTGTTCCGTACTCGGAGCACATGGTGGTGTTTCCAATTGGTGGGCAAAGAAGAATGATCCGGATGGGCACTCTGATATATATCCGGGAAATGGATGCATGTTTTCCATCGATGCTACTTACTATCAATGGATGTTATTAGGGGCGAAACATTACCTGCCCTACGAACGTCCGGGCGATATAGGTTTTCTAATTATTGTCAAATTCCATCTGATACACCCCAGGAATCTCGGGGCAGCTGAGTTTTCGTGCGAGGCCGTTCTCATTTGATCACTTGGATACTCCGTAGGGACTCTCGAGTAATTAAGGATTATCTCTGGAACGCCACCATTGATCACTTTACAATGGACAGTTCACAGTGGCTGTTTAAGTAGACAGTAGCGTATGAAAGCAACTGAAATTATTTTCGGCCTGACATATCAGGTACCACAGAGATGTTATCCCCGCCAAGAAAATATCTTCCTCGCACGCAAGAGATCAGTCCATCCAATTTCACCAATTCTCCCATTTCGATCGATCAATTTAAAGCAATCCAACTGCGAAAGTCCTTCTTTCTCTGAAAATATTCAGGATAATGGCTGCTTCACCACTTAAGATCATTAATTGCCGTTGCGCAAACCCGGAGTTTCCTACGGAGTTAGGAGGATGACTGGCGTTGCTTTTGAATAGTGGACACCCATGCTGACATGATAACTGGTATGGTTGTTAAGGGTCTCAATCAATCGTTTTGATATTTAACTGACGAGCATTAGGTGAACCTCTAGATCCCAGACGTTGATGTGCCTGAGTCACGGAGCAAGTACATAGTAGTGCTTTTGTATACCCCGAGCAGAGAACCAGATCTACTACGGAGTACGGGTACAGAGCACAAGATTCCTAACCAGATTCCTGCCGAACTTTCACCCAGACAGGGTATTTATTCTGCACAAACTACGCCTATCGGACTGGCCCGACACCGGGCTCCGTACCAAATATTCTAAACGCCTCCGATTGATCAAACATCAGGGATTCTTTTTTTTTCTTCCGTCGATCTACCATTGAGAGAAAATTTCTTCGACCATCGAATCAAGTTCAGATCTGGAGAATTCCAGGGACCGATACGGAGACCCGGAGATGTTGGGGCCGACGTTCCGAGTGCAAGATTACTAATGTCCATGAATGATGGCTCAGTGACAGCTCCGCTGTCCATCCAATTCTATTCTCCATTCTCTATTTGCCATCTCGCTTTTGCGATCATTCTTGACTACGACATACTCTATACTGGTGGGAACGCTACTGCCACAGGTCGTTGAGCTATCTAGATTGCGACACTGCTGAAATAGCAAGATATCAGATAATCAGCTTTGATCTGGGGTACTTCGGGCACTCGGCTTACCTCACTTTTCATTGCCATAATTTGCCATTCATTTGTCTTTTTCTTCTAAACCAGTAATCTCATCTGCCAAAACAACCCGCAAACCGGTATGATCCGCCTGCCCATGACCGCAGAATAGCAACTGCTTGGTTGAGAAACCATGCAAAATCCAACTCCCGGACTTGGGACCGCTCAGGATAGGCGCTTTGTGCCAAAGAGCGCAGCACCCAATATCAAGGGCCATGAGCCTCTTCCCCGAAGGCGCAATGCACTGGTAAGAGACTGGTCCCTTTGACATCATAGAGGATATAATAGTAAATCTTTCTTCCTTCCATATAGACGTGCGATATGTGCCACAAGAAGAAGACAAAATGCGAACTCGAAGGATCCAATACTGTCTGTGTACAATGTATGCGCCGTAATACGAGATGCAAATATACCACAAGGAGGGAGAAACGAGAGAATCTTAAGAGGTACGCCATCATTCTCTACATGTTGTGTGGCAAGACCATAACTAAGATAAGCGAATCCAGATCGCAATACGTAAAGGAACTGGAGGAACGCGTGAGAAGGACCGAGTCTTTGCTCAAAGCAGCTGGTCTATTAGACGAAGAGGGCGCCGGCCAGGACGAACTCGTTGACGGCGAGGGAGACCAGCCGGACAGCGACAGCGAACATGATAATGGCCGAAATGAGGATATCTCTGGAACGAAAAATTCGGGGGCCATAACGGATAATCAACCGCGTCGTCATTTGTCGACGGGCCAGAAGTCAGGCTCTACGACAGGCAACCTTGATCGAAGCTCGTGCCCTCCACTCGGGCCAAAACGTCCGCCCACGAATCGTGAGCGCAAATACTCAGCTACCGGTTGTAGTGACCTTCAACATATTCCGGTTCTCAGGGCAGATGATAGGGAGGAGTCTCGATACTATGGTTTGTCCAGGATCTTACCAGATTTACGATGCCGTTGGTAACTGACTGGCTATAGGACGATCTTCCTCCATGTCTATCCTGTCGCGACAAGGGATAGAATGGATCAAAGAAAAGACCGGCGACGTCAAATTTCTCAGCTTTTTGACCACCGATTCGGACAAAGATAGCCCTTGGGATTACTGGCGGCCAGATGTGTTCCACGATCTGTTTTCTTCGCAAGTCTTCAAGCCTCTTCCGTCAAGATCAGAAGTGTTCTCGTTAATGAAAGATTACTTTCGCACATTAAATCGTCTGTTCCCGCTCTACCATGAGGAATCATTCATGCGCCTGGTGGAATGGCAATACACGCAACAAACATGCGACGATGCCGCCCGCTGGGCCAGTATAAACATCATCCTCTCCTTGGCTTACGAATATCGATTCTCCAACAGTCTGAAACCCGAAAGGGATAAGGAGAAGGCTTGGATGTACTTCAAAAACGCCATGTCGGTCTTTGTCGAGTTGACTCTCCGACGGACTGATCTGTTGAGTATACAGGCGCTATTGGGCATGGCACTTTTTCTTCGCGGAAATTCAGGGACTCAGTCGGCGTTGCCGATTATCACGGCAGCTATGAGATCTTGTCATCGAATGGGACTTCATAGGGATCTTCCCAGACCTCACTTCTCGCCTGTTGAGCAGGAGCAGAGGAAAAGGGTTTTCTGGATTGCTTATATTCTTGACCAAAGGTAGCTATCCTTCCCACTTCGTATTGTCATTTCTCGTGCTAACTCTCGCAGCACATGCGTCCGGTCAGGAAGCGCACCAACTCAACACGTCGACGACTTCGACGTAGACCTCCCCTCCGAAGAAGATGACGACTACCTAGTAGACAACTTCCAGTCCTTCTTCCGCCACCTCTGCCGCCTGACCGTCATAAAAGGCCGCATTTGCTGTAAGCTCAACTGCACCAAAGCCCTAGACAACCGCTCCGTCGGCGAAATCTTCCAAATCATCGACGAACTGAACACAGAGCTCGAAGAGTGGAAAAGAAACGGCATCTTCGACCTCCAGTTGAAAATGAAGCCAGCAGGAGAGGACTTTCTGTTTGGGTTTGCGACGGCTGGTCTTCGACTTGTTTATTATAATTTGTTGATCATGGTTCATCGTATCCCACTGATTGTCCATTTCATTCATGCCCGTCATATCCCGCCAGATAGGCAAAAGGCCTCTGATCTACGACTAATCGCGAACCAATCCGCCACATCCGCAACAATTTGCCTCCAAGCCGCCCGGGACACCCTAAAGCTCGTGAACAGCTTGCCCTGGGGCGACATCGCCTGGATATGGTCCCTACTATACTACGTCTTCCTCGCCGTGATAACCATCTTCGCACATGTAATAGAAGACAGCCGCCACCCAAAAGCCAAAGAAGACGTCAACCTGCTCAACATCGCCTCCACGTTCCTGGGAACCCTGATTCCCGCCGACGGCTCGTGTAAATACGCACGGTTCATGGCGCAGATGAGTGCGAATTTCGAGCGCATTGCGTGGGCTAATATTGAGAGGGTTGAGAGGGCGGGGGAGAGTTTGGAGTATCGGGCTTCTACGTCTGTGACTGCGTCGCCGAGGCTGGGCCATTGGCATGCGTCTGGTAATGAGTCGAGGAGTCCTTGCGCTTCGCATCATGTCCAGTGTCAGGATTCGGGATATGTTACGTCTCCGGCGTCGAATGTGAATATGGAGATGAATATTCCGCGGGTTGAGAATTTGCCGCATAGTCTTGCTGTGCCTGGCCATAATAATAACGACTACCACCAACCGTGTCAAGGAATGACGGACGAATTACCAAACATGAGCCCCAACTACACCACCACGACCAACACCCCCGCTGCCCCCATCAACACCCACTTCTACACAAACCCCGCCAACAACCTCTTCCCTACAAACCCCGCCCCAATACCAACCCAAACACAAACACCATCAACCGACACCCTCCCCTTCTCCAACCCGAACCCTGATCATAACCCCTGCACCGGCACAGGAACGGGAACAGGAACAGGACCCTGCGTCGTCCCCTCACCACCGAATCTATGGCAGATACCACTTACGGCGGATTGGGAGTTTAATCAGTTCTTGAACGGTATGCCCTCGGGTATACTCCCCGGCCCTGGTACTGGCACCGACACGGATACAGCAACCAACACGAGTGCAGGCTATCCATTTGATCTCTCAACTCCAGGATTAGGAATAAATCCTGATCCTGGTCCTGCAGTCCCACAACCACCCACCCTAGCCCCTACTATGGATACCGGAAATATAATGGGCTACGACTACGGCACCCAAGCCCAAGCCCAAGCCCAAGCACAAGCGCAGATGCAGAATCTGAACCAGGGTCAGAACCAGAGTCAGGGTCAACAGCAGCATCAACTGTATCAGCAGTTTATGGATGCGCAGACGCCGGCGCAGGTTATTGATAATGTGATTTGGTTTGGGGGGTTTGCGGGTTTTTAACTTCGGTTTGATGATGTGGGTTAGAATGTACATTAATTCAAATGAGAATAGTATAGTAATGATGAATAAAGTAAATATGAAATAGAATGGATATATGACAACCATAAACGGTAACTATAAACAGAAACAGAAATGAATGAACCGAATACCTCAACCCAGGGAATCAACCGACCAGACCAGACCAGACTATACCAGACTATACCACAATAACGCCTCCGTCCTAATAAATACCAAATATAAAATGCAACAAATAACGCCTAACCGAACCTGTCCATCAGAAACAAACTAAAAAACCGTCCCCGTAAGCATCCTCACAGCCCGACTCCAAACCCCATTCCCAAGCTGCACCTCGCCCTTCTTCTCACCAATCTCGTTCGCAAGGATATCTCTCATCTGGGCCTCCGAAATACCGACTTCATTCCCAGATCCGAAACCGTAGACTTTACTCGCGAGGACGTCTGTTTCGAGGTCCATGGTCCCGATGCTGTCGCCGTCAGTGTTGATGCGTGTTGTGATGGCGAAGTCGATGTCGATGCGGCGAGTGTTGTTGCCGTTGGCGTTATTGCCGTTTGCATTGGCTTGGCCCTTCTTCATGGGTATCTTGGAGACCTTCGACGAAACAGTACCAAGAATGGTACACCTTGCCCTGAGAGAGGGGGCATCTTCGACCTCGAGGAGTTTGAGCTTCGTCACGCCGCAGAATTCAAGCATGCGTGCTTCTTCTTCCAGGTGGAGGACGAGGTCCCAGGCTTGCGAGACGAAGCGGAGCATGTGCTTCGGTGCGGTGGTGGATTGGGTGATTGCATTGAGGTGTTTCTGGAGGGATTTGAGGACGAGCGAGGCGATGGGGGTGAGAGGGGGTGTGAGTGCGGAGGATTTCTTGCGGTCACTGGCGCCGGGGGCGTAGCGGAGGTCTAGGGGCATGTTGGAGGGGTTGCTGGCGGAGAATGCGCGAGGATAGAAACTGAACTGGAGTCGGTTACGGTAGGACATGGTTAAGGAAGGATCTCCGGACGAGGAAGCGTCGGCGGAGATGATGGACCATCCGGTTTGCTGTTCGATGTTTGAAACGGACTGCTTCAACTCGTTGATTTCTTTTGCGCTCCAGCCGCGGCATTCTTCCTTGACTCGTTCTGCTTCTTGGATTTGTGCCATGAATTGGGCTTTCAGTTCAGTTCCGGCTTCAACAGTGTCGGTCTTTTCTTGGACTTCTGTTTGGAGTTCCTGGAGTTCTTGCTTCTTGGATGCGATCTCGTCCTCGATGGTGGCGAGATTCTCCCGCGCGGATCGCAACTCGTCCTGGTCGCAGTTCTCCATCTCGTCGGCCAACTGTTGCAAAGACGTAGCCTCTTGCTCGAGTGATGAGTGTTTCTCAACAAGTGCGGGTACGACGCCATTTAGAACTGCTTCGTGCTTGGTCAAGACCTCATCGTCGGCCTTCATATCATCTGCATGCCGGTTAAGACCTTCTTTCAAGCCTTCGAGGAGCTTCATCCGCCACTCGTACCATGTAGCCTTGCTAAGCAATCGAGCGTGGGTCTTGACGTTGCGGAATTGGTTGTCCATGATCGAGCGTATGTCTGAAGGAGCAGCCATATACTCGCGGAATAGCGCCGGGTTCTCCGCATACGTCTCAGCTTCGATGGACCGGATGACTTGTCTTCCTTCGGAAATGTACGACTTCAACTCTCGGCAGGACTGTACCAGTTAGTAACATGTCAATACGTACTGAACGAGAATACTCACATGCTGATATAACTCGAGCATCGGCACCGTGCAGAATCCAGCAGCAACGCCGTCCTCAAAAGTAGCAGGCTTGGATGCTCCCTCGACAGACCGTCTAACCGATGACCTCCGACTGGCACTTCCAGGCACGGTAGTATGCCGCCTCTTCGTAGTCGTAAGCTCCATGAAATGAATATTGGTCATATTTAAAAAGTCCTGCAGCGGGATAGGCTCGAGCTTTTGCTCGGATTCTTCTCTGGCAACTTCCTCCTCCGCAGGCTCCTCCGCAGAGTTGAACGACCCCGATGCATCTTTCAGTGGACTCAACGCCACGTTCTTGGGCTCCTGGATGGGTGTAGTACTGCCCTTGGTCGGCGAGCCGAAGAGCTTCTGAGGGGGCGAAAATACCAAACGTCCAATAGCTTCATCCTTGGCTGGATGCGCGGGAAGTCTGATGTTCTTAACCGGGCTAGCCTCACGACCCTTCAAACGCTTGGGTGTGTTATCAGAGCCCTCTTCATCGTCGCTATCATCCAACTCCTTCGGTCGCTTTCCGAGAACACCCTTAGCAGCACCCACGTGCAAGCTTTTTCGGCCCTTAAGCTTGTTCTTCTTCGGGGTAAGGCTCGAGATCATGTCCTTAAGATTCGAGGTAGCATCCCGCTCGCCTGCTTGCCATGGTGGGACATGGCCATCTTCCCGGTTTTCCTCCTCTTCATGCTCACGGTCGAGCTCTTCCTGGAGTTTCAGCGGATCTTCAAAGCGCACCCCGCCCTGCTTTGGCTGCTCTTGGGGAACAAACTGAGAAGCTTCATCACCAATGGACCGACGTTTATCGAGCATTTCTGCTACACGAGGAGATCCCAGTCCTTCCTTGTCTATTCCGAGTCCGGACGAGCGCCGTTTCTGCGGCCGAAGGATAAACTGAGGCGTTGACTGCCCCGTGGCCGCATTGTGCTCGAAGAGAGCCGTAGCAGGCGACTTGGGTTGGTTGGCAGACTCTTGGTGTTCCGGTTGAAAGAGGCCATTTCCTGAGGGTGGTGTCTTCAGAGGGGTTGAGGATTGAGTAGCCTGAGGTGCTGGTTGCTTTGACGGAGTAGTTTGTTCTTCAGGCGGTGATGGCTGTGGTGTCGGTGTTTTCGAAGGTGCACGTCCCAAGTTTTGTCTTGTCCGTCGAGACCTCACGCTTGCTAGGTCAGGGCTGCCATTCTCAGCGGCAATTGTGAAAGGTGCAGGCGATTTCGGAGATTTGGTGGGAGATTTAGGAGGAGACTTGGCAGGCGACTGTCGGACCTGTTCTTGGAAGGGTGAGCTTCCCAGTTGACCAGAGTCTGATTCATTATCCACTTCCTGGTTCTCCTGATCCTTGCCAATTTGTTCGGCCTCAGATGGCAGAATCGTCCCCATAGCGGCCGTAACATCCATGCCGGCGGTTTGGTCATCCTGAGGTTCAGTTCGCTCCTCAATTGGTGGCAGTATTCCGCCAAGGGCGCCGGTCATTTCCATGTCCAAATCCTCTGCATCGTCTTCCTCGTTATTCCAATCAGCGAAGTTTGGCGCTGCACCGCGCGGGGTGTAAGACTCTTCGGCAGCGGAAGTATTCTTGTTGAGGACACCGCCGACAGCCGACGTAAACTCCATGGTCATCTCCTCGTCGTCCGCATTGCTGTCAGCACCTGTAGACTTTGCAGGCGAGACTGGTTGTGCGATACCGCCAACCACGTTGGTAAGTTCCATAGTCTGTTCATCGTAATTCGTTTCCGCGCCACTTGATTGACGGCGAGCGGTGCTCTGGCGACGACTTGGCTGTTTTGACAGAATTCCTCCGATGGCATTCGTGACATCCATACTCATTTCCTCGTCATCAGCACCATCTTCTTGAGCATCTTCGTTGGATTGCTTAGACGGGTCGATGTTCTCCTGATCATGTGCAGCACTAATATCGTCCCAATCAAAACTTTGTCTCTCCCCTTTTTTGATCCAAGGTTGAAACGCGCCAGTGATCTCTTGCGTGGCCATCTCCATGGGCATGTCATCGTTATCATCGTAGTCGGGGGCTTTCGTCCCAGCTTCTTGAGCAGCCTGTTGTAAAGCTTCATTGAGTCGGGCAGAGCTGCTACTGGATGCAGACTCAGCCGTTCGAGCAGTGATATCATCCATACTCATCGCAGTGCTCTCAGCGTCGAACCCTGCATCAGAAGCCGAATCGTCATCGTCGTCATCGTCATCCCTGGCCACACTCTGTAATCCAGTGTCGTCACTACCATCTGCAGAGCTTCCACTAAACGGACTCGAAGAAAGGTCATGAGAGCCTTCGTAAGGGCCAGCGGTTGCTGGACGATTGGCAAGTTCTTGCAGATCAGGGTATTGAACGGGCGAGAAGGCTATGTCGGAATCCGCATCACCAAAGGGTGAAGATGGTGGGTCATTCTGTTGAGGAACAACTTGAGGTTCTTCTTGTCTCTCAGCGTTGGGCGTGGACGAGGCGCGTCTGGTGGAGTTCGATGTAGAGGACGAAGTCGAGTCATCGGGAATTTCAACGACATTCCAGGTGTGTAGTGTCGCTTCCGGAGCAAAGGATACCCGGCGATTTGCTATGATGCGTTATGGTTAGCTCAGATATGTATCGTAAATGACATGGTAACGAACCCATTGACTTCCGGCGTGCTTCCCTTTGTTCAAGAATTGCTTTCCGTTCTCTTTCTCTCTGTTCCCTTTCTTCCTTTTCCCTCGCAGCAGCAATCGCTAATGAAGCATTGAAATCATCAAAAGGATTGGCCGTATCCTCAGCATTGGAATCCGGAGGCCGTGCGGGGGTATCAAGGTCAATCAATAAGCCCTCCTTCTCCTGGCCATTTCCTTCATTTTGCTGCGAGCCACGAGCAGGAGTCTGTTTGCGAGTTTCTTCGAAACTAGGAATGTTCTGGACGGGCGAAACGGGGACGGTAGGCTTGAGGATGCCTTTGACAGGAAACGCGGTCGTAGACTTGCGTCGGTTGCCGTTGGAATTTTGTAGCGCATCTAGACCACCAGGGCCCAAACTCTTGCTACGGGACTTCTTGTCTTTTCCGGCGGTCTTCGCTGTGTTGCCAGGTGGTTGGATTGCGCCAATGTCGGTCGTGGAATTCTCCTTGTCGATGGTCGACGTCAGTCTTGATCGAGGGACATGGGCGATAGAGCGACGAGATCGCGGTCGGACGGACCCCGCGGAGTCACCTCTGGACGCCATGGTTAAGATGAGAGGAGCATAGGAAAAGATAAATTGAACGGGGATTCGTATAGATTCTTCTAATGACAATAAAACAACGACAACCGTCGTAGTGATAACCTCATCCGTACTCCGCCGCCAGCGCGTCTCTCCCCCCGTTGCTCATGTGATCGCCGGATGTAAACAAACCAAAAAAAGCCCTAGCCGAAATCCACCATTCCTGATCTGGATTAGCGCCTCTATCGCACACTCACCAACCACACTCAATATTATCCGCTCCGGTCGAATAAATCTTCAAACTAACATCGACCGCAGGCCCCGACACCCCCTCTTCGCGACGAATTTTCGACTTTGTTCTCCCCGTCGAACTGAATTCTCGCAACAATGGCGACCGAGTTGACCGTCCAGTCGGAACGTGCGTTCCAGAAGCAGCCTCACATCTTCCTTAACTCCAAGACCAAGGCGAAGAGCAAGAAGGTTGGCCAGGGTCGGAGATGGTACAAGGACGTTGGTCTTGGCTTCCGTACCCCCAAGGGCGCCATTGAGGGTAGCTTCATCGGTATGCGGCACCTACGTTGATTTTCACGATTTTTCCGGAGTTCGCATTATGGCTTTGATCTTTGCGGAGATAGAATGAGAACGACATTGGAGATCGGGGACGGCGGACTTGCACTGGGAGGACTGGAGTGGAAGGACAAGTGCGACCGGGAAAAAAAGAAAGGAAAAAAACCAGCGTTCTCCAACTGTCGTCTCATATCCAGCATCCCGAGATCAAGCCATGTGAATCGCACGGACTTTGAGAACGAATGCTAATTCCTACCAGACAAGAAGTGCCCCTTCACCGGTCTTGTCTCCATCCGTGGCCGTATCCTGACTGGCCGTGTCGTCTCGACCAAGATGCACCGTACCATCGTCATCCGCCGTGAATACCTCCACTACGTCCCCAAGTACAACCGTTACGAGAAGAGGCACAAGAACCTTGCTGCTCACGTCTCGCCCGCTTTCCGTGTTGAGGAGGGTGACTGGGTTACCGTCGGCCAGTGCCGTCCCCTGTCCAAGACTGTATGTGAAATTCCGATTATCAGTTCGATCCTCGAGTGGCAACCGTGATTCGACTTCCGTGGATATTGCGATGTGGCTAGAGGGTTTTGCTTGCCATGCGTGGTACAAATGGAGGCTAATACTATTCTTCTGCAGGTCCGCTTCAACACCCTCCGTGTCTTGCCCCGTACCGGTAAGGCCGTCAAGGCTTTCGCCAAGTTCTAAGCGCGTCGATGGATGATGGGGGTGCTTTGAGAGGGAAATAAAAACCTAGGGAAGCGGCATGACTGGATATAGGCGAAATTCTATTTCACGGGTTGGGATTGTTTTACGAGCTCATGTCCCAGGTACCCTTTTGAAGAAAATATCAATTAAAAAAATAAGAAATTGATCCAACTGTGTACGTTCGTACAGCAGACCGGGGAATCAAGGGGAATACCACGCATAATGGTTTGGGCATGGTGCTTTTTTATGATACAAAATATGGGTTCTTTTTTCTGCTTATTTCTTTTATAAAAGCTGCAGGGAGGAATGATAGTCTTTTCTTCTGTTCTCGACAATCTTCTTGCTCGATTCGTAAATCTGCCTACAAGCGAAGTGCAATTTAAGTCAACGTCTCGACTCTTGCTTACCATACCCTCACGAACTCATCAAGTCACCCACTCAGTAACAGACTTGGTCCCCTCGCGCTACTCCCAACATCGTGATCATCCGTTAAACACAAAAAGGAACAAAACGACTGACAACTCCGCAGCTACCAGAACGCCACACGCTAAGGCCCACACTCACCCTCTCATCGGTCCATCAGAAAGTAGGGAGTGCACTGCGTGAAGTCCACCGTGTCCTCCATAAACACGTCCAGATCTGCGTCCTTCATATTAACCGCGCCCTCTGCCTCTTCGGATGGTTCGAGCGTGTTTGACTGTATACTCGTTTGATCGACGGCAACACTATCTTCGAAGTGGTATACCGGTAGCATTTCTGCGACGTTGTCTGACCACATCTGGTTGCTTGGGTCGAAGAATTCGATTCTTGGGGTTTCTGTGGCGAAAGGCTGGGTGCGTGGGGGAGGACATGGGGTCCCGAACTCGATGGACGGTATGACATTCTCTTTGCCTTCGTCCTCGTTGTCGCTTGCCAGGCTGTGCAGATCTTGGTCCTCGGAGACGACAAGGGGTTCTTCTTGCTGCTGAGAGGAGAGAGAGGATGGTGGCGTTCCCAGCAGTGGTTGCTCAAGTACCGGCGAAAGGGACGGGGATGGGCCCTGCCCGTGGTAGCCAGCCTGAACACCGTTCAGGTAATCACTGATATCCTTGCAACGCGCAAAACGCCAGGAGTGCGAGATCTTAACGGCAACTGCTTCAAGGTAAGGATCAGGCACATTCAGCTTCCGCAGCAACCTCCCAACAACAAGACCAGAGGTACTGTCCACTCTGCCTGGCCCTTTTGAGAGGGCCGTTTGCAGCTCATTGCGGTTCCGCTTGAAGGACTTTATGCGATTCAGCCGCAAAATCTCCCCTATGCCCGCGTCCTCTTCTACGATGTTGACGAGGGTGCTGATCTTGAAGGTGCAGATTATAGCGGGTGTTGGGACCTTGCCCCAGACCAGATACTCCCCAAGGCCTCTGTATCCTTTGATCTTTATGCCTAGGTCCCACACTAGAGATTTCGCAGAATATACCTTTGTCTCTAGTTTCGAGGTATCGATGAATGTCACAGCCGCACCCTCCCCGGTTCGGATCGCGCGGTGGACGGGGGCTAGGAGAGATTGAAAGACGGAAATGAAAGGTGACAGGGACTTCTCAGTGCTGACGTGTTTCGTGGCATACTGTTCGAAATCTTCCCGCGGGATCTCATCTGGGGCAAAGAACTCTTGATCGCTATTCGAGAAGAGCCCGGAGATAATGAGCGATTTCGTATTGACTCCCTGCGAATCGACGTTTGCCCACCGATAGAGGATAGGTGGGATATCCGTGCTGATCTCTGGCGCAGTCTGAACCTCATCCTGCATTCCGGATTTGTTAGAATCAGGTCAAGTCTCTGGAGTGTTTCTGATACTTACCGCCCCTTCATGACAACACCAGAAACAGGCCTTTCCGCCAGCCTCGCAGAGACCCTCTGGTTGGCTAGACACAGAAGACGGGGAGGACAAGCTGGACTGCGTGCCTGGTGGCTCAGTCGAAGGAGTATCCACGTCCACAAAGGCCGTTCGAGTCGATGTCGTAGTATCAACGGGCGTCTGAAGAGGAAGTATTTGGAGGGGAGCCGGCCGCCGCACTTGTCTTGGATTCAAATGAAAGCCTGAAACATCAATGTCATCCATGCTCTTCTCAGCCAGGGAAACACCGATGGCATTGGCAGTCTCTTTGATCATCGATACCATCTGCAACCAAGGACCTTCTGGCGGCGGGAAGGGAACCTCAACATGCACCTGGTGCCATATTGGATCGCCTTTTCTCCTCATGTCCCACCACTGCGTCGACAACCTGGTATACAATTCTTTGTTCGTGAAATTCAGGCCGAAGAGTGAGCGAAAGACCTCACTGAAAGCGTTCCGATCACGACGGAAGAACCGGAAAAGACAGCAGAGGAAGGTCCTGTACGCGTTGTTCCAGTTGATCTTCCTTCGATTCTCGGTAAGGCTCAGAGAGTCCATGGCGAAACCGCAGTCCTAGTCCGCGAGGCTATCTTGCTAGAAGGGGACGGTAAACGAGGAGAGGTGGCTCAGTACTCCGGTCGTGTTGTATCCTCAACTTCAGGTTAGACCGCGTTTGCGTAGTGAAGACAATATAGATGCACAATACTCTGCGCGTCGGATGTTGCGCGTATCTTCAAGGCAGATGTTTATCTCAAGTGTTATAGGATAGTGAATGCGAGGGCGTGTCGCGTAGTTTGCTTGCTCCCTGGGCTGAGGTGGGCTCCATAGAAACAGCCAATGCTTGTGCAAGAGTCTGTAGTCACTGTCTTTCTGTTTACCTACCCCTCATCGATCAGGACCAGTGACTGGACTGTGTCCCAAAGTGGCCACTACTATGTGAGTTGAGCTATAACCTTCAATCTTTGCTTTCTTTGGAACATTGGTATTCCTTTGTTTTGCTGCCAGAACGCCAACGGAGATGGTTGATATGCCCATCTGAATAAGTCAACTGACGAGACCACGAAGAAGCTAATGGATCAAGATAGTAGCATAGGTTCCTGAACGGCGCATACACGCATCGTGAATCAACGGCGTCCTACGAACGTGGAGTCCAATACTGCGATTTCGCCTAGCTCTTGAGATTAGGTTGCCTGGCGGCGTATCCCATTGGTTATTTCCTCAGATACAAAGCACAAAGGCTCGATAAAACAACGAATCAGAAGTGTACTCGGAGCGCGTGATCGTCAGGCAATCTACGAGCAAGTCCGGGGTATTGCAGTCAGCTTGATTGCGTCACCAGGTTCGATTACTGCAGTATCACTAGCAGTAAGCTTATATCATTGCGCAGTCTGTAGGGAGGTTCTCCATATGACGATATAGGAATGCTAGGCCGGGAGAATGTCGGGAGAAATGGTTGCCCGTAGGACGGGATATATATCTTTGTACACTGAATCGCGCATACACAAGCCATCAAGATAATTGAGATTAGACTCTTCACAAAGAAACATTTTCGAGTAAGGAATGCCGCAGCTATACAGATATAGATATATAGAAGGCTGACAGGCGCCTTGCATCACTGGCAGGATCAGATCGGATGCAACAGCCCGACCCCGGCTTAGTCTGACTTAGTCTTATTTGCACTGCTCCACCGCCGTTGAGCTCCTCCGAACCAACGTTCCTTCTCTCCTCTCTTTCTCTTGCTCCATATTCTCCCGTTGTCTCCTTCAGTTAATACGACGTGCATACTTCTATTAATTTGCATATTCCCCGCCTACTCTCAGTCCGGCACTCCCGACCGTCGTCCGGCTGCTGTTTACTCCGTACCCCCCGACAACCTGCGCATCATCACCTGTTCTTAGCAATGGTTCAATAAACTAGCGAACGATGCTTCTCGGAAAAACACTATAGAAATTTCGATTCGGAAACTGCGATATATCCAGTACACCATCCTCATTCTCGCCGCGCACCTATCCCTCTCGTTCCTTCCGACCTCTTCCTGAAACCTGCGGCATTCACTCCTGATTCGCATTCACGCCCAACCTGACCCCGAGAGAAGGAAAAGGGAGAACAACAACAACAACAACAACAACAAAAAAAAAAAAAAAAAAAGACAAACATCATGTCAAATTTTGAGAAATCCGTAAAAGGGGCCACCAAAGTCAAAGTCAGTCATAACTTACGCTTCAATACTTCTACCCCCTGGCAAGGTATACTGATTGCGCGGACAGCTTGCGGCACCCAAATCCAAATATATCGAGAATATCCTGGTAGCAACTCATACCGGCGATGCGGGCGTTGCAGAGATCTTTCGAACCTTGCATATTCGACTTCGCGAATCGACATGGACGGTGGTGTTCAAGGCGCTCATTGTGATCCATCTTATGATTCGAGAGGGTCAATTGGATGCTACGTTGCATTATCTTTCGGACAACCCGAGCAAGCTTGCTATTAGTCAATATTCAGAGGGTGGGTGATACTACGCAGAAGAGCGGAGAGGCGTTTGCTGACTGGGAACAGTACAGCACCAGGGTCATAACATCCGGAGATACGCCGACTATCTCCTCGCGCGCGCCAGGGTATTCGAAGATACAAAGACCGATTATGTGCGGAGCGGACAGGGGCGAATGAAGAGGTTGACGGTGGACAAGGGTCTTTTGCGAGAAACTGAAATGATTCAAAAGCAAATATGGGCCTTATTGCGCTGTGATGTGAGCCGCCAGCTTCCCTTAGATTATCGTTGCCCACGCGTGGCTAATGGTTTTATAGTTATTGGTGGACGATGTCGAAAATGAAATTTCCTTGACAGCGTTCCGTCTGCTTGTGCTCGACCTCATGACCCTTTATGCCGTCATGAATGAGGGTACAATCAATGTTTTGGGTAGGTTCTACTGATCAAATAACATGGACTGTGCTCACGCAACTACAGAACATTACTTTGAAATGTCAAGGCCCGACAGCGAGCGCGCCCTGGAGATATACAAGACCTTCACTGCGCAAACGGAAGAAGTGGTGAACTACCTTGGAGTTGCAAGACGATTCGAAGGCGCAACGAGACTAGAAATACCAAAGCTCAAACACGCTTCCACGGACTTGACGCGACTACTTGAAGACGACCTCAACGATCCCGATTTTGATATCCGGCGAGGAGAATATCTGACACAGAAGAATGGAGGCCGCGCAAAATCGAGTCACGGACAAAGCAGTCGGCCTCCGCCGAGTCCCAAGACTACGCCTAATCGCCCTCAAACAGCGCCTAGGCCCGAGAAGAGACAGACGGACTTGATTGACTTTTTCGATTCGATTGAGCAACCCACTGCGCAAGAGAATCAAATGCGACAGCAACAGTACCTCCAGCAACAGCAGCAGCAGCAGCAGCAATATCAACAGGCGATGCAGTTTCAGCAAACCGGATTCCAACCGCAACAGACCGGCTTTTACGCTCAGCAAACAGGTCTCCAGCAACCTCAACAGACTGGCTTCCAACAACCTCAGCAGACGGGCTTTCAACCTCAGCAGATAGGCTTCCAACAGCCACAACAGACGGGTTTCCAGCAGCCGCAGCAGACCGGGTTCAATCAGTTTGGCGCAAATAACCCCTTTGGACAACCACAGCCACAACCACAACCACAACCGCAAGCCCCACAGCCTCTTCAGCCTACCCCCACGGGTGCTGGTTTTGGCGGTTACTCCCCACAACCACAACCACAAGCCCCACAGCCTCTTCAGCCTACCCCCACGGGTGCTGGTTTTGGCGGTTACTCCCCACAACCACAGTCATATGGATACCAAAGCAATCTGGCACCCATTCCGCAGAGCAATGCTGCGTCTTTCCCATCTCAGCAGCAACCGATGCAGCAACCACAGCAACCTCAACAGCTGCAGCCACAGCACACCAATCCGTTTAGACAGTCAATGCTAATGGCCACACCTACGGGAACGGCCATGCCCTCCGCCACACAGCTTAACCGTCAAAGCACGAATCCGTTTGCACGGCGTATGTCGAGCGTCAACCTCCAGCCCCCATCACCGTCCCAAGCGCCAGCCCAACCCATCCAGCCTCAGCGCACGGGAACCAACCCGTTTGCGCGCAATTCAACCGTGGTTCCTCAACAAGGATTACAGCCTCCTGCAGCGGCACCTCTCCGGCCAAACCCTACCGGCAGTACGAATCCATTCCGGCAGAGTGCATTTGTCAACCAGCAGACTGGACAGGGTTGGCAAGCCAGTGGCCAGCAGGGAACGATGGGCGGCTATGAGCAGTTGGATACGGTGCCGGTGTTTCCACGGCCTGGTATGACATAGCGTGTCGCTGTCTGGTGGTCTTTTCCTTTTCTTTCTTTGTTTCTTCTTGCGTGTGTACTATTGTAATTCTGTTCTTTTCATGTGAGCATTTTTTTTATTGTACTTTGCACTATATATTTACATTTGACAGATTTAGCATGTTAGAAGCTCGCAGTGCGGGCCGTTGATAATCAAAAGCACATACATAATAATCAACTATGCGACTACCCGAAAGTCAATCATACCCTAACTCTTGATCGCGCTTATGTTCCATTTGTGTGAGATAGCAACACTTTCTCCTTTCTTTACTATCAGATGAAAAGGTACGATGTGGTTGGGAAAATGATACTTTTTTCCTGGCGCTGTAGCCGCCAACGACCCGAGTACACTACATGGTAGTACGAGAGTACTCGGAAAAAAAAAAAAAAAAAAAAAAAAAAAAGTAAAGCAAACCAATCAAAGAAAAAAGTAAGGAAAAGGGAGAGAAAAGGCACTACTGGCTGACTTTCGAGTCTACCCGCGTGGCTTTCTTCGGCGACATCTTCGACATGTTCGTCATTGACCCTATCAGGGGCCACCCCCCGTAAAAGGTGCTGTTTTCTCGCGATTGAAAGCCCGCGCATTGTTTGCTTTTTCTCTTTCTCTTTCAGCCAGTGGATAGTTTGACATGTCACGTGTTTGTGACCGCTGACGCCCTGGTTTGTTGACACTCGACCCCTTGGCCGTATAATTACATCCGGAGTCTTTCAGCCCAGGAACCGATATTCTGTACAGTTATTCTCTACCAGCTCCAATTGATACCAATCTCACTAATTCTCTCACAATGCCAAAGACCCAGCACCTTCTTCGAGAAGAGATAACCTATCCAGGAGCACGAAATAAGGAAATCAATGTCCTCCATAAACTCAGATACTACGAGCAACAGAATCGCTTCTTCTCAGCTGTCAATGACGAGCGCGATTGGATGAAAGCCATTGTCGCACATCGTCTTGGTCTAGATTCACCCAATGCCTGCCGCATCGCTGATCGAGATGAATGGCTTAATGGCACTTTCAATCTGTGCGTTTTGGTTACCATTGAGAATTGGAAACGGAGACCGCAATCTGGGAAACTCTTGATCCTTCATTTTCCTCTTCCATATCATGTCGGGGAGGCTTTTTGGCCTGAGAATGCTGACGAGAAGATTCGTTGCGAGGCGGGAACTTATGCATGGCTTCAGCAGAATTGTCTTGATGTGCCGATTCCGCGGTTGTATGGGTTTGCGACGGCTACGGGTGAAACAGTATGGAGCTATATCTTGACCTAAGTTGGGCAATTGACTAATTGGAGATGATGTACTTTACCCACGTTGATAGTCTCCCGTTCTTTAGACGTTCATTTTCTCACATTCGTCGTCCAGGATGCCAGGTTCCTTCAGGCTATCGTCGTCATTTTCTCGGTGGAAACAATATATTCAAAACGAGGGGCGTCGAGACTGAGTATATGTTGATCGAATATATTGAACCATCGAAAGGGAAAATGCTCCCCGTAGAATGGTTCACACAACAGGGTGACAACAGTACACGGAGGAAGAACTTCTTTCGTGATTATTCCTGCATCATGCTGAGCGTCTCGCGCATTCCCCTACCTGTGATTGGATCTTTTATCATTGACAGCAATGGTTTCTTGCAACTGAAGAACCACCCTCTTACTCTAGAGGTACAGGACTAGAATGAGGAGATTCCAACTGGCATACCGCGAGACTACACCTACGATACTGTTGACTCGTATGTCACAGACGTTTTAGGGATGCATGTTAGCCAAATCCAACACCAACCCAATGCGATAAACGAAATTAACGACTTCATTTACTAAATATCCGCCCTAACAGCAATGCGAGCAACATTCCCAACATTCTTCCGCCGAGAGTTGCGCCGCGGGTCCTTCGTCTTTGCCCTTACAGACCTCCACCAAAGCAACGTCCTTATCGATAAAGACCGGCACATCACTTCAATCGTTGACTTGGAATGGGGATGTTCTTAACCAGTCGAGATGATCCAGCCGCCCTACTGGCTTACAGACGAGTCGGTGGATCGAATGTGTGCAAGCGAATACGACCAGATCCGACGAGAGTTTATGGAGGCTTTTACGGCTGAGGAGGAGCGTCTTTTCCCCACTGGTAAGGATATGGTTGTACTCGGTGGTTTAGCGGCTGTTATGGAACAGGCGTGGAAAAGGCGGACGTTTTGGTATTCTCTTGCGCTTACGTCTCCGACGGGGCTTCTTGCTTTGTTTTACAATCACATTCAGCCCCTTCTAACGGTAAAGGCTACTGCTCATGAAACTTTTCATGAGATCATGCCGTGGTATTGGAAACTTGAGATTTTCCAGATTCTGAGACGCAAGGTGTTGGACAAGAAAGATTACGACGCTCAACTAAGGCAAGCTTTTGAGTATGTTTCTGACGACGACGACGACGACGACAACAACAAAAACAACAATACTAACAACAATGAGAGCAACGGCGACAACGGCAACAGCAAGGGCAAAGGCAAAGAAAACCCACAAATAGATACCACCTAATCCTTCTTCTCACTCGAATTCTTCTAGATCTCTGCTCTCGATTCCTATCAGTATCTCTTGAGCGAAATCCCCTTGGGTCGCCATGGCTCTGATTCTGCCTCTGTGCTCTCTTGCTGCGTCGCCAGCAGAGCTGACTTATTAGCGCGCTTCGAGGAGCTGCTCATTCGCCCATAGCCCTGTCGCATTCTCGACTCCCATCTGCGACAACTGCTTGCTGATGGAATCCCTCTTGAGCTTTCTGTCTATAATCGTGCACTGCTGCCGATGAAGAAGAGCTCAATTTTTTGCCGCTCATGGACAAGCCTCTCGCTACTCCATTCCTTTCGCACCCCCTTTAGATCCTCCCAGCGTGCTACTTTCGGATGTCGGGGGGGGTAGCTGCTGGGGTCCGTCGTCCTCGGTTCTTCTTCTATACGTCTCTGCTACCGAAGCAGCATATCTAAATAGTCGGTAGTTCTCTAAGGACGGTCCATTCGTGCTTTCACTTGAGCCTTGCGGTTGCATTTCTCTTTGCTCGACTTCTGGTTGTGCTTCTTCTGTCTCGTCTCTTGGCTGCGGGTTTCGAGACCATCGCCGTCGGATTCTCTCTCTGGCTCCGTATCTATTGATTTTCGCTGCCTTGGATGACAAGCTGAGCGACTTGTACGTCTTCAGGTCACCGTCGAATTTATAATTGATGTCTGCCATAGTGGATTGGTGCAGATCGACCTGTTATATTGTCGAAGGATGTCAGCGATTACTGGATGTATAATACTTCTTCTGTCTTTCCTTCTTTCTTTGGGGGGGAAGTGTTCATACCCTTGTAGATATAATTTAATCTGAGCAGGAGAGGTACAGTCAACCCTCAAACTTTGTATTTGTCGACCCTGGAGAACGACAGAATGGCTAGATCTCAGTACTTAGAATCAAGACGTGACATTCGCTCAAAGGTACAACGAGGGACACACCTACCACAAAACGAGACAAGCCTTAACAAGGACCAAAGAACAACTACTTCTCTTGCAGGACTTGATCGTAAGCCAACTAATCTGTCTCCCTCTCTCTCAACGACGAACCCAGGGTATTAATAGCAGACCAATCGTTAGGCATCACGATGGTTGCTTTTCTTTTTCCATGTCACCATGTCACTCGAGCAAACATCCTACTACTTTACATACACTCAAGCATGACTACATTGACCTATTTGCTACTTCTGCCATATGTGCTCGTCAGGTAGTAAAGACTGACCGCGAGTTTGTTTGTCTGGCTTACTGTGCTGCGGATTGAGCCAAGGTAGGGATACCTTGTATTTTTATTCGACAAGGCTGTGAAGGACATACTTTAGGGCCAATAATACGGTACTGACTGCTAGTTGTGTGACACAGGTATCTAGAGTCCCTATACTTAGAGGGTTTGTATAGGGCTGGCTTCTTACGGTGAGTGCACCGCCACTGTGGCAGTTTACTACTACACGTTTGATTGCCGCTGAGTCTACGGAGTACAGAGTATATATACCCAGTGAGCTACGATACTCTATCGACCGTTACTGCTTTAGTTAGGGTGACTCGGGTTCATCCGCGAGTCACGGAAAAATCCGAGATCCGGACGGTTAAATGCATACATGTACATAAATATTCACAAGCAAGGCACAGTGCTGTACTAACCAGCAAACCCGATCGAACTACACCCATAGTACAAGCATGGCACGAATGACAGTAAACGGTTTAATTAAAGAACACCCTGCATAGTATCCACCATCGGGAATAAGATCTGGATTCGGAGTCGGACACGGCGAGGGAAAAACCTGAAACACGCCACGCGTTTCGGATGTTGAGTATCAAGTCGGGATGATGACTAGAAGCAGTAACTAGTTAGTTGTGTTCGGTCTTGCTTTGTCACTGTGTTTGAAAGTGTCGGAGAAGACGGAAAATACTGCAGAGCCTCACATAATAATTCGCATAGAGCGCTTCAAACGGTGTATCGACTTTCGGCCCAAGTGACGTCCGTCCGTTTTCCGCCCGGTCCAAATCGATATCCCCCTCTGATCTTTTTCTAGTCTCTTCTCTTCCACAACTTCTTTTCTTCTCTCGTGTTCTTTTATTGTACATATTCGCTTGTCACTCTTGTCCATATATATCTCTTTCAGTTGTCGAGCACTTCCGATCCCCTTCCGATAGACAGACACCCTCCGACACAAACGATGATTGCTGAACATCAACCTACGTGAACAGCCTCAGGATAAGCCTCGACTCGCGCATCGATGATTACGGATATGGATACCCAAAATCTCACCGCGCGGTCGTTTGCCCCCGGCCATCACGAACAGGTTCTACCCATGCTAGCCAAGCCCGCTGCGTGGGCTAGTCCGACTACAACTCCTCCTAGTACTACTACACCTCCGACAACAAGTCCTACACCCCCATCCACAGCATCCTCCACAGCAAACACGTCGAATATCGCAGGCGCATCGCCAGAACAAAACCCAAGCCCCCCACCAGCAACTACCGGTACAACCGGCACCACCCAAAACCCCAACGCCATCTCCAAACTGCGCAAACCTCGCAAAGCCAATAATGCAGGCGGCCGCCCAAGCTCAACGCTCTTCTGGGTCCATACGGACCCCCAGTCTGCCTCCGAGGGCACGCGCGAGGAAACCCTGAAACGGATCCGATCGCACGTCATGTCCGAGCATAATCGCAAGAAGCGCGAGAATACGAAGCGGTATAGCAGTAGCAAGACGTGGAAGCATTTGGCGTTTCAGCCCGTTGAGACGACGGCTACGGCGGCTGTGGGGGGTGGGGGTGGGGGTGGGAAGGCGAGTCGGTCCCCTCCTGCGCGTGGGAAGAGTTCGCCTGGTGCGAAACGGACGAGTCCAACTGCGACGACAACGGAGAAAGTGGATAGTCCGGGGTCGCAGGATGAGGTCGCGAATGCGATTGTGAAGGATGCTAAGGATTTCGTGGCTGTGCAGCCATGGGCGTATGTTGGACAAGGTGCTAAAGATCCGTTCAGCATGACGCATACGCCACTGTCAGATCGCATGTTCCGTCATCTTAAAAATTGTAAGTTTTGTCCGTAGACATCATGAACTACTACTAACGCGCCGAAGTCCTCACCAATTTGACCCACCAAGCATATCCACTACAACACCGCTCAGGGCCCAAACTTGAGGCGCACTGGGCGTCGTTAGTACGGGACGACCCGGCATCGTTGCATGCGAGTATATGCGTTGCGGCGTCGAGCACGGCCCTGCAGACGGGGGAATTTCCTATAATTGACCCAAGCAAACAAGCCTCAAGTGCATTGGTTATCGATGCTTTTCATCATCGGGGAGAGACTATTCGACTGGTGAATGAGGGGTTGTCGGATCCGATCAAGGCAGCTAGTGATGAGTTGATTGCCGCGGTTTCGATTTTACTTACTATCGAGGTAGCCACCCCAGTATACCGTACTCTGACCTTGGCTAACGGCTTAGATTGCATCCGGAAACCCCGACTATGTCAAAATCCATCTCGCAGGACTGCGACAGATGGTCGCGCTACGAAGTAGCTTTGCCGATGTTCCACCTGACGTCCGGTTCCAGATCTCATGGTAAGCCAGCCTACCAGTAAGCATTTGACGACGAGCTAATAAGTATAGGACCGACATCCGCGTAGCCTGCATGGCATTCACAAAACCCATCTTCCCATTCCTCCGCTCCCCCCGCCCAACAACCTTCTCCGTAATCCCCCCAACCGACGAAATCTCCCTCCTCGCCTCCCGCTTCATCTCCCTAATCGAAACCTCCCCGGGCACCTTCAGCCCCGAAATGTGCAGCACAATCTACGACCTCCGCGAACTAACTTGGTACGCGGAATGGATCAAAGGCCCACAGTCCCAATCCCACAACTTCACCGACGAAACAGAAGACTACTTCAACAACGAAGTTCTGCACGTGGAATATTCCCTCCACCGCGACCGCTACACACTATCCGGCCAAGCAAAAGGCGACGCGTCCCTCGAGGGCTGCGTCCGTCTCGCCTGCCTCTTATTCCACAACACCGCCATCTGGGACTTTTACCCAATGATGGGGCCCGTCTTCAACAAACCCATCGCCGCGCTCCGAATGGCTCTCGAATCCACCATCGCCGCAGGCTACTACCACACCCCTTCCCCTTCCCCTGGCAACGGTCAAGAGCGCGGCAAAGGAAAAGAAGACCTCCTGATATGGCTACTCTTCATCGGCGCATGCAGCAGCCAGATCCTGCCCAGCGAACGGTCGTTTTTCATTAACGGTCTCGCGGCCGCAGTTAGGATGGAGGGGATTAGCACGTGGCAGGAGCTGAGAGGGCTGTTGATGCGGTTTTATTACGTGGATCGTAAGTATTTGGGGGTTTTGAGGAGCGTTTGGGATGAGATTATGAGTATGAGTATGAGTTATGACCCGGTCGTGTAGTCTGTTGTACATCCTTTGTACGGAGTACATACGGAGCGCGCAGTATATAGATAATCGTAAATATACATATTTAATGACTATATCTTTCTCTGTCTCCTCGGAATTGTAGTACTCCGTAGTAGTTATACATATATCCCCTATTCATCCCCTGAGCATGTATCCGTATTTTGTCCGTAGTGCTGTGGACTATGGACTATGAGTCGGGAGATGATGAGCGACATGTATATCCACAACGGTCCGGAAATGTCACTCTTACTGCCCTCCGTACCACCCCTACACTCTACATACTCTACTCGTACACACTCTGAATAAAGATACTCGTGTCCGTGCAATATGACAGCCCTCGCCAAGCAAACCACAAAGCCCTCCCATCCGTCGCCGAACTTAATCGCATATCATAAAACCTAGCCAGGACTACATACGACTACGACTACGACCACGACTAAAGTACAGTGTACGGACGACTAAAGCACGGAATGACATGACATGGCATGGCATGACAGACATCCGCCCAGGACCCGTACGTAGAGTAGACCCATACTAGCTAGATCCGTAGATAGGGCAGAATAGAATAGGAAATAGTATTGAGCCAATTGACGGTCCTCAAAGCCTAGAGCTACTATGAAAGGAAAAGGGAAGGAGAACACTCGGACCGAACAAACACCACCGTACGGGCCGATTCCGACAAATGCCGAGAGTTCTCCTTGTATTTTCATCGTAATATTACCATATTTACCCCTTTTGATTAGGAGAATTAGAGTAATATCTCGTAACCGAACGAACACCGAGAAATTATCGACCGAGCCAGCGCCGAGACCGTTTCATATCAAATTCGTAGTGCTAATAGTTGGGCTGGGCTGGCTGGGCTTTTATTATAAAGTAAAGGGATTTCCGCGTCTCGTTTTTTGAAGATTTTTTGTTTTGGTGGGTTTGACTGTTTATATCTGCATTTATTTTTTATGTCGATTGTTGTGTGTTGATGGTATTCATTTGTATACTCGTTGCTTACCACAATATACTCCGTTTATATTTCTCTTGTGTTATGCATTGGCTTAGCTGATTCGCCAACTAACTGGCCCTGTACTTATACGGAGTACATACAAGTACTTTACATACTAACGGACTTGCAGCGACTTACACTGACACACAAGCTACAGTCTAACTAACAACTAACTAACAAAGTGACAACCAGGGATGCAAGCTACGTGGACTAACAACCGACAAACACGAGTCATGCGACTGCAGTAGTGCGATGCCGGCAATCTATGCGATGCAGGGAATGTATGAGTACTCCGTGCGAGGACCGACCGACCGGTGTTGCAGGGCGGATTCAGGGATCGTGATTTGTGACAAAGTACGGTCGAGAGGAAGTACCTGTGCCTGTACATGTGGTGTACTGTACGGAGTACTTTGTAGGGAACGGAGGTAAGTCAAATCGAGTGACTCGACTGGATGAAACAGCTAAACGATGATGACAGGAACACGATAGATAAATATCGACAGCGATTTCACAGCAATTTATTAACAGTAGGTACATTAACACTATTACTATACTGACAGACAAGGAAAAACACAAAGAAACAAACTGCTAACACATCATGCATCAGCACAGGCCGAATATCCGCAGTTCAGTCATCCTACGGACGGGTATCGATATTACGACCATATATATATACTTTCATTGAAAGATTCACGCAAACGCGACAGAAGACACGAACGAGGCATTTAAGCCTGCTCACGGTCGGTCTTGCCACGGCGGGTGCGACCAGTGGGCGACCAGGGGAAGTGAGCAACAGGGATGATGAAGAAGCTGTTGCTGTTGTCGGCCAGACCGGCGAGGGCGTTGTACCAGGCGGCGAAGGCGGCGAGGAGACCGAAGAAACCACCGGCCATGAGCACGGGCTTGTTGGGCTGGTTCTGGGAGTCACGCTGGATGTATCCGACACCGAGCATGAGGAAGCACAGGTCGAGGAAGAAGAACAGCAGGAAGAAGGCGACGGTGGAGCGGAGGGTGCAGAAGAGCAAGATGGTGGTGAAAATGAACCATCCCTGCGATTGTTAGCATCGAAGTTATAAAGGTAAGATCATGGGGGGAAAAACTCACCAACAAGTACAGACCGAACGAGTTGTTCCACATGGTAGCGCCACCGGCTTCCTCCAACGAACTCATAATCTCGAAACCACCAGGAGTCAAGACAATGGCGAACGAGAGCCAGAAACCACCGTAAGACGAGAGAGCGGTCGCACCAAATGTGTTACCGATAGCCATTTCCCTGCGCGAGTTAATACCCGAATTTCATCGCATCGAATTCACGAAAAAAAAAAAAAAAAAAAAAACTTACCACATGCCAGCAAGCAACTGGACAAGACCACCATAACCAAAAGCCAGACCAACAACAATGTTGGGCTCGGAAATGTCACGAGCACCCATGTTGATAGCGGAAAGCACAAAAGTAGTCAAGGCGAAAGCCGACAGGCCCAGAGGAGCAGGGTTGGCGAACTTGCGACCCTCAACCGGCTTGTACAGACCGGGTTGGAATTCACCACCGAATGGGGGAAGACGGGCCTCAGCAGTGTTGACGTGCGACAGAGGACCATAACCAAAACGGGCAGCAGCACGGGCAACCTCGTGTTCCTCAGCGGACAGCATGGGAGCCGCGGGAGCACCGTTAGCAGGAGCATCGCCGTGGTTGATGGTGTCGTTGGCAGCAGGGCCAACGTCCTTTTCGAATTGGTTTTCGGCGGACATTATGATATTTTTTATGCTATGTTTTTTCTGGGGATATGAAAAAATCTCACTAGGAGAGTTAGAACAAGAACCAGCTAGCTGGACACAGCACTGCTGTGATATAAGGTAAGGGAATATAAGGAAATAAGGTGGGGAAAAAAAAAAAAAAAGGTAAAAGATAAAAGGGGAATTGCACAGCAAAAAGATGAAGATGAGATGAGGAAGGAATGTGGAAGGAACGAGGGAAGACAGGCACTATATATAAGATGCCAAATGCAACGGACGAACGAAGGTTAACTCACCAACAAAGTCTCACTAGCAGAATGCTAACAGTGGATAATGCAAAAGTATAACGGACGCCGGCCGGTATTTAACTTTGGACGATTAATTCTGCATTTCTGCAATTCTCTGCTTTCCAATTTTTTTTTTCTTTTTCTTTTTTTTTTTTTTTTTTTTTTTTTAAATTGGGACTACTCTGACTACGGAACCACTTGGCGGCTTTCCGGGGAACACGCGAGGCCGATCACGGGCCCCGGTAAAGTTCCCCTATCCTATTGTCCGTGTATACGTACAAGCATACAAGCAAATACAGCACTGTCAATCATTATTAAACATCCCTGAGCTAACGGCGGCTGTGGCAGCTGTCAAGGAACAATACTATTTATGTTTAATTACGTGCGTGTGTAGGTCGGACATTCTACTGTACAGAGTACTCCGTACATAGTCAAGGAGATAAAAAAACTGCCGCAGTTCGATCTACAGGAGACGGTACTCCAAAACCGACACAACCTCAGACGGTTCAGCCCGCGGATAATAGACAATCATTTACTAGAGAATGCACGACGCAAGGTGGTCCACTTTGGGTGAATAATTCCTAATTGTAATTTTATTTAGCACGGCATCGGTTCAAGTGACTGCCGAACAGGTACCGATTCCGTTTTTGTGCTTATGGTATTCTGGAGTAGAGTAACCACAGTGCTTGGGCAACCGGTTCATCTGGGGATCACCGTGGGGTCTGGAGACGAGAAACTGTCCTGCGTGGGTGGGATTATTCTGGAGAATTATTATGTGTGGTAAACCGAAATGAATGCATGCACATTCCGTTTCCCCGTCCTCGGTTCAGTGTGCAGCCCGATGTACCGGTACTTGGTCGGGTATTTCATAGTGTACTATAATGTACGCTACTGGTACTAGCCAGAGTACTTGTACAGGATTCTGCACAATAAGTCAATAACAGTACTCCATAGTTACTTGACAATAATCACAATCCTTTGACTAGCTAGCACTACTACTGTCTACTACAGAATACTCTTTTCTACACTCACTCACTGTACTGCAATGATACAGTGCCACCACCGGCTAATGCTATCCTTCGGTTCGGCGGAGCGGAACCTCTACTACGGCTCTCATCCATCCAATCCAAACCCATCTTCCCACCCTCCCCCCAACCAAGGTTCCAAGAGCGGAGCCATGATACAATTTCTTGGAGAAACCTGTGAGGCTGTGGCAACCAACGAATCACCTCCCCTATATTTTCTGGAGGATTCTCCAAGCCTGTCATGACTGTGGGGAGAGTTGAGTTATACGAAAGTTACGCGGGGAGAAGACACTCGGCAGTGGGGATGATGGACACGGACAGATGGGACTGGGATAGGAATATGGTGATTTGTGATGTGATGGATTGCTGAAAGTTCGTCGATCAGCGGGGAGAGCTGTTGTTTACTGCCTTCCTTGCTTGTGTAGGACATGGAGTATAGCGGGGAGTTGCTTGGCTTTTTACGCTATGGAAATACTTTATAAAATTGGATGCGGATGCTCTGTGCGTACATTGATTGGCATTGGCTTGGTTGTGATTATTCCTAGGCAGAGTTTTCCGCATCAAATAGCGGTCTGAACACCGTCAGTCTCACTCAACATACTCTGTAGTATGCCCACTTGTAGTATACTAGTAAGCCTAACTCATAAATGCAGCTCGGTTAAACAAGCTTCACTTGTACACAGTAGCTTTTCTAGCTCCACGTGCTGAGCTTCACCGACAGACGCCTTACGGAGCAACCTACGTACTCAGTACATTCAAGCACAGGTTTTGTTGAGCAGAGATTTGCGAGTTTGTGGGATAGAATTGACTTCAAGGGTGTGACTAGTCGCTAGTGTACTCTTAGCTATGCGGCTGTCTGGATACGGAAGTTAGTAGCTGAGCTCAACTTGTACAGCTCAGCTCGACAGCCCACCTACAGATTATACAGAGTAGACAGGTAACGATGCACAAGGATAAAAGGATGCAAAACATCTGTATGCACGCTCAACGCTCTTAATGTAGTATGTACTCCGTAGATGCATGTCAAATTATCCAAATGGGGTATCAAGCAAAATCAAAACCAATACTCTGTACTTGTACATGGCATAGCAATCACGACTCTAACCATTGCGCCGCCCTCTCCAACTCCGCGTTAAATGCTTTGATCCGATTCAACACTCCCCCGTCACCACGCGAGCTGACCTCCTCCCCCACCGCTCGCACCAGATACTCCAGTTCACTGGTCGGAGCTTCGTCCTCGTCATCCGGCCGCTGACGCTCCACGGCGAGCTCCAGTCCGTGCAAGCTGTTGTTGATGTTTGTCCGGGCCTACGAGTCAATTAGCATCCACGGTGAGCTCAGTTAAACTTTGGAACGAAGGGAAATGACGTACCATCCGCCCACTCTCCTCCTCTGCATGCCGCCGTCGAACACTATCCATCCGTACGGCGATAGCCTCGCGCTCCCGCCGCACGTGGTACAACCGGCTCCGCATGTCCATCATCTCGCGCTTAGCGCGACGCAGCTGCACGCCCAGGACGAAGTTGCTATCGAGCATTTCGCTCATTTCGAACAGGCGGCCTTCCAGCTCTGATCCGAACGCTTCCACGGCTTTCCTCTTGCGCGTCCATTCTGCTTTTCGTTGCGGATTGGTTTCGTTTGTGATGCCGGTTTGTAGTGTTGTGAGGGTCTTTTCGAGCGTTTCGCGGCAGATTTGGTTGAGGACGTCGGCTTGGTTGACGCCGCCGCGGGTGGGATGTTTGGTTCGTTGGGTGAGTTCGTCGGCGGAGGAGTCTGATTCGCTTTCGGAGGAGTCGTAGATAGGGGCGCGACCGAGGGTTGTGATGTTGGCGAGGCGGTGGACTGTTACTGGGACGGTTTCGCCGCGGGGGGCGCGTTTCTTTCGTGTAGGGCGTTCTGTTTGCTCTGTAGTTTGTGCGTCATCTGACCTAGAAGGTTCAGCTTGTTCGGGTTCCTGTTCAGGTTCCTGCTCCTGCTCAGGCTCCTCGGGTTCTTGCGACTCTTGCTCAACTTGAACAGTCCTCTTGGCTGGACGACCTCGCTTTCCGGGCTTTGGTGTTGGGCGGGTTTCTGTATCATCCGGCTGAGGCCCCTCGATCTCCTCGCCTGGCTCTTCCGTAGCTTTTGGTTCGCGCCTCTTTCTCCCCCGACGTCCCCGGGCTTCTGGTGCCACTTCATCAGAGACCTCCCTCTCAGGCTCTTTACCCTTGTCAGAAGGCTGAACAGCGGATGGTCGGCCTCGTCGCTTCTTCGGTGCTGCATCCTGGGTGTCAGGATCAGGATCTGCTGGTTGGATTGGTTGGAATTCTTCTGCGACTGCTTCCGCTTGTTGCTCTTGAGGTTCTCGAGATGCAGGTGGTCGACCCCGTCGTTTCTTCGGTGCAGCATCTTGAGTGTCTGGTTCCGGCGCTTGTACCTCTCCAGTGGCTGCTTCTGCTGTAGCATCCTCTGGGGGCTTTTCTGGAGATTCGCGACGATCCGAATCTTTCCCAGGCTTGTCAGAAGGTTGAGCAGCTGGCGGTCGACCTCGTCGTTTCTTTGGTGCTGTATCTTGTGTATCTGGTTCGGGTTCTGCTGGCTGGACCTTGTCTGTAGATGGCTCTGCAGTATCCTCCGTGGGTTGCTCTTGAGTTACTCGGGCAGATGCCGGTGGTCGACCCCGTCGTTTCTTTGGTGCAGCATCCGGCTCCGGCCCTTGTACCTCTTTGGTGGTAGCTGCCGTAGTATCTTCCGAAGGCTTGTCTTGAGATACCCGACGTCTTCGTTTTGTGTTCGCCTGATGCGATGATGTCCGTTGTGCTTCTGCTGGTTCCGATGGACGAGCCGGTTCTTTTGTAGATGCTGCTTCGACGGCCTGCTCCTCTGATTCGCGACGTCTTCGCTTTCCTTCCGCCTGGCGTGGCGATGTCCGTGGCGCGTCTGCATCTTGGGTTTCTGGTTTTGGTTCTGGTGGTGTCGGTTCTTCTGCATTTTCCGTAGATAAGTCTGCGGCGTCTGCTGGAACTTGCTCCTGCGGGGACTCTCGTCGCTTTCGTTTGCCTTTTGCACCTTGATCGGGGGATATAGTACGTTGTGGTGGTGCCTCGTCCTGAATCGCTGGTTCCTCCGGTGGTTGTGTCGGTTTCGTCTCGGGGGCTGCTTCTGCGACACCGTCTGGTTGTTCTTGAGAGTTCCGTTTTCTTCGTGTCACTTGAGGTGGTGAGGTCCGTTGTGGTTGCTCTTGTGGCGCTTCTTGCGGCTCTTGTAGTTCTTGCGGTAGTTCTTGTGGGGGCTCTGGTGGCTCTTGCGGTGCCGCGATTGGTGTCTCGACAGGTTGTGCTTGGAGTACTTCCGGTGCTGTCTCTTGGAGCAGTTGCTTCTGCGGCTGCGGTTCTTGGGGTTGCTGAATTTCTTGCGGTTCCTGTACTTCCGGCGCCTCCTGTAATGGTGCCGCTTCGGCAGCCTGTGCCTTGTCTCCACCATTCACCTCCGGTTGTATTTGCGGTACATCTGTCGGGGCAGAAACGGGGGCTTCGTTTGCCGGTTCCTTCTTGTCCTGACCAGGTACACCATCGGGTATTCCATCCGACTTCTCCACCGCAGCAACCGCAGCATCACCGTTTCGTTGCGACCCAACCGGTTGGGGTCGGGGCAGTCGACTCTTCGCACCTAATCGCCCTATCTTTGTAGGCGTCTCTGCGCATTGTAAGCAATCGTACCACCTCAAATACGTATTCCAATAAGGCAAGGCAACGCACCAATCTTCCTCCGCTTAGCACTCCGCGGAAGCTCAATCTCATCATCGTCCGACGGGATATCAAACGTCGACGGTCTCTGCGGTCGTGCATTTCGCGCGCTTCCCGGTGTCCGCTGACTTCCTTGCGATCCCGGTAGATCCGTCTTTGGCGATGATAGCTGGGCCTGGGGCGCAGGTTGTGTTTGTGGTGCTGGTGCCGGGGTAGTCGTAGGCTGTTGCGGCGGCGCTTCAGGAATCGCGGGGGCTAATCCAAAAGAGAATCCGAAGTCGACTTCTTTCGGCTTTCGTGATCTGCGGAAAGCGTGTATTAGTTATTGTTTTCATCTGGTTTGGGGATCTTCTTTCGCGGGATGCGCGTACGCTGCTCCGCGTTGCCGCATTTGCAGCCGCTCCTCTCGATCTGGTGCCATTAGTTAGACAGTAACAATTAGAATCGGAATTGGACAAGTGCGTACTGGAATTCATGGCTGAGAGCGACGCTCGTCGTGATTGACGCGTCGATATGGCGGTTGGTCCAGTTCTATGTAGAATGCTCCGTAACAGCTCGGCGGGCACCAAAGCGGTTAGTCTCAGATATGATTTTCTCTCCGCAAACACCACCACCGGACAACTACAACACTTTTATAGAGATAGACACTGTTAACTAAAGAAAATGGGCTGGTTCTGGGGAAATTCCAACAAAGACGATCCCGTCAAAAACCTCGACCCCGGGCTCCGCGAGTACCTCGAACACGAAGCTCCCACCAAATACGTCCCGACAACACAAGTCCCCTCTCCAGACCCCTCCAAAACCGTTGAACCACCACAATCCTCTCAACAATCGCAACCACAACCTGCAAACGAGCCCGAGAATGGTGTTCCTCCCGCTTCCCTCTTCCCCGACGGCCGGTATGCGCACCTATGGAAGACGTACAAGCCTCCGGAGCCGGAGGGCGCGGAACTCAAAGGCGCAGAGCGGGTGATTGGGAAGGAGAAGGAGCGCAAGGATACGGTGCATCGGGCTGCGATGGAGAATTGTGCGTTGGAGCATGAGGCTTTGACTTTGTGTTTCCAGACAGGGACTTGGCAGAAGCAATTGAAGGCGAGGGCGACTATGTGTTCGGAGGAGAATGGTACTTTCTCGAGATGTTTTACGACGCAGTCGGTGAGTTTATTGTCTCTATTCAATTGGGGTTACGAAGGAGTGCTAATTGTGTAGAAATTCCTCCAAGCACTAGGATACACCTCCGCATTCGACTGGGACGCAGACAGAGAAGAACGCATCCAGATGCACGCGGACAAGCTCTACCACCAAATGTTGGACTACGAAAAGAAAGTCGAACAAGCACGAGAAGCTGGCCTCGAACCACCACCCATCACCTCCCTCTTCAACCCGCAGGCACAGACTACCACCGCACAAGGCCAGGTCTCCAAGGACAAAGCCGTCGAGATCCCTGGAGGAGAGTCGATTCCGGCCGGATTCAAGCCGTCGAAATCGCTTGACCAGCTCACGCCTCACGAACGGGAACTGGAAATCCGGGCGCATAACTCGCAGTTGGAGCAGAGGAAGATATACATGCAAGAAGCGGCGCCGTTCATGAAGACGCAGGAAGACGCGCGGTTAAAGAGACAGGAAAAGATGACGAGTTGGTTTGGAGAGACGATTGGACGATGGGTCACGTAGGATATCTCTTTCTTTCTCTTTATGATTTCTTTTCTCGTGTACATTAGTATGGCATTCTGTATGGCCAGGACATGGCGTTTGTAATGGATATGAAACGAATGATCGATCAGGTAGCATATTTTGAGATGATAATGGAATTCCCAGCTCAATTGCTGCGTAGAAGTGTTAATATAAAAGTGCACGCTGACTTCGCGCTGGCTGTCATTCGCCGGGCGCGTGTTTTTGGACTTTCGGAACGACATCACGACTCCCCCCCCCCCATTCTCCTCATCTCTTTCAAATTACTCCTCGATCGCCCATGGGTTCCTCTTGACTCTCTCAACGCGCTTCTCCTCGTGTCATGATTTTTCCTCTCAGGGCTGTCCATTCTTCTATCTCACGGCGGGGTCCTGCCTCTTGTTTATCGTCCTTTATCGCAAGGTGAATCTCCATCCATCGAGCAATCAGTCGACTTTTCACCTCTTCGACACTAAACAACCATTGACAAGGATAATTATTACTGCGACCTCCTTGTCTATTCCTATTTCTTTTTCTTCCGCGTTTTCCCCCGCAGCAACCTCGATCTGAGGATATTGAGTTGCTCAGCTGTCGCTCAATATGAAGGCCACTCCGTTGCTCATCGCATGGCACAATGACAATGCGCCCATCTACTCAGTTCATTTTGAGCCCAATGGCAAAGGCCGTCTAGCAACGGCTGGAAAGTGCGTTCCATACACCCCAATACCACTCTGAAATCCTGTTACTAACAGTGTTGTTGTTTCTACTTCATAGTGACAATAACGTCCGAGTATGCCTCTCTACCTACCTACCTGTTTCCCCTTCCATCCCGTGATTCCCCCGTCGTCTAACAGCGAACAAATAGTTATGGAAAGTGGATTCGAACAAGGAGGAGCGAAAGGTCACCTACCTGAGCACGCTCGTAAAGCACACCCAGGCCGTCAATGTGATCCGGTTCAGTCCGAAAGGTACGCCCTACTCTTCGCTGGATATTGGTAGTTGTTGGTATTGACTGGGAACTAGGCGAGATGCTGGCATCTGCCGGAGACGATGGAAATGTCCTTCTCTGGGTACCGTCGGAGCTGCAGACACAAGGTGGGCTTGGAGAGGATCGATCGGACGACAAGGAAACCTGGCGCGTGAAGCATATGTGTCGGTCGTCGGGGGCAGAGATTTATGATTTGGCTTGGTCGCCTGATGGTGTATTTATTATCACGGGGAGCATGGATAATATCGCCCGGATCTATAATGCGCAAACTGGTTCGTTTGGGACCCGCTCTTGCTTTGCTATCATTTGCTGATTGAGGAATGGATAGGACAAATGGTGCGGCAGATCGCAGAGCATTCGCATTATGTTCAAGGTGTTGCGTGGGACCCTCTCAATGAATTCGTGGCTACGCAGTCGTCGGATCGATCCGTCCATATTTACAGCCTCAAAACGAAGGACGGTCAGTTCACGCTTACTTCGCATGGCAAGTTCTTGAAGATGGATCTGCCAACCAAGCGCATTCCATCGAGCAGTCCGGCTCCAGAGCCCACGAGCAAGCCTGCGCCTACCAGTTCTGCAGCTATTACCTCCCCAGCTCCGTCAACGCCTGGGACTCCAATGGCTTCGAATTTACCAATGGATCCCCCGCCTGTGTCGCATAGCCGCCGGTCATCGTTTGGCTCTTCTCCGTCGTTTCGTCGGTCAGCATCGCCTGCCGCATCATCCTTACCACTGCCTGCGGTTAAACCGCTCGAGGCCGCGTCTCCTAGCATCAACACCTTAGGAATCAAGAACGCCAATCTATATGCCAACGAGACTTTCACATCCTTTTTCAGACGATTGACTTTTACTCCCGATGGAAGCCTCCTGCTAACACCAGCGGGACAATATAAGACGTCGCACGTATCTCCTACCGATCCCTCAAAGACTACGGACGATATAATCAACACGGTCTATGTCTACACGCGCGGGGGGTTCAACAAACCGCCTATTACGCATCTTCCGGGCCATAAAAAGCCCTCCGTGGCAGTCAAATGCTCCCCTATACTCTATACCCTGAGACAAACACCTCAGCCTTCCAAGCATATCACCTTGGATACCTCGTCTGGAGACGACGCATTCGCTTCTCTTCCTGAGCCGGTTGTCGCCGCAGATTCTGCAGATAAGCAATCTATGGAGCCACCGTCAAATACCAAAAAAGCAGAGGGCGAAGGCACTCCCGGCAGCCCAAGCCCAGTGTTTTCATTGCCATATCGGGTTGTGTATGCTGTAGCCACACAAGATGCCGTTCTGGTATATGATACTCAACAGCAAACGCCGATATGCGTGGTCAGCAACCTGCATTTCGCAACCTTTACCGATTTGACATGGTAAGTCGGATGCGTTTCAATTGAAGTAACTAGCTAACTGGAATAGGTCGGGTGATGGTCTAACACTGGTCATGAGCTCGTCTGATGGGTTCTGCTCCACTCTTTCTTTTGCACCCGGGGAACTGGGACAAACGTATACAGCCACGACGGCATCTCAGCCTGTTACTTCGAGTACAACACCCAACCCTCTACCAACACAAACACATGCAGCTTCGCCCGCTGCTGCAACAACTCAACTCAGCTCGGTCCAGGTTATCATTCCCCCAGCTAGTCCGGCACGTTCCAACTCCGCCACCCCAGCATCATCCGCTTCCGTGATCAACAATCCTACACCAACACTCGGGTCCGTCCCTTCGGTGACAGCAACTCACTCTGCACAACCACCTACTCTTCCTCTAACCACACCTCCGCAAACACCATCCTCTGTCTCGCAGAGCGGATCAAACACCACTACTACAGCAAACAACACCGTCCTCGGCAAGAGAGAGGAGAGTCAAGATCAACAACAACAGGAGCAACAACCAAAGAAGAGGCGGATAGCACCGACTCTCGTTTCCACCGATAGTCCCGAGGGTGGTAGTGGTTCAGCTCCAGCTCCTTGATGGTTCTTAGGTTAGGTTATCGATAACATAGATTTGATTGTTTGCTTGTGCTTATTAATATCCCTTTGTTAACTATGCATATCTCTTCTCTGTTTAGGTTACGAATGGGTTGATATGAATTGAATCGGATGAATTTAAGACCTGCTTGCTTTATGCTTATTTCGTTGTTGTATGATTTTCTTGACTCGATCAAATCCGATTGAAGATTCGATACAATCAATCCATGTCGAGGCTCACGCTCTGCTACATGTCTTCTAGGGTTCTGTTCGAGGCAGCACATAACATGCTTAGCAGAATATAGAATATAATCCACATAGGGCAAGCTAATTAGTGATGCAAGAATTGTACATACATGCAAGTCACTCGAGCAAACCACTGTTAGAAACTGCCGCATAGCCCACTACCCTATCGTAGCCATATAGTAGAGGTCTCTTAACGCTGACAGATAACAACAACAGACACATCCATGGACTGTGTGAGTTCCAATTGCTTTAAAGGCTGTTTAACCACGCCGTGGTTGTGCGTAAAAACGTCGCCAATTGAGACGATCTCTTGCTCACAGCTCAACCTGCCGGAAGCCCTCAAAGACGAGGGCAAACGGGATTGCTAACTAGTTAGTTAACTAGTTAACTAGTAGAATGCATGGTATGACTCAGCTGTGGGTCGATGTCTACTCCGCTGACCGTGTGGCTTGTGACTGATGATGTTCGTGATTAAATTCGACAAGTGGGAAGTGCTTCGCGGTTTGGCTCTGCCGCGGCAGACTTTCTCCCATAAAATGTGAGACGGTGGAATGGTTTCCAAAGTCAGTGGTGGATAACAAAAACGACAGTGCCTCCAGGGCCTCCAAGCAACCAATTAGCGAAGCGGATGTTTGGCTGTACACTACCTCAAATGCTACCCTCAGCTCGTCGCGAGAGATGCCCGACTCCATTCGAGCTGCTTGGTAGTAGCCGATGTTTATCAGGAGGACGGCTTCGTCCAGCATAAAGCTAAAACCCGACCATTTGTTAGGCGGCATTTTGATGGAAATTTAGGAGAGGTACTGCTTCCACTGCTTTCTATCCATCCATCGGCATCATTTGCGAGTCTTTCAGTGGAAGACTCAGTAAACCTGACTTCGAGCACGGCAACGACAAAACTAGCTCTGAGGTTGAGGGTCCGGCTATGAGTTCTGTGGGTAGTGTTTCGACTTGTTGGGTGTCATCGTATGCTTGCTTCTCGATGTCAATTATCATAGCAAGCAAGACATCGCTTCAAGCCATCAATATGTGTGGTGAGCTGTGGTTTGGCTATATCCTCCTTCGAAGACTACTCGTATCTCACTGTGAGGAGTCACTTAACTCTAGCCGAGCTGCTTATTATAAGCCACAAGTAGTGGATGTTGAATCCTACCAGATCACCGCAAACGAATCCGGTCAGGGGGGTTGATGTGCCAATGGTGCTAGAAACTAACCATTCTTTAGGTATAATTGTGGTTAGATGATCTATCATGGGAATCTGCCTTCTTGCGACGCTTTCCAGCCAGCCGTGTGCGTCGGCTACAAGTCCAACTCCGAGTAACCCGCAGCACAAAACTGAAAGGGCTATACGTGGAACCCAGGTTCTGGTTATGTGTTGTGTGGATCGGTCTTCCGCTAGTCATAACATGCTTGCTTTCTGTTGATTACCACAACAAGCAAGGCACTGCCTTGAGCCACCACTGGGCGCTGGATTCGAGCCCTTGGGTTGGCTTTGTTGACTGGAAAATCCGACTTACAAGATAACTTAGACTGGAAGGACCAAGCGCACCCGGCAAGTGCACGGTTGCGGTAATGTGAGATATGGTTTTTATCTCCATTAATCGTTTGTTATGTCAGTCATGTTAACAAGCAAGACACTACCTCAATCTAGCCGTGCATGTCAGCTGCCAGATTGCACGCGTTCTTCTGTTATATCCCATTCAAGAATATAGACAGGGGCCACCCCTAACGCCCTGGAAATTTGTTCGTGGGCTTCGAAGCACAGAATCTATTATGTGATAGTAATTGCCATGCTTGCCTTTGAGTGTCAATTGCGGACCATTTTGTTGAACAATGAATCCAGGTGTTGCCTCAAATTGCCTGCGTCGATGAAGGTGTAAGTCACGGTGGAATTGTAATAATCTGTGCAGGCAGTACCACATACACTGAAGCGATGGTGCAGTCTTGTCCTTTCCCCTATGCTGGATTGTGGCCGCCGCCATTATATATATTAACAAAAAAAAAAAAAAAAAAAAAAAAGCGAACGATTTGGTCGGCATCGGGACAACTGTCATCTCTATATAGAGTGATTAGTATAGCTTTGAAGATGTTGCGAAGACAAGCAAGAGACTGCCTCCAGCCACCCTTTGCTATTAGCTCGAGTTTTGGTGCTGTCTCAGAAAAGCCCATTTTGAGCACAACGTAGACCGGAGAGACCAGCTCAGGTGTCCAACAGTTCTCGTGGTTTTGGGTGATGTTAACGGGACACCTGTTTTTTTCGAGAGCCATACGCATGCTTTCTTTCTGATGTTAATGATTATAGCAAGAAAATTCCCGGAGCCACCAGTTGGCTTTGGATTACTATTTTGAGTTGGTTCCGTATAGCTTTGATCAGGTTAGGTTTTTGAATGCCATTGCTCTGATTTAATAAAAGATAGGATTAGACTACTATATCGTAGCCACATAGAAGAGGTCTCTAACAAGGACCGGGTTGAGTTTGCTAGGTTGTTGGTCGTAGGATTCAGAAATCTGGATGAGATAATCAGGGCTTCAGATCAACCCCCAAAGCAATCCAAAGAAGTGAATAGACTAGAGCTATGCTCAGGTGAGTGACCATGAGAGAGAGTAAAAAGGTGAATACAGCAATGTAAAGTCAGATCATTATAGTATGGTAAATAAAACCCCAGAGTTAGGGTAGTATTAGTCCTCCCTTCATTAATTGCTACTCTGTACTGTATTCCGTGTCGTGATCCGTCACATGGTATAGGTGCTCAATAGTTTATTGCTAATAGCGATCCTGGGTTGCAAAGCAAACAGAAACATTTAAAGCAATATGAACTGATTGGGTTAACTACTTGAGCTTCCTGCCCCGCCTGATTCCTCCCCAGATACAATCAGCAAAGTCAAGAAGTCCCTGTTTGTTAAATACAGCATCCCGCTCCTGGTCAACTGGGTCCCTGTGTACGATTGTTTTGAATGGGATTCGCAGCTTGTCACATTCTGTAATAGCCCGAGATTCCAGATCGATAGTGACGCCGGTGACGGTCTTGTCTTGGATAGTGAGAACGCTAGTGTGTGTGGCTGTTGAGGCCATGTTATTTTCTCCATTACCATTATAAGCCTCCCATTTTGCAATGGTGATTGTCCCCGTCCGCTGCCGGCGCTACATTGCATAGCAAATGGTAATCATGGTGGAAACATGGCTTTCTGGAGTTTCAATCTAATTGCGCGCATCAGCATATAGTCCAGCATCAGCACCATCCATCGCAATTTCCAACACGAGACTGAAGGATTCATTGCGGCCCGGCGGTCCCCAACAGCTATCTGGCTGTCTTCTCCACACACCCAGGTGAGCCAGTGGTGACAGCATAAATCTAAGACATCCCACGTCAAGGCCCATGCCCAGGAACCGTTTGAGCATCGACGTTGGGAACGTGCCAACAATTTCCTCATATCCCTCCCCCATGCTTTTGGTAGTCATTTTTTTTTCGTCTCGGTATTGTAGCGAAAACGGGCGTACTGAGAGGCCTCGGAGTGTCTGAAGCCGATTCTGCTTTCGAATTCTTCTAGTGAGGCGTTGTGGAATTTTGTGTATTGGAGGACTCTTGTATCTCCTGCTCTTAGGCCGATTTCATCCGCGCGGAGAAGTTCGACGAAAGCATCATGGCCTGGGTATGGTTCGTTCTCTTCGGAGGGCAGGGTATGCTGGTCGGAAGTAAGAGGCTTGACGAGAGGATCGCTCTCTCCAGAGGGCTGGTCGGCAATAGGTATAGCTATGGTTAAAATGAACCTGACGTGAAGCTTGAAAGTCAGTATTTATGAACGAAACCCCCCTTCCCCGCCCCCCAGAGGATTCTTAAACTGATTCAGATGAAAACAGGAAGAGAACAGATTCTGGTGAGAACAATGCCATCGTCATAATGATATTACTTTTTCTGCCTGAGACACTCGCTAATCTAAATAACAAAATCTGGGTAAAACATACCTTATCGTGCTGTAGTTACCATTTAGCTACAGTAACGAAGACAGCCAATATAGTGCTGCTGGTGCTTTCGAGCTAATCGTGAGTATCGATAGTGAGCTTCCGGAACTACCTGGCTATATCAACTCTGATTTTTGCCATAAGAGAATCTCTACGTTGCGAGAACACTCGTGGATGTCATTGCTGCGAGCGACAAGAGCCTGAATGCTTAAAACAAATTGTCTGAATCCTGCTTCCGGGAGCTTTTAGCCGCCCATAGCTGTAAGTTAGCCAGACGGCGCTACTGCATAGAGCAATAGGTTTGTAACCGAAAAGCACCCATCAACCATTTATGCTTCTTACAACACGCTGTTACAAGCCACAGATTAATATAGTAATCAAGTAGACACCCATACAGTAACGCAGAGTCCGAACCATCTTAGTATCGGAAAGCGCCCAGGTGGCATTAGGGCTTAGGAAAATCAACATAGTACGCAAAAAGCAAATTTAGCTAGAATAGATTCTAAATCAATAGCCCTCACTCCTTCCCGCCCTAATCTGTTTCCAGGTAGTATCAGCAAACTTCAAAAGCGCCTTTTGATCAAAAACAACATCCTTCTCCAGGTTCACTAGTGCTCTGCGAAAAATTGTTTCAAAGGGAACACGCAGCTCATTACATGGTACAGCATCTCCAGATCGCGGATCAATAGAAGTGCCAGTAGTAGTACTAGTTTGAGATTTAATGGTAAGGACAGTAGTCCGCATGGCTGTCCTATTCCCATTCCCATTAGTAGCATTATCGCCACGGGGCTCCCATTTTGCAATAGTCATAGTCCCCATCTGCTGCTGCGGCTGTAGCACATTAATACAAATAGTAATCACCAAATCCACACAATTTCCCGGGCTCTCAATCCAACCTCTCACATTACCCTTAAGCCCCTCCTTGCTCCCAGGCGCAGCTGCTGCAACCCCCAACACAACAGTATACGGAATCTTTAAAGCTGGTCCCAAGCAACTATCTGGCTGTCGCACCCAGTCACCAAGCGTGATCACCGGTGACAATGTAGCCCCGTAATCTCCAACTCCAACTCCCATGCTCGTGAACTGAGAGAGCATCATAGACCATTGAAAAGAGCTGATTATATGTGGATGGGCGTTTCTGGGGTTGAGTACTTTGGCGACCAGTTCTTGTGTGCGGGTGTTGTAGCGGAATTTTGCGTATACGAGGGCTTCGGACTTTTCAAAGCAGATTTTCTCTTGGGATTCTTTCAAGGTCACGTTTGTGAAGGTTAGGTATTGGGGGGGGGTTGTCATAAATCCTTCATTCAAGGCATCATGGCTACTGGAGAGAATGTTGATGAGGTCTGAAAGACCTAGGTATAGTATGACGCTGTCATGGGCAGGCATGGTGGTGGTAATTCCCAAATTCAGAATAGGAAAATAGGAAAAGTGGAAGAAAACTCACAGTACAGAGTAGTGTATGTCACTTTAAGGACACAATTATGAGATAATGAAATCTTCTGACATATGCTTGACACTACCAGTGTTACTATTTCAAGTAGTTCTGCCAATATTAGGGCAATGCCATGCTTTCTTGGAGAGGAATAGGTCCTCTAATAGCATGGGATGAATCCCAGGAAGCTGCAGGGGTACTTCCCAGTCCAACGCGTCACAACCCCAACCTCCAACACAACACTCAGCGGCCAATTCTTCGCCGGCGGCGCCCACCGACTATCCTTTTGCCGCTCCCACTCCCCCAGCGTAACAATCGACGAATGCATATCCACCCACGCTCCCGGAGTGTTAAGGCCCATGTCGAGAAACTGGCACATGAACCATGTTGTGAAGAAGCGGGTGAGGTGGTCGTGGCCTTCGGCGATGGATTTGGTGATTAGATCGTGGGTGTGCGTGTTGTAGTGGAAGATGGCGTGGAGGCTGGGGGTGGAGTGGCGGGGCTGATTTTGTTGGTCCATTCTGAGAGGGGCACGTTTTGGATGAGGGTGTATTGGAAAGGGCAGGGGTAATTCTGCGGCTGCGGACGCCGTAGAGGGCTTTGCTGTTATCGGAGAGGTAGGTGGTTAGGTCTGAGGGACCTGGGTAGGGGAGGACGTGCATGGTGGTGTAGGGTTGTTTGCGACCTTCAAGATACAGCCAAGCGTTGAATAAACGGATTTGAAAAGTTGTAGGGTGTTGTAGTATTGTTGAAGTATGAAGTATCCATGCCTGAATATTCAGAATTTCATATAACAAGGCAGGAACTGATTCCAGATGTTGTCCTAAAATGATTTGAAGTAGCATAATAATATTCAAAAAGGGACGCGCAAGGAATCTAGAATAGTAGCATATGTTCAAACGAGTATTAAACAACCACCTCAGTACACCCATGCAACACCCCATCAACAACTTCAAACCCATCCACCCTCGGGGAAGAAAGCATATTCACAATATCCGCAATCCCCATATTCCCCGGTAACACCGCCTTAGCCTCCGTAGCATGATATCCCACCGTCAACGTAGTCACGTTCGGAATCTTATCCTCTGCGCGCAAGTGATTGGCGTACCGGAATAACGCCTCGTCGCCTCGTGAGCCACCCGCGACGAACAGGAAGTCTGGGGCCTGGGGTAATCCGCGCAGGATGATTTCGGCCGCTTTGGCTTTGGAGACGTCCAGCGGTTCCACTGTTACGGCGCCTTCTGTGAGGACGACGTGGATGGCTTCGCTGCCGCGGGAGCCGTTGATTTGATCTGCGAGTTCGGAGGCTTGGTTGGCGGCAATTACGGGGTCATGGGCGTCGTTGTATTGGAAGGTTAGAAGGCATCGGCGCTCTTCGATTTGGCTTCCGTCGGTGCGTTCCTGGAAGTAATCCATTACTTTGCGGACACCGTTTCTCCAATCTTTGATCTTTTCCATGTCGACCAGCGTCTCCCAGTGACTGGAGCCAATCTCTCGTACGAAGCATCCGTTCTCAGCGACGTATCCCACTCGACTTGGTAGCATATGGATCAGTGGCTCGAGTTGTTCCGGACTCTTGTTGCTCGTCACATACACCAGGTTCCTCGGGTCGTCGACTAGATGTTCTAGCAAGGCAGCTGGCTCTTTGTTGGACCTCGAATTGGCCTGCGCAAAGGTTCCTCCATCCTCAAGGAAAATTAACCGGATACCGGACTTTCCATATGACTTCTTGAGGGTGTTGACAGACAGGGACGAGACATGCTGTGGCTCACGAGAGACTTGCGCTTTGTGAGACTTGGTCAAGCACTCTTGCAACGAGCTCGCCCATGATAGTGCTGTATGTGGTGCCATCCGGTTGAGCAAAAAATCCCAGTTACGCTGCTTTTGCTCCGGGCTCATTTCAAGAGCCTTGTTGATTGTATCCGCAACCTCCCGATAATCCCACGGGTTGACCAGAAGCTCGTGTCCGTTGAAAATGGAGGCACTTCCCGCAAACTCACTGAGAATGAGCGAGCCATGGCGCTGCGGTGCTAACTTGCCGTCTTGGCAATAGAGGTAGTCGTGACTCGTGAGGTTCATACCCTCCCTCAGACTTGACACGATGAAGACTTCCGCCACGTTCATAAGGGCCAGGAATTGCGAGTAACTGATATCCTGTCTCAGGAGTACGAGGGGCTGATGCGTCAACGAGGAGTAAGTAGAGTTGATCCTCATGGCGATACTCGAAACTTGTGCCCCAAGTTCAGGCAATTCAGAGGCGGACGCGATTTGGATGAGAATGACCTAGACCAGTCAGCTGGGTTTCCATCTGTATACAGAGCTGTGAGAACTTACATTTTCTCTCCATTTAGGATACCGTTTCAGAAAGAGCTCGTAGGCCATAAGCTTCTGCTTGATACCACCAGGCGCATCAAGCCTATCTCTCGCGACAATCAAGTGCCTGCCATTGTACCTGGTCTGGATGTTGGTGATCCAGTCTCGAACTTCAGAGGTCTGTCGCAACTCATCGACGGCCTTTAGGTCGACTCCACAGGGGAAATTGTTGACCCTGATGAATCGGTTCGGGAGTTGTACACCGTCTACCGTTACCTCCAAGCTGAGAAGGCGACTACATGACTGCAAGAAATGGTGGCAGTACTCCTCCGTTTGAAAACCCACGAGGTCTGCCCCGAGCAGGCCATCCAGCAAGGCCTTTCGTGCATTGAGACACCGAAATACTTCGGAAGACGGAAACGCAGCATGCATAAAGAAACCGATCTCGGCACGGGGCAGCTTCTTTCTGAGGATTGATGGTAGAAGTAGGAGGTGATAGTCGTGTATCCAAATACTATCACCAGACCTCCAATGCGCAACAATGGTTTTGGCAAACGCCTCGTTGACTTTCACGTACTGCTTCCAGGAATAGTCATCGTACTCCGTGTGTCGCGGGCTCTCCTGCATCTGGTAATGGAAAGCCGGCCATAGGACCGCGCGACAAAAGTGCGAGTAGTGCCCGACAAACTCCCGGTCGTCGACAAACACTGTGAGCGACTCAAACTCGTCTTCGAGAGTCTCGGAAATACTGGCGCGCGTTTCGTCCTTGAGGGGGTCGGTTGGCATACCGAGCGTACCAACCCACATCTTGTCTGTTAACAAACCCGCTTCTTCAGCGGCATTAACGGCGTTTCGAAGGCCCCCATTTCCTTGTTCTGCCGCCTTGACAACCCAGTCAGCATCTGACAAGAGTGCGCGCGGGCTTCCATTGCCTCCTTCCGACGGGGTATCATATGTTGCTCCATCGAGATACTGTGGGAGGCCTTGTTTGACCACTGGATCCTGGCTGCTGGCGATCGTTGGCGCAGGATACGAAGCGACTGCGGGCCGTGGTTGATTGAACTTACGGCTTTGGCCCCAAGAAACCGGACGGGGCTCACTGAGACCCGGGCCGTTGGGATCATCCGCGCTGGGGATTTCACCCGCGGACTGAGACACATACGGCTTGAAGATCTTCTCGTAGTCTGTAGTTGCTCCGGGAGTCAAAGTCGCATTAGTGGCTTTCGAGAACCGCCTTCGACGAGCCTCCGCCAACCGTCCTACGATTTGACCATCAACCGAGGAAGAACTGGTGGATGACTGGCGACGAGCATTTCTCAGCTCAGTCGCTTGAAAGTCGATCGTATACGGAAGGAAACTAGATATGTTAGCATTCAATTAGCGCACCAGGAGAATACCAACATACAGTGAAGCGATGAAGACTGTCATGACACTGTCTCCGGCGGCAGGATTGAGGGGTAAGACGGACGATAAGACCGGGCTCGAGACAATTGAGGAAACTTGTCGACAATAACAATGGCAAGCAAGGTTTATAAATTCGGCGGCCAGTCCCCCGCAATAGAAGCCAGGCCAAGATATCCAAATACCGTCAGACGCCCGCACGGCGGCTTGGATAAACAGAGGGCAGGTGGTGACGTTGATGATTGGACCGTCAACCCTGGAAAGGCAGTAAACCACAGGAACATTCCGGGCTGTTCGGAAGACGCCAGAGTAAGATCGCAAGGATTCCGATGCTTCTAGACCAAATGGGCTATGATTGTTTCGTTTCGTTCTGTCACTCTTTTGGCGAAGAGAGGGGAAAGCGCTATATATTCCAACCCGGCAGATGACCGGACACTCGACTATGCGCGGAGGGCTATGGCCTCGTTCTATGCGATTCTCATGGTTCGATAGGATTATCCCGGATCCCTTTCCCCCTCAGAAGGCAACTTCTAGACAGTTCAACCGGCTCGGCATCAAGCAGGATATTGCTGGTCGAAGAAACAGGGAGTCTGGCGTAGAAGCGGACAGAAACAGGAACCAAGCGGGGAGGCACGTGTGAGAAGGAGAGGAATAATATCCAGACGAGTAATAACCGGAATAATAAGCTGAAGAATAGTATTAACTAGGAATAATGTTGGGCTGACAATGATATGAGAGAATAATAGGGATAAGTGGTGTGGTGTCTGTTAGTGAACTGGTGGGAACGAAGACGTCAAACATCACCAGCAAAAAACCGGCGTCGCAGTTTCCTCTTGCGCTTTTTTCTTTTCCAATCGCTATTATATTACACTAAGTGTGCAAATAATAAACTACGGCTGTCAGCTTCAATTCATTCACTGCTATATATATTCCGCCATTTAGCTTCTGTCAAAAGCTTTCTTTCTTTTCCGATACCCCACTAAAATCACCCACATAAGACCACACACATATTCAAGCATCGCCATGTCGAGCAACGGCAACTCATTGGGCGATTCTCGTCTGCTGCTCGTTTCCAATCGTCTCCCGATCACCATTCGACGATCTGAATCGGGTAATTATGAGTTTTCCATGTCATCTGGTGGTCTCGTGACCGGTCTCAGTGGACTGTCCAAGACGACAACCTTCCAGTGGTATGGCTGGCCCGGTTTGGAGGTTCCCGAGGACGAAATCAAAACCGTGACGCAGAGACTGAAGGAAGAGTTCAACGCGACTCCGGTGTTTATGGATGACAAGTTGGCGGATCGTCACTACAACGGCTTCTCGAGTATATCCCATCCTCCTACCAGTCGTGGTTGTCGCTGACCTGTGTTGACTCGATTCTCTGGCCGCTACTACACTATCATCCCGGTGAAATCGTCTTCGATGAAGGTGCTTGGGACGCCTACCGTGAGGCCAACCGTTTCTTTGCTCGGACGATTGCCAACGAGGCGAGAGAGGGTGACTTGGTCTGGGTTCACGACTATCACTTGATGCTTCTGCCGCAGATGCTCCGCGAAGAGCTCCAGGCACTTGACAAGAAGGACATTCGGATCGGGTTCTTCCTACACACGCCTTTCCCTAGTAACGAGATCTACCGGATCCTACCGGTACGAAGGGAGTTGCTGCAGGGTGTGTTGCACTGCGATTTGATCGGTTTCCATACGTACGACTATGCTCGTCATTTCCTGGGCAGCTGTGCTCACTTGCTGTAAGTTCTTTAGCCATAGATCTGTCTGCAGAGCTAACCGTCTTCAGGGGATTAATCACTACTCCCAGCAGCGTCAAATACGAAGATAGGAATGTTTCTGTGGGAGCTTTTCCTATTGGCATTGATCCGGACAAGTTCGCAGAAGGCCTGAAAAGTCTCAAGATCCAGAACCGCATCGCAAGTCTGGAGAGCAAGTTCCGTGGCACCAAGTTGATGGTCAGCGTTGACCGTCTCGACTATATCAAAGGTATCCCGCAGAAGTTGCACGCCTTGGAAGTGTTTCTTTCCAGTCATCCAGAATGGGTTGGCAAGGTGGTGTTAGTGCAAGTTGCCGTCCCAAGTCGACAGGACGTTGAAGAATATCAAAACTTGAGGGCAGTGATCAACGAATTGGTGGGAAGAATCAATGGCAAATTTGGTAAGTCTTCGTCGCCCCATCCAAGTGCGTCATGCTGACCTGAAAGGCACGGTGGACTATATGCCGATTCACTTCATGCACAAGTCGGTGAGCTTTGATGAGCTGGTTGCGTTGTACGCGGTCTCTGATGCTTGCGTCGTCTCCTCCACTCGGGACGGCATGAATCTGGTGTCTTTTGAGTATATTGCCACGCAGAAGCGGCGCAAGGGCGTGTTGATTCTCTCCGAGTTTGCCGGGGCCGCACAGAGTCTGAACGGCAGCATTGTCGTGAACCCGTGGAATACGGAGGAACTCGCCCGCGCGTACCATCAAGCCGTCTCGATGGGCGAGAAGCAAAAGGCTCAACAATTTGAGAAGCTCTACAAATACATTTCGAAATACACCAGGTACGTGGCCATTGCGCTGATCTTGACACATGACGCATGCTAACTTTTCGCAGTGCGTTCTGGGGACAGTCATTTGTGGCCGAGTTATCTCGATAGTGGATGAAGATGGATTTTTTTTTTTGTTTTTCTCTCTCTTTTCTTTTGCATTGATAGCGTGCGGGTCTTTTATTTGCATGGCGGCATCAAGCGACGATTCAATCAGTAGACCACGAGTTCACGATTATAATTGGCAATCTGCTGGATTTACAAGTACGTACGTGGCCGAAAAGCGTACAAGCCGATGGCGTTCCACTAGTCATATATTTTGTCGGCTAGGCGGCGAGTACGCGCAAGCCTCGTAGGCAGATGGGGACGTTCGATGGATGTTCGTATCTTGCATGTAGATACGCAGGTAGATATACGAGTGCAGAAGATCAAAGCGTAGGGCTGTATAGCAGAGTACTGTGTACAAGTGGCAGAGTACGTACGCTCCACAAGTAATACGTACTTGTACAGCTATCTAAAATGCAGGCCAATGACAGCCAAGCTCAAATAAGGAGATTAATGCAGTTTAACTTTATTCACCGTTATGTATGGCAGTGCCCTGTTAATTAGTATGCCCTATCCATACTCATACTCGTATTACTATTTTGTCCACGGAAAATCCGATAATGCCCAACCGTCCCAACGATGACGAATCACACCCCTCCATAACTAACGAGTCAGCTGACCCAGCGCAAGTCTACCGTTCATCGTCTAGTCCTGTTTGGGTAAATGTAGCGGATTCTGCCGCGCACTTAGTTACTTGTACAGAGTAAGTAAGCAACTCCGCCGGAGCCGGTCGCGCGGACTCGGGGTCGGTGTTTTGTCCGAGTCCGAAGCTGTTCCGTGCCGTGGGTGTACGGAGTATGGGTTTTTGTATGGATGGATCTTGGATAGGAGGGTTTGGTTTAGTTTGGGGTTTGGGCTGTGCGTGGTTGATGAGTGGTTGTGGAAAGCTTGGCATGTGCTTGTTTGAGTTTTCTACATCTACATCTCACATCTTTCTACAACATAGCAGTACTCGTACGGAGTTGCTACACAGAGCGTCAAGAAAGGAAAGTGACGATCTCAGGGTCCAAATCACTTGACCCAATGTCGCAATCATGAATCATGATGACAAGAGGCCGATATTCTAGAACGACACTATAAAGTCTACTTAATTTTGCTTTTTGGATGATGAATCAATATTCCGACTATTAGTTAGTTATCTTGTTTTTGAGAAGGCTAATAGTATGTACTCCGTACTAGCCAGGAAGGGTATCTGTTCAGTGGCCAAGAACCCAAAACCAATGATTGGCGGCCGGCCCGTCACACTTGAAGATCATTCAACCATGCATAGAATATTTTCTCGGGGGATCTTTTATTCTATCTTTTATATATAAGTATAGAGTATTATCTTTATCAATTCAAGAATATTACATACTTGTATTTCTATTTACTACAGCACTACTTGTACACTCACCAGTAATCGTACTGTACAAGTACTACAGCACTCTGTATACGCTATAAATAGCATACCCAAAACAGCAAAAGCCAAGACCCCTGGCCAGTTGGACCCTTTTTGTCTCTGTCGGTGGGTCCAGATCTTGCCAAGAGGACAAGCTTGCGCGTCTCCGCCACTCACAGCAGACGGGGGTGGGGGGGGGGTTTGTTGTTCCGTTCCGTGTTATTCTACATCGTTTCTGTACCGAGTACTTGTACGGAGACGATGGAGGTATGGGGAAGGAGAGAGGTAGGTATGTATGATGTATGATTGACTGTGTACGGAGGAGTAGAGTAGAGTATGTACAGAGTACTAAGATCTGATTCTATCTAGAGGAGTTATGAGAGTAAATGACTCAGTACTGACACCGTAAGTGATCACTGCTCGAAAAGTAAGACATGACTTTTCTCTTTGTATGATGATCAGCATGGGCCATATGACTTGTCCCGTCTCGTTTTCGTTCAGGGTCCAGTTGAGGATACAGACAAGTAGTTATAGAGATGAGGATCAGATAATATTGAACAAGAACCATGGATTACTGTACTTGTACCCCGTAGATTATAGGAGATACTTAAGGAGACTAAGTAACCGTTGATGTTCATTATTCCGACAACGCGTCCTTAATAAGAACCGGCGGTGATTCGTCAGCTTAGTTCCGTGGTTACGATGGGGTTCATAAGGCTACGGATTCAACCGCTTTACTCTGTACAGTTAGAAGAGGGAGTGTAGCAATAGTGTTCATAAGAGTGACCCTTGCGGTTGTCAGAGGATGACATGTCGTTGATCGCGCCGCGTAATAGTGCACTGTTAAGGGTCTGTCTGTGTGCCTAGTGCAGGACGGAGATTCTGCAATACATCTGGCAAGCTAGTGGATGTTGAGAGCTTGCGTACCCTAGAGTCCGATCAGTGCGGGTGGTCTGCCGCGTGGTGACCGGATCTACGATTCGCGTACAGAGTACGTACAAGTCAGAGTACTCATAGTCCTATGTAGACGGGATAATCATAATACTTTACTCTTGAGAAAAATGAAGTTGTACGGAGTACAGGTACTGATAAGTATATACAGAGAAAGAGAGAGAACTGTACTTGTATTGTATGTACACGACGATCTCTTGGCACAGCTGTTTCGGGAGCGGCACAACACGCGGCTTGCGGCGCGCTGATTGGGGCAGGGCTGGGCGGCTGACGACGCTTTTTCACTGCTGGCGTGGATGAAGGAGTTTTCTCTATGGGACTCTCTATGGGTGACTGTACGGAGGAATCTCTCTGTATTTGTTCTTTATTCTATCTATTCGACTTCATTCTCTGTACTCTGTAGCATTCTACTGAGTTGAGTGTCTAGTATCTTACGATACTCTCATCAGTAACCACAGGTTGTACTTACAGTGGCAAGGCTGTGCGCGACCGACTGCCAACACTAGCCTACCACCTAATCCTGCGCTAAACCCAAATCTGCTCTCGCTCTCCCTCATTCCTCTTTCACCCTCTTTACTCTTCTCTCTCCTTCAACCTCCCATCTATCACCATCCATCCTACATCGTCTTCGATCTTCTAATTATCGTCGTTTTGTGTGGACTGGCAAGAGAAGGATATCATCCATCTCGATTGAATTCTCCAGGAAACCACTCGAAAACGATCCCTCGATCCTCGATAATTCGATTCATCCATCGTTCCATCCATCCACCATCCTGGAGTACTAAGCTATCCAAGCCAGCTGCCGTCGGTGCGACCTTCTCCCCCACCCTTTCACCACCACCACCATGGCAGACGGCTTCCATCCTCACGGCCACCCGATGCCGTCCAACAATAACATCGATGCTGGCGAACTCACTCACCAATTCGAACAACTTATGCGCAACAAGCGATTCAACCGACTTCAAGAACAGTCGCAGCAATCTCGTTCTCACCCTCCTTCGCCAGCTTTGTCTGCTTCTCCTGCTGCTTATCCTCCTCCACCCCCTTCACGGGCGCCACCACCGCCGCCCCCGATCGCTCATCACCAGTACCCTGCCTCTCCTCAACCGCAACAACAACAACAATCTCACAGAGCATCGCCCTCTCCAGCAATCAGAGGTCTTCCGGTCGTTCCTGCGCCGCCGCAAGATCCGTCTTCGCTGAAGTTCCGAAACCTACTCCATGTCCTGTCTGTTACGCCGACCAAATACGAAAACCCTGGCCTCCTGGATGAGGCCCTGGCCTTGATTCCGCTCGACAGGTTATACTCGGAGGCAGAAGAGGAAAGCCAGATCATGCAGGCTCAAGCCGCCAGTGTAGGGGGAAAGCCTGAATGGGGTTACCAAGATTGCGTCATCAGATCCCTCCTAAGGTATGCTCCCTTTTGTTTCGGTCTCTGTACTCAGACTAACAACGTCACAGATGGTTCAAGCGATCGTTCTTCCAATTCGTCAACAACCCTCCTTGCCCGCGATGCTTTATGCCTACGATCGCTGGAGGCATGACTCCCCCTTCTCCCGATGAGACCGCCCGTGGCGCCACCCGAGTCGAACTCTACCGATGCTCTGAAAACACCTGCGGCGCCTTTGAACGATTCCCTCGCTACTCGGACGTCTGGCAACTCCTGCAGACGCGTCGTGGTCGTGTTGGTGAATGGGCCAACTGCTTCAGCATGTTCTGTCGGGCGATCGGTGGTCGTGTTCGTTGGGTCTGGAACTCGGAGGACTACGTCTGGACAGAGGTCTATTCGGAGCACCAGAGACGATGGATTCACGTCGACGCATGCGAAGAGGCATGGGATCAACCACGTCTCTACACTGAGGGTAAGCTTGGTCCATGCACTACATTAAGAACAGCCGCTAACTTGCATAGGATGGGGTCGCAAGATCGCTTACTGCGTCGCCTTCTCGATCGAGGGCGCGACCGATGTCACCCGACGATATGTTCGAAGCCCAAGCAAGCACGGTTCTCCCCGCAACCGCGCTCCCGAAGAGGTCCTCCTATGGGTGATCCACGAGATCCGGAATAAGCGTCGAGGGGAACTGGGCAAGACCGACCAGAAGCGATTGGTCAAGGAAGATGAACGGGAAGAGCGCGAACTCCGCGCCTACATGGCCTCTGGCCTTGCTGCTGAAATCAACAACCTCTTTCCTCTCAACCAGGTCCCCGACGAACAGAAGGTCCGTTCATCTCACCAAGAGGCCGCTGCGGAGTGGCAGACAGGAGGGCGGTAAACTCGACGCACCGGTTTTATTTCCCCTCTTATCTACTCGTCTTAGAGTGCCAGGATTCGCCGGTCGCATTACTCTATCGCCGACCAAATCGCACCTGGACACTCGACACACCCCGACCGATACGAAGGCATTCGGCTAACCATGTCTGACCATGCTTCACTTGGACGATGAAACTCCCTGTCTTCAAGTTCGCGCTGCTCTACGAGTCAGGGCGTTGGTCTATGGACTCACCAGCACGAATCATCGATCGGTACTCCGATTTAGGATTGGAGCACAATGCTCCTTACTTTTTTCGTCGAAGGGCCACAGGCCCGGGATCGTTCGAGATGAGACACAGTGTGCACTGTTACTACGATTTTATCATTTGACATCCACGGCTGACTGCCGACTTTCTTTTATTCCTGTCACATTATACCATCGTTGGAAATTTCCTTTTTTTTTTTTTTTTTTTTTTTTTTTTTTTTTTTTTTTTTTTTTTTTTTTTCCAAGTTGACAGCCTTCTTTTATCTCCTTTTCTTTTCCTTGTGTATGACCAGGCGTCAAGCGATTTACTATAAATTTTAATTGGATATGGGTCAAGGGACCATGGGTCGGAGGCGTGATTGAAGATCTAATTTCTTTCTTTACTACTACTACTACTACTATGATGATGACGGGAGGACTCGTGAAACAAAATCTGCATTTCTTTCATATCGGCGGCATAGCATAGCAAATCCAACTGCCTCTTTTGACAACAATCATCAACGTCCCGTCTTGGTACCACTGCATGTTTCAGAATAGTCCTGCACTACGCCGTACATGGTAATTGTGTCGTTCCCCGACCAGACCCTGAGCTGAGACTAGCGTATTGTGTTTAATTACGATGGGCGCTCCCCGCGGGGCGGAGGGGGTTATTTTGGGAGCGTTCTTTTGCTGGTTTTGGTTAGTGCGTTGCCAGCATAAACATTAGCCGTTTTATGCTGCATAAGGATAGTCTAGCATAAAGACTCCGGAGTATGTACAGTAGTAGGGATATAGAAAAAAAGATAGAGAATTAAACCCTAAAAACACACCCCAACCCCCTCCCCCTAACCTCAGCATCCAACCTCCCCACCTCATTCACGTAATATGGTTGTTTGGGTAGTACCACCTCCCAACACCCTCCTCCCCCAGAATCCCCATCCCCATCTTCCTCTCCTATCCCCCTCCTCCTCGTACCCCGGTTACAGATAGTAACATCCCGCAACGGCTCCAAAAACACCAGTATCCGCGATACACTCTCCGCAAACCACCCCCCATTAAGCACCAACGTGAATTTTTCAAGATGTGTGAGTGAACATACAGCGGCGCAGGTGTGTAGCCATTGCGCACGGCCGGAGGTGAAGTATATTTGCTTCACGGGGTCTTTGCTGGGGAGCCAGTGGCCGGGGAAGGCGTAGTGGAGGGTCAATGACCGAAGGTTTGTTGTCCATGGGGATGAGGGAGGTAGTGTGGACTTAGGTGAAGGGGGTGTGTGTGAAGAGAGGAGGTAGGGAAGGGACCAAGTCGAGGGGATTGTGAAGGTATTGTTTGTGTAGAGGATGTGTCCTGCTTCTGTGTATCTGTATGCGCATTAGTATGTATCCATAGATCAGTGAATATGGGAGGCGGCGTACATCTGCCTACAAACAAGCATAACCCCTAACAACCCCCTCGACGTCGTATCCGTCCCTCGTTTCGCACACGCCCGTCGCGATGGTAACCCCGTCTGACAAACATCACACATCCTCCCCTTCCTCCCCTTGTCCTTATCCTTATTCCCATTCCCGTCCGAATCAGGACAAACAACATATCCCATCCGCCGATTCGCCCATTGAACAATATGTATGCATTTCCCGCCGAGGACGTACTTCCATATCAATAGGCGGAGTTCGGGGGAGAGTTTTGCGAGGAGCGAGGAGTGCGGTTGGAAGGGGTAGTAGCTTGTTTGGTCTAGGGAGTTGTTTTGGATGTGTTGAATGTGTTGGATCTCGTGGTTGTGGCGAGGGTGTGGTTGGGGTTGGTGTCTGGGGTGATTATCTGGGTCTGTTAGTACACAGTACTTGGGTATAGATTGGATGGAGGGGAGGGGAGGGGCGTACTTAGGTATCGCTGCGCGAGGACATCTTCCCAGGAGAAAACGCCTTGTTTTGATTTTGTCATTTCGCTCGATAATCTCTTCAGTCCTCGTATGCTGTATATGTATATGTATACCCCGGTGTATATACCCCCGGTATGGGTCAGATAAGAATGCGACAACGCACGCGACGCAACGCAGTAAGAATGCAATAAGCAGTATAAATAATCACAGGGAATGCATGTAATGGATCAGAATAATCGCGCACTGCACTTCTATATCCAATTCATATACTTGCAGAAGAGGGGTGTCCTGTCCTGTCCTGTGCCGTCCTGTTCTGGACTCGTGCTTGTGCTTGTGCTTGTACTCCGCAGGTAAGCGCGAATCACCTCATTTCACTTCATTCAAAACAAGAGTAAGAGTAAACTAGTCGAACGCCATCGGCGAGTTTATATATACTAGCTCTACGTACCAGAAGTAAAGTCGGTGGAACTAACAGGGGTTTGGTTCATGGTGCTGGGACTGACTAGATCAAGATAAGATAATAGACTGATTCGGAGACCTCGGGATTAAGCTTAGATTGTGGATCCGGGAACGCCCGTTGGGACGGTGCCGAGTGGTCTTATGGTCTTCGATGTCGGAGTGGATTTGGTTAGGTGATTGGATTTGTAGTGGGATGCCGTAAAAGAAATAGAAGAGAATGCATTGTACTCCATATCGTCTCGTAACAAGTCCGAGGGCAGCTACAGCACGGCAAACGCAGACACATAACTCACGGAACTATCCGACACTTCAACCGCGTCCGAACTACGCTCGTACCTCACAAAATGAAACTTCCCCCGCTCACCCTTCCCATGTGTCAACTTCTCAATCGCAGCCATAACCACTCCAATCGGATGTCGCCCACACACCGTATTCCCCGTCGTCTGAATCGTATCCAGGAACTTCCCTGTAACTCCCGTAGTGATAGCCGCCATGGTCGCCGTGTCGAACGCAGAGATACTCTCGTGAATAGCTGGCTCATGTTTCTGGATCTTGTCTCGCCGCCGTAGCATCTGGCCCGCTGAGACCATCTCTAGATTCTCTTCGATGTGCGCGGGGTCGGCTCCTGGCTGTGGCAGGGCGTTGCTGGAAAGTGGAAGACGGGGTCCTGGCTTCGGTGCCTGTGGCACGTAGTATGTGTACTGGAAGCGAAGACCCCAGTGGCAGAAGTCGGAGCTGATGACGAAGGCGTTCGATGGGTCAGCCAGGTACGGAGCCAGGAGGGTTCCAAAGACGTGTTCCGTCGCGGCGGAAGTGGCTCCAACCATGATCGGGACGAGAGGGGGGTATTGCGAGGTTAAGGTGGTAGGGTACTGGAGCTGGAGGAGACGGTGGATGTAGGGGAGGTGAAGTTCGATGCTGTGCTCGTTTTCGTCGATCGACTGTGTCATGGTTGTGAAGCTGGCGGTTGTGCCGTCGGGCATGGTGGCTTTGGTTGCCAGGAGCTTGGCGATGAGCTCGGCGTCCAGCGGGAGGGGGTCATCGGAGAGAGGGGTGTAGTAGGAGGTTAGCTGCGGAAGAGCCAGAGTCGAGAGGTAATGGTGGTGCGATGGTCCAAGGATGAAGATGCGTTGACTAGCTTATTAGCCAGGTAATTTGAACGATTTCAGGTAACTTACACATTTGACAAGTCCAACGTTTTGTACGCATAAGCAGCACAAGGACCTGAATACGCATAGCCCGCATGTCTAGCAATCAGCATCACAGTCACCCACGGTAGGTGAAAACTCACGGAGCAATAACAACACGAGCACCAGGCACAGGCAAACGCCCTATACCCTGGATCTCATCAGGAACCTGACTCAGCCATTGGTCCAACTGACGAGTTAGATGACGTTGGTTGTCCGAGTACCATGAGCCGGCGTGAGAAGCTTCCCTGGGCGCCATTTTGAGGTATCGTATGGAGTGGTGATGGACAGGACGGTTGAAGTGGATGGTTGAGAGTGCTGTCAAGAGCGGGGAGAGCGGGGTTTCGTCATAGTGGAGTTGCCGGGATGCCGAAGCCAGTTCGGCATCCCGATCGAGCTAGTGAATTAGAATAGAATTAGAGTATGGGTCTAGAATTGCATACTTTGATGGAGTGGATGTTTAGCTTGGTTTCTGGATTTGTCTCGATTTTATGGGTGCACCGGAGAGTATGCATTAATGGAGTACTCCAGCCGCTCATTGATTGAACCTAGACTTCCTACTAATGGCACAATATCAAGATGGAAGTGGGATCTCCAATATCTCCAGATCAATAGACTTGCAAAAGGTAACAGCGCATTTCATACTCCGTGCTCTTCATACTTCGTACAGAGCACGGAGTACATACAGGTACATATCTATGCTCTATTCCAAAGCGTCGCGTGACCGCGTCGCGACGTGAAATCGAGCACATCTCGCAAGCTCTAGCTTAGTTTCATTGAGAGGAATAAAGCATCATCTATATACTTAATTTGTACTATTGCTCCTCTGCTAATCTGTGCTATATCCACCTTAGTTGACGGTGAACTCCCCCGTCCAGATTCCAATGAAACCAATACGGGTTAGCGCATACCCGTGACGTGACGCGATCCGCCTTGTTAGACGCGACCAACCACCACCACTTTTGCCAGCCTGCTCCATCTCTGTTCGAGTCTTAATTTATATTGCTAGCGAGCGTTGCATTTTTGAATATACCACATATCACCCGTACATATATCGAAATCCTCCATTGAGACGAATTGAGACGACGCGATTGTCCACCGCACTCCACCGGACCACTGATTGCCCCTTACCAACGATTGCCCTCAAACGATTACCCACAAGACGATTAAAATGCTTCGAACCATGTCCCTCAAGCGCAAAGCGTCATTTTCCACATTCCCTACTCCTGATATGACGCCGGTCGTCGAAGGACCATCGGTGACAATGGACGACGCACCGCATATGAACAGCCGGACACGGAAGCGCTTTAGGGATGACCGTCCAGAAGAGAAGACAGTATATGGTGAGCCCACTGACAGGAACACTCGGCGATTTCCACGACCGAAAAGCTAACGTGGATAGAAAACACCCTCCGATGGCTCTACTCAGCCCAGCAGCGACAAGAGTCCGCCACTATAAATACCAACACAGAAGACGAGAACGAGAATTTGGATTCAGAGTCGCTACCTAAACCGGAAATTATTGATCCTCGGCAACAGACACTACACAGGTTCTTTAAATCCACACCATCATCTGCCCTCTCGTCGCACACGACCGGACAATCGGCTGGTCCAATACAGACGAACAATGGATTCGTACAACCATACTCTGTGAATTCGCCGGGTGTGTCAATGGGTAGCGATGATAATCGCAGCCCAAGTTCGAGGCTTATGGGGGCCGATATGGATATGGATGTGGATATGGATTCTGGGAGTGATCAGTCTCATGAATCCAAGGGGGGTGTTGGAGGATTTAGATGGATGTAACGGCTCTTAAAATGCCGTTATAAGTACTGTTCTTTTTTCGCGGTCACGATTAACCTGTATGATTTTGGGCACGGTGTTTGGGAGTAAATACGGATGATATAGTGGCCCAAGGGCCACGTTGTATTTCACTTATATAAATATGATGGAATTTTTGGAAATTCTGATAAATCCATACTATATACTTTCTTTTCGTTCCTTTTTGATGTCACTCAATGGATAGCAAACATGGTTGCCGCCTTGTAGCCTCAGGTATCACTCACGGATGTCATTAACTAGCTCAACTTCGCTCCGAACCACCAACACCACAGTTCATATAAACCCGCATACAACGTCCAGCCAAGGAGGAGCGGTGAAACAATACATTCTCCAGTTCAGCAATTGATCACACTTCCTCTCGAGATATCGCAATCACCGCTTCGGTTTATCACCGCACCGCCGCCCCACGAGACCCCTCTATCGAACACTACCAACCACCTACCTGCGTTGTTTGGACCTGAGCGTTGGATTGAGCGTTGCATCCGAAAAGACGAAACGAAAATAGATTTCACTGGCAGACACAATGGATACACAGCAAGCCGTTCAATATCTGGACTCGTTAATCGGTCAGACGTTGCGAGTGCATACGACGGATACGCGCCTATTCGTGGGCACGTTCAAGTGCACAGATGCGGTACGTATATACCGTCCTATAGCCGACTACAATAATATATGAAGAAAAAGCAAAACGAAAAGGAATGCGCTGACTGTGATGTCTCGAATCTAGGCCCGCAATGTCATCCTCGCGACCACTTACGAATACCGCTACCCCTCCCCCTCCGCCGTTCAAGAGGTCGCTTCCGGCGTGAATGACCCAGAAAACAGAAACAGTAGGACAGACGATTTGCAGAACGTTAAAGCAAATATGACCAGTCGACTGATCGGACTGGTGGTGATTCCCGGGCAGCATATCACGCGGATCGAACTGGAGGAGACACCCGAGCAGGTCAAAGTACGAGAGGTGTTACAGAAGTCATAGTTGGTAGATGGTTTGGATGTCGTCCGTGGGGATGGTTACGAATGATGATTTTTGGTTTCTTTTTTTCTTCCTTTTCTCTCGTTCCGACTGGTTGCGCATCAGAGCGAAATCTTTCTGACTTCTACTTGGTCTATTGCCCACGATTTTGGCGGCGTTTATCGCGTGGGCAGATAATGCGTGATGGATGGGGAGAACAACATGGATTGTGCATATCACACAGAAGAGCGCAGTGCACGATTTGCCCCTCATGTTGGGATCGGGATGAGTCTTACATATCGCCAAGATGCGGACAAGAAAAGCATGGCTACGAGTGGCTAGGAGAAAAACCCGTTGGCGATGTGATGCACCGTCGGAGGGATGGGAGGTTTACATGGACGGGTGATGTTCCTGCAGGGCTGCGCTCTGGGTCACGGCCCTACCGGATGCGTAATGCCAATGCCCGACGGTCAGAGTCTGGACAATGTTCTGTGTGGTGGATGATGGCGGGCTTGATCATTCTGTCGCGTTTCTCGCTTTTTTTGCGTTTCTGCTCTGTCGGGTCTGGCCCCGCCTTTGACTCTTGTTTCCCCCCTGGTTCCCTGTTCTGCCAATGGTTGGTGGCGTTGGGGATGAGCTCAGGAACGGCCATTATACTCGATACAGCACCGTGTTGACCAGATCGGGCACCGTCGGAGAAACAAAAGGACATAAGCTGACCGCCAACTGCATTCGATACCATTCGAACCGGGGGAAGGGGGAGGGGGAGAATGGGGCTGCACGAGTATCTCTACCAACGAGAAGAGTAGATGCCGAGGCCCTGTCCTATGATGTCTTCAGCCAAGAGAGCCGTGCGGAGGGGCAGACAGCTCTGGATGCTGTATGTATTGTGGGGAGAAAGTGATCGTGCATTGATGCCAGTATTAACATGTACATTATCATTGTCTAGACTATTCATTATTCACTTGTAGAGGTGTATATATAGACATAAATAAGGTCTAGATATCATCCATTTAGGCACCAGTCGACATCATCGACACTTGCCTCTCGGGCCGACGGTTTCTCCGCCTTGTCCCGACCGAGACCAAAAACGCCCGCCCGGCCAGAAGCACCGCTGTTTATCCCGGAGACCACCACGAAGTCCTCGATTAGACAGACCTCTCTCAACTTCATCTCAGCTTCATTTTGTCCATTTCTCATCTTCAGTGCATTCTTGTGCAGCTGTTGCTCTCCCATCAGGTATGCTCTCTGCTTTTCCTCTTCTCCGCCCCTTTGCCAGCTCTGAAAAGACAGCAACCCCATAATGACGCATTGCCCACCACCGTCTGTCATTTCTCTCCTCCAACCCACTCATTCCTTTTTGCCCCCTCCTACTCCTCCTCACCTCCACATTCCCATTGCTGCTCTTTTTCCGTCTGGGGCTCCAGCTTTTGATCTTTTGACATCTCCGCGTCGCCTACCCAAAGCACATCAACTGACCGTTTCCGTATAGTACATACCAAAGCAGGTTGCGGTCGTTTCTTTTGACGAATCGGATCCTTTCCCTCTTCCTCCAGCTTCTCCTAGCTCCTCTTCTTCGTCCTCCCGTCGGTGACTCGGATAAAAGTAGCTTCTTCTGCTGCTGCTGTTGCTGCTACTATCGGTGCTGCTGCGTCTAGTTTGCTCTGCTGGTCGTGGTGCATTGTGGTCTGCTCTGCTGTGCTGTTGCTGTGCTGTGATGCCACTCGGTTGTCCATCGTAGCTTCACATTCGCTCCTTTTCACCGTCCTGCTCTGCTGTTCTAGTCCCAACCCCGGGAGAGCTCGTCTTCGTTCCAGACCGTCTCGTCATAAAGCCCCATTGTTTGGATCCGATCGGGTGTTCTTGCTCTCTTCACACACGGGCCTTCCAAGTTAGCACGGGCCTTTGATAAATTCTGAAAAAAGGAAAATTTTCATTCAGCATTGGCTGGCGTTTGTTGCCTGCTTGGCGTTCTTTTCGAATTTTCTTTTTATTTTTCTCTGCCCAACGGCGGGACACCACCTCCTTTTTTAGCTCTGCTCGCGGAAGCTTCGGGTGAAACGGTGGTGACCAAGACACCTTTTCAGCATTCCAACGCCAATTGCAGAGCTCTGTGCGCCCGCTGTCTTTTCCTAACGCTTGTTTTTAATCTGCCATCCCTAATCCTTCTTTTCCACCTCCCGCACTTGGCAGATATCCCACCTTGCAGTCATGGGTCAATCACATTCCAAAGGCGGCTCTAGCTCCGGCGACCCTTTGCAGTCGTACCCTTCCTTCACTCGTTCGGACACCCAAGAGTCTCGTCGCTCCCTTCGCGGCTCGATCCGATCCAAGATCAGGAGCAGCGACAGTCCCCGCGCGTCTCTCACGGGGCTGTCTCGGACGGATAGTCAGACGGACAAATCGGATACAGGGTCTATAAAGTCGGCAAAGTCAGCCAAGTCGACTGGAAGTCGACGCGATTCCAACCCCCAGAGCCCGGGGTCGGAGGATGCTGGTGCCCAGTCTGATGTCCCCGACCCTCCACCGTCACCTTCGATGTCCAACAGCCTGAAAAAGGGCCACAAGGATGTGAGCGAGATGCAGGCGAGTGGGGAGGTCGATCATGTTTCGGATGTACCCCCGACCGGCAGCGTCCCGGAGAAGGAGAAACCCAAGGTCGTCGAATCGATCCTTATCAAGCGGGATAATCAGCTCAACCCCATTTTGGATTTCATCATGAACCCCCCCTTGGAGACCAGTGGGTCGCCTGGAATGGGGATGGGGGCTCTGAAGTCCATTGATCTGGACGACATGATCTCGCGCCTGCTGGATGCTGGCTACTCGACCAAGGTCACCAAGACTGTCTGCCTGAAAAACGCAGAGATTACCGCGATTTGCGGAGCGGCTCGAGAGCTCTTCCTTTCGCAGCCGGCACTGCTGGAGCTGTCGGCTCCGGTTAAGATCGTTGGTGATGTACACGGTCAATATACCGATCTCATTCGACTATTCGAGATGTGTGGCTTCCCTCCGAACTCGAACTATCTCTTCCTAGGTGACTATGTCGACCGTGGGAAGCAGAGCTTGGAAACCATCTTGCTGCTTCTGTGCTATAAGCTCAAGTACCCCGAGAACTTCTTCCTCTTGCGAGGCAACCACGAATGCGCCAACGTCACCCGTGTGTACGGGTTCTATGATGAGTGTAAGCGCCGTTGCAACATCAAGGTCTGGAAGACCTTCATTGACACCTTCAACTGTCTCCCCATCGCTTCCATCGTTGCTGGGAAGATCTTCTGTGTCCACGGCGGTCTGTCCCCTAGTCTGTCGCACATGGACGATATCCGAGGCATCGCTCGTCCCACTGATGTGCCGGATTATGGATTGCTCAATGACCTTCTCTGGAGTGATCCGGCGGATATGGAGGAAGATTGGGAACCCAACGAGCGTGGTGTTAGCTATTGTTTCGGCAAGCAGGTTATCATGAATTTCTTGCAGCGTCACGATTTCGATTTGGTTTGCCGTGCTCACATGGTTGTCGAGGACGGTTATGAATTCTATCAGGATCGGGTTCTGGTCACAGTTTTCTCTGCTCCTAACGTATGTATTCTACTTCGTACCTGTGTCTGAAGGAGACTAACGATCACAGTACTGCGGTGAATTCGATAACTGGGGTGCGATCATGTCGGTTTCCGGTGAGCTGCTCTGTAGCTTCGAACTCTTGAAACCCTTGGATTCGGCCGCCTTGAAGAATCATATCAAGAAGGGCCGGAACAAGCGGAACAGTATCTTGAGTAGTCCTGTAAGTAGTCCCTTGCTTATCTACTCCCCTTTCTTTTCTCGCCAAGGTTTAGAATTGGGATTCTACCCTTGTGCAACCGTGCCGAGACTCTTGTCCTTTATCGCTTTTATGATTTCATTTGCTAACAAACTTGCAGCCTGCGCCTGTATCAGCCCAAAGTTACTAAAACGGTATTGTTGTTTATACTGCCAAGACCTCGGCATCCACATGATGTCACCGTCAAAAGTGATTATTGGTCATAAAATGGCCTGAAATGGTCCATCTCCCGTGCAGTCCCCCTCCAGTCGGGACCCAGCATTTTGAGAGCGTTGGTACTACTCCAGCGCCGAAATTTTCCGTCAGTGTGAATCACTTGTCGGGTGGGCGTTAGGGCCAGTCTAACGTCCTATTGCATTCAACGTTCAATTCAGTCAGGCGCCGTCTGCCGGTGGTTTCGGGACTTCGAGTCCGTTTCTCTATTGGAGATAGCAGCCATACTGGTTCGACAGACTCGGAGAAACCACGCCTCCTTGTACAGTTTCCTTCATATCAGTGCGTATTTAGCGACTTGCGGATCCTACGATGAAAACAATAATGACTTCATGTACTTCTATCTTTTTTCATGTTACGTTCCGCGGGTTTACCGCTGCTCTGGTTGATAATACGTCTGCCGGTTTCTGACGGCCAAGCAGCAGATTGGACTGTTGTAATGCCATTTCTTTTCTCGTATCTGTTTCTTTATTAATTAGGTTAGGTTTTAGTTAATTTGGCGTTGGCATTGACTCATGGATTTTATTTTAAAAGTATCGTAACATAATTTCCATCTTATTATAGAAGTAATCATCTGCGCACGAATATCATCCTCAATCCCGGTGTACTCTTGGGTGACGCCGAATTACTCGAAGTGGTATAGTGTGTCTGTTTAGGTTTAGCGTCACATTGCCGCTTGGCATCGCTGTGCGTGCTCTATAAAGTCGCCTGCTTCAACTTTAACCAAATTTTTGCTGTTTTTCCTTTCACCTTTCGCCCCTGCCGCCTATGATTTTGGTGAGGCATTTTTGCTATTGATCCTCTGCCTAGGCCCACTCATTGCGCCACCCCATTTTCGCTGAATGCAGTCATAATCACCTTGAAGCTGCAGTCTCTTCACACCAGTATGGTCCCCCCCCTACTCATGTTGAAAAGGTCCGCTAATATAAATGATGCTTGAGATACAATGTTGCCTTGCAAATTGAATAGTTCACCATAATTTTCATCACGTCATCCTCAAACCCTTCATCTCCTACTGGCTGAGCGTCCCAGGAATAACTATCCGGCTTCTCCTGGCCTGTGCTGGATAGGCAACAGGGAGTCGGTTGGACAGGACTAGTTGAAAATGGTAGTCTGTCACTAACTTTACCTCTTGACTGGTGCTCATCGAATGCTGAATATCTAGAGCAGTTTGGCAGGAACAGTGGCTGAGCTTCTCCATACCTGCATTGGACATGGGTGGGGAATGGGCGGCTCATCAATTTGATATCATATACAACCTTGGATGAACTGGCAAAGATCGGCTGGAAAGATGAGACACCAGTGGTTTCGGAAGAAATTTATTATCTTTGGACGGAGAAATGAATCCAACTGGATGAAAGTCTGGCACTCCAAGGATCTACCCGTCAAGCCACCTCTACTCTGGACTCAGCAATCAACATAAACGGTCTGGAACCAACCCACTGTCATCAGGATTATCCAGAGAATTGGCATGATTATTGAACCGGATTTCACCACTGAGTTGGAATTCATGCCGGGCATTGGGTATCACATATTTCTGTGGTCACATTGTGCGCATATCTTCCACAGCAAATCATTCATAGCTCACTAGGTGTGACGGTCCAACGCCGCCGTCCGAACAAGCAGACCGGGGAAGTATTAGCACGGCTGCACAGGCCATAGATAAAACCCCTTTTCCTCTTGTGGACAGATTCCTCTTTTTTCTCTCCAGATTCAATATTCTCGTCGATGGCTACACTAGTTTAGATAGGAATATCATTTCATTAGTATCTACTAGTCCGAGCCCGTGACAATTGTTTTTCTTAAAGCTGTGGCCTGCCGCAAGGGCCGAAATTACCGCCAGGTTCAGTCTGCCATAGGACCATAAATCCCAGAAGACAACCGTCATTCTACCTAAGAACTGTGACTTGCCGCATGGCCCAGCTTGCCGCAGGATCAGGAACTTCTTAGGATAGCAATCATTCTCCCAAACCATGGCCTGTCTCAGGGACAATGTTACCGCCCGGGAACAGTTTGCTGCAGGGCCGAGACCACAGCAAGACTCAGTCTGCCACGGGATCAGCAACTCCGTAGGATCGCGATATGCTTCCAAGAATCATGGCGTGCTGCGGGACCAGTTGCCGCAATGGCCAATGCCATGAAAAAGTACATTCAACTTCTGGACCATTCCCCTCTGGGGCTCCGAGCAGATTTCTGGGACCCACGGCGTACCCGAGACATTGGTTCAGCAAACTGTTGGACTGTCCTAGCCGCTGTTGCTTCTGAGTATGATTATGCAATGGCTGTAGATGTTGGACTTCAATTAACTAGAGCTTCTTCCTTCTCCTTAATAATAGGTAATGGGTGAGGCTCATAGGCGTGGAAATCGCTTGGCATTACCTGTGTAATATTTGTATAATAAGATTCAACTAAATCACGCCTTTCTACGACAAAAGGGACTGGAGTATACAGCGAAAGGATATATAAGGTCACTCGTTCATGTACTTAGCTTAGTTCTTCACGATCAATCTCGTTAATCAAGCATTAATCACCTTTCTAGTTTCTGCCTCGTCCGCACTAAGTCACTAACCAACAGCTGAGTATACGTACCCAGCTGGCCTTGTTTTTCTATTCGTTACCTTATTGTTTATACTTATCTACGGAGCCTGGAGGGGGCGATATACCCATCAACACATACAACTTATGGACTGGACCTGGATGGTCATTGATGCACGTACAGTCGTACACTTATTGGAAGACACTTAGGGTAAGTGTTTTCTGTCTCGAAATACAACTAACTAGAACCCTAGGTACGATGCGAGAGTAGCCAGGCTGTGACAGGATGTCAGCTCCAGTGATTCAAAAGGAAAGACTTGCCTTCCCCTCACTGCCATCTACAACAACTCTGAGGGGTGTCATATTTGATCAGCCAAAATGCAGATCTTAACAAGAGGCATAAGGATGTGCTGAATCCTTTTGCTATAATGGTATAAATTAGTGTTATGGAATATATCTAACCTCTGATGAATAGTCATGACAGAAGTCTCAGAAACTTTTGATCATGTCACGGAGCTCAGCTGGGATAATGGAACATCAACTCATGTGTTCTACCTAGGTAGCTATCGACGAGAATAATCAACATAAGGAAGGAAGAAGAGGAAGGATGTGCCATCAGTATTGACGAGACTTATATCCCTTGCTCCCCAGCACGTGAGTGGTATACACGTGACCAGACCGTCACAGATCATGAGCTAAGCAGCAATTTTCATCAGCAGTAGCAATAAACAGCAGATCTGCACAATCATAAGTTTCATCTTCTCATAGGTACCTGGCCCTATTGCTTTTTTTTTACCTCAACCACCAGCGTATCTCTGTCCGCTTCCTCCGATTGCTTCTTTCCCAAAGATTGCCAGCAATTCCGGTACCTCCGCTGTTACTGTCCCATCTACAGCCTGCATGACTTCGAAATCAATCATGGTCACGCATCCAGTGGCTGGGCCATACAAAACGTTATGCTTGCCCGCGTCGACGCAGACGGACCCCACACTTCTGAGTACTTGAACCGCCTTTCTCATCTGCCATTTCACGTGTAACTTCTCCGTGTCGGAGATATGGCTCCATTGTGTGTCGAGGGGTTTGCCTTGGGCTTTGCTGATGACCAATATGTATCCTGCGGGGAATAGCGAGGAACATACTATCGGTCCGTGAGTAAGAAGAGATGGAAAGAATTCGAAACCATCTGGACGCCGTTGAGATAGTCTTTCATAAGTACTGGCCTCCGCCGCGTAACTACATTGTGGTCAGCTTCAAGTCAGGTTGCGATTCAATGGTTTTGACAGACCTCATGAATCTAGATGGGGCATAACACTTAACAATGGCCGGCTGGCCGTCCCAGACCGCATCGTAAACTGCTTTCTCAGGGGTTCCACGTATTAACTGGCTGCAGTTGATCCAGTGTCTCGCGATCCCGTCCGTCCCAAAAAGCACCGTGTTCACCCCAATAGAGAAGTCACCACTTGTCGCAATGTGATGCCGCCCTGAAGTTGGACGAGTGGAAGCTTGGAAGTAGGGCTGTGTGGGTGCGTTGAGCTGCTCTCATACATTAGTCGATATTAAATAGTTATAGAAAAGCCAAATTGCCATACCTTCTCTAGAGAAAAGTCCCTCGCTGCAGTATACTGTCCATCTTGAGCGGCCCAGGAGACAAAGGATAGAAAACACTGTCGTAGAGATGGGTTGGTCGATTTCTCGTGAACCGGTAAACTCATCTCAAATCTGAAATCGTCAGTGCGACGAATGAAAATCGTCCATTCATACGTAGAGAGGAACCCATATTTTCGTTTATGTAATTGCATATACTCGACAAGTTGGGCTGAAAAAAGAGAAATGGTGTTAGCCTGTCGATTATTTCCCAAAGAGCGTGGCCGGCTTACCGAGATGGGGTTGCAGGGGTATGAGTCCTCCGGGTCCATCGCTGACAGGATGATCTTGAAGAGAGACAGTCCAATAAGTTTTCAATTCACCCACTAAGACAATGCGCCAATTTAGAGTCGACGGAAGCACGATATCTAGTACTTTGTTCGAGTTGGTAGGAACGGCAGCTTTGTATGTCCCGAAGGTCAGATGCGAGAGGCCTGGTACAACAGACATCACTTTCGAAACAGCATCGCATACATGTTTCGCGAATCTTGTAGTAAGGCCTGGTTCGCATCCGATAGCGAAGCGTTCACTGAGATCTTGGTCATCCGTTATGGAAACCAACGTACTCAAATCCAGATCATTGTATGTAGAAAGAACTTCGGTAAAAAATGTGTTCCATTCATGAAAGGGCTGAGCCGAAATGTTTCTAGGGCGAGATGATTCAGTTGTGGTTCCATTGGCCTTTACAAGGGAGGGTAACTGGCGTCGTATTAACTCATCCGCCGTTTCCATGACGGGCATATGCAGGAAAAATTGCTGAATTACTGGTAAGTAGCAGTAGCAGTAGTAACAGCAAGGATACTATATAAAGAATTGGTGCTCCTAGATCTTGAGGGCTTGAGAGGAGGGTTCGTGTGCAACCGGGACAGTCGGGCAAGGATGCCTAGTCTGGCATCCGTCGACCCGAAAACAAGCTAGTAGTTCACCAACTTCACGATAAAAGTAAAGTCGCTGTCTTGTTGAGGCGTTTAAGGAAGCAAGAAAGGTGATCAAGAATCAGTCGTTCCCTGAAGGTTGATAAAGGGAAGCTACTCTGATGAAGGGAAAACAGTTAGGCTGATAGGTGAAACTTCTGATTGCTTAATGGAGGCTAACGTGTACGTACAAAATAGATAGATAAGTAACTTAGCATTTTTGTATGCATATATAGGCGAGAATATATCAATTTCATTAAAAGCTTGACCTCTCCGTATACGACCTCGCTAGTCGCGGATAATCGACTCCTCCGGCCCTCCGGCCCCCGATCCCCATTTCAATAGTTCATAAATGTAACATTTTTCTGCGAGCGACTCTGAATTAGTAGTAGTAGTAGTGTGTGTGTGTGTGTGTGTGTGTGTGTGTGTGTGTGTGTTTCTATTTTACGTCGAGGATCGGGACATACGACGGGCAGATCGGAACTGCCTATCACCTAGCTAAGCTACCATCTATCATCTAAATACAGGTAGCCCCCCGCGCGGGGAGCTGCTTGGGTTTTCACAGCTGTTCAAAGCAAGCTGAGCATCTTGGGGTTTTCTTGATACGAAAACCGAGAACAGAAGAAGTGAGAGAGAACTTCCTGGGATCACAAAGATGGCCCATTTCTGTTCTGTCTCAGCATTGGAGCCCTGGATTGTGTCACGGATCTCAGCCAGGATAATGGAACATCAACTCATGTGCTCTACCTAGGTAGCTATCGACGAGAATAATCAACATGAGGAAAGAAGGAAAAGGAAGAATGTGGCCTCGAGCGTTGACGTGGCTAATAACCCCGCTTCCAGGCAATGCACATGATCAGGCCGTCACAGATTGTCTGCTGTATCTCCTCCTTTTTGTCATGCAGGATCTGTCCGCTTTGCATGTCTTTAGGCCCAATGGCGAGCCCTGTGGGACATGTTGGGTCTCCTTTATGGTGTCAGTGGCCATTGGGCCCAGGTTGTTGCGTAGCTTCTGTAGTACTGCGTACGGGCTGGCCTGCCGGGCAGGGTGATCAGTTGGGATTCGGAGGAAGAGGCGGAGAGGCCTTTCCGGCTTAGGGGGTGTGGTGTAGGATTTCCTTGTAGTCTTGTTGTCTGATTTGGACACGATGGCGGCAGCACAGGCATTTGTCTTCTTGTTAGTGTTCTTTATATTGAGTTGTCTAATACAATTTGAGACAACAATGCCTTTCATTTCCCCTGTGGGCGTACGACATGACCTGTAGCCAGTTTCATCAGAAAGTTATTGTACAGTATTTGAAAATAGCATGACCGCATTCAACGAGACCAGTGTAGCCATGATGGCAGTGTCAGATTCAATCTCCTGGCCGTGCACATCAAGATGGACCCATGTTGCTATCTGGACATTTATCTCAAAGACAGTCTGCTCCACCGCCCAGTCATGAACTTCAGGTTTGGTGGACCAGTAGTCATTGATCAGATATCCTTGCAGTTGCAGAGATGGGAAATGTCTCCATATCATCAATGTGGATAGCTTTCAGTTGCTGTAAGATTCTGTTGGTGTGCGGTGAGAATGACGCGACTATTGGAGATGTAGGGTACTTGCTGCCAGTGTACAGTGACTCATTTTCTGTGGTGTGGATACTTTGAAGAGGGGACATGACCAGCAGGGTCCCATTTTCCTATCAACACGGCTTTGTTAACTGGCGGATAGCAATTTTTGGCAAATGGGGAGAGTTTGGCCATACGTAGTCAACATACTGCCGCATAGGGGGGGCTGGTTGATGGTGATGGCATGGTTTCTTGGATGGTAGAGACCATAGACACATTGTCATCTTCAATGGCCATCTTGCAGTGGCTGGAACGCTGAATGGATTGGTTATGGAAAATTTATGGAGTATTTGAAGGGGAGACTGTGCGGCCTCGTGTATTTGACTTGTTTGCTTATAGTGCAAAGTGAGGGTAGGGCAATCAAAACAAACACCACACATACAACACAAAGGTCACATGCCAACCCGGAAAACTCCACTGTCCATCACGCACTGCCTGGGTTGCCATTAAGAGAATTCAATGGTAGCCGTGTCCTTGGTTGGTGTATTCTGCGTTTTTATCGTATTATTTGGATGCTAATGTGACCTGGTATAGTCTGTCATTGATGAGCAGCATGTCAGGTAGCAGGAAATCCAGTCATGTGGCAGGGTCAGTAACCAGAGATAGCTTGCGACAATCACAGGTAAGGGCACCATGCTATGCATGAGGCAAGTGCTAATATCAGTATACCCTAGTCAACTGGAGAACGCTCCTCAGGCAATTCTCGCCAGCGAGATCCCCAAAGTCAATCACCTCAGCGAGAGACCCGTTCTCAGCCTCGCCAAAAAGATCCCCAACGTCAAACCCCACGACGAGAGACCCGTTCTCAGCCTTGCCAAAAAGATCCCCAGCATCAAACCCCACAACAAGGGACCCGTTCCCAGCCCCGCCAGCAAGATTCCTGAAGTCAGTCTCCACAGCAAGAGACCCGTTCTCGGCCCTGCCAGCAAGATGATCATATACCATTGAGTGATGCTCACGAGGGGCGGTCACAGGACACAGAGCGTGATGTGGAAACCCATGACTGGGAAGACAAACCCTTGTTTGAAGATGAATCTGATGCCAGTAGTGAGGATGGACACAATGAACTCACTGGCAATGGGATGGAGTCACATCCCAACTGCCACATGCAGGGGGTGATTCTAGGAGTAAGTACCAAACTATGGCAATGGCAAATACTTTGATACTAACATGTGCTATTCGGTTGCTTACTAGGAAGATGAAGAGTTCCCCTCCCGCCGGAGAGCTGGTCATTGAGACGTGACATCTACATTGGCCCTGAGTAGTCCAAGGGGATTGCCCAGTACCCCGAATTCCCATCAACCCACACCAGGTAGCTCCCAGGGCCCCAGCGAAAAGTCCGTGAGGAGCTTGAACATTGAAAAGGACAATGACATTGCCTGGGGTGGTTCCAAACGACAACTACACCGGACAGGATCAAAAGCCGCTTTGAGAGAACATAACAGGGGTCTTTATCGAGAGACCATCCAACTGATTGCGGGCCGGGTGTTCTTTGGTTGTATGGAGCCAGGCCAGCCCCATAGACTGACAATGCGACCGGAGGAGAGTGAGCGGGAATTTTCAAAAATGATCACGGAGGTATGGTCATTGCGGCGTGCGGATATTCTGGGTGAACATCATAGGAAGGGTCAGAATGACGAGAAACCCAATCTATCAGAGCACCCAAGCTCTGGCGAGGCTCGCCTGGTCAGTGTCCCTTGTATGGCGTTTGAACACTACTGTTGCTAATGATTACTGGGTGGTAGATTCGGGATATGATGGGGGAAATTCGAAGCCATGGCCTTAGCAAGGTCAGGGCAATGGTTCCTATCCTGTACAGTTTCACGGCAGACCAGGAAGCGACGGCTAAGACGGTCAAGGAACTGTTGAAAAATGACCAGTTCACCTGCAATATTGCACTGGATGGAAGAGAGGTAAGACCCCGGCCTAGCGATTTGGAACACAGATGACCTAAGTATTGATTATGAATGGTTGAACATACAGAAAAAGGGCTATCAGCGGTGGTTGGCCCCCGTGCTGATCAAGGCAATTGTCCTCGTTTTCTACAGTGGTGATGGTCGGCAAGGTCTTGCTCAGTCAGCGCTGACGCGTCAGTATTTCAAGCCAATAGGTGTCAACCCTCTGCCGATAGTGGCGACCATGATCTGTCACAGTCTCAATGAGTTCGAGACCGGTTCTAAAATGACTCTCAAGTTCGACGGCAGACGAATGAGTGGTATGCTATCCCATACACCTGAGGTACTTGGCTGTCGCTGATTGTGTGATCCGGTGGGGGGAGGGTTTGTTAGGAACGTACATCCGCCTGAAGAAAACATGGTTTGAGCAGATTGAGCAGAGGAGGGAGAGGGTGCTTGTGATTGTGCAGGAGAAGGTGGTAGTTGAGGCTGGACTGACTGCGAATGATGGGGCGGTGGAATTCATGGAGGTGGCCCGGGACGATTACATGGCTCAGATGGACGACTTGGACGATCTCGATAAGCCGGCTGAGGTGGGTGAAGCGCCTGATGATGTTGAGCACACAAGGGATACTGCAGAGAGACAGGCGCCAGACAATGCATGAGAGGTGGATGACGGCTAGTTCAGTAGCGTGTAGCCCAGCTTGCAGAGTATTCCAATGCTAGTTATATGGGTAGCTTTAGTAATGACAATGGTGGCCAATGACAGTCAATACCAATGGCGATAGCAGCGGTAAACGCAAAAATGGTCATGGTAACAGTACTACCGGTGATGATAGTGATGGTTGCAGTGGTATCCTTGATAGTTATTATACAAATAGTGTACTGGTTGACGTTTGTGATTTTGTTGGCATGAGTAGCTGTGGTTGATAGGACACCAATGGTGGCGTATGTGAAAGGATTTGTGTAAGTACAGTTTATACTGTTATTGCAGGGTGAGGCGTTGGTGTTGTAGTGTGTGTTGGTTGGTGGGATATGGTAGTGCCATTCAATTGTGGTTGAAGATGATGTACATATGTTTACAAAGAATGAGACAGGCTATAGCAGCAGCATCGCGGTGGTACCGCCGCGGACCGACATGGTTCGAGATGTCGCGGCGGCCAAATCGCGGCGGCGACATAGCGGCGGTACCGCTGTGTTTTGAACGGTTTCCACTTTTGCCGATGTACTGGGTTCCATACACATGTCTTCTCCTATGCTTGATCCATTTTATTTGCTCTGCATTTACCCTTGCAAGGCTTTCAAAGAGCAAATTTCGCCCAGCTGCAATGCTTCTGACCTACACAATATCTCAGTGGCCGGATACAAACTGTGTCAACTACAGGAGGTGCTGTTGGTGTTATTTCATGCGCTTAGCACTTATCTCAACATCATACGCTGGTATGTGAAAACAGTGATTTTTTGGAGACTTTTGCTTATATACCACCCAGTGCTCCGGGCCTGTTTGATGAAAATACCAAGGCACGATGTATGACTTGCATATCTCATGCAGTTCATGACCTTAGGAAACACAAGACACATCTTGAAGGCCTCGATCAATCTGTTTTCCTTCAGAGAACTGTCACAGAGACGTACCTATCAATATATGATAATCGCCTCCGTGACATTGGAGTTGACCCTTTACCACCCACCTCACCTACCTGTGATTGTATTGGCCATGGCAGTAATAGGACCTCCTCTTCAGCAAATGATATTATTATAATCCGACTTGGAGAAGCTGCGATGAACCGCTTCCCTGAGTATGGTGAATTATTATTGCAGGAAATCTCTCAGAGACGCGTGAGAGGAGACAAAAATTTAGGAGACATTTCGAAGAGATATGAGGTGGTCCAAGAACGTTTTCAACGTGCTCTTGGATATCTTCAGCATGGTGAAAAATTGGAATTATATGAAACATTGACAAGAGGATATCGACTCGATTTCACGTTGCCTTATGCAGAAATAATGCATCCCGGCTTATGAGAAGTCATTGGCTAGCATAGCATGGAAGTCGTTGGGTTCAATGGATTACGGTTTATTGAACACAAAGAACCCATTATGGGGAAATTCATCAGCGAAAGTAAATTAAACGCTCATATTAGGCTTTTTCTTGACGGGGCATTATTTGAATGGGTGCAATTATCTCCAATTTGTTCGGAATGGTCACCAATACCAGAATTTCTGATTATTGTTGTGGCTCTCGTGACATCAGCTGACTGCGTGTACTGACCACCGCTTATTTGCTTCAGAAGAAACACGACTTTGAGGAACTGGGTACGCCAAGTATCCCTTTCTCCGCGGTCCTCCAGTTGTAAAAGTAGCCTGTACATGTACACCCAGATGCAAAAGCAGTGTTACCCCTAACGATTGTTTTTTGTCTTTCAAACCCTATGCCAAGAAAGCACTTAACCTCTTTTTTCATAACCCCGAAAACTCTATTTTAGGATAGCGTATTGTATGGTATGAATTATCACAAGAGTAATGATGCCTTATGGTTATTACATGTTTCAGCTATACAAGCGGTTTCTCGATGCGACCTGAGTTCGTTTGGTCAGTCCGATATTCATCCGATTCTCATCATACCACAACCCCGCTCATGGATAAGATTGGCTGGGACGGGTATGAGTAAATCCGAAACCGAAACCGAAACCCTGCTCCGGAGAAGTATCATTCCGCAACTGAATCAAGAAGGCCCCAGCGGGTTCCGTTCACACTACTTCGAAGCACAAGGCGCCTTGACACCATCAGCAAGATGAAAATATCTAGTACGTATCTTGTGCTGCTGACGGCTGGGGTTTATGGGGTAGATGCGAGAGGTAGTTTCCTCCCAAGCTCTCCATCTATCTTTGGCACCAACATTGATACTGCAGAAGCGCTCCATACCGCTACCGTTAATTATAATGGAGAGGACCGTACCTTGTTACCCCAAAACAACTACAATGGCTGGGTCAACCCTGAAGATTTGGCTCCTATGCCACAGTGCATCGCTCAGCAAGATCAATCCACCTGGCTGAGCACCATGACGAAATGTACCAGCAAATGATGCACCTCCCACTTTGGAGCTATCTGCACCCACCATCAATGGCTCACTCAGCTCAGCTGTCTCAGCGTTGCATTTTCCCCCAACGTTATCGAAAGTTATTTCCCATACTGTGGTAGATCAGTACTCGCCAAAGCGCAGTTGTATCAATGGGTTCGTAACATCACCGGTCGAACGTGGCTTGTCGATGTTGGCGACGCGAATGAGTTGCAAAATCTCTCCCCAGCCTCCCTAGCTGAAGGGTACGCAGCCTTTGACGTGGTTTACAATGCACCAACATGCCTGACCGGCTCGGTTTCTGCTCTATGGATGGAGCCATTTCAACATGTAATGGCCTCCTGTAGTTTCACAAGCACTACCCAACACACCGGAAATGCTGCTCGTCCTTGGGAATATAGTGAATCCCTACGGTCCATGATCACTCTGGATTCTGAAACTGTTGGTTACAATCTCGTCCGGCATCGCATCAGAGATGGCGACTATTTTGATAAAGATTGCTTCTGCAGCGCCTTCACTATAGATCTCAAAAAGGAACCCTGTTCAGGGTCAGGACAATTGGACTTCACGAAAGAGCGCCTCTGGATTAATGCCACCTGTGGGTCGACGTCCTTACCCGATAACTGGACGGACATACTCAAAACCACACAATTCGCGTACATTCCCATCGAAGATTGGCACTGGCCCATGTGTGTCGCGGATATGCCGAAGCAGGTGATCAAGCTTACTGATCAGTGTGCAACTGATGCTTGTGAGCTCGACTCAAGTGGCTACTGCAAAGTCAAGCGCGCAGTCGACAGGGCTTGCTTTTGCCGCAGCATCAGCTACGATTCCTGTGGAGGTTCGTGCAAGATATTCGAGACCAGAATAGACTATATCAAGTGGCTCCATGATCTCTGTGACAATGTGCAAGACTGGCACGGTCTGCCAGATGATTGGCGCCAATTAGCCGCCCCTACCCCTATCGACATGATTCCATGGCGATGGACTATCAAGCCATCCAACAATTCAGACATTGCCTATATCACCCATTTGGGATACATCAGGGCAACGGAAACATGTGCCTCAAATGAGTGGAAGCTCGGAAGCTTTGCTCTAGTCAATGTAGCTACTTTCCTTGTAGCATTTCTCAGCCAGAGAACAAGCATACATCAAATCACACCCGGCTTTCTATGGCACTCACACCCATGGTGTTGGTTTTTCAAGGGGACTTTAATCGCCACTCTGCAACTCCTTGCAAACTGGTTCAATGTTCTTTTTGTTCAGAAAACCCCTGGTTATGAGGACGTTCCTGTTATTCAATTGATGCTTCTCTGGTGCTCAATGCCTCGGCTTGCTTGGCTAACGATTTTGCTGATTGGTGTACAACCCTTTGGAGCGATGAAATTCTCCGCGGCCGCGTCTTTGTTATTTGCAGAAATGATCCTCCAGTCTCTATCATCATATTACATGGTTATGACCGTCAATTATGGTCGAGAACACAACTTCTACTTTGGAGGTATGGAAAGAGCAGAGAGAGGAAGATCAGCAAAAATCATGTATGCTGGAGCACTCATGTGGCTTATGATTGTTGGCCTGGTGCTCATTCAGTCAATGCGGGCCACGCGTAGGATGAACAGGTTGATTGGATCTGGTAGTCTCAACCCACCAAAGTGGCAGAGAGGCAAGCAGACAATATCAAAAATTGCGGAGGATCTGATGGTCTGCTTGAATGAACTTTGCACAAGGTTCAGGGAGGATTCGGCACATTATTGGATGGACGAGAGTAGGGGCTCAGAAGAAACACCATTGACAAGTAGCGAGGGAGGAGATTACAAGATGTATGGCACTTTCTCTGTTAAAGACCAACATCACTGGGTTTCCCAGAAAGCATTTGTGGAATTGTATGCGGCCACGGTCATAAGCATGCTCTTTCTCTGGATCGCGCAGTGGCTCTTTTGGGGCGGATTTATTGGTCTTAGTTCGGAAGAGTACGTATTCATGCACATAACTAACTACTTGGTCCATATTAGCTAATCGGACTTAGGTTCTGTCCCCCTAAGCTTGGGGTTCTCACAGCTGTCTGGATTGTTTTCTCATTGGCAGGCGCTATTATTATTATTATTTAATTAATTTTATTGTCCATTTCGAGCCTTAAAGCTGTGACAGACCATATTTTATGAACTCAAGGCTTGTAGCTATTGTTCTGGCCTCTTGTCTCTATGAGTACTCGAGGTAGTCTCTCCTTCTATAATCTTTCTGATCCGTTTCCTCGCCCCAAACCGCCTGTATGCGCAGGGCTTTCGAGCAGAGTGCTCTCCTCATGTTTCAGAGCAAGTACAAGGTTGAAATCTCTTGGAGGGAATGGACGGGGTCAGAAAACAGAGGTGGGCAAAACATCGTTGAGAGATTCATGACGGGCGAAAGAGGGAGCTATCATCAAGTGCGGATCCATCGAGTTCGCCTTAAACTGAACCACGAGCCCAATACTTATTAGGATAGGCGTAACATAACAGTCAGGACAGTACCAGAGATACTGTGCCAGGTCTAATTGGGAATCAGCAATCATCAATCAAATCAATACTGCCTGAATTTCTATCTGATGTTCTATTCTTTGTAAAATGAAAACAGCATTCTTCTAGGACTTGTTGGATACTCGATAAGACAGAATGCTGAGCACTATATGGAAAGTATGATGAATAGAGAGAAGGCATGGATAATGTCGGTCCTAATGCAGATCCAGGTGCTGTCTAAATGTGAGTAATGGAGGCTCATCTCAGAAGCTCATTTGCTTACATGAATTAAAGTCTCCATCAACCTGAACCTGTCACGGGCTCAGAATAGTAGATATTAACGAACCGAATTCCTATCTAAACTATTGTAGCCATCGACGAGAATATCGAACCTGGGAAGGAAGAGGAATTCTATCCACGGAAAATGGGGCTTTATATCGGTGCTGCGTGGCCTCGCTAAGTGCTTTTCTTCGTTTGCTCTACATAACTTACCTTGCAGGGCTCCAGATGCCATCACGTTCAACTGCAGCCAACTTCTGGTCCAACACTTGAAGGATTGACCGATTTACCCGATTTTCCACGTTATACCTTGTGACGGCTCAGCTCAGCTCAGTGCCTTTATTGACATTCACCGTAAACATGGCAAAAAATGCCATGAAAGCAATCAAGACAAACAGCTGCTTAGCGAGGCCACACACAACCATATAAGACTTCTTCGTGTAAATTGACTCTCCTCTTTTTTCCTTTTCTTCTTCAGATTCGATATTTTCGTCGATGGCTACAATAGCTTAGATAGGAATTCGGTTCGTTAATATCTACTATTCTGAGCCCGTGACATCCCTGTCATCATATTGCACTGCGGCCAGTTCCTGACCTGACTTCATTAGCCCAACCCACCTACCTGAACCTCCACGGTGGACTTGCACTCACCTTCCAAGATGGAGCTGAAGACCTCACCCGAGCTTGCCGACAGCTCTATCCCTGCGAACCTGGACATCGCGCCAGCCGATCCCCGAGTCATAGGGCTGTATGGCGTGCCCGGCTGCGGCAAGTCATACCTGATGAAACAACTCAAGCAGGAGCTGGGCGAGTCGGATTTCCAGTACTTTGAAGGGTCTGAGGTAATCAACTCTGTGACTGTTGGTGGGCTCAACGCTTTCAAGAAGCTAGATGAGCACCAGAAAAACCAGATTCGCAAGCTTGCCATCAACAGTATCAAGTCAACATGCGCCCAGAGTGGCAACGTCGGTATTGTGATCGGGCATTTTATGTTCTGGGATGATGAAGCAAGCGAACAGGCGTTGAGGGTTTGTACCCAGGCCGACTTGGATACTTTTACGCATATCCTGTACGTCAACACACCTGTGGAAGTGACGGCAAAACAGCGGACAGAAGATACCGAAAGGGAACGTTTGAATGTGTCGATCCAGCATTTGCATCACTGGCAGGAGACCGAGATTCAGGAAATACGTGGTCTTTGTCGTGAAAATGACATTCTCTTCGCGACCATCTACCCGAATCTGAAGGGTAAGCTAGCGATCTTGGTTCGTGACTTCCAGCGCCATGATGAGAGCCACAATGGATCAGTTGCCGAGCAACTTCTTGATGAAACCATCTCTGTGCATTATGATGAGCTGCAGACTGTTCTTTTTTTTGATGCTGATAAGACGCTCGCCGCGGATGATACCGGTGCACGCTTCTGGAAGAGAATCAAGGAGACAAAAGGCGAAGATGATCCGTTAAGCGCACTGTTCGGAGGCCCACTAAAGTACTCGTACACCGCATTCCGACAGGCGATGTTGTTGTATGAGGAGTCAACCAACGATGATGAATTTGACGCTATCTGCGAAGAACTAGCTACGTATACACACCTCTATCCGCAAATGTCCTCGCTTTTGCACCAAGCGGGAAGATACAACCATGTTTGTCCCATTATCGTGACCTGTGGACTGCGCCGTGTGTGGGAGAAGATTATGGAGAAAGCAGGCCTCTCCAATGTGATAAAGGTCGTGGGCGGGAATCGAATTACAGACAGGCTTGTTGTGACCCCATCAGTCAAAGAGAGCTTGGTTACCCATACACAGCAAGTTCATGCAGCATATACCTGGGCATTCGGAGATAGCCCTGTCGACCTGCCGATGATGATTGCTGCTCACCAGGCCATCATTGCAGTTGGCGAGCAGCAAAGCCGGAGCAAGAGCATGGAGCACAATTTGTTGACTGCAATGGTGAATGATGGGTTGCAAGCTCGCCAGGCTTTGCTGCCAAATAATTTGTCGCCGCCGCGGCTGGACATTGTGAGACTGCCAGTTGTCAATCTCACAGAGAAGTTATTTCTGGATTCAATCTTCCAACCCCACAAGTCCTCTGGTGGCCTACGACTATACCATGCTACGGATAGCAACGCGGCCAAGTTGTTGAGTACTCCAATGCGAGATGACAATATCCGCGGACCGCCCCAGCAAAAGGCTCATAGCAAGGCCGGATCTTATCTAGCCATAAGATACCTGGTCGAGCTCATCGATGTCGAGGAGTTCACTATGCGCCACCCTCAGAAAAAAGATATCGCTGGATACCGGCTGCTCGGAGAGGAGCGAACATTGATCGTGCCGCTGATGCGCGGTGGGCAGCCAATGGCTTCCGGTGTCAACAAGGTCTTCCCCAAGGCTCAATTCCTCCACGCCAAAGAACCGAAGGATATGAAGAAGGAGCATCTTGAGGGTATCGTCACCGTCATCCTGGTCGACTATGTGATAAACAGCGGTGGGTCGATAGTCCAGTTCGTGCGACACATTCGAGAAATGGATGGCGCGGTTCGTATCATTATCGTTGCTGGGGTTGTCCAGGATCAGGCTGTTAGAGGCTGCAGCCCTATTCGCGCCGCCGCACGTTCCACAGAGCTTACTGTTGTCGCGCTTCGTCTGTCAGGTAATAAGTACACTGGCAAGGGAACTACTGACACTGGAAACCGATTATTCAACACAGCTCACCTGAACTGAAGCTGGTATGGATTGGTAGTTGTCCCTCGAGAATACGGAGCACAGGGCCCTGTTTTGAGCGCTGAGGATGATGTTGGTGATGGCAATGGTGATTGTTAGTAGAAGAGATAGAAGTTATGGATACGGCACATGTTTAAGAATGTATTTGAATTCAATTGATACTATCAAACTGTACCAACACAATGGTATTATCAACTTTGATGGGGCCGGCCACCCAAAAAACTTTTGAAACTTGGATTTCCATAGTATGGAACTGCCAAATCTCTCGTAGACGAAGCCCGAGGCTTGAACTAGATAGTATATTGTGGAGTTGGAAGCCATTAATCGTACGCCAAGCCGATGTACGCAAAAATGCATGGAGTATGGCCAGCCAAAGGAAGTGCCCGCGCTTGTTGACGAGGCTAAATGGGGGCAACTGATGAGAGCATCTATGAGAAAAATATGTACAGTACATACATAATGACAAAATAAGTATCAATGACTTCCAACTGTTTACAGGCGGCAGAACAATTCTCACATAGCAATAGACTAAGATTGGCCGGGACGGGTATGAATAATTTGAACCCAAAGTTATCAACGCTATCACCGATCACTTGTCAAGAGAAGACTTGTTCGTGGCTATGTGCAGATGCCAAGATAACTCGGTGTCTTAGAGTTAGGAAAAACAGCCAATGAGCTGTAGCTTTGGCATGTCAGAGAGCTTTTTTCTGTAGAAGTAACAGGTTTCTTCGCTTTTGAAGGCATTTTGCCATTTAGAACACTATGATCGACGGTGGGATAAGTGATTAAGATGATATGGCTGAAAAATGTCATGATATATCGGGGTTTGATAGATTTGTAGTGGATTTATACGGTGTAGGTAGATATTATCGACTTATCGAATATCGTTCCACCGAGGTTTGACTGTTATATTCGAAGCTGGCCCTATTCTTCAGGTCACCATTCATTGCTGCCGTGACGAGGGAAAGATATCGCTTGCCAAACCAACACTTGCTCCAAGTATTTGTCAATTCAGAAGGCGTTTCCCTCTTTTGTCAGGACCTGAAATGACCTGCTCACTGGTCGAGCTTCTTGCTGGGGTGTTCAATGTTCCGGTTTTTTGTTGATAATATTATTATCTCCTCAGGCCATGGCAACCGGTCGTAAGTGCAGTCTGGTAGAACTTGATTCTCAGCCAGCCATTTCTTTCCCAGGATGATGCCATGCTTTTATGCACTTCGCACTACTTTTATCTTCTTCTGTGGCAATATTCTTTTGTAACTAGTTGATCGCCGCCAGACTGCGTGTAAATAGGCCTTACAATAAATGAGTTTCCCAGTTAGAGTTCTTCGTCTATTCACTCCTGATAGTACCTATGACATCGTAACAAGCATCGTAGTTAAGCGATGATACACACAGACGGACTTTTTTGCTTGAGTACACAAAAAATACAATGCATTTCTTGTGAGCTTTGTTTCCCCCCCCCCCCCTCTTTTAGAAGACTTTCCAGTTCACCAGATCTAAAGCCGCAGAGAACCACTTGGTTTGACAAGTGCACTTAGATGGACGACCCATGGATCAAGTAAAATCCATCTGACTCGGACTTAAAAATCTTTACGGGAACAGAGGCCATAGTCGGCGCAGTTGGCGGCTGACTCTCTTGAATTGCTCCCGATCAATCCGGTGACGAGAAGCCACTTCATCGAGCTTCTGATCCCTGGTAGGATTCACCACCTCTCGCACCAGGTTGTATTGTGGAGCACGGCAAAGCATTGCGGCTACCCTGTAAAATGTCCAGCGTGAGGTATACTTGGCTAACATGTACGCATACACTAACACATGCGAAGGACCAGTGATGGAAGGCAGCCTGCGAATGGGGAACCCATCAAAACTCGCTCTGCTGAGAGAAAAAAGAACGTCGGAGGTTTCACTGAGTCTTTGCCAGGGTGTAGTCGCTGTTCGTCGTTCACGCAACTCTTCTCGTAGTCTGTCTCGGTACCAGGACGGTGGTGACTGTCGGGGTAATCCCAGCATTCCATGCCACCTTCTCAACAGTCTTGTGACCACTGGATACATTCTCCAGAAAAATGAGGACATTGGAAAGTAGTTGAGAAGTATCCGTTGTCTTTGATGTGAGTTATAGGACTCACTTTGTCCAAGAGCGGGACTCTTTTTCACCAGCTGGCACCTAACCGGACGACGCATGTTCAAGAGAACAAAGGAATTGCATAGTATCAGAAAACTGTGACGGCTCAGTTCAGCGCCATTATCAGCAAACACTACCAACATGGCAAACGATGCCATGGGAGCAATCGAGACAAACAGCTGCTAAGCGAGGCCACACACAACCATGTAAGATTTCTCTGTGTAAATAGACTTTCCTCTTCTTTTCTTTTCTTCTTCAGATTCGATATTCTCGTCGATGGCTACAATAGTCTAGATAGGAATTCAGTTCGTTATTATCTGCTATTCCGAGCTCGTGACAGAAAGAAAGCCTTGGTATTTCTGCTATATTTTTGACTAAGAAAAATACAGAGCTGATACTGAGCAGGTGATCAACTCTCAATGATGACATTTCCTTCCAATCAGATCTCCGGAATCTTGGGTTGAATAAATAGCCGCTTCCTTTCAGTGTCGCAGACCTCCATAGCCGAGCGCCTGGGCCCATGGCACCAACTACAGTAAGTTTCGGCCCGCGTATGCCCGGCTAACCATCATTAATTCATGATTCCCAAAACTATTTAGTTGCATTATTATGATGCAATTTAGGATACTATCTGCTGAACTGTATGGTGTCGCAATCAGTCAGATCTTCTACCGCGAACCCAAACGGTTCGGCATCCACATTGGCCTTAAGTGGAGCCCCGTGGGTATCAATCCATTTTCCCTATTGATGAAGTCTTAGAGTAAATATCTACGGGAATGGTCTGGAATTTGACTCACAATGTACTTTTTCACGGCACTGTGGCAACTGGCGTTGATGAGTGCATCGCGGCATATGTGCAACTGATGAAAAAGATCGAGAAACCTTCCAAACGGAACCTTGTTACAAGCCCCTTTTCAATGATCAGGCTGAGCGTGGCTGTCGGGTGTAAGTCAAGACACTGAAGAATTATAATCATGCTAACATATTCAGATTTGTCTGCAGCATCACACAGGAAACCAAGGAAATTATGCACCTTTGCAGCTACCAGGTGCCTGGCAAAGATGAGATTCCTGCCACCATCTGTCAGTCAGGCTGCTCATGCAACATCAGCCGCTACAACCTTCTTCAAGCCTGTATCTATTGGAGCACGCAGATTCGCAGACGGCGTGCTAGGGGCCAACAATCCTGCGGATGAGGTGGAGCGTGAAGCATATGGTGATTGAATCCTGGAATCAGTACAAAGTCTTTACTCTGTACAAAAGGAGGGTCTGGGAATGCTATCCTATTTATAACTTTATCTGTTGCCGATGGAATATTGATGAAGTCTCTAGTAGTATATAGTCTAATTGGATTATTCAATCCAGTTCGCGTCGTTATTGTGACACGAGCCAAATTGTTGCCAGTGGTATCGATCTTCATCTGCTCGCCACCGAGTCTGTGCAGCAAATTCTGGCAAATTCTTAGATCTTCCAGTCCGAGGCTTTTTATTTTTATTTTATTTTATTTTGGTACACAGAACCTTCTAGAGAAGCCGCATTGGTGAATGGTAATATACAATAAAGCTTGTAACATTACGGTATTGAACCATACCATTAGAGCAGTGATGACATTGAGGGGAAACCGCATATGGACTAGTGTGTTTCATGGTAGGGTCTGGGAAACAAACCAAGAGTATTGAGGGGCAAGCTGATTTCGGGAACTACTGTAACCTTGAAGAAAGATGTGAAAGTGGTTGAATTTGATCACAAGTCCAAGTTTCCAAAGATCCTCTCCTTCCTTTCCTAAGCACCACCAAAGACCAAAAGGCTTTGAACATTGACTCCGCCGAACCCACGCTGGCGCAACAGTTCCCGGCCACGGTGAACAGGGAATTCGGCCACCACCATGATGTTGACATTCTCAGCACCGATGCCAGCTTTATCTAAAAGCTGTAGCACCGCACAAAGTGTCTTCCCCGTGGCAAGCACATCATCCACCACTACCACTGACGCGCCTCTGGGGATCAGATCCCGGTCCATCTCAATCCTCTCTTCTGAATTGTTGGATGTTGAAGATGATATATGCGATGTAGACTTGAGGACGGAAACAGTGGGTGGGGGGAGTTTGCCAGCTTCGCGAATTAGCGCCAAGGTTACATGGATCCGCGAGGCCAATGCCGACGCATAGACAAAGCCGCCTGCCTCGCAACACGCTACCACATCGACTCTTGCCCAGTCACCGCTGAAGTAAGTCTGCAGCAGAGATGTGCATAGGGCCAGCCCACCCTGCTGCTGGGAGATGTTGAGCACATGGCGGAACTCGATGCCCGGGCGTGGAAAGTCAGGTACCGGGCGCACCATGTTGGCCAGTTGCTGAAGGTCCTCGTGGAAGAAGGGAAGCAGGTAGTGTTCGGCAAACCTCTTTGCTGCCTCGTTTCCGACTGCGTCATTGTCGAAGATGAGACTGGGGCGGTATTCCAAGGCCATCAGTTTTGACCCGCCATTGTCCTCATTGCCGTCACCATCATCATCATCATCACCACCGTTACACCCTCGGCGAGCACGCTGCGTCTCTTTGCTAGCTTTGACGCGAACCTCGAGCAGCCTGCTGTATGGCACCAAATGCGACAATGCTGCGACCGGCGCCTCATCTCTCATCCCGGTGATAAGCAGCACATCCACATCTACGGCGCCGTACACCACATTTAGGAAATGCTCCTCTGGCAGCCGAGGTCGATGCCGCACCTGGCCCTGGAAGAACGCTGTCAGAGCTGGCCGGTGTTGCTCTTTGTAGGCACGGTCCCTAAGCAGGCGGTCCAGGTCGGCACCAGTAGCCGCCGCGTATTCTCGCTTGGTCGCATCGCTAATGCTGACTGCCCGCGCCTTGAGGCTTTTGTAGGTGCATGTGAGGAATATGGAGACCCAGATGTCAGCGCAAAAGTCCTTGCCGGCACAGCTTTCACCCGTGATAAGAATGATGAGCTTCTGTTCCATCAGCGCTTTCGGGAGCGGGCAGGCGTAAGCCAGCACATTGCGCGGGTCCAAGCTGTGCTTGAGGCGAGCCAGGCGCATTCGGTTTGGTCCAAAAGCCTTGGCCGCCAGCGCGGCGTCTCTGGGGTCCGGCCCAAGGTCTGCACCGTAAACTCCGCTACTCAGGGGCAACAAGTCCCTGGCGACGCTGTATACCCACTGCACGGCAGCTCGAGCGACTTCGGTTCCATCCTGGTCGCGGGGCCAGACACCAGTTACCACGCAGGCAAAGTCCCAGTCTCGACAGCCGAAAGCAGTGGCATCAGCTGCCACATCGCCGATCGCTCCGCCACCTTGCAGCAGATGGAGATAGGAGAGTGGCGAGGGACGGGTCTCAACGGCCGCCACCAAGATGTCGGCGACGTTCAGTGCTCTGATGCGTTTTAAGAATAGACATCGCTTGAACGAAGAGGTCTTGCTGTTGCCATGCCCGCCGTGCATCCCGGACATGTACATCTCGGCTTTGAACAAACCGACGCCGTCCACGAGCTTGAAATTGTCTTCCAGTCCCAAGATTGTGTCTGCGGGCGTTGGCATAGGCATGGGTGTTTCAGAGGCTGGCGTAGTCGTGAAAGATTCGAACATGGTCACGCCAAGATACAGCTGGCCGATTTCCCAGTACAGATATGCGTCTGCGGAACAGTTCTGGGGGAGCTTCCTGGCGACGAGGTTATCAAAATCGCTAAGCCTGAGCCGTGCCTCAAGGTTGTCACTTAGCGGGACAACCCAGTTTCGAGTCGAGTAGGTCGGAGCCACGTAAGCCTTGAAAGTCACGCTGACTACAATGCCAACGTTAGTCCCAGCGCCTTTCATCGCCCATAACAGATCGTTTTCGTTTTCTGGGTGCACGGCACCGGTCGGCCAGTGTTGGCTTGGTACACGGCCGATGCAGAGGACCTGGCTAGAGTCGACGCTGACCACCACGGCACCGACGATGGCGTCGCACGCGAGCCCGTACATCCTAGCCAAGTGCCCGATGCCGCCTTGTAGCCACAGCCCCGCGCCTACGCTTGGGCGGGACCCCAAGGGCACTGTCACGCCCGCCGCCATGGTCTTGCGGACAATATCCCCCGTCTTGCAGCCGGCCTCGGCGATGACCAAGGAATCGGATTCGGAACCAGATTTTCCTCCACCATCCCCGGCCGTGAGAATGTGTACTTGGTCAAAGGCGCCCATGTCGACCGAAACAACGTTGGACCATAGACAGTGGCCGCTGTGACCCCCACCAACGACGGTCAGGCCGACCCCATGCTTCAGAGCCCATTGAACGCACTGCTGGACGTGTCGGACCTCTGTCGGCCTAACAATCGAGGCGGGATGGTGGAGGCGAGCCTCACGGTTTTTAACTGTCTTGTCCCCCTTTGACAATGGCACTTGTGCCGTCAGCTCCGGCAACGTGATCGCATGTTGGGTGAAGGCCGCCATAACGTTCGGCGAACTGAACAAGAGATGGTCTGGATGAGCTTCGTCACAACGGCCCAAGGCGCGGCACACCTTACGCCATTCAACTCGGATAGCCATGTCCGCCTCCACATCCTGTATGACAAAACCCGCTAAGAAAGGAGCGAAACAGTCCAATATTTCGTCGTTATTTGCTACGCTAACGGTTCCGGTAGGGAAAGAAGCCGTTCGATGGCACACTAATCCGTTAAGGTGTAGGGTCCCGTCGCGATGGAAAACCACCACCATTCCGCCTTTGGGCCGCTTAACAAGCATTTCTAGCGCCTGTTCGATGAACCTGGCTTTGGGCTTCATGCCGTACATACTATGGCAGAACAGTATGACGTCGAATTTTTCTTCGCTTTCACGCGTACCGGTACCAGTACCGCTCCCTGTGTTTCTGTTCAGAGCGAATGGGATTCGATGGATGTCGGGCGGGCTTTCGAGACAGGGCAACGGGGACTCCGTCTCCGAGGTAGGGCGAAGCCATTCTTCCACCCTTGTAGCAAACAGGCTGTTAGGCTCAAATGCAACGTATCTTTTGACCTTCCATCTCAGACGACCGGGCAGATATCCGAGTACGCTTTTCGGGCCGGGACCGATTTCTAGCACCGATATATGGGTACGCGAGTCGAAGAGAGGGTCTAGCAGCTGAGATAGTTGAGGGATAATGAAGTCTTGGTACGTCATCCATCCTGAGTCTTGCAGCAAGATATCAAAGCCAGCGCTGTATTTTGTTTCTGTCAATGGCTGTTTCAGGGATGATTCCGTTACCGTGGCTTTGTGCCTAAGAGCCCATGTGAGAGAGTCGAGAGAGGCCATGTCAGTTCGGCATAAATATAGATGACGAATATGGATGGCGAGAATGGATGGCGAGAATGGTTGGTGTTGTGATAGACCTCATGCAACAGAAGGATTTATTGGTAGGCGACTAACTAGAACACAAGCATGTGGAAGAAAGATGAAATGAAGGAAGGAAAGAAATGATAAATAAAAACAAAGGAAACTATCTTTGTGCTCCCTATGGTCCTTGCCCTAAGCCCCCGCTAATGTAAAGACAAAGGAAGCAAAGGAAGCAAAAAGCATAAACAAAACAAAAAAAGGCAATCGCTCGTCAACATCCTTCGCCGTACAATTATCCTTATTTGCTCAGTAGGCAGCGTTTTCAGATGTCGGCACCCATAGCCACTGTTGCCATGTTTGCAGGTGTCAGCCGTTGCTAGCCGTCACAGTATTGAAGCCACATGTTGAGCTCAGCCAATACTTATTTTTCCCTTTTGCTCACTGCCACTTTTGGGTGAGCTTTAGTTGGGTGCAGATGATTAGGCACAAAGTGTATGCGGTCCAGCATCGGAACCTATTTACCTTATATTATTGTCTGACATGTACATCAAATACAGTAGCTTGTTCTTGAATACAAATAAAGCTACTGAAACAACACCAACACAAATCAATAATCAGGAATCTTGTTATATCCGCTGTCCTATATTGAGTAATGTATAAAACTCTTCTCTTGCCTTTTGATCATCTTGTAGAAGTCCAATCCTGCTGCAAGTGGTGGTCATCGCACCCGTCTTTTGTATTCCCCTCATCATCATACACATATGAGCACATTCGACAACCACTGCCACACCCTTGGGCTGTAGCACTTGGTTGATCGCATCGGCCACTTGTTGTGTAAGACGCTCTTGCACTTGTAACCGGCGAGCGAAGACTTCTGCGATGCGAGCCAATTTTGATAGACCCACAACGCGGTTATTGGGAATATACCCGATGTGTATCTTAAATGTGTCAGTCAGGCCACACATAAGACGTAGATATATAAGAAACATTGGCATACCTTCCCCATAAATGGTACCATATGATGTTCACACATGCTGAAGATCTCAATGTCCTTTACAAGAACCAGATTCTGATGATCCACCTCAAAGATAGCATCGTTGACGACTTCATGGAGATCTTCTGAATATCCCTTGGTGAAAAATAGCAACGCTTTAGCATATCGGTCGGGGGTTCTAACAAGGCCATCTCGTTCTGGTTCTTCTCCAATGTGTTGCAGAAGTTTCTTCGCCGCTTCTGCCATTCCCTTTTGACTCTCAGCGTCATTTCTCTTGATTTCGTTTCCTTCACCTTCGCCAAGGGATTTGGTCTGTATGAGGACTAGTATAGGTTAATAGGTAATTTGGGTCTCATTTGATTGAGGACTTTAGACAATATACCTTGATCTTTCACATCGGTCCCCCTTTCTTCTGCACTGTCGATTTGAATTGTGGAATTGATTGTCATTTTGATGTTGGAGCAGAGACAAAAGATTAATGAATCAATGCTAGATGAGAATCAAGCTAGTTGTGACGGTCTCACGCAATATGAATCTATTGGTAGACTATCTGGCGAAATTCTAGCATGAGAAAAGAAAGGGAAAAAGACAGGCCTGTCGGCGACGAGCTATCTAGTGTGTGCGAGGGTTTAAGCGAGGCTCAGTAAATGATCTACGCCAAACAGGACAAAGTAATCAAACATTCTATACAGCGGTCGAGTGTTCATGTTCCGTGACATTACCCCCCCTCCCAACGAACGGCTGTCCTCAGGCGTTAGCGACTGGGTAATCATTTCTGGATGCTCATCAAGAAACTCTTCTTCTACAGCGCGGAGCCACTCAAGTAACCGTCGGGGTGGTCCTGGGGCCTTCGGATTTGCAGCATGGAAGATCTGGACTTTCACACGGCTGTTTTTTTGACTCACGGGCTGGATACCAGTTGAGATATTCATCATAGCCGCCAGTCCATTCCCCTCAATACTGTAGCTTCCGGTATTTCAGTTGGGAGGCGAGGATCTCCTCCACTTCCCACTCAACTTGACCATCAACTGTGATGGGCGGTGGTGCCTCCGCATGCTGATCGAGCAGCGGTTCTGTGGTGGCTTTGCGGAGGTACTCGGGGTAGATCACGCGGTGAACCATGATAGAAGCTGGCAAATCAATGCCAACGGCGTTTCCTTCTTTTGCTTCTTTTGCTTCCTTTGTCTTTATATTAGCGGGGGCTTAGGGCAAGGACCATAGGGAGCACGAAGATAGTTTCCTTAATTTTTATTTTTCATTCCTTTCCTTTCTTCGTTTCTTCTTTCTTTCTACATGCTGGTGTTCTATCTAGTTAGTCGCCTACCAATAAATCCTTCTGTTGCATGAGGTCTATCACAACCACAACGTCCTATCTCCAGTTCATTTTGTGGACCAGTTTCGACAAATTCAGGAGGTCTCCAAAGCTGAAGATCTTTCTACAAATATACATCAATACCTTGATTTGCGTCATGTCCAGAAAAATTGCAAATGGATCAACACACAATGAGACCGAGGACAGTATTCCCGGCAAAGAGCTTCTGGACGCTTTAGCAAGGTATTCTGCTATGAATTAAAAACTATATCTAGCTTCTGACAGGGCCTTAGCATGCGGTTTGACTCGAGGTACAGCGATTTGACTATTCTGTGCGGTAATGAATCTTTCGCTGTTCATCAGTGTATAGTCTGTACACGGTCGAACTTCTTTTCCAGAGCTTGTGGTGGAAAGTTTATAGTGAGTAATTCGGTGACTCAGATATTCAGAAACATTTAATCTGATAACTTTATGACAGGAAGCTTCCACGCATACGATTAAGTTAGATGAAGAGCCGGCATTAGTAAAGCAGATGATTGAATATTTTTACACCTTGGATTATCAGGTTCGTTCATTTCTTGCAGCACCTGATAGAAGTGTGCTTAATAGAAACGTGATTATTGAGTTTTCTGAGTTCTAGGTTCCTGAAAACGAAGAGAGAACATCTTCCCAATACAAAAGAGAGGAGCCTTCGGACAATGCAGACAAATTTTTGGGATTGTCTAAGCTGCTTGGAGAACAAGCACCTACGTTTGATCCTCTTTGTTTTCATGTCTTGATGTATTCGCTTGCGGACCGTATGTTCATAAGAGGTCTGAAAGTTCTCTCCCAGGAAAATGTTAAGCAGGAACTGGTTCAACAGCTGGACGCAGTCTCATTCCCGCAAGCGATTTTTGAAATCTACAACTCCACTCCCCCGGACGACCGAGGACTCCGAGATTTGGCCATACAATATACGATGAACAACCTAACTTCACTGAGGAGTGAAGAGGAAGGTGCTCCTGCGGCATTTGGAGACAACCTTTTGAAATCCGTTCCTCAGTTCTCGTATGATTTGTTGGTGGCAGTTATGAACAAGTCTGTACATGATTGGGACCATTACGGTTTATGTTGGAGGAACTGGGCATGACGGTACTTGCAGGAGTAATGAATGAGCGGGGATAGAATTCCTTTCTTTTCTTTTCTTATTTGTCTTTGCAAGTTCAGAATTATTTAATGTATGTATGGCTCCTACTACAGTAATATTCGAAATCAGATTTACCTCCATACTCTCCCGAATTGATTCCTGAACCCCAAGTTGAAACGCCAATCTACATGCGGTAAAGTTGTCGGTCGGTCACTTGGTCACTATAATAGAGACTGTACTTTACATGACGCGGGTGAAACCTCGCCTGATGTATTTTACACCAAACTGCAATACACTGCTACATCTTTGCTTGGGTCCGATGGCCAGCGATAGTGATATCAGAGGACATTCCATCCAGTGATATTCCATCCATGTCTTGACCGGAGACGACATACAAGCCACCCTGTAAACAATTCGCGAAACAGCTACATCTTACATAGTACATACGTACTCAAGCACCCGATTTAACTGAGACTGTCTTTCACCTGTTGTGTCTACTGCTATTTGCAATGCTTGCTGTAGTTGCATACTTGGCACAAATAGGAGCTTTAGGTAGTACGACAATAGGATATTTGGTTCTCTGATTTGGCCATTGTATCTACCAATGATTACCCTGACAGACCCGGTCCGCCATGCCGCCTACAGGAATGGCTAAAGCCCCGGGAGGAAGGGGTTGATGAGATTGAGGATCACCCTGATAATTATGTACCCGCAGAGAGACCGGAGACAGACCCTGCCTAAGTGACGTCTCAATGCCTCAATGTCGCCTCAGTGGCTGATATCAATAAAAGCCACCGTGCAAGTAAACAAAGAAAGCACTTAGCGCGGTCACCTAGGACGTGGATGAAGACCCCTTTTCCTGTAGATAGATTCCTTTTCTTCTTTTCTCTCCAGATTTGATATTCTCGTCCATGGCTACACTAGTCTAGATAGGAATATCAGTTCATTATTATCTACTGGTCCGAGCCCGTGACACTCAATGTTCTGACCTCGTCCCCTCCCAAATTTCTTTTTCTCTTCCCAAACTCCCTTCCATATTCTGTGCCAAATTTGTCTGCAGCTCCCAGCACTTCAGCAGCACCGATAGTGTGCATATGAAGAACATCTTGTGCTATTGAAACACATGGACCCTAACAAGCACTCTCCTGGATCTCATGTTCCATGCAAGAATTAACCACACATGAGCTGCAACATGCTCTTGTAGTGGCACCCAGAGAGTGCTGCTTAGATGATGAGAATGTTCCTGCAATATGAGATATTATATCTATATGTGCTGGGTTGATGATTATTGATCAGCAAAGTAATATCATTAGGTTGGCCCACTTTACGACACAGGATTCTTTGAGAGAACATGGCAGCAATGGCTTCCCAACGCGCACTACAAATAGCCAATGCGTGCTTATCATACTTGTCCTTTGATGTGGTTATGGAAACCCCTGGTGGAATAGTTCGTGAACCATTTCCCAAGTGTGCCGTAGTGGTGGTACCTTGATGTTTGGGTCATCCACCAGGGTCACCACGAGGCATCAATGGGACCAAGAAGGTGGATAATATATTTCTCAAAGAGACTAATCCTTTGGGATTAGAACTGTTTACCGGGATTATGCTTACATCATGTTTGGCATCTGCTGCCACTGCAAATACATTCTTGTGTGTGGAAGAAAATGGAAACTTGAATGGTGACTCTGTGACCAGTGTATCGACGTACAAAAGATGCCATTACAGAGGCCTGGATTAAGAATGTTCTGTATATTATTCATACTTCAATTTATGATTTCCTTCGCCAGTTTGCTCTCATGTAGAGCTTGAGTGCAACTTCTGGCAACAACAACATTAAAGCGGACATCACAATAAGGAATCAACCTATAGTTATATACAATATAACACTCAAATAATAGTCACTGCATATCTTAAGGAGTCCTCATCTAAGAGGATGTGCCGCAACATACCCTCGGGGTTATTCATGATGCTTCATTCACTGTATTTACATTATGCTATTGCTGGGTTTATGCTCGCTGCTCCGACTGACCAATCAGAGCCTGACCTGCCCGTCTATTTACGACGTACTTCCTGCTCATGCCTAATCGTATCCACAGAGGATATGATAGAGAGATGATAGGACCGGCGATTACGGCTATGCAGCCAGCATCCTTTGACTATGGCCACCGCATACACGCATTATGCACTTTGTACTCCTTTTGTCTCTTTGAGCTTCTTTCGCAACGACCTTCCCTTTTGCGCTTAGTTGATGGCCGCCAGATTGTTTATAAAAAGGCCGTACGATAGATAGATATCTAGAATCCTCGTGCAGAGAGATACTGTTGGGCTTGGATTTGGTCCATGGGGCTCCTGTGATCTGGCAGGCTTACATTATCAATCGCAGTTTCAAAAAGTCACTGGGATCTCAGGCGGTGCAAGGGTACAAGAAAAAGAGATATGGCCCGGTGGCATGGGGTCCATTTTGTAGTCGATTGGAGGGTCCATCAAGGCAGCATAGAAACCCATCATTAGTCAACAACCATAGATTTGCAGGCGATACGAGAGAAGGTAAAGAGTGGAGGCTCGTAGCGCAATGAGGCTGAATTCACCATATCACCTAGTCCAACTCTATTCACCGTATGTACAAAACAGAAAATTTTGTGTGTAAGAACATTCTCGAACAAGAATTAAAAAGTGATGTGCTGGATCCTGCTAGATACACTTCCATCCAAAATGATTATCAATCCAATCTTTTCCTCGCTCTCTATGAATAGTCTCGCACATAACGGCCAGGCAACTCGATATCCCACGTCGGCCGTTCGATAACGGCAACCTCTAGACTGCTATCCTTCTCGTTTTCTTCTGCGGCCTCGTCGGTCAGCGGCACAATGCCAAGGATGTCACGGTACTTGTAGGTGTGCCACCACCGGCGCGGAGGCTGGGTAATGCGGTTGGCAAGTTTTTGCGCGGCGGGTGTTTCAAGTTCTTGATCTTCGGCCTTGCGTGGCGTTGCCGTTGGTGTATCTGCAACGAGGCCAGTGATAGTGGGGAACCGTTTATCCTGTTTACCTTTTTTGGGTGTTGTAACGGCATGGTCTCCCATGTTGCCTTCTCGTCGGAGTCGAGCCAGGCCGGCGTCGTTGCTGGCCGCGTACGCCTCGTCGTGATCGTAGGCATCGTCATCCTCGCCATCTGCGCCGCGCGGACGCTCCTTGTCTATCGAGAGCCACTCGCCCTGCGACTCGTCGGCTCCAACGACCTTGCGGTACTTGGGGTCGAAGTAGACGTCTGCCTGGGCCAGGGGTATCCGGTCACCGGCGCCGGTGTTGGGTTTCTTGCGGTCGTTTTCGCCGTCCTCTTGAGCCTGGCGCTTGCGTTTCTGCGCCGAGGTGGCCTTGGCGACTTGGTTTTGGGTTTGCTCGGAGGCTTCGAATTCTTCTGGCGAGGGGAAGTCGTGCTTCAGGTCGAACATCCATAGCCACGATGAGCCGTAGAGCCAGAGTCGTTCGCGGCCTTCTGACAGATCCCATAAGCAGCCCATGGCACGGTCTTTGACGCCCTTGAATTCTGCGGGGAGATAGGCCTTGGGGTTTCTCCGCGACCACTCTGAGAGTTTGCCCTCGATAGCTTCGAACTCGACCAATTGATGTTCACTTGTGAGCGCCATCAACCGGTTTTCTGTCATAGTTTGGGAATTGCCGTTGGTGCCGTTCGTCAAAAGCTTGTCGTCTGCTTTGCTCTGAGGACGGAATGACATTAGAATCACTCCTCCCTTGAGACGAGGGATGGGCGACTCTGCAGCGGCGAGACGCCAACGCTCGCCCTCGATGACAGGCTGCTCATCCTCGTCATCTGACGATTCGTCGTCCGACTCTGCAGCCCTGTTGGTCTTGGACGCGGGCTTCGACTCTGTCGTCTGTTCCAATATCCAGCTGTCAATGCAACCAGACAAGTCGCCAACCGCCAAAATATTGCTATTGTCCGAGAACACAACGCACCGAATTGTCCGCTCGAACTCTCCCAGGGTTCCGTGAGACGCTTTCTCGTGCCGGGTGTGTCGCGCCGCGCGGTTGAGTTTCGTGAGTTGTGGAAGGATCTGAGGCTTTTCTTGTGGGGAGGACGTGGGTTTGAGTCTTGCGAGGTAGATGTCGCTGTTGGGGCGGACCACGGAGATCCAGCGGCTGTCGGGGGAGACGGTCACAACTCGGGCTCCGTCGTCGGAGAAGGCAGCGGGAACGTCTAGTTTTTGTATACGTAGAGCTCCCCTCTCATCACCCTTGCGGCGTCTGACGGAGAAGACTTTGACGTCGGAGATCGTAGCAACAACGAGAATCTTTCCATCGGAAGAGAGCATAGCGGAAGTAATGTTTTCCTCGCCCTGTTTACATCATGTTAGAGCCATCATTCGCATCATTCATTTGTTCAACTCTTACCTGAACCAATACCTTTCCGACAAGTCGATGCCTCTGTCCATCGGTGTTCTCATATGAAGATGTAGGGCCACGCGACACACGCCAGATGCTGATCTCTCTGTCCCAGAAGCTCATGACCAGCCGAGACGAAGGAGATGAAGCAAGCTGGGGGATTTGAGGAAGATTTGACAGTTTTCTGTGGTGCTCTTTACCGAACTCGCGCAGGGGCAAAACAATTGGCGTAGCATCCGGGCCTATAATAACCGACAAGTTAGACTTGAGTGGTAATTGGGACAAAGCATCAAGGCATACCTCCAGACACGATGAAACTGATTTCTTTGGTCTCGTAGACCGCAAAAGTCTTAACATCGTGGGTATGGTATCTTCGGTGCATCACCTCAGCCCAACGGGCTTTCTTGTCGCCCTTCTCTCCTTCCTTCTTCTTGTAGATGACGGTTCGCTGATCAGCGCCTCCGCTGGCAACAGTGTCGCCGTTGGCACCCACGGCGACATCCAGTACATCCGCCATATGACCCTGCACCCGTTGAATGAGGGAGTAGTTCTTTGCATCCCAAAACCGGATTTCACCCGCAGAATCACCGGAAACGATGGTACCGTCGGGGAGGCACTTGACGGACCAAACCAGCAACTCCTTCGGACCGCCCGCTGGACCCTTACCCAGCGAGATTGTTCTCAGAAGCTGCCCATTCCGAATATCGAACAGACGAATCGAGCTATCCGCGTAGCCAGCCACGATGGTGTTGCGATTCTGGAACGTAACGCTGAGCACTCTCGCTCTCTTAGTGGACGGCCGCATCAGCCGCAGGAATTTCAAATCATTATCGGCAGTCGACAAAATCACAATCGATCCGTCCGCACATCCAGCTGCAAGATGCTGTCCAGTGTATTCTCCCTCCGCCGGATGCATTAGCTTCCCATCCTTGCCCCGCTGCGTCGCCTGCCACCTGGGCTGCGCCGCCAAGCACCAGATTTCACCGTAGTTCCCGCTCGAATGCCGCATCGGGCGACCCTGCTCGATATCCCACTCAGTCACAGCCGTCGAGTATCCGATACTGAACAGGCGCAGGCGGCCGGGAAGCTTGACGCCGTCTGGTCCTTCTTCGGGGGGATCGAGCGTCCATGTGAGCCCTTCAATGCTCCGGTCTTTTCCTCCACGCAAGACTGTCTCTTGGAACCAGGCGCCACGCAGGGGGTTCCAGATCTCGATGTCGCCATTTGCGCGACCAACCGCGAGTCGGAGGGTAGGGACACCTCGTCCAGCAACGCCGGCGGATGGAGGGTGGGAAAATGCGAGCGCATTAATCGCCTGGGGGTTGAAGGGAACGAAGCGACAGCGATGGATATCCATGATTGTTGTTTATATTGAGATGTATCGAATGTATCGAGGTCCGCGAATTCGTCACGAGATTTTTTTCTTGCCTTGAAAACGAAGCGAAAAAGACAGAACTTTTGAAAAACAGTCTAACCCGGCTCAAAATAGAGAGCCAAATCGCTTAGGCAAACATTCCGATTAATAACAGAATAAATAAGAGGGATTGAGGTCGAGAAATAACGGCGATGCCAAAGCTCGAGGTCGGCTTGGTCGATGTTCTTTTTTTTTTTTTTTACGCCGGACCCGGACCCGCTTTTCGCAGTGAGTCACGTGCGCGTTTCCACCGACAACTCTGTATAGCTTCATCTTATCCTGAAAGGGAAGCAGTCGGTATACTGTAATATATACTCTTCTCGAACAACCGTCACCTAATTCGGAATCAGCATCGACGCTATATGTGAACCTGGCTTCTTTATGGCAACAATTTCTTTTCTCCCCCCCAGATTCGATATTCTCATCTTTTGGCTGCCAAGTTTAGATTTGTTGGGAATGTCAGTTTGATTTACGACTTCTTTAACATGACTGAGCCCTCAAAATGATAGGTAATAACATTTGTTCCTAATGTCAGAGATCAGGTGCACGGGCTGCCAGCAGCAGTTCAAACGAGGCTATCTACTAATTTGCATTCTTGCCCACAGATTCATAGCTTTGCATCAAGCACCAATACCCAGGGACATGGTCGCGCCAAATCCCACCGAAGCCCGCAACATCGTTGCGCCAATCCCTATGAAGCTCCGCAGCAACAGCCGCCCAATTAAGCAACTGGCAGCCCGCCTGGGCCATCCGTTTATGGGCCGCCTCCCTCGTATGTTCCGCAAATGTACCCGAGGCATCGGTAACGACGAAGACGTCGTATCCTTGCTCAATCAAGCTAAGAGCAGGGAAAGCAACACAGATTTCTGTCAAGACACCACTGCAACCAACATGTTAGGCTAGGTCTTAAGATGCTTTTCAGGGCTTAGATACCTAATGACAACCTGGTTCTTGCCCGTCTTCTTCACAGCCTGCGCGAAGTCCTCGTTATCCATGGCATTGATTTGGCCCGGGCGTGGAATCACAGTCGCGTTAGGAAGCCCGTCGTGAAGCTCCTTGACAAGCGGACCGTTCGGGCCTGTCTCGAACGAGCTGGTAAGAATCGATGGGACCTTGAAATAGTCGGCCACCTTGACAAGCCCTGAAACATTGGTTTTGAATTCATGGGGTTCGAAATCGTGGACTAGCTGGATGAGGCCGGTCTTTTCTGAGGTCAATCATCAAGGTATGTCAATTCAGGGACAATAGGTAGCTTACCTGGTGGTCAACGAATAGGAAGACGCAGTCGTCTTTGTTGAGACGTTTGTATGCTGGAGGCATCGTGGATGGATTATGGACGGATTAATTTAAGGTACAGGATGTGCTGTGGGCGTATGGTTATAACCATTCATCTCATAACTACATCATCCCCGAGTGGTATCGGAGTTTTATGCGAGCCTTGCTAATCATGTGTAATGATGCTAATGCATCTAGACCTTTTCCAACACTTTTAATGCATTCGTATTCGCAGCTATCACTTGTGACAGACTAGCAGCGCCTACGCTACGTCCATTTGAATACACCCAGCACCAGCCAGTTGACCCATCTGTATAATCAAATGAAATCATATTTGGCGATGATACTAGCTTTAGACACCAAATGTCCAGTTTATTTGAATGGAACCCACGGAGCCGCACCAGGCTATTTTTTCAATATCTCTCGATCTATGCAGCTGTTTTTATCCCAAGAAAACAGTTGATTGGCGCCGATGCGACCGGAAAAAGGAACCCGGCGATTCGGCGTAGGTAACTTGGGTTACTTCGCCAGGAATTGACTTGAGGGAGCGTAGGCGACATGGTAGCGCTTACACTGAGGACCAACTTGCTCTAAGTATAACGGGCTTCGATTTCATCGGCTCTATTTCTCGAGAAGACCACCCCGCAATTTCGGTTTGGATAGCCGACTGCGATAGGTCATCATTAGTCAATCTTAAGTTGACCTCATCGAACAAGTATCTATTGGTATTTTGATGGGCTTAATCTGTCGCTTGGTCGTTGAAATATCAATATCGCAGAAACTCTGGTAATGATATGTCAACGATCTCACGCTAAATAATTATAAGGATCCACTTAGACCGCCGAAAACGGTTTGAAAAATTTGATCTGAACCGAACCAAGTCGAAGAATTCGTGTAATCTCTAATTATGTGTAAAGAAGATATCGAAGCTAGATAGCTACGGTATCTTAGTTCATTTCGGATTCTCCCTTCTATGGGAGGATCAACAACCATGACAATCGAGACACCGTCAACGCGCTCCGGCAGCCATAATGGACCTCCCCCGGACCGAACGCCATCGTCGAGGTCGGGATCCTTGCCTAAACCTCTGGGGCATGCTTTTCAAGCAACTACGAGGCGCCTGCAGCTTAAGTCGGTCTTCGCTCAACTTACTTTCGATCGGCACACTATTACGATGGCTATCAAATCATCGATACCACCCACTATCCTTTTATGTGCCATTCAGTCAAACGCATGGATCAATCTCTTTCAGACCCAGGCCTATTTAGCTGCGATCATGTCCACCTGCGTTCTGCCGACTCTTCCTCGGGCAAGGCTGATTGAGTACAATTTTCAACTCGCGCTTGTAGTTACCCTGTCATACTGCTGGGTGCTACTTGGCGGCTGGTCTGGCTTGCAAGCCAGAAAGCACACTACTAATGGGCCCGAGGAGCTGAAGGCTTACAACTCATCAGCCGAAGCTATCGCCGCTATCTTCTTAATGTTTTGGATATGGTGTGTTTTCACGCTAAAGTCAGCATTTCCTACCTGGGCCATACAGTGCACCTGGGCTGGCATCTTTGCAGTCGTCACGCTACCAATCGTTGCTCAAGCTTCTAGCATGCAGGAAATCATTGCTCAGACTAGCACTGTCTTCGAGGTTTTCCTGGCGGGGCAGGGTGTGGGATTTGTCAATGCTCTGATTATATTCCCGCAAAGCTGCAGAGGAGTTTTCAGAAAGGATATGAGAGCCTGTCTTGACGGATTGGTTGGTGTTATGCAGGCTCAGAAAAGATGCATAGAAGACTTCCGATCAAAAAGAATTTCTCCTGAAGGAGAAGATGAAAGAAACAACTCTGTCTGTCAACTCCAGAACGCGCTACAGCTTTTTATTAATAGCATCGTCAAGGCTCGTGGTGATGTCGAGTATGCCGAACGTGAGATGTCTTGGGACCGCCTTGATCACCAGCAGCTCGAGCATATTGCCTCGATGTTGGTGGACCTTATCGCCCCGGCATCTGGGCTAGGCTCAGCGGCAAACATGCTGCAGCTGGCCGTCGATAGGGAATATCATTCATCTAACGACACCGGAAGGGTGAATAGCAATGCTGAGACGGAGCATAATTTAGAAGACGAAGAATACTGGCATCGCCTTGAGGGGGAAATGCATGAGCAATCGTACAGAATATCAGAGGCTATAATTGAAGGAGTGGAGCACGCCAAACTTCGACTGGAGTTGACAAATGGCCGTTCCTTGTTTGGCAGAGTTCATGCGAGAAAGACTGACGAGGAGAACCAGAAGTTTCTAATGAACCCCGGAGAAGCCAGCTTTCTCGAATCATATCGAGACGTCTTCGATAAGTGTTGTGTTCTAGGACAAGATACGTATGGTGTGGATGGAGAAAAGCTGCTCGACTATTACATCCGACACAGACCACAAATCGAAGACCTAAGTCAAATCACTTCAGAGGCACATCCTAACACTCTACGCTATTTCTTATTGCTCCATGTAAGTGGTGGAACACGAGGTGTGCGCCTATGGCATCGGTAGCTAATTATCACAGTCACATACTCTCCTTTCATTACTAGGAGACGAATTCCTCAAGCTTCTCCTTTTTACCGAGGAGTGCCATACACGCCCGAAGCGCCTACTTATTCCGCGGCTTCGACACCTTAGATATTGGCTCAAAGTATTGGTTCACATTACAGGCACTCGACCAGGAAGTACTTACCAAAGTATGGACCCTCAAACAAACGTTGAACTCGGTTCCACATTCTACGATCAAAAAGATCCTGACCATCTCCCACCTGCCAACCTCATGGAAATCATTGGAGACAAGATTCGCAAGATCAACGCCGTCTTTCGCACCAATCATGCCGCATACGGACTTCGAGGTGTCTGTGCCGTTATGACCATAGGCATTATGGCGTTCCTTCGCGATTCGCAGAGTTTCTATTCCAGGCAGCGATTTCTCTGGGCGCTGTTTGCCATATTGCTTTCTATGGGCCGTACTGCTGGATCGTCAACCTTCCTTTTATTGTGTCGTATACTTGGTACCGTTGCCTCCATGATAGCGAGCTACATCATTTGGTACATTGTCGACCAAAAGACTCCCGGTATTTTGGTCTTCGTCTGGTTGTGGTTCACTGTCATTGGATTTTTCAGTAAGTCGTCCCCATACGGCAATTTTGACTTCAAACCTAATTTTCTAGTGATCAAATTCCCCAAATTCTTCAGTGTATGGTTTGTTGCTCTCATTACCGCCATCGTGATGATAGCAAATGAACTCCAGGTCCGTCAGCTAGGGGCAGAAACAGTCTCTAAATCCGGACAAGCCGTCTATGCGCCATACATCATCTTCCCCTACCGACTTGCCATAGTCACGCTCGGCGTTGTTGTCGCCTACTTCTGGACACTCTTTCCATACCCTCTATCCGAACATTCTGAACTCCGAGAAGAAGTGGCCAAATCCATGTACATTCTAGCCAATTTCAGCCAATCCACCCAACAAACGATCCTCGCAAGACTCCATGGCACCTCCGGCGACCTCAACGACAAAACCAGCCCGGGCTTCCACCTCCAAACCGCGCGCCGCCGCATCTTCCGCAAATACCAAACCATGAGCACCAGCGCCAAAACATACTACAGCTTCCTCAATTGGGAGTTCTCCCTCGGCGGCCGCTTCCCCAAGAAAACATACGGCGAAATCCTCGCCATTCTCGAGCGCGTCAGCAGCTACCTGACCCTCTCGGGCTATGTGTCTCTGGCACTCGAGCGGACTCCTACCTGGTGGGCCGCCGAACAGAATAATATAGCTCAAGCACACCTTACTCCTGGGGGTATTACGACGAGAATGATCATTTTGCATTCTGCACTGAGTCGGGTACATCCGCTGCCACCGCAGATGAAGAAGTTGGAGATCCCGAATCTGAACGAGCTCTTGACTAGGGATGTACCCACGGAAGAAGGGTTTGCGGCCGCGGCTCTGATTCATACCGTTAATTGGTATTTGATCCGCGATGTAAATCGGCTTACGCAGTAAGTATAACCCGTTGCATCGCTGCTAGTATACTTATATAACTCCTTCCTTCCATTGTATACTAACATCTTTTTTCTGGGCAGGCTGGTGAGAGAGCTCGTTGGAGAGCTTGATTTTTCGTTTGCTGTTGATACCCCGACTCTTGTTACTGTATCAACTGTCGATAGGGCAAAGGAGAACGGCCAGGAATGGTCCAAATATCCCGAGTAAGGGAAGTGAGCGAACGGTCTAGCGTAAAACGGCGCCAGGTAGGTGAGCCCAGTCCTGTCTCCTAGCATCCAGACAAGCTAATAATGATCAGATCGTTTGCGATATACCTTGCTAATCCTGACCCGGTCTCTACCAGTTTGCCAAGGTGGTCAGTTTGTCAGTATACCCGGTTAGATCATGGGGAAAATACCCCTTCCTGCCGACGACGATCAGAACTGAAAATGAATGCCGGAATTTCCTGTATTTACTTGTTTCATGATGAGGCTTTTCCTCCGGTAGGTCTCGACGTTGACGAGCAATCAAGCTTCTTCTACTTACAGTATATTATTCACAGCTCAGAGTCGGTGCTCCCAGCTCGTCGATGCGTTTCATGCATTGGAAACAAGCACTTTTTATACTATACACCTGGCGGTCTTATTTTGTCGTAACGTAAATCGAGTGGTCTGGTCTGTTGTCCGGGTGGACGGCTGTATACCCTTTTATTCCTTCAAGTTGCTCAACGCCCACTATTCAACACGCGACATACGTACTTGATTTCCTGGACAGCGTGAAGGCCAAACAAAAGAGGGTGTTCAAAATGAGTTATATTCCCTGCTGCCTAACTAGTTGTTTTGGTACATACCAACAGCTCTACAACCCTATTTTGGATCGCATTGCGCTGGTGAGAAAGATCCTCCTTCCATAGGGACAGAAATTACTTAAATATTTTTACAGTGTGGGACAGTAGAATGTGTGTAGAAGGGGATAGATAGTATTAGTTATTAACACTAGATCATAGGCAGGACATACGATACTTTACTGCCATAAAACATCAGAGCATAATTCCCTCTCCCCGCGCCGGACACCGATTATGCAACTTGACCTCCAGATACACCGCATAACCGGGGATAGCTATGGATCTCGCCCTGTGATAGAAGTGGTGTCGAAAGACCGGAATTAGTGGTTGTTTTTTTTTTTTTTTTTTTTTTTTTTTTTTTTTTCGAATTGGGCCCGGCCTAATCTCACGTAAAATCTGCCTGCATATGGGCCGAAGTAGTCCCCCCCCCCAGTTATCCATAGCGACCAAAACATTCCCCGGAGGCGCATTATATGTATCGCCATCGCGCAGCCTCGGGATAGAACTGGTACAGAACAAGGTGAAGACGTCATCAGGACTGGCTGCCTTTTCATGCTCTTTGTTCAAGTCTGGGAAGCCTCTCTGTAAATTCTTGCACTGTTGAGATTCAGTGCGGGGGATGTCGGAATCCAGCGACAAAACAGCGTCGCCCGCTGGAGCCCCAGCTGCATTTAGGACGATGTACTTGTGGTCCCTGAGGTTGATTTCCCCCGAATTTCTCGTCTCAACCACCCAGGAACGTTCGAATGGAGGTACTGTTTTGGTTTGGATATGATGATTTGCAACGTCATCATTGAAGTGATGATTAACAAAACGAATACGTTTTGTCGCGGGATGCATGAACGCACCCTGGTGAATATCTTCAACAGTCACCCACTCACCGTCGTTGAAAACATGCGGTTTGATTTTTCGAATTTTAACCATTAGACTTTCGAAATCAGACCAGGAAAAACCACCGGACACTGTGGACTGGTCTTTGACTCGGAAATCCCTATAGTCCAATAATTGTAGTTCATCAAGGAAATCATTCTTCCGGTTGGTGATGCACAATACGAGAAGCCAGATGTACGAGATTTTGAAGCATCCGAGTGAGTTCCACGAGTCTGGATTAACCTTTTCGAAGTGTATTAGGCCGTTTTGACAGACCTCATCTGGTGTCACATTCGTCCTCGGGACGTACTCGTTTCTCCGCATGCATCGATGCGCTAACACGGCTTTAATTATTGCCATACCGTCATTTTCGTCAGGTAGTGTACCGCCATAACGCTCTAGCAATTTTCTAGCCACCAGGCATTTCACCTCAGGTCCAATATCTCCCTGCAAAATCGGGAAAATGTCATCCAACAACTCGAGAGCACGGCCGTGACTACCACAGTCACTGATCAAAACCTCCTGGACAATGTCTTTGATATTAAAGACTGGCTTGTGGTCAATAGTTGGGGGCTCCAGGGGTCTGCAAGGGAGCACTATTCTCCTTCGCCGAGAGGAAATCAGATACTCATCGATTGGACCTGAAGCGATGGAGGTGCCACAAACGATCATGAAACCAGGGTGATCTTGTGCCAGATCCCCCAAGGTTGTTAAGGTCCGGAGCATGGTGTACTTATCCCATAGAAGACTTATGGTATGTAAACCGTCCACCACAAGGAATATGGCCTTTTTTTCCCAACACAGAAAAATCCTCAGGAGAAAGCGACCTAATGACTTCGCTTGGTGTGGGTGCGTGCCATTTTCCAAGTACATCGCTAAGTGTAATGTTTTTGGGTGCGGTCTCATGCTGTCGGAGAACCTGGTATAGCATCCGGGTGCCTATAGCTCTCCACGGATCCTTTTCAGTGGGCCTAAGACTGGTCCCATTCTCAAAACTTACATGGAAAACGAACGGATCGTGAACATGTGATGCCAGAAGCTCATTCTTTTCAAAGTAAGTACCATCGAAGCATTTATATATAGTCTTGTCCAGCTCGGTGGCATTTCGTGATTTTCCTGTGCCAGCACCAGAGAGAAAGAGGTAAAGTGGAATCGTATTCTTGTCGAAGAAATTATTCTTGTAGTTGCGGAAGTGCTCCTCAACCTGGTCGTGAAGGAGCTTAGTTAAGACCGGCAAAGCCTGGTAATCCCATCGTCGCCCGGTGGTATTGACCAGTGCGCCAAGGGTCGGAGGGTAGTACGGCAGCCCTGTGTCATTGTTAGAGCCCTGTTGAAAGAAAATAACGCATGGAGGGTGGCGGGGAAATACGACCGTGCCTGTTTTTGCATACTCTTTAGTGATGTCCAGAAGGGTATCGCTAGAGGTGTCGTCTGACGCGAATGTTGGTTTATGTGGCATGGTTATGATAATATCAATGTCGGGGTCGACCGAAGAGTCACAGGACTGATTGATGAGAGATTTCGGTGGGACTCGCGAATCTCTCTCCTGCGGGACGAAATGGCCAACCTTCGACACCACCCTACCCGGACGGTATAGAGTCCATAGGTCGGTAATCGGGTGCTTTATTTTCCTGCACTCTCTGATTTTCTCCTTCAGATGATAATATGTGTCTTCGTCTGTATAGTCTATCGGAAATGCTCCACCAGGAGAGTATTCAAATGCACACCAGAGTCTCTGACGCGGCATAGTGAGCGATTCTAAACGAGGAGAGCGTTGACGAGACAGATTAACGTGAACGATGACCCGCAACGTCGGAGTCCGAGCCCGCGCAGTCTGGCGACGAGGGTGCAGAGGAAAAGGCAGCAGTGGGGATACATACCCCGCTAGTTTGTGAAGCGGGTAACTAGCTCGGAGGGATCGGGGTGTCGATTATCCGGACTGCACGAGGCCAATTGGTAGAGTACCCTAATAAAACGAAACGGGTGATATTATCTTGACTATCTAGGCACATGGTACATGAGCGTGTGAGTGCTTAACTATCTATCTATGCATACACGGTGGCCTATATATCGGACTAGCAGTCCATCGGTCCGACGTTATTCCTCGTCACCATTGCCATGAATGTAAAATACGTACTAATGTAGTCCAAGTAAATTGACACTGAAATCTGTAACATATCTACACCCACTTTTTTAAATCTGTGTGTGTGTGTGATTCAGGGCAGTGAGACGCAATGTAGAGCAATATTAACTAGCCTATGATAAGCTGGATAGTACGGTGCTCTTATGGGAGAAGCGAGGAACCGCAAATCAGCTTTTCAGTGGAATCTGTTGGAGATAGATTACGCCTTTTTCTTTCTAGGTGCAGCGCTCGCCTAGCTGAGTTCTATGTAACTAAATAGTTAACTAACTAGTTAGTTATAGTTAATTAGTCATTCGGCTAGCTGTATCGTTTCCAACAGTGTGCAGTCTCGTAGAATTTGTCCTCGCATAGACAGAAAGTCGCAGGGAATAGCAAAGAGACTACCAACTGTAGAAGGAAATTATTGCGCCTATCCCGCTGGCTGTGCCACAACCTATTTGCGCAGTAGTTATTACTATCTTGCTTCGCTGATTTCATCACACTACCCCTACCTGCAACCGCAACGACAATAAATCCCATAGCTTACTCCGACGTCCAAGAACCGTCAGCAGTGGGGGCTTCGGTGTCCTTAAGTCGCCCAGCGCAGGGGGAAGGTAGTCGACCGGGGTCTTATGGACAGCCGGCTGAGATCGTTCATGCTGACATTGTTAGCATCCACTCGAAACGGACTTTCCTTTGACACCACCGACTTACAATATCCTGATCCGTCGGGGCGGGAACAGTGGGATGGAACCAGTAGGTGTAGATCCGGCCGTTCGGCATCTCCGGACTGAGCCAACTGCGGATTGCGTAAAGCATCCAGAAATCATTGTGCCGTCGTAGAAGATTATCGCGGCGCTTCCGGAGCTGTTCCTGCTTAACACGGCTCTGTGCGGGTGTCATTTAGGACATCTCGACTTCCTCCTTCACAGGGGATTGTGACGATTCTGTTATGAAGGAGACAATCTGCGGTGGCAGATTCGAGAGCAGTATATGGCTTGATATCATGTATTCTGCGATAACCGAAGACATAGTCGAGGGGTGAGAGCCACAAATACCTGTGGCGGCGTAGGAATGGGCAGTTCGCGGTGGTATAGATACAAACGTTCTTGAGGGGTAAGTCCACGATCTTGGCTTCACGACTAATATTCGTTGATGCATGTTCATTCCATATAATATAGCATTAGAATAGTGGTGTACGACGTCCAGCAAACTCTTGAGCGTCGAGGTGGTCGACTCACTGGACCAGGTGGGACCGGGTGGAAAGGGTAGAATTTATGGTTCCTGGCTACACTGCGGACAATTGAGGATCTGAGTTCCTGGCAGTAAAGAAATGCCAGTCATCATTCCTATAGAATGAAGAGCGATGATGTTCTGAGACATTTGAGAAGTGGTGAAGAGAGCCCTATGACATTCCAGAGCAACGTGAGGCGGGCGGGTAAGATCGCTTCATTCCATGTAATCACTATTTAGGGTCGACAAATGATGCTACAATTTAGCATATAATTCTTAAATGATATGAACATAGGTTATGATTCCTGCTAAACGACTAATCTTCTGACCGGCAAAAAAAAACCTATTGTCATGATTGTCGCTATGATTCTCCGTAGAGATCTTCCAGTTTCAACAAAACAGCCGCAGTTGGCGATGGAAATTCTCCGGAGGACCGGGGTAAGCAGATACCCCGCAGGATCCCCTCAACATCAACTCATGACGAAGGAAACAATAGGCAAGAAGTCGGCGAATTGTCGAAAGGTTTTCTAGTCAATTCCGCACGTAACAAAGCCTATCCTGGTACATAACTGATCCCATCTCATGTTGAAACAGAAATTCAGACCCGTTATTTCCAACTCCCAAGATGACTGTCGACTTCGATTTGAAATCTGGCTATGTCCAGATCATCAATGGCAAGAAAGCCCCCACGTCTACCACCCGCCACGGTCTGAACCCTGCCAACCTAAAGAAGCTCCCGGAGGCCCCGGTAGCCACAGAGAAGGACCTTGATCAGGCTGCTGAAGCTGCAAAGGCTGCCCTTAAGCTCTGGTCTGCGGTGCCGTATGAGGAGAGGAAGAAGGCAGTTTTGGCGTTCGCCGATGCTATCGATCAGCGCAGAGATGACTTCCGCGATCTGTTGATCATGGAGCAAGGGAAGCCGGTAAGGGCTTTATGATTTCTGTCGACTGTGATACATATGGCTAATGCTCAACAGATTCTCCAGGCTTCTCATGAGATGGACGCTGCGATCTCGTGGATTCGTGGAATGGCTGGGCTTCCGCTTCTGGAAGATGTGATTGAAGATGACGATACTCGGAGGGTAATTACAAGATATGTTCCACTTGGTGTCGTTGGTGCAATTGTACCTTGGAACTTCCCTTTGCTTTTGGCAACTAGCAAGATCGCCCCGGCTCTTCTGACCGGCAACGTCATTATCGTGAAACCATCGTAAGTGTACATTCCTTTGGTCAACTAGGTCACCTTCTAACACTTACTCTCAGACCTTTCACTCCGTATTGTGGTTTGAAGCTCGTAGAGCTGGCACAGCGATTCTTCCCTCCTGGTGTTGTGCAATCTTTGAGTGGCGATGACAACTTGGGACCTTGGCTCACTAGCCACCCTGGCATTGATAAGATCAGCTTTACTGGTTCGACAGCAACAGGCAAGAGGGTCTTGCAGAGTGCCAGTCACACGCTCAAGCGTGTCACACTCGAACTGTAAGACTAAACCTTACACATTGTCGGAGAAGAGGGATGCTGCTGACTCTTTCAAGTGGCGGAAATGATCCCGCAATTGTGTTCCCCGATGTCGATATTGAAAGGGTCGCAGAGAAGGTGGCTTTCTTCGCATTCCTGAACTCGGGCCAAGTTTGCCTCAACCTCAAGCGCATCTACGTGCACAGCGCAATCTTCGAGCAGTTCAGAGATGCGCTCGTGCGCCAGGTCCAAGGCTATACAATTGGTGACGGTTCTCAGTCGGGTATCAGCCATGGTCCCCTTCAGAATGATATGCAGTATTCACGCGTGAAAACCTTCTTTGATGATATTGAGAAGCAGGGCTGGAAAGTTGCTACCGGTGGCAAGATTGAGAAGTCATCTGGGTATATGATTGCTCCTACCATCATTGACCGGCCACCTGACAACTCTCGTATTGTGGTAGAAGAACCCTTCGGTTAGTACTCTCTCATTCCAAATATCTTAAAATTTTTGCTGACCCCATCAAAGGCCCCATTGTACCACTAATGTCGTGGGATGACGAAGCGGACGTTATTGCACGCGCTAATGACACGACAATGGGACTTGGAGCTTCAATTTGGACTGCGGATCTAGATAGAGCGGCGCGTGTGGCGCGCCAGATCCAGGCTGGAACTGTATGGACAAATGACCATTTTAGTCTTAGTCCTACTGTTCCTTTTGGTGGTCATAAGGAGAGTGGCATTGGCGTGGAGTGGGGAACCAATGGTCTCAAGGGATTCTGTAATGTTCAGACTATTTTCTTGAAGAAGAGTGTTTGAGATTTGGACAATTGCTGTTTGTTCAATATAGATAGCACAGAATTAAACAAAGAGGTCTTCATTTGAAACAGTTTATGGCTTATATTGTGCAGGCCTTTTGATAAACATCTTATGTATGTGATGTCTTATTAACCAGATGTAGCTCGCTTTCCATACATGCTGCTATATGGGAATGGTTTCAGTGGCTCCATGTCTTTTTATTTGTCCAAGGTTAAGGCTTCATGCCTGAAATAACTCAAGTAGTTGGATGGTTTAATCCTCTTCCTGTCGTCTCTTTCCCTTCTGTCTTTCTATTGCGTCAATCAATGAACGCAAATTGTTTCCCTCAATCTTCTTCTTTCTGGAGACTTCATGAGCGGTGCGCAATCCGCCACATCGTTTTATTTGCGAGTTATCAACATTATATTCTCAGTTAGGGTCATGTTCTTATCTGATAGTTCTTGCACGTCTTTTGCGTATAGGGTAAAGATAGGGTTTGATGTCGTTGGGCCTTATCAAACCCCGAGACTAAAGGCAGTATGTGCGAAATTGTGAGATCCCTACCACGGACCTTGGGAGCAGGATGGATTCGGGAAATAGAGACTATCACGAAAGGTAGCTTGACCTTCTTCATAGACTAATCGCTGTTTTTGACAGAAATCTGTTTCAAATTTGCCGAAATTTGTTGATACAAGATAGACAAGGACCAGACACTTTCTGTTTTGATCCTCCACTGGATAGACAACGCGCGGCTGCAACCAACATGGTGGATAGGCTACGAGAGACCAGATTACCGTTGGTATTGTAAGAAAAGAAAAGTCAAAACAAGCTATAGAAACAATTTAAATACAAGCATATAGAGCAATGAACGCAGCAACCCCAACCAACCAACCAAATCCCAGCTCACCATTTCTCCCGCTCACGCTTAATACTCTGCCAAGTATCCTCAGCAAAATACAAAAGCTGTTCCCAGTCAATAACAAAATCCGTCTCCTTGCCCACCGGACTCCTGCGAAAAACCGTCTCAAAGGGAATCCGCAACTCATCGCATGGCGATGTATTCCCGGTTTCGGGGTCAATGGATATACCAGAGAGGGTGTTGTTTTTGCCTTGTTTCTGGAGAGTTATGGTGCTGGTGCGTACGGCTTTCTTTGGCCCATTATCACCACCACCATCTGTACCACCATTTGTAGCATCGGCACTAGAAGTACTAGTAGTAGTAGTAGTAGTAGTAGTAGTAGTAGTAGTAGTAGTAGTAGTAGTAGTAGTAGTAGTAGTAGTAGTAGTGGCCTCCCACACAACACTCGAACCTCCCCCTTCCCCTTCCCCTCCATCTTCTCCCCCGACGCCCCCCACCGACATGTACAAGACGGCACTGTTTAGATAGAGATGTGATTTGGCTCTCCAAGGAATGCTATCCGTTCTTCTCATAGACTCTCATCATCATGTACAGTCATAGTCATCTCCATATTCAATAAATGAGCTCCCAAAATGTATATGGTTTTATCATAAAGAATCATGATCCGGATCATCTCAAGATATTCAGAAAACCAGAGTTTTCGGTCCTGGATGGAGTATACGCTAATTGAGTCTATTCTCACAACAGAAGTGTCATGACATCAATTTTTGTAAATAGCTGCTTCTAAGTCACTGCGTGCCCCATTAGCTTGATCTTTGATAGTCAATGACAGTTTGGATTTCCGGGAATTTTCAGCTGCGCTTCTGTGTCATTGGCCTCGGTTTGTGTATCTCGGACTCTATGATATAGCATTCTGAATATTCTTGTGTAATTTCTCTCATACTTACATCTTAAGCCAGGCGCATCCTAAAAAAATATGAGTCCGTAGCAAATTATAATGCAGCTCGATGATCGTCCAAGTATATTAGATGATTTGCCTGCAAGATTGTCGACTTTTGTGCGAAACTTCCTTGATATTTGATCGTGTATTGGGTTGCTGGAACCTCTGCAAGACGAATATCTGTGACCGATTATGGGCCCTAAGTTTTGGATTTCATAGAAGGCATCAACGGCCACTGTGGCTGGTCCGAAATACCTAGGGGTATACCCGAACAGCACTTCCGCAGCGCGCGACTATTCAACGACTAAATCACCCGTGAAACGCACAGATCCCAATCAAAAACGTTCTCTGGATGCTGGCTGCCACCACCCTAAGGCCGGCTATCATCATTTGAACATCCCTTTCCGCCAGTCCCACTGAGTAGGGAACTGTAGTTGAAGCGCGTTTTACGGATGGATGATATGATGAATTTGATGTGCTTGTAGCCCAATGTCTATCAGTAAGATAACATCAACAAGACATCGGGTTAATTGACCGTGCATTGCCTTCAGAGTTATCTTCTTTTAAGGAGCTTCGAAAATTTGGCGTGTCCAAACGAGAGTCATTCTAACTGTTCGGTCTCGTCGTCTTCGTGTTTGCTCTTTAGAAACTGCGGTCATTTGTCAAAATTTCGTTTTCTAAAGCATAGTGTTTATCCGTATCGTGCTCAGTTGTGCCGGGTATATGCGCATACCGATTCTCACGTCAAGTGCACAACACGACGCTAGTCAGATCTAGCAGGCCACCAAAGTCACGCCTATTAGGCTACGCACGACTATATTGAGCGCTGTGCACTAGACTTTTGTTTTGACAGATGCCAGGAGAGGCGACGGAAGTAGTCACGGCTAAAGCTGCCGTGATGGCGTGAGCCGGGCAAATAATCGTCCTTCTGACACTCAGACATACCCTCGAGATGCTCGCTTGAATGGAACATGTTTCATGCGAGGTACTGCCTGTCATGACTACCTGTAACATTCTCGAAATGGGGCATAGTTTCTGCTGTTGTGAGATTGTGCGTGCAGTCAGGTCGACGTCTGCGCACATGTTCTCCAGATTTTGTAGGCCATTGTAGCTTTTAACCCCTCCTCATCATACCCCCGACCAAGCTCTCTTCATCCATCTTATCGTTGTGTAGCTGGGAACTTTACAGTGGTTAATATGATTCGGAAATAGGGCTGGTCATGGCTCACGACTGACTGTATGTACATCTGGGGGCACTTTTCTATACTTTTCAGAGACCTGCATCTTGCTCGAACGAAGTCGTTCATCGATTTGGCAAATACTTGCCAGCACCTGATGTTCCAGTATTTGGAGCTCTGTGGTAGGTATATAGAGTGTATATAGAGTAGCATGATACTCAAGCCCACGGTTGATCGTAGGCCCAAGTCTAGTTTAAGTAAGAGGTAGCATTCTGCGGGATATCTGCGTATAATGGATTCTAACTACCATTAAATAACTGCTTTAGGGCTCTTGGGGCATTACTGGGCACATTTCCAGTCAATTCACTTGTAACCTACGACGGTACTATTGACAGTCAGTTGTAACTAGTATTATCCGACAGAATAGGGTAATGTCGGGTTCTGATAGTCGTCAGCTCCTATCAAACAAGTACTTCGTACACATGCACTTTGTTATTTCTTCTTTCGGTACGACCAACTTGCTTATTCCTGACAATTAATCGCACATCAGCTGTCCGAGCACATACAAATATGAACACTCAAACACAAGCACACCTCACATCCACAATCGATACATAGATCTCAAATAACCCCATGCACTCCGTACATACACATGCGCATGTATATTCAAAGCACACCCGGAGAACCCCGTCATTAATCAACCCCCTCCAAGCCCGCCACGTCACTCGCCCTAGTCGTTTCAGGTAACTGGCGTAAATGTAGGTGTGGCAGATCGAGCGCACCATTTATCCAATGATAGGGCAGGGGTCATCCCTGAGTATTTTTATGTGCGATTATTATGTAGGTAAGCATTTAGAGTAGTTATGGGGGAGGCGGGAAGGGTGGTATCTTTGGGTTGATTATGCATGTTGACGGGGATGGCGAGGCTGAGGCTGAGGCTTGGGCTGAGGGGGATTGGTTGGAGGGGTTGGAAGGTAATTTATCTATGGCGGCTAGTTTTGGGTGGCTACGAGGTGAGTGGCATTTCGAGTATTTTGCCTTCTTTAGCTGAAGTGGCTATCATCCTGTGCATACAAGTACAATGCCGATGGCGGTGCTCCGTATTACTGAGCGCTACAAAGCGCAGTGCGCAGTCATCATGATTGCTAGTCTGTCATTATCAGCCAATACCAAGCGTGCTATCTGTTTCTGTTGGAATTGGAGGGCGCAAATTAATATAACATGAGCTGAAAACTAGGCCTGCACCGGAATTACCCGTTGCTTAATCTGAACTTACGACCAGTGTCTAATCCATTGGCCTAGAGAAGGGCAAGATCTCTTTGTATGCATGTACGGAGTACATCCTAGACACTCGCTTCCTAGCCCAGTAGTACATGGTAGCACAGAGCGTTACCGTGAAATAAGCGTTCCTTTGTCTCATCTTGGAAGCGCTTGGGCTAGAGATTGAGACCTGTATGCCTGTCTAGTCTTGTGCTGTAGAACGTGAGGTTTTCCCTGACAGTGATCCATTGGTTGTCGATGCTCAGTTCTCTAGTCATATTCAACTTGGTCATGGCAGAACGACAGCCAGTTGTAGCTGTTCAGGTGAGCAGACAGATTACCTCCGGTGAGATCGATGCAAGACGTGTGATCTTGCCAGATATGAGCGCTAAACCAGCGAAACGTCCTACAAGATTACCACAATGGTGTCAGATCTCCTGTCGATATCCGTACATCGACAGACAGTCCTTAAAGGGTATGCCTTGCACGGCCCCAGGAATTGAATCCCGACCGCATAACTTGGCATCCCATGGTTCAAGGCTCAAAAGAACCCCTACGTAGGAACCCGACGTTATCTGGATCAGACAGATATGATAGTCTGGATCAAGAATGTCAACCTGCGACCGTATGGCAACCTCGTAAGGTATCTACATATGTCTCAGTCATATACTTACTCCGTACAGCATAGACAGAACTTACCTCGAATTGCTTCAGTGTTTGCAATTGAACCAGCATCTATTTCCGGTCGATGATCCCACCTCTTACAGAGTACGTAGTGGTACTTCTGCACACCCCGTACTCAGGAGTTATGATGTCCATCCGAATTATTCGAGAATAATCCAACCGACACACACGTTTCGGAACATAGTCCGGACAGCGACAATTAACCAACATCATCCGTATCCATATCTATTCTGGGAAATTGCCGTCAATAACCCACGGCTCGGAAATCGAGGCATATAGCCTGATCGGGCGCATCCGCATTGGTAACATTTCAGCTCCGTGTGTACCGTAAGCCAAGGTAAATCCATCGCCTTGTTTGCTGGTTCCGGTTCAGGAGGTGGCTCAAAGGGGTGGTCCTGGCGTTGGGAAATAACAGGTTTAGGGGAGCTTTGTCTATTGTTTCTAGGCGATCACGTGTTTTCTTCCTTCTGAATGAACAGCTCTGCTCAGCTGGGAAGGTACTCATACTATGCCCGGACTCTCCGTGGCAACCTTCCTGTTGGCTCGTCTAGACTACTCCCCCATGTTCGAGCCAATTTAACAGGCTCTGATCGGCAATGGCGCGTCGGTCGAATCAGCGCGTGTCGAGGCCATTTCGCGGATTCGGCGCCAAGCATCCCGATGGTGCATTATGTCATGCTCCCTTTTGGGTAGTTAACTAGGTTTATTGACAGTAGTATTACAGGGGAGTCAGGTCAGAGTACTTGTACTTACAGACAAGTACATACCAGTAATCGATGAAGATCTTGAACGCGCAATTCCAGAATCGCGAGTCGAAACGTGGGACGCGAAATACCCGTCAATGACGTTATGATACTGCTTCACGGACAGTACTACTACTACTACTACTACTACTACTACTATGGAGTAGCTAGGTAGCATACCTCTGGGTATGAGCGAAGAGAATCACATGATCGTCAACTACCGCGCGCTAGCTCGCGTTGTTGGCATTGCCAAATATTGGCACAGCAGACTCGTTTCACTTGCCATAATGAAGGCATTAGCAGAGTGTCGGGAGCATCCATGCGGTGCCAAGGACACTGCCAACACTCGCGTTCACTGCCCCATCAATATTTCATAGACATGTTATGTATTTCTAGCAATCCAGCGTCACCGTACCTTACTCAGTGATCGAAATCTCACCGCGGCAAAGTTGAATGCGGCTTAAGTTGCGAAGAAGCTCTAATTTAACCCCTTTAGGACTAGCTCATGGAGTGGATCCACGCTACTGTCGGGTCCGCCTAGTGTTCGCGCTAATCCATTCTCAGTTTAGTGTGTATGGCTTGTATGCGGTATGGAAAGTTTGAATGTATAAGTTACCCCGTACGTATCGCACACATACAGACTGTACACAGGGACAGACTCGGAGCTCCCAATATCAACCTGGAAATGACCGTTATGGAAGACGTCGGAAGAAAAAGAAAAATTTGAATGAACCATGGTTCATTGCTCCGGAGGCCCCAGTGAATATTCTTGAAAGGGTTATATGGTCTTGAAATCGTTGTGTCTCTTATTTCAGGGCCGTTTTCATTCGTTGCATTGGAGAGAAAACTCTTCTTTTCATGACAGCTCCATAGCTTATATTCGGTGGGATGATACAGTATCGATCGGTAGAGCTGCTGTAGAGAACCATTGGAATACTTACTTGTACTATGTATGTCTTCGAGTCGTGATCGCTATGTATGTGCTTATATGACGACATAACTCTTCCTGACTCTGTATACTTTGGCAACTGTTTCATCACTCTCTGGACCTCGAATGATCTCAATTGAATCCCAGATACCAAAATCTATCTCAAATTCAGTTCAGATACTCAAATACTCGTCTTTGTTTCAGTGGATCCAACCCGGTACAAGAAATTAGCGTATGTACTCTGTATGTACTTGTACTCGTTCTCCGTCGAAAAAGCGATACTGCCCAGTATCCGTGTATACTTCGTGGCTTCGGTACCTTACCAGTATCCCACCATTCTGACATACATATGTTGAGATTTCATATAGGAAAGTTATCTAGCGAATGGTTAGGGCACAGCATGTACTTGTACTACTATGTACAGAATGCTACAGAATCTAAATACCATTGGACAGAAACAATTCATCAGAGCTGATCTATCCACGAAAATATCGCACGGAGCATGAGACTACCATCCAATCCGATAGAGTTGTTCGATATCATCATCTATCCAAGGCCCTGGGATGCGTTCTGTACACGTACAAGTACACTGCACTCTGTATGTATCCTGTAGGCTGCTGTGGGATACTGTAGAGTTACATCCGTATGCCGAGTACTTTTATTCCCAACCGTTGATGGCCACTATTGACAGCCGAGAAATTTTCAACGTCCATCCCACACCGCATACTCGATTTTCGGGGTCAAGTCCATCGCACTCCGTTTTGTTCTACGTGTATGCATACTAGTGAAATTCCCCGCTTGCGCTCGTCTCCCGAGCTACCGCTACTTCAACGCGGTATTGCGAGCTGTTCAGTTCTTTTTGGCAGGAGGAAGAAAGAGAATCGAAAACTTAAAGAATCTCAAAGCAGTAATTAGCTTTCATCATCTTGATAAAGGTCTACTTGTAGTATTCTGTACTGTCTGTGCTTGTACTGGTACAGCATCGGCCCGGTCGTAATTGCGGGGCTGCAGAACTTTTCATGTTTCCATAATTCTTCTTTTCCTATGACAACCAGCCTTAGAATCGGCTTGGATATTATATTGCTGCTTTCTGGTAGGAACGGAGCTGCCAAGTGGGCTCTTTTTTTTTTTTTTTTTTTTTTTTTTTTTCGTAGGCTCCGCTGTGGATGTCTTTGTTCTTTTTCTTCCGATACTTTGAGTACTCGGTCACTGTACGGTGTATGGATGGCAGCTTTGTTTTGTCTGAGCGGTGTAAAACGGAGCGCTTGTATGTATACAGGTACACCGGGAAAAAGTACTCGTATTACGGTGTGTTTGATGGAATTATGGGATGGCACTATCGCTAAATCGCTAGACGCTAAGGATGTGTAATTGTGCAGAATTGTTATATAGTCCAACAATGAATTATGTACGGGGTATCCGGAGCGCAGTGCATATATATCTGCCACCTTACCTAGGACCACATACGTACCAGGGGAACTTGTACAAGAGCAGTAGTAGCATTCACTTTATTGAAGTGATTAAATGCCAGGGGAGACACTGCATAAATGTACTCTGTACCACAGTCCTTCAATAGTGAACAGCAAGGAACGCAAAATAGTCCCTCATGTAACTACAATAAATGCAGGTACGCAGCAAGGGGATGGATAGGAGAAGTTACCGTTCTGTTCCTGATGATCAGAAGAACTATGAGTATAAACGATGATAGTGGTATCGTACGGAGTACGGTGAGTTAGTCTTGTTGAAGTGATGCTACCCCGGATATATATTCAGGACCCGTAGGGAGTCACCCGAGCACTCTGCATGGAGTTTTCTACGGAGCAGTTAAGCAATAATTATGCACTCGATTTGCACTCTGCAATACGAGTCCTAGCCAGGGGCAACGTGGGAGTTTATTGCGGGATCCGGGTTATTGATCGATCCTTGTTGACGCCATCCTGGTCAGGAGCTAACGGGGGATGGTGGTCTAGCGACTATTGTTGACGAAGCAACAAAGAAGCGACAACAGAATGATAGTTCTATTATCCTAGACAGTACAACAGTTGACTACTTTTTTCAGCCAGGAATCGCTTGTACGAGATGACTTGTAGATACTGGATGCTGGAACCCCTTAACGCCGCGCCGGAATCGTGATGTGCATACATACATGACTCCATCGCGCTCCGGGGGACAACCCGGCCCAATCCGCATGCGAGATGCGCCGATTCAATTTCCAAAAATAATGATCCATCGATTTCTTATTTCTCGCTGACAGACTGGTTGGTTGGTTGGTTGGTTGGTTGGCGAGCCTGTCGTTCATACCCGATGGTGTGACAGAAGGTTTAGGATAGACCAAGGAGAACCACTAAATGGGCCTGCGATTGCGAGACATCAATTCACTGTTCTACGTGTACGAGTATTTGTACTTTGTACTTCTACGGTAACTACGGAATATGAAGGATTGAATATTCCGAACCATAGCTTGAGCTTGTTTGAGTTTCATCTTTATCTCGTTCGCCAGTCGGTGATGCAATGATATGATGGCCTCTCTCGTCCGGACTTTCCTGATGATACACTAGTAGCAGACCCTGACTTGATGTTTCATGGGCCTTTGCCGAATGTAAGATCAACATACCAGAAAAGTGGCAAACGCGATTTACTTGCATCAGACTCCGTATTCGGATATTGCTAGGGGGTCATTAACGACGAGGATGGAAACGCAAGGAGCCTGTCTGGGATATTGCTTCAGGCAGAACAAGAATTTGACAGTCCCCATAATCTCAAACCCGGGGCTGGCTGACGCCCACGATAATTTAGCCCCGAGTCGAGAATAGGCAAACATAGCGTGCAATACGAAACCTATCGCGCGCTCAGACGCGAATCAATCACGACTACATACAAGTACGGCCCGGTAAAAGAAATGTTTACCACCTGTAAAGTACTTGTACCTTGACGATGACCGGGACGCGTCCAAGTCAGATCGCGACCAAAGAGAGTTAAATAGGATCGGTGCCGTGGATGACTTATTTCATGTGCGTTTGACAGGAGAGAGGGATTTCATCAGTCTTAGCCAGCAATAGATTTGCCTTTGCCGGGACAACCCTCTAAACTATGGGTGATTGATCAATGAGAGCGAAAAAAAAAAAAAAAAAAAAAAGCAAGACGGATACTCCGGTAACTGTTCGATAGATAACTAGATTGAATGATCCCTGTTATGTTGTAGTAGGATCAGCGCGAGAGAAAAAAGAAAAAGAGAAAAGTTCAACCATGGCAGACCATGATTCCTGGCGTCAAGGAAGCAATCATCGACTTTGACCAGGAGCGACCGTGCTGGTCTGGTTAATGGGAACGGCCGGCTACGGGACCAGTAAGCTACTAAGTTGGTACCCCGTACTCCGGAGGTGACGATAATAATAACAGACACAACAATAATAGCAGCAATATTAGGGGGAAGGATATCTCGGATAATGCCCTGGTTCTTATGCTACTCCGGTATGAACCAGTTTTGGTCGTGCGACTATGTAATGACTGGAATTACTGTCTTCATTTGCTGCTAGTCAGAAATAGACTATCATTGCCCTGTGTAGACCGCAATCATACTGAAATTGAATATATGACGGTGATGACAACACCGAGGTGTTTGTTCCTGGGGCCGAAGAATCAGGGAGAAAGAGAAGAACAATGAAAGAAATGCATTCAATGGCTGCTGCAAAATGACCGGAGATCAGCCCTCTCCACTGGGAAAAGGGCGGCCGCCGCTGGGCTGGAGGGAAGGCGAGGTAACAAAAGAGAGGGCAATCTAACTCCAATGCATCCCTAACTTCAATGCATCCAAGGAATTGACCGTTTTCTTTGCTAGTCTTTCAACTGGAGTCTGTGAGTCTGTGGTGTCTGGTGAATAGATGACTGCTTTACTTGGACTTGTATACTTGAGGCTGGCTACTTCATGCGGTATTGGCGATACGTACACTCAAAAATACAGACATACAGTAAGGGCTAGTAACTACCAATTGGTATCGCTTACTGTCTTCTCGTCCAGTCACACTGGCCATACTCAACTGTCCAACTGTAGCTCTGTTCCTGCATAGTGTGGTTGGTGAGCAGGCCAGGAATTAAGTCTATTCTGTTTCACATCCTCCCTTTCCATCATTTTGCTAGAAGAACTCCAAATCAGACGGTGTGAAGCAGAACTGGCGGATCCGGTCGATCAACTCGCTGTATCATACACACCTCCAACCTGTTACTTACGGTACTTACGGTACATACATACAAGTACATACATACAAACTACTAGTGACTGTAAGCTGCAGCGATCCTCTTTCTCTGTCGAGCCTCTTTAATTCTTCGTTTCTCTCTTCCCTTTTTCTTCTTCCAAACCCGCTTGGAGAGTGTCAACTCCTCAACTTTTCTCTCCTCCTTTTCTTCTTCTTTCTTATTTCTCTTCTATTTTCCTTCTCACCTCTCTTCTCCCTTTCCTCTTCCACCACCTCCCCGCCAATTCCCTTTTTCGGAGAGTTCTGAGACTGGTCCTACAGGCAAAAGTCGAGATTTCGGTCGATTGAATAGTCGACCTCTTTCTCTGCCCTACTGAACCAGTGCTCGAGTCGAGCATCTCGCCTCGACCTCGCCCTTCGACGTTTGTTAGCTCAAACGCCGAACCTCCCCCCCTGAAGTCTTTACCGCCGCCGTCTTTCCCCGATTCGTGACCTCGACGGTTCAGATTCCCCTGATTCAGCTTCTGCCGGCTAGAAGAGCGACAGAACAGGGTGGTTTCTTTTCTTTCGGACAATACCCAGATTCGAAGACCACCAGTGATCGTTTTCGGTGTACATGATTCGGTTGTGAGTCTGAAAGGTGAGGAATAAATTTTTTTTTTTCTTTCGTCCCTTTTTGTGGTGTACATCGGAAGTGGTCTTGGGACATATCTCGTCCGCTTTGGGTCTGCTCGATGGTCGAATTGGACGTTCAGGATGTCGCCTGTGTGGTCACAATGCTTCGTGCTGCGAGTTCGACTGTTGTCCGCAATGGCTGGTCAAAGCATTTCCCCGGTTTCCGCCGTGCACCTTCGAACCCCTCCCCTCAAGTCTCGGAGTCCCAAGTTGGGAGAAAGCTGCTGGAATTGCCGTTGCCCATAATGCCATATGTTGGTAAAGAGAAAAGAAATGAAACGTGTCAATTGGAATACATGTGCCATCGATCTTGGGACACCCGGCCATGTGTACGGAGTACACAATGGGAAGGGAGCCCAGGTGATAATTTCTCTGGATAGCTTGAAAAGAACCATTGAGTCGTATGACTTGAATTGGAGAGATGAAAGGGGGTGGGGTCGCTTGACGGGGAATGTATTGGACCGCGGAGCATGCCTCGAAGACCGTCACCACATACCTGAGATATACCAATCATGGATCACGGGTGTTTCTGTGGTTTCTCGATGTTGCACTATCTCTGAAGAATCTTGGCTAATATCTGGATTTTTGCCCCTCAGGTCAACGAAGGATTTTTACATCCCTTTAATGTGGATTTCGCCCGTTGAACGCCTTTCCTTATCCCACGACATCGCTTCAATCGTGCACACGGTAACCGTCACTGTATAAGAGAGAAGAAGTGAGAGTGAGAAAGACGCTGCTCCGCGAGCTGTACGTGGTGACCATTCTTTTTCTTGCCCATTGCTCCTCCCCTGACGATTTCCCTCCCCCCTTCATAGGGTATCCTGTTCCACATTCCGGAGTACACAAAGGGCCGCAATTCTTCAAGCGCCAGTTCCTAGGGGTGAAGACGTTGACTCGTCCTTTGCCTTGTGGTCTGGTATCCAGTCTCCAGTTTGACAGGCCATTCCTTTGTCTCCATTCAGCCTAGATGCCAGACTCGCCGTCACGGTAAGGGTTGCACAAGTGCCCTCTGCCCGAAGGCCTTTATCTGGGTTAGTACTCGTCGTTTTCCTCTTCAAGGAGGGCTTCTCCCTTTCACCCTCATATCACACCTTTTGTTTTATGCCTTCCTTCACACTCGTTTAAAGTCTTTCCTTATTGCACTTTATACTTTTTTTGCCTTTACCATCTTCATTCGTGCAAATTTCTCTCCTTTCTTTTTATTGCGCCTAATACTCTAATCTTTATTTAATCTATTTTAATACTCGGTTACTAATACGGTGGTCACAGCTCTGGCGACAGGTTTTCAGGTCCGGTTAACTGGCCTTCTTTTCCGCCGTTCTATTCACAGTATTCAGACTATCGTCTCTACTGACCATTCTTTAATACGCCCAACTAATTCCGTTCATTATTCTTACACTTAATCTTCGACGACTGTCATTCTCTTAATTCCGTCGTTACCTGATAGACACGGCTCTTTGTCAGGTCCCGCTCATTCTCTAATACCCTGCACACCTAATTATTATCCGACTCGAGTATCTTATTCCTCTCCTCATCGACACCATGGCTTTCCATCGCCCTGCATCTAGCTACCAGCCTTGCGATAGCTTCTTCGTGGAGACATACGACGACTTCCGTGTACCCCGGATGGACCCCAAGGAACATGCCAGGCTCATTGCACGTGAACGTCAATATGCCATTGCCGATGAACTGTCCAAGCTGACCAGCGATGAATTGCGTGAGGATATTGTGTCTCACATGTTGGATATGGAAGTGAGTCGTCCCTTGGACCGTGTGTAACTCCTGGATCGAGGAAAAAGGGGCTGACCGTTGGAATCGTACTTTTGACAGGCTACTACTCTTCCGGACGTGGAATCGATCGATATTCAAACCGAGATCCAATGGTTTATGCGCCCCTACCTTTTGGACTTCCTGATCGAAGCACACACTGCCTTCCAGCTTCTTCCTACAACGCTGTTCCTCACCATCAACCTTCTGGACCGATACTGCTCCAAGCGTGTGGTGTACAAGAGACATTACCAGCTCGTTGGATGCGCAGCCCTCCTCATTGCCGCCAAGTATGGCGACAAGAAGGATCGTGTGCCTACCATCAAGGAGCTGAAGTCGATGTGCTGCTCGCTGTACGACGACGACATGTTCATCCAAATGGAATGGCACGTTCTCCAGACCTTGGGTTGGACAATTGGCCACCCGACCGTGGACAGCTTCCTTCAGGTCGCCGTCATGGACTCCCCTTACGAGCCCGAGGTTGAGCACTTGGCTCTTTACATCCTGGAAATTGCCTTGTTTCACCGCGAGTTCGTCTCCAAGCCTCCGTCGGATCTTGCCCGTGCATCGTTGGCTCTCTCCCGCTGCATCCTTAACCGTCCTCAGCCTCGTCACACCGAGTGGGCTGCTCAATACGACTCGATGACTCTGGTTGGCCTGTCGCAACAGCTTCACCAGCCGTCTCAGGTCCTGGCTCGGAAGTACTCGTCCGCACACTACTCTCGGGTTTCGAAGCTCCTCGAGCAGTTCCTGGCTCGCCAGGCTTCCATTTCCAGCTACACCCCGCCCTCTCCCCCGTCCGAAGTCCCCGCGGAATCGAAGCCGTACAACGGAGATATTGGCCTGGCCACTCCGCAAAAGAACAACCATCTTTCGGACATGGCAGGCTACCTCACGCCGCCCATCACTCCCGAGAACGAGGCCTTTGCCCATGCTGGCAACTCTCACTTCGTCAAGGGAGCTATGTGCGCCTCGCCGACTCCCCCGCCTACTATGCAGTACGTGACTTCCCAACCTTATCATCAAGCGGAGGCCACCTATGTCCAACAATTCCAGCCGCAACCTCAGATCGCCTTCCAGACGGGCTTCTAAACTCGGACGTGGCAATGACGGAGCGGAAGTTGAGAATCCTTGCCCGATCAGCTGGACCGATGGAGGATCTCATCCTTGCGATGCCTGCGATTTGTGTCATTCGACCCGAGTCTTTCTATCTCCGGTCTATCCTTGAAACATACTTCTTTTTCCGTTCATCATGGTCTCCGGACTCGAGTGAGTTGAGCATGGGCCATCTCTTTTCGTTTATGTGTTTTAAAACTGCATACCCATTTTATTCGTTGTTTCATTTTCATTTCGCAAATCATCATCTACTTGGGTGTTGTTTCCAAGAAGCATTTATTCTCATATTTAGCATTTGCAGCGCGAGCCGTTCGAGTTATAAATTGCATATTTGTCATTTTTTCTGCATTCTACCCATTTTGAGTTTTGTTTTTTGCAAGCACCCTATTTGGTGGTGGTGAGATCGTGTGTTTGGCATGTTAATAGGGATCACTTTTTTGTTGCCCTCGAAATGTTGTTTTTCATATCCCCTTTTCCTTTGTTCGACGCCCCCTTTATCCTACCTCGTCATCCCCTACCTTCCCCTTCCCCTTTCCCCTTTCCCCTCGCCCTCGCCTAACTTACCAAAACAATATGTTAATGTGGTTCGAAACCGTCTTCTCGCGGGCCACAAAGCTCGTCCGGGGAACGGTTCTAAACTATAAAAAAAATTAATAAAAAAACACAGAAAGAAACAACGGATACACCGCCTAAAAAAACAAGGAAAACGGTTTAAAAATCTTTTCTTTTTTCCTTTTCTTGCGGGATAGGTGGAGGTTTCAGATTGCTATACCCATGTGTTTTCATCAACCTCTTGTACAGATTAAGATTCGAGAGTTGCAGATAGCTATTGTGACTATCTGGAGAAGTTAGAAATTTAATTTATGGACTTCTCATTTTTAATTCTTTTGACGTAGAGGCTTTGGAATGTTCATTCTTGTGTATATTGCGTACTCGGGCTGCAGGCGCAGTGTTTGATGAAAGTGAGACAAGTTATTCAGACAACGTATGTTTCGTGCTGTTGAAGACTTTCCTTTGCAATGATGTAAGTCTCGGAAGCCTGCTTTGGTGTTGAAATTCAAACACAGGAATGGTGCGCGGTCTCTGGACCGCGAACTAGATCTAGGGCCGGAGAGGTCACGACGAATTATCTCATACTTGTCCGTCCTCGTAGTACCCCTCATCTTTCTCGTTCGTCACGGCTGCTGATACGATCTACCCAACTTATCAAATAGCAAAAATGCAACTCCTAGAATACCAATAGATAGCGCGAAAACTGCCAACGCAAACCGATAACCCGTCTTTTGACTACGCCATTGCTCCCATCCACGTGCAGCAAGACGTGTTTGAAAGCTACGATAGGGATTGGCGTGAGAATGCCATCTTAGACCCAATCTTTTATGTCAAGTACGATGAATGAACACTATGTAATGTAAGACAAAGGTAAACTAAAACTGACAAGAGCATGCAGGTTCTATCGGTCCAGGATTCGGTATTACGAAGAGGAGATTGAGCGGTCAAGGAGTATACCACCAAATCTTCACGCTAGCCTGATTCCTCGAGAACGAGACGATCTTCAACGAACACGCACGAACGAATATCCGCGCGGTAAGGGAAGCTTATCGATCCGGAGTCTTGGGATATAATCCTGGGAAAGTAAGTCCGTGGTGAAATGGTGTGTGTGCTGGGGAGGTTTCGATGGAGGAAGAGTATTGCTTTGAGTATGAGAGGGCTTTTGAGGAGTGGAGGGGTGTGTTTGGGGAGGGAGGGGTTTAGAAGGAGAGGATATGTTTTTCTTTTTCCTTGATATGTTGGAGGCGAGGGTGATTATATACTAATAGGGTATCTAGATAATGGGTCCTCAGGTTCAGATGGAGAGACCGAAAGTCGTAGGGCTGAGATTGAGGAACATGATGGAGAGCCGATCTTGATACATAGTACTTGAGCACAAACCAAGAGAAAGAAGTGAGAGCGACATTACGCTTTACACCAATATACCATTAATTGCTCATATTTAATAATGAGTGTTAACTCTCACATCCTTGTAGATCATAGTTGAGTGAATCGGCTGCAAAAATGCTCTACATTGCCCTAAGACAGAACACAAGAGACAGTAAGTGAATGATAACCGAATCTACTACACCGGTCATTTCCTCTCCTCGTCCTCTCCTCGGGCTACATCGACGCTACGAATCACCTCATGAGTCGCTAGCATACTTCTCTATATACGCTCTATATACTTACCTACCAAAGCATAGCGCTTTATCAGATTAATTGCTTGGATATCAATATTTGGCAACTGCTTTTCCAAGTCCGATCAACCGTCCTCGACTGAAACGAAACTATCACATGCACATCAGCGCACAGCTACTAGGCATGGGTCTAGGAAGCGGAAATTTTATTTCTCCAAGAAGATCTAGATGACTGGACCGTGTCTTAAAAAAAAAAAACAGATTTGGCAAGCGGATGTATAACTGTTGGTGATGCCGGCATAGTGAGTCAGGTCAAGCAACAACAAAACCTGAGTTGTTGTCAAATATTGTATTCATTCCTAACAGTGATGAAATGGTGGTTGGAACTACCTGAGACCACATTTCAACAGGTCATTGTGACCAATTGCCAGAGCCACTGGGGCACTGGAAATCACCATTTATGACCTCCATAACTCTGCCCACTACTGACCTACATTGGGGGACTTGATGAAATACCTGCTACAGATGGACTCAGATACAGTAAAACTGGCCATTACGGTGAAATTGTTCGGCCAACTCATGCAATGGACATCAAAGTTTACTCGCGCCCGAGGTCTCAGAGGTAAGTACCGGACTAGCTGGACTGGCCGTTAACACGGATATGTCGCGACCAGCGTATTTCCGTTGCTCAATGGATGTGACAACACCCGTTCTGGCGTCTACAGAGCCTTTCTTCGTCGTACCACCGGGATTTCAACAGAATGCAAGCTTCCACGGCCTACATAGCCAATTGCGAGAGACACACGAAAACCTATTAAGTCAAGGAAGGATTCGGAGAGCACTATCGTCTACGACTCCAAGTTTTTGGTGTTGCTATTCTCAGCCCTATTTAGCCAGCTTCATTGGTGAAGTCTGCTGTCAAAATTTTCTATACGCTCTATATACCAGCCAGAGTGTAGCATTTCTCAGAATGCTCAAATATCAATTGTTGGCTATCGTTATGTCGACATGATCAATTGACGATAGTCACTTCAGGAAGACACTAGAATCGTGTGCATCGAAAAACATTGGACCAGCCTTTTCGGGGATAGCATGGGGACCCCGGAATGTGGTATTTGATAATCACAACCAGGCAGTTGGACTGCTTTTCAGCGGTGGTGAGGCCACTCCAATCAGCTATTTTACTCATTGGCGTGATTTGGCGAAGCACATTGTTCTGGTTACCAGGCATGAGCTTTTTTTGCTCAATACCTTCCACGCGAGCAGGATGTGCTTGAGGATAACAGAGTTTTATTTTCACCCTTATTTGATTAGCATGCCTGACCCACACGAGAATGACCCTGGCTGTTGCACGCTGGGCTCTCACGAAACCTTCTGAAATCGTTGCTGCCATTAAATCAGAGAATACCCATGATGAAAGCGTTGAGAAAATGCGGTATCTTATTCCTTCAGGAGCTTTAGAAGCCGAACAGTCTTCAATGGATTTGGGAAACTGGTGTGATCGAGCTCTACTCTCCCTTTTGGAATAACCCCTTTGGGATGAAGATCTCATGTCTGCCACCGACGTCTTCAACTATCTCCATATCATCCAGTTGTTCTCGAAGGGTGCTGATGGGAGACTCGTTTAGCACCCTTCTATTCCACCAGAAATTTCGACCAACGAACAGCCTGTCTGCCTGAAACCTGCCTGAGAAGTTCTTCCCGGGTTCTTTATTATGCCCTTTACCAAGTATCCGCAATATCCCCCAATATACACTACCTTCCTTTAATTTCCCCCATAGCCCACCAATTGGGACTACTCAGCATAAATCGGTTTGCGACAAGATATAATGGAGAAAGGAGTGCACTGGCCCATCATGGAGTCTTCACGGCTGACCAAAAATATCGTCGTGCGTGACCTGAGCATGTTTCTAGGCTATAACTAGTTACGGCAGGCGTCTTATTGCTTAGGTAAGCACCACATGGCGAGTCGAAACGCGTGTTATGACTCCTTAAATGACTTCCTTAAAAAGCCCAGAAGAGTCAAACGGGAGAAATCGAGAATGGCCTCAATACATTGATGTACATCGCTGACGCAATTTAGTCTAGAAAAATACTCCATTCACGACAAACAAGGCCATTGAACTTGCTCTGGAGCTTTCAGGCATAAAGGTAAAGCAATGGATTTACGGAAAGATGCTTGATAGCAAAAGACTGGCAAATACTCGAATCAGTGTCAGATGACAGACCGAAGGAGCTATGGGAAAACAGGAGGATCCTGATTAGCCACCGCAGCCCTTGCTGGGAACAGAAATGGTTGCCCAGACGGCTGGGCCTTTGCGGATACAGGAAGCCATGAGGCTGTGTTCGAAGGATGAGATCGATGTAGATTCCCCTGCACTTGCAGGTCGGACGGAGAATCAATGGGGAGATACATGATAAGATGGCGAATTCCTCCAGGCATCCCTCCTTTGTCTCTGAGAGATACTGATAGCACCGAGGAAAAATGGCTTTCTCGCCCCGTATGAGCGAGTCTCTCACATTGCCTCAGCCCTGTATCTCAGAGCGGAGCCGGCAGGGCAGAGACTATGATTCTGTTTACTGCGACAGAATGGTTTATTAACAGCAGAAGGAAGAACACTCCCTTGACCCAACTCGAGCTAGGTGAAGTACGCTGCCCTAGTACATGAAAATAGGAGCAGAAGCTGAACTTACATAGAGATCGCAACTCTACGATAGTATCTCGGTACGAACGATTGCGTCGAAGCCTCAGAAAAGCTAGACCTCTCAGTTTTGGCAAGTATCTATCTTCTATTAAACCTTAGTTACCCGGGCAATAAACCAGCTTGTCCATCTTTCAGTTCGCCCCCCCACCGCACAAAAGGCTACCAGATACCTTCACAGAGCAAAACACGACTGTAACAAACTGATGGCATTCAGAGATACCGGGTGTTAAATATCCATGGCAAAGGAAAAGCTACCTATGACTATCTCATTAGACACGTTTCGTGCATTCTACCGCAAATAGACTTGCATGCGAGCCGAAAGTGAGACAGAACAGATAGCCAATGGTGCTGCTGGTCCTAGTTTGATATCTATAACCAGGATAAAACCTACTCTATATCTCGTCATCGGCACACACACACACACACACACACGAGTAGAAAAGGACCGCCCGATTTGTGGTCAGTACAAACTCGGACAACCGCGTCGATAACATGGGATAAGAATCCCATTAAGCCATGCCCCATCCTATCACTTACACTGATTACCCGGTTCACGGCGCAAAACAATGATTTCCGCCGAATGGCATTCTTGGTATCCTTCATACACAGGACTGACATCCGGGAAAGCACGTCTTGCCCTCAGAGCATTTTGGGCTCAGGGATAGGCCATGATACTTTGCAAATTGGATATACGGGAATAAACGTCTTCTATATCTCATTGACGAAATAAGGAAAAGGTATCAGCAAGATCATAGAGGCTAGGTACGGCAGAATTATCAAGCCGCTAACTGCGAGCGCGAAGTCGCCCATATAATACCATTCAGTTAGCGGTCATGAACAGCGCCGCCCGCATAATACGGGATTGAGCATACAGAAAACGAGATATGCCTGTCCCCAAGTGCCGATAAATACTGGGGAAAGGCAATGTTTGCGTTGAAGCCCAACGTTCGGCTTTCTCATATACCGAAATCAAGCGAAACGATGTTCTGATTAAAAGACATCGAATGGACCATACTCACCATCCGTAACGCTGCAAAAAGGGAAATCACCATGGACGACTGCAAAGCTAAACGTCATTTCTGTTACTTTGTTTCTGGGTTTAACCGTGGACACCTATCTAGTTCCGCCCAGGGCCACGCAATCACCTCGCAAATGAGACCAAGTGTGCGATTATGATGGATCAGGGCGTCGCCAGCAGGCGGTAAGAGATTTTTTGGTGATCCGTAGTTTCTCGTCATGGAACTGGCGTGGTCTCACAACTTGTGCGCAAGGGTGTGAATTAGAGAAGCTGGCCGGGATCCTCTTCGCCGAGCAAAGGGCGAATTTTGCCTTACGTTCGATCTTCGCCTACTAAATAGAGTAGAATTTCAGTCACATAGTAAGCCTGTGGTTTAATAGTCTTCCCTGTCCTGATCTCCGTCCGTTTTGTGAGTCCCTTATTCCAACATTCTTCCCGTATCTATCACCCTCGCCATGTCAAATGCTAATGTATGTAGGCCATCTCATCACACTCTCTTCATGTACAGCTCAGCCTTGCGAGTTTCCAGTCTTATTCGCAGCAACGCAGGGTTTATGACCTGTCACGTAGTATGTACCTGCTGGATGGCTGCATGATTGACATGTACTTCTGTCTTGGCTGCCGGCTGATCGATAACCAACAAAGAAAATAATTCAGCCTATCAGCGCATACACGAGTCCAAATTCAGATATTGGGCTGTCAACCTGTCAGAACCTACGTTGCTGCCAGGAGGGTCCCCAACCTGGGGGAGAAATCTCTCTGCCCCCTCGTTCAAGTTGACTCTTACAACGATTTAAGTCCCCGTTGTCACGGGCTCGGAAACTAGCAGATAAAACGAATAATATTCATATCTGGACTAGGTAGCCTAACAACGAGAATATCGAATTTGGGGAAGAAGAAGAAAAGGAAATCCATCTAGGCGATGAACGGTCTTTATAGGCATTTGTGTGGTGCGGCTTAAGCCCTTGTTTGCCCATATTGCTTGTATGGCATCGTTTGATATGTCGGCGCTGTTTGTCTGGCGTTGAGCCGTTGAGCCGTCACAGCGACAAATGTTTTCAAGAGCATCTTTGAATCCAGAATCTTCATCTTCAGCTTCAAACTTGAAGAGACCATGGCAAAAAATAACCCATTTGAAAACTCTGATTGCATCACTTGACTGTGTTTGCCTGGGTCTAGGCATGCCCTGAGAAAATGGCTCACCAGAAAGGTGTTGAAAGAGCACTCGAGGTCGACCAAAGAGAGTTCTAGCCACAGTCTGCCAATCAAGCATCCTGCCTTTCCGCAAAATGTCATAAATATCCTTATGAAAGATTCATCTGAGAGGGAATTCGATATCTGGAACTAAAAGGGTTGGAATACTTACTGGTACTTTATGTAGGACGCCTATGAGACTTATGAGCAATCCTATGTGTCCACCACTGAATATGACCAGTCCCTCCTTTAGGTCCTCTGTTAGAGACGGACGTGGTTGCATTTGTTTTGTGAATAGTGCCACCACTTCCATTGCTTCATCCTTGTCAAGCAGCAGACCAACTGGTGTCAATAGAGGTGCTCGAAATGGGCTGTAATATTTGACGTTTTCATCCGCTCGTAGTGATATCTGCTGTTCAGGAGCAAATATCAAAGGAGTTTTTCTATGTTTCTCCTCATTGAAGCCCACAAAACCCCTACCTGGTGAGCCGTATGATGTGAAGAGCAGGATGTATGGGCTGACCCAACAGTCAATACGCTTGAAAAGATCTGCCCAAAGTGAACCATCCCAGTACGACTCTTGTGCCTCATCTATAACCAGATAGGAACGGGTTATCCTGTTTTCCTGATTATTCCGGCGCGAACACCCAAATTTATGCGGAAGAAGTACTATTTGGCACAGGCCCAGGGAATTGAAGTTCGAAGACGTTCTGTACCCCACATCATAAGGCCACTCAGTCCTCATACAGGTGAAACATGGAGAGAAAGCCTTGAGACATATTACACATAACACTATACGCCAATTCCACGACCGTCGCCAATTTCATATACGAAGAATATCGTGAGGTCGCCCCGTACTCTAGAGACCTTGGTCTTCCCATCTCCAACATAGGGCACCCTCTCTCTTGTAGAGTATCTTGAGGGACATAACGCTTTCTTGTGAGGTATCTTATTATGGATATTCTTGATGGATATATCATGTATCTGTCTGACCAGGTACATGAACAGGTACGTCCACGCCCACGCCCACGTCCACTCTACTCATTCTTCATACTCTATGAACACCAAGACTAACAAGCAGAGTCAAAGATACCCATTGCACAACATCCACAGCTTAAAAGACATGTTGAAAGAACTCGGTCTCATCTGCGCGTAACATGCTCGCGCTTGGAGCGAATAGACGTAAGACGTCCTACCATTCCTCCTGAATACTGATCCGACACACGACCGGCTGAAAACCAAGAGTCCGAATTATGCTTATTGCTGACGTTAGTGTCATCAAGCATGTTGTCTTGATCACTAAATCCCCTCTATCCTCCTTATGTCTACGACGATCGCCAATTCAAGTGTATGTTTTCTCGGATACGTTTAGCTGCTTGATGGAATGGAACAAATAAACAGCCCGTACGAGAAGTGAAAGTGAGTAGACATCAATTCTATGTATAACTTATGTATGTCATGAATCATTATTAACAATACCATCGAGGGCAAGAGCTTCGCTCGTAAATACAATCCGAATCGGGCGTACGCCCGCGAGAAAGACCAAACCAAAACGGATTATATCCGACCAAGAAGAAAAGACATCGAAAAGAGAAGAAAAGAAGAAAACAAAGCTATATATTGAAGAATGAAATAAAAAGAATGCGATATCAAGTCATGTATGTTCATTCATTTCATGGTCCAGGGGTACGACCGCCATCGGCACAGAACTCGACAATCAGTCGTTCGAGATCTGTTAGTTTATACGGTTTGGTCATGTATCCCTTCATCCCGACCTTGGATGCACGGCTGAGTGCTTCGTCTGTCACGTCTGCGCTGACGGCTAGGACGGTGGGGGATGGCGGGAGTTGAACTCCTGATGTATTATTAGGCAATGTCGGGTCCAAATTCGAGGAAACGGCCGGATTGCGTCGAGTATCAGGAGGAATTTGCCCGTGGTACCCATCTATTAATCGCAGAATCTTAGAAGTCGCCTCGTAGCCATCCATCTCTGGCATCCACAGATCCATCAGGATGATATCGACCGGCTTCAGGTTCTTCTGATGATTTTGTTTGTCCGGGATAGGAGATTCTCCCGGGCTCCCGGGGGTCATTTTCGGTCTGCCAGGTGGCATAAGGGTTGCACGGTGCGAGGTGAGAGTTTCTTGCATGACCCGCACAGCTTCCTTGCCGTTGCAGGCTTCGTAGACTTCGCGGTAGCCGAGTTTCTTTAGCATGTGCACGAGGACGCGTCGATTGATTTGGTTGTCTTCGGCGACTAAGAATGTGAGGGGGTGTTTCTGTCCCAGAGCGCTGTCATATGCGTCGCCATTGATCGAAGACTTGGGTTTGGGGGCTGGTGAATGCGATGATGATGGCTCCTCCGTCAGAGCGGGAGACGGTTGCTGGATAGGTTGATTGGAAATACGATTGCAAGGGGATAGGAAAGAAGAAGAGGAGCTGGTGCTTCCGCTACTCAGACGTGACGGATCAATGAGTTGTGGCGGTGTCAGGATTTTTTCCGGAGTCATCAATCCTTTGCAAGCTTCTTGGTTGACGGGTACTCTGATCTCGAACACAGACCCATGATCGGGGCCAGTAGTACAAGACCGGACACAGACGAGATCACCACCCATCTTTCTGGCGAGGCCTTTTGCCACGAGAAGCCCCAAGCCTAAGCCATCTTTACTGCGAGTGATCGAAGCGTCTTCCCGAGCAAACGGTTTGAACAGTTTAGGCAGGAAAGCTTCCGGAATCCCAGGCCCGGTGTCTTGAACAGTGATCCGTACATCGTTGGGTTTGCGGCCGATGGTTGCTGAAACGTTAATGGTACCGATGTTGGTGAACTTGACGGCGTTCAGGAAGACACACGAAATCAGTTTGGCCAGGTCTCGATCATCGACGAGCAGCGTGTCTGGCAATGCAGAATCAATCGACCAGTTGATGACTTTGGGAACAAATTCTCCATTGCCAGACCGGGAACGGATTTCGATTTTCTCTCCCAGTTCAGTAGCGTGACTCGATGCAAACTCGGGTCGACCGCCGACATGGAGGGATTCGTTGATGACCAGACGAAGCAAGTCGCGAAGCTTGGTATATCTGATTGCGGGTCCCTTCAGATTGACATTAATGCCTTCCAGAAGGAGGTGCGGTGCCGACCGTCGAACAGCCAATGAAGGACGCGGGTCCACCATGTTGGCCATGACGACTTCGATCTGGCGCGCCGGCGTCGCATGAACGATTTTGTCGCTCTCGTGGACCGCATTCTTGACCTCTTCGCTTCGCGGAGACAATCCTTTTCGAGATGACATCCGAACGATCTTTTGTTTCGGCGGTTGCATCCCATGGTATTCTGGCGGGTTACTGCGTCGTCGTTTGTAGGGGTTCACTGCGATATTATTCCCCTCAATGAAGATGTTGGGACGCCCGCCATCGTATGGAGCGACTGGTGATTCCGTCGGGGTACCGCCAAAGAACTCGTTGTCCCGTTCGACCTGTGGCGTTTGGGGCACCTGCATGTTGAGATCGTACGCATGGACCACGTTGTCTGCCGCCTCTACCGCCCGACGAGCACTGTCCTGGACCATCTCAATACTTTCTTTCAAGGATTGAAAGACGGAACTTGTCATCATCGAATGCTTGCCTTCGAGGGCCTCCCGCACGGTCGCGTGCATGACATCCAGCATGCCAACTACACCCTGCATCGGGGTCCGCAGTTCGTGGGAGAGGCTTCGTGCGTATGGTTTGAGCGGTTGAGCGGAAAAGTCGGTCGATCCGTGGAGAAGTGTGGTATGCAAATCATCTAGGGTCGGTTGCACCGCAGCGATGGGTTTGGGCTCTTTCTGGGGCGCTTTTCCGCCGTGGGCGTCGCGAATCCGCTGAACCACCAGACCTTCCAAAGAGTTGAGAACCATCTCCAGGAACGGCCAGGAAAGACTGCGTTTCCGCAGGCCAGACTCGGACCACATCAGACCCAGATGAGCCAAGCATTTCCGATCCGAAAAAAGCGGAACAGCCAAATATCCCTCCGCGGTAAAAGGTAGTCTGTCTAAGCCAAAGGACACGAAAGAGGGTAGGTTGTCGGGGATCAGACACGGTTTCTCGTGGTCCATATGAGACAAGGGATTGCCGCAGGCAAGATAACGATCTCGGTGCATGCCAACGGTATGGTAGCCATCGTTGTAGTAGAATGCGAAGCCGAACAGACTAGGTCGTTTCCCACCAACACCACTGGTGGGCTCACCCTCGACGACTCTCCGGGCCACGAAACCGTATTGCGCGCCGCAGATGGAAGTGAGGGATTCCATAAGACGAGTCCAAAAGGCCTCCGCGTCCAACGGCCGTAATTCCTGTTTCAAATTTGCCAGGCGTTCCGTCGCGGTAATCTGTGCTTGTTCGAAATAGCTTCTGTTCGGGTGTTGGTCCAGGTTGGAGGAATCGGTACGAAAGGTAGAGGTCGGTTCAGACAAACATTCTGATTTGCACGGGAGACACGACATGCTGCGACCGGTTCGAAAGGAATTTGACCATTCCGGCTCGAGGGAGTCGGACATGGTGTGTCTATGAAAAGGGTGAATGTTGAGACGGAGAGAAAGGGAGAGGATTAGATCAAGGTATAGGCGGGCGCCAAGTGACGACAGTGTTGTTGCGAGAGATCAACGGTTCACGAAACGGACCTCTGGACAAAACACAGAGCATGGCTTCCTTTTCGAGACAGGCTGAAGAGAAGGCCACGGCGAGACCGTTAGCGATCGAAGGATCAACGCAGACGGAGGAGGTGAAAGTCGGCCATTATCCGTGTAGTTAGGTCGATTGGTCGAGGACATACAGCAGATCCAAGGATAGGATCGAGGGGTTCTGGAAAGCTAGAACATGGACGGTTTATTATGGGTGGTTCTGGTGGTTCTGGTGGTTCTGTTCCTGAGCCGATTTTGGTTCACAGCCTTGCGGTTGAAGATAAAAAAAAAAAAAAAAGTTAAACGATGTTCAAAAAAGGGATATCACAATAAACGCTGGTTGAGATTAAAAGAATAATATTTGAATAGAAAAAAATCCCTGGAAAAGTAAACAAGTCGACTGCTTCCACGAGGGGCGCTGTCTGGCGGGTCGAGTCGGGAAAAGGCCAGAAGAGAAGCAGTCGGAGGGAGAGATAAAGGACGAAGAGGAAAAGAAGATTAGGATAGAAGAAGGAGAGGAAAAAAAGGATGGATAGAAGGAGGAGATGGAGGAAAGGATGAGATGAAAAGAGAGAGAAACGAAAAAGAGGAAAATGAGAGCCGGAGGGGCCTCAGATTCAAACCCGGGCCAGTTGGCAGATCCCCCGGTCTAGACTGCCGTGCGAAATACAGTCAGACACCACAATATTGGGGGTTATTCCAGTATATCAAGTACATACTACTAGTACTAGTACAGAGTAGTATTTGTTCAGCATATCTGTTGAATTGTTAATATCGTGTTTATTGCTATCAACAGCACTGCAAGGCATGCCGAGTGACCCCGATTCTAGACCAGTCGGCCGCACAGGGCAGTCGGTGGTCTGTCTCACCGCAGAGGACACCTGCTTGTGAATACATTCCATTAGACATCCTATTCACTTCACTTAGCATTAAGACTAAAAGAATATCGAACAGCAGCTGAAGACCGGCAACAATCAACACTCGAATCGCCCGGTACATGGACGACTGCCAGCGCTCACCGATAGGTCAAGGTCCAGTATCTGGGCTCAAAATCGTGGATAGTAGAGGGTCAGCATGGGGTACAGAATGGGAACTGTCTCACGACGAACCGATTCCCAAGCCACCTATCCTGGGGTTTGTGCTGGGCAGTCCTTTGAGACTTTGAGCAAGCAGCGGGCCATCCAGAGCAATGCTCGGAAGCAAAGGTGAAACCCTGCCTGAGCCTAACAAGATTGACTTTGCTTATTTAGTCTTGGTGGTCCATCCTTGATACCATCCAGCCATTGTCATGCGGAACAGGGCAAATTAAAATCGAATACAATGCCATGCTAGCGAGCTGACCTTGTTTCAGCACCTGCAGTGGAGGTTGTCTGAATGGTACGACAATACTGTACGTACAACTATGGGCACAGTGGCCATTGGCACTGATCTACCAAACTGGGCCTATCGATGGAAAGTTGATAACTGCCATTGGGTAGGGAAGGGGAACTGCGCCCAAAACTTATGTGGCAGTAAGGACATCTAGCTTAGGAGGGACTTATACGGCGAAGCGCAACATACCTGTTACTGTAGGTCTCGATATTTCATTTAGCTTCGTTTCTATCTACCTCTTTTTGTGACTTTGGCAGAATTTGACAACCATACTTCGTTTCAAGGGGGCATCAAAAAGCCTTATGCTGTGATGAGCCCGCTTTCCTCCCGGGTTTGGAGGTCGAAATTTGCGACAAGCAAACACCGTTTGACGGTGTCTGTTTGCCGGCTGGAGGCCCTGACATCCACCCCAGAGTGGAAAAGCGCGGGGCCCGCCGCGAGTTTGGGGTCGACCTGATGGATGGAACTGTCCTTCGTTTTCGCTCACAGACCTATCCCTCAATTGGGAAACTGTTCCAGTCGCCAAATGGACAGCTTGTCCTTCCCGCTGCGTTTGATTTTGTATCGAATGACTGCAGAGAGCGAGGTTGTCGCTCGCCTCCTGGGCGATGTCGACCTGGGGGACTTCGTGACCAAGTACATGTTTGTGGTAAAAAAAGGAAGTTTTCAATGATATCGCGGCTATTGGATCAGAACTCCGAATGCCGAGAGTGGTCTGAAGGTTCCGTAACTCTTCTGCCAACACACATACCCACATGTGTACTCTGCCAACAACACTGGATACAGCTGCAAACCATTGCCAGATGGATCAAAGCGGCTAATAAGAGCTTATCAAGCTCTGCAAAGCCACTCAAAACAGGCGCCATTTCCCATATGGTGACGAAATAACTGGAACCAACAAGTCCTATCCTCAGCTGCCATAAAAAAATACAGCTCACGGGAACCAAATAATCGAGTTTTTGAAGCCCTAGGCTCGAAGCGTAATCGGTGGAGCCTCGTGACCTGCCATAATGGACTCGGTTCCATGTGATTTTTGGTCGGACTCTTCGGTATAGCGTGTTGTGTTGCGGTGATCATGTTTTTGTATTGTCGTGTATGGCTTTCGATTTTCTCTGCAACAACCGGCTCAAGTTTTTCACGCGACACAACTTTTGAACGGTAGGTCGTGGGAAGTTTCTTTTTCTCTCATTCGAGCCGTCGCATGTACATTCTCTTCATTTTCAAGTTTACATTTGATTTGGAGTTTCGGTGCGCTTGTGGCATTGGTTCTTTCATGTGCATTGCCGCACTTCATTCAGCTGCATTATCTCTTTCCATCACCTAATTACGAAATACTTATTTAACCAATATGATTACTCCATGTTTTAGATTAAGGCTCGGGAGATATTTGGGTCGCTAAGCGTAGTGGGCAAAACGGGAAAAGGAGTTCAACTGCCCATCCAGCTAACAGATACACTTGGTCATAATTCAACTATATGGTAGTCCTTCGCATACACAACCGCAACGATGCAACCCGCATCCGCGAGCGTCTTCAACACATCAACCAGCAAAAATGGGGCTTCTTCATCTACCACACCTGCTTCTATGACAATCTTGCAAGATGAAACCAATTCATGGAAAGACCAAGGAATTTGCCCGCCGCAAGCTCCTCAATTCAGATCTTGACCCAGAAGGTGATGGTGCTGTGATCATCGATGACCTAGAAAGAAATGTCCAAGAAGACCCAGTTATGGAAGGATGCTCTGTAGATGAAGCCAGAAGGTTAGTAATGAAGATCTTACTGATGCAAAAGGGGTTATTATGTATTGGCAATGATAGACGCCACAAAGACTTGATGTGGTCCCTCTACGGCGCCTATGGCCCCAGCCTTGTCCGTTGGAGATATCCTATATTCATTGACAAGGAGTCTGTTGATTCTGTCTTGGCACGACCAGCACTGGGCATGTGGGTTTCAGATGATTTTCATAACCCAACAGCATGTCATTGTCATGAATATGCGGTGGTGGGATCGCTGGGATGAGGAAAATAGTCATGATCAGCAGCCCAACAGAAATGAAGAAGAAGAAGAAGAAGAAGAAGAAGAAGAAGAAGAAGAAGAAGAAGAAGAGCATTATCCTCCAGTTAATGGCTGCCAAATGTATGATGTGGGTTGGGGAAAAATCTGTCAATCAGCTGTACCCAACATTATATTGTCTTCTTTCAGGCAATGATCTTTGGCGTATTGTTTATAAACTTAAAAGATCGCCGAAGATCTCGGTTACTATATAGGAAGATGCTGTATATGACTAGAGAATGACTGACTAAAATCGGATGCAGTAGTATACAGCGTATTAGGCTTAGAAAGTGCATGAAGGCCGAGGACGACCATCTCGAGCCATTTTGTTCCTAGGACAGAGTAGATTGAGAATGTATCAAGGTTTAGGAGATGTTTGGTCGCTAAGCGTAGTGGGCGGCGGGGAGTTCAAATCTCTGCCCATCCAGCATATAGATGACTGGACTGCTAGCAGAGATACTCACTTGTTTGATTTAATACCATGGTAGTCCTTCATATGCATAACCGCACCGATGCGTCCATCATCTGTGAAGAATATCTTCAAGAATACAAAGAGGGAAAATGGGGCTTTATAATCTACCGCACCTGCTACTACGATGGCTAATGGTGAGAGACGACACCGAGAGTTGATGATTTCCCTTGAAGGCGATTATTGCCCTGCATCTCCCCGGCAAGGACATCCTATATTCGCTGATAAGGATTCTGTTGATTCTGTCCTGGCAGGACCGGCACCGGGTGATTGGGGGTCTGAAGATAGTCACAACCCAACAGCTTATATTATCGTCGTAGACATGCGTTGGTGGGATGACCGGGATGAGAAAAACGCCCGTGGTCCGCTGCCTGAGGGTGTAGAGGATATGGAATTTGAACCTGATGATCAGGGCTATCCCCCGATTAATGGCTGCCGGATGTACGATGTTGGTTGGACAAAGGTCTCTGTCCGTAAACTCTACCCAAGATTGTACTGTCTTCTCACGAGTAGTGATTTTTGGGGTGCTATGTATCAACGGCCGCCGAATATCGCTAAAATCCCATAAGACAAACTATATAGACTGGAGAATGCCCGATAGACAACACCGTCTCAAAAAAAGTTGATGGACAATGGAACATCCAAACCAGACGCCATTAGCTGCGTGAATTGTGTAATATGAGATTAAATGAACACAGAACGTCGTTAAAGGAAATGAAACCCCGAACACAATATGCATCTAGTCCTGTCGTCCCTTAAGGAGACGCTTGGTCACCTTGTCCTTCTCTATGATGTACACCTGAGCACCCCAACCCGAAAGGGCGTCTCTGTCAACGGCACTGAGGAGGGCTTGGGAAATCGTTTCGAATAGGTCATCGGGGCTCTGTTTCGCGGATACGTTAGATAACCGACGAACACGGATCAAGGCCAAAAGAAAATCTTACCAATCCTGGCTCCCATAGACCTTCGCAGGTACCAAACAGCTGATCACTGGCCGTCCCACTGACAATAAAGTCCTTGGCGAAATCGATACAGCCGATACTGTCGAACCCGCAGATGAATGGCTGATTTGTTGTCTCGTTGATTCCGGCCACCACAGGACTGACGAAGAAAGGACCGAACCGTCTCTCATACAACGACGAACTGACTAGGTTGGCAAACGTCTGTGGTGCAATGTTGCGTTCCTCCCGAAGTCGGTACATGTTGACCTTGTAGCGGAACAGATCTGAGACGGTGTTGACATCGGTGGCCAGGCCGGTCAATCCGAGGAAGGTCGAGGGGGCGTAGTTGAAGATCTTGGGAAAGTTGTTCGACACGGTCAACGACTGCATACCGAGACGGAGATCGCAGGCAATGGCGACGCAGTCCTTGCCCACCATGGCCACGCAGGCACCGCCATCTGTCAACAAGCGATCGTATCAGTTATCTGGCCGGCGACAGGGGAAGGAGGGAAAATAAAATCGAGCAGGCAGCATACTGATACTGAAAGGATTGCTCTGTAATGATGAAAATGAAACTCGTCAGCTTGGATCGGTGTGGTTGCTTTGAGCAGCCATAAGTAGCTGGATAAGGCATACCATGGTGAATTTGAGTCGAACTCAACGAACGAGTAGCTTGAAAGAAGAATCTCAGAGCAGAATGGCAGCTCCGGACCGCAAAAATGTCGTGGATGGCGTGTCAACAGGAGAGGTGATGGAGGTTGGAGGAGGTTGTGGTGGTGGTGATGCTTCCGCTCCAGCAATCGAAGCTCTCTACGCGCGGGCAGAGCCGCAGCCAGCGATGACGCTACTGCCAGTCACTTCCTCATTGCTCTTCCTCTCCCTTCCCCAGCTTCAATATTTTCTACACCTTTTTCTTTCTGAGAGCTTCTGTATTATTCTTTGTTTAACCTATCCGTCGTATATATAATTTGAATAGAGGCAGACGGAAAAACACTCATCCCTTCCTGCCTTCTAATCTGCCCCGCAAATCGCCATGAGCTCTCACGTCGTAGTCATAGACTCGACTGCTCGAAGAGCTACCATCAAAACCTCTCCTGGCAAATACCTGACTGATGTTTTACAAGAAGCCTGTGCCAAACTGGGCGCGGAACCTAGCCAATGTGGCCTGAAGTAAGTGCTCCAAGAACCTCACGAGCATAGAGAAAAAGTATACTAACTGACGATAAAAAGACACAACAGTAAACAGTTGGACCTCTCACTTGCCTTCCGTCTCACAGGACTCACCTCCGGCGCCAAGCTCGAGCTCGTACAGCTTTCTCGATCGCCCTCCGTCGTCACGGTCGCTATACAACTACCCGAGTCAGAAGCACGCGGAGTTCCCAACGGCCGTCTCTTGGATAAATTCCCCAGCTCTACAACGTTATGGCATATCCTACGGAAGTTCGAGGCAGGTGTTGCGGGAGGAGGGTCGACACGGAATCTTACAGCACGTGGCGTCCCCTCAACAGATAATGGCGGTACCGGCGCAGGAAGGTTGTTCTACGAGATCCCCGTGTTGCAGACCCTGGGACGAGAGATGTCGACATTTGCGGATCTTCAGAAGTCACTGGCACAGCTGGGTTTTAATAGTGGGAATATTTTATTGAGACTGAGTTTCCGGCGCACAGAGGAGCCTCTGAAGGTAGCTATGGTCAAGATCCAAGATTACTTCAAAGTGGTTGAAGACGACATGGCAGCGACGACAACGGCAGCGACACAAGAGCAACCTGCACCAGATCAGGCGACATCCGATGAGCAGCCAACAGGCATCGAACCGAGTGGTGAACCTCCCCAACCTTCTCCCGCCGTCTCCGAACAGCCATCTCACATCGCTCCACCACCCGCCGCTACGTCTACCGAGCCAGCCGCAAATCCAACGGCAGCCTCTCGTCCCATAACAGTCTTCTCTCCTCCCACCAGCAGCACACCCCAGTCCGCTCAATTCATCTACAATGACAATGATTACGTCCCATCGGTTGAGCACGCACAAGCTCACCAGCGCCGTCTAAACGAGACCTCACGACCGCAGCGTCTACCAACAGATGCAGAAATCGCTGCAAAGGAATCAGCAGAGGCAGAAAGGTTGGCATCTGTGAAGGAAGTCGACGTGAAAGTCCGGCTTCCCGACCAGAGCCAGGTGGTGGCCAAGTTCGGACAATCGGATACTGGCAAGTCTCTTTATGATTTCGTGAGAAGCTGTTTGGCAGAGTCATTTGCGCGCGAGAAATTCCTTCTCGCAGTCTTCCCCGCTGCCGGAGGTCTAGGTCCCCGTGCAGGAAAGAAGCTTCAGAACGTGGTCCCCGACTCGGAGCGCTCTTTGTTGATCAAAAATCTCAACATGGTTGGACGGGTGCTTGTCAGCTTCTCCTGGGACCCGACTGTTTCTTCGGCTGTGCGGGGGAGCAAAACCAGTCTCCTAAAGTCGGAGCTCCAAGGTCAGGCACAGCAACTCAAAGTCGAACAACCAGCGGCTGTGCCAGATGAGCCCGCTGGTGGTTCGAGAGTGGGAGCCACAGAGCAGCGCCAGGGTGATAAACCTGCGCGGAAACCGGGAACTCTGCCCAAGTGGCTCAAGTTACCTGGGAAGAAATGATAGCGTTGATGCATAGACACGTTTAATGATTATCGATGCATGTGGCGGCTTCGTGAAAGTTTTTGTTCTTCATTACATTTAAAACAAAGGCGAAATAGTTGTCAGGAGTTGCATTTAATCATGAACATTCTCAATCTATTTCATTCTAGCAAGTTTCCCAGTCTGTAAACAATCTCTAGACCCAATACCCCGTATATTGTATCCAATCCTAACCAGTCAATCTTTAAGCCCTACGTTGCATCTTTCTATAGACCAGCTTCTGCCATATCTTAATAGAACGCCTAGACATCATGACGCCCAATCATTCAACCGCGATCTCCGGCGGTCGTTTATAGACAACACGCCAAAGGTCATTGGCCAAAAGCTGTCACAGGCTGCGCCTGTCGCATAAGCGATATATTTAACTAGTCGGGCGAAGAGGCTATCGGACGGAGAGGCTATCGGAGGAACTATTTACCCGCACTGCGCGCGCATGTATATAGAGCCGCCCGATCGGGCATTTCCTTTTTTCCCCAACGAAATCTTTTGTGCCAAAGCTAGTTATTAACATTCCGGGCCTAGCCCCTAACAGACCGCTCCCATTGAATATCCAAACACCACCCATCCTTTCACCAACTCGCCCCGATTGAAGACTGGTCAGATAGGCCCTGAGTCCTCACATACATACGGAAACACCCACATCTGAAAGCGGAACTAGTCCCTTTTGGACCTACCTCCAGGGACACCTTGGCAATCCAAATCAACACCCTCCAGAAGACTGCACTCCTGGTCAACATCTATAATGTCCCCTGCAGTGCTGTAGATGAGGGCCAAGGCCTGGAGTCCCTCATGTCACAGACAGCCCCATCCCTCCCCTGCCTAATAGCAGGAGACTTTAATCTCCAACACCCTGCTTGGCAGTCCTCTGCTTGACCTTCTCTCAGAGCAGAACCTTTCCTATCTTGGACAGAATCCCAAGATCTCACCCTAACACTCCCCCCTGACTCACCAACACAAGGACAAAACATGATTGACCTATCTTGGGCCAATAGTGCTCTGCTTAACCTTGGGATATCCTCGGAAGTCACTACTGACCTCCCACCCCTTGCTGACCATGAACTTATCCTTACAACCATTCAATGGGGCACGAACAACCTCCCCCGGGACACCCCGCCTTTCCGTTGGTCTACCCTCAACGACGAGCTATTCCAGGAGACAATACAAGGAGAGACAAGGCATGTGGATGGGATAACTTCCACCCTTTCCCCATGCCCATCCCCTGCCCAATTAGATGATCTTGCTGCCAGCATCACTCATCTAGTTGGGAGGGTTAGCTTCAGCATAGCTATTGCCCGTGGACGGAGAGGGTCAGTGCCTCTCTTCCTCTTTGGTGGGGTTACCCGGTGCCAGGTTCCTGCTGAAGTTGAGGAACAGGGTCCTAATATCCTTGCCCAAGGAGGCAGCTCCCTGTAGGCTCTTCTCTTCCCAGTCAGCGACTTTCTGGCTAATCATAGAGACAAGCCCCAAGACTTCATCTCCTGTAGTCTTTAGTTGTGCTGTGCGTGAAGCCACTGCCGCTGTGATGTGGCTTTGGAGCTCCAAGCCTAATTGGCTTTGGGGGGCTTCGTAGGATGGGGACGCAGGAGGCGTATCCCGGTCGAGCTGCCAGTTCTTGGGCGTAGGAGGAGCCTGTATAGCTTTTCCCGGTGTCTCTGGTCTCGGTCGTTTGGGCGGTCGCTTCGGGGTGGTGGGCTCCCGGGGGGAAGCGGTCGTGGTCTCGTGGGTTCCCGGGGCTTCCCCCATATTGACGTCGGACATAGGATTGGTGGTAGCAGTGTTTGTACTCGGTAGTTGGCTGGGAAATCGCGAACAGGTGGTCGCGATTTTGGCGTTGCATGTGTAAGTATTCCACTTCTTCTTTGCAGACCTTTTGAGGTTGATGCATGATGTCATGTGTTTATCCTTAAGTCGCGCTTCTACTTCTGCCTAAGCGAAATATAACTCTTCGCCCTTCCTTTTTCTTAACTCTCACTCCCACCTTCTTCCTCTCTCTTCGCATCCCCACCTACTAGCACAGAATACTACAGTAGCCGGTTATCCCTCATCAATTTTCTATTGTTTCAGTTGCTTGTCTGATTATCTTTTGTCGGACCGGCATCATGCCACCCGAAAACACCGATCTCGACAATTTGGACTCGGATGCGCTGGTGCAATACGTGATTCAGTACACAGGCTTGCCAGTCCCTAAGCCAGATATCAAGGTCATACACAAGAGTAACATTACGGGGTTCAGCCTTATGCATTCTGGCACGGAAGAGGCTTTTGAAAAGGTTGGACTATCTTGGGGCACTGGCACTAACTTGATGAGAATCAAAGAAAACTACTCCAAGAAAAAACGTTAGGCCCCTTATTACTTTACCATGTATCCTACTTCTACTAACTTATTTTAGGAACGGTGGATGAAGTGGGACTGGGGGATTATGAATCCCACAAGCGTTTGCAAATGGCCTTTCAAGCAGATCTAGCGCAATCAGAGGGAATCCCATGCAAGCACATCTAGGAAGGAAGCGGCGATACTACAGACACTCAAAAGAGCATCCAGCGGCAAGACGAATATGTTACGCAACATGTCAAAATTGCCCGGCAGCAGGCTCCAGCGCTTCGCTGTGTTGCCAAGCTTTGTGAGGAGCAACGTCGTCGGATAATGAACTTCTTCAAAATGAACTACAAAGATTGGGACGATGCCAAAGAAAAGCTCTCCTCGCCGAACAATTCTGTGGATCTTCCCTTCCCATTCCTCGGGACCACGGTGCCTAAAAGGTTCATGATTCGAAACGACCAGGGAAGTTTTCACTATATGGGACGGCAAGTGTTCTCCGGACTTTTGGAAGCATTCAATTCAATAACACGATCTCGGGGACTTGAAGATCTGTGGGTATACGGCCTCATGGGCTACGGCAAATCATACCTGCTCGCAGTCCTCACATGCTTCCTAACAGCATACGGCTATCGGGTTGTGTATCTACCCGATTGTCGCGTTTGTCATAAGAGACCTGTTCGGTATCTTCAAGATGCTTTGCTATTCACCTGGGCCGACTCCCCCAAAAAGGCTGAAGAAATAATCGGGCTGCGAGACATGAATGAAGTCGAAAGCTTCATCACAAACACCTGGTCGACTTCGGTCATCTTTGTTGTGGACCAATTGAATGCTCTAGACGGCGACGATGAGGCTCATACCAAAGCCCGGGTACGCCATTGGCTGGATAGATGCCGCTCTGACGCGAAAACCGTATTCAGCACTTCTGCGAACAATATCTCCTTCCACCGCACAACTTCGCAACAGAACAATGACTATTTGTTCACCGTATTTGGTGGATTCACTAGGGTATGTTAACAGATGCCAATTAAATTGACGCTGCTTTTTGTTCTTTTTTTTTTTTTTTTTTTTTTTTTTCTTTTTGGTGAATTCGAAGTTTTCAGAGCTGACCCCTTCTATTTGAATAGGTGGAAATGGACGCTTGGTGGAATCACCATCATACCGTGACTCTTGGGGATTACACCCGAAACGAGATTGAGGATTACACTGGATGCAACCCGCTGTTGCTTGCAAGCTGCACTAAGAATGACAATGTCAGCTTTGCTTGTGACGAGATCCTTCAGATGGTGCGGCAATCCCAGCGGTTCGCGGTACGCATGAAGAACACGCTAAATGAATGGGAATGGTCGCAGTAGGTACTTCCGCAGTAATAATAGTTATGATAGCGTGCTAATCTCCCATAGCTACCAATCTTATGTCAAAGCATGCGTCGCTGGAGATGTTGTTCCTGGGAATATCGCCCCCCAACATGTCGACCACCGTTTCTTCCATGAGGAGAATCAAGTTGGGTATTGTATCTGCGGTGCTGTCCGGCAAGCGATTACAAAAGAGCTGGCTCAACTGGGAACATATTTGTTCTCGATTGACGATAGCATCGAAGCAATGAGTGTCCTCATCAGCAATCCGTCGGTGGTCGGTTATTTCCTCGAGAATGCCATTCTCCGGTCTATCATTGCCACTGGAGTCCCCTGTCTCGACGTACTTGGACCTATGCCTCAGTTTGTTTTCGAAGGGTTTCCGACTTACAATCTCGCGTATGAAAGAGCCTTATATGTGCCCAAGGCCTTCAATTTCCCTGCCATTGATGCCGTTCTTTTGCGCCTTAGCCCAGCGGAAAAGAAAGCTGAGCTCATACCCATCCAAGTCACTATTCAGAAGTCTCATAGAAAATCGGAAGGACAGTTTTTCAAGGACTGGAACTTCTGGTGTCGGCACCTCCATGGTTACGAGCTCAGTGTCACCTTCCTCTGGATCACCTCTGACGAAAATCTTGAGAGTACATCCACCGAGGGGAAGGTTCGTAAGACGCGCGACGGCTCTGAGAAGGTGGTTTGGCCTGACTACAATTCCGTCTACATCCCGCTGAAGGAAGTGAACAGAGAAGTTTGGAGTGGATATGAAGCAGCCAAGGCCAAGCAGACATTGTTACTGCCCAATTGAAACCCATCACCCTGTTTGGTGTTCTAGTCGCGTCAAGTTCATCTGTTGACCTCTTCGATTCTGTTAATGATTCTCGATTGACGAACACACGTCTTAGTCGGTTAACCTGGGCTGACTTGTGTTACTTTATGGAAGTTAACTACACTTACCAATTGAAGTTGCTTTGCTCTGCGAGCTGATTCTAACGTGAGGAATATTTGAAGAAGGCATATTCGTATGTTTATCGTTTTGTAGAACCTCCGAGATTGGGGAAATCTGAGGAAGTGCGGAAATTTATTTATGCCTGGTTTCGTCTCTGGGGCCAAAGCATTGGGGTATTCCACTGTATATCATACAATTTGCCTCTTTCCACCACCGGACCAAAAACGAGTTGCAATTTGCATAGGAAAGCTTGGCTTATCTCGGGGATGTCAATAATGACTCCGCAAATGCCGGGTTCCCCATTATTACTTACCCCATACCCACTGCGGTGAACACCTTTAATTCTCAAACCCTATTCTTCAATAACCGACGGTGTTGACTTGAGTGGTTGGAATCCCCCGAGGCCTCCTGTTAAGCATAGCTATATGCTAGTTTTTGAAAATTCGCTTTCCACCATGCTGTTTCAACGGAAATTGTCGTCGGTGTGTATTTCAGTCATACTAGCACAACCACAACATGCTTGACTACAATCAGGTTATTGCCTTGTTCGTGGCTTTAGGTACCGGGTCTCAGAGTACTTCTATCCTAGGCGTGATGTAAGCCCTCTTCATAGGTTGCTGTGCAACCGGCGCTCTCTTGACAACTTACCTGGTTGATAAATTTGGCCAAGTGAAATCTTTGGTTGGGACATGTGCATTATATATGATATCAAGTGCTGTCCAGGGGGGGGGGGGGGGGCTCCGTGCATGTTGCAATATTCCTCATTAGACGACTTTTCAACGGCATCGGGGTGAGATTTATGCTGCTGTTTGTGCCACTGTACTATTGCGAGATTGTGCCTACTGAGGCGCGTGGGAAGATGGTTGCAAACCATGGGTTCTTAATTGTGTCGGGACATATGGATGGAACTAAGATCCTGGTCAGCTTTTTCCAGTACTAATTTTGTTGGAACTAAAAGGCTCTTGCAGCCTGGGCAGTTTACGGCTGCTACTTTTCCGCAAATGAGGCGTTCCAATGGCGATTTGAATTTTCTGCGCAAGCAATCCCGCCTCTATTTCCTCTGCTCAGCATGCCATGGCTTGCCAAGTCGCCGTGGTGTCTTATGGAGAGGGGTTATCACGAAGACGTGCTGGCTGTGTTGGAACAACTCCATAATGAACGAGCAGGCTTCACCGCACATGAGGAATTCAACCAAATGGCCCAGCAAATGGCCGTCTACAAAGAGTTGCAGAGAAAGATAGAAAGGTTTCTGCTCCTTACCGTCCCATTATACCGGAAGCATCTTCTGTTCGGCTGTCTTACAGAATTTCTCGGCCAATCTACGGACGTGCTCATCGTCAATAACTACCAAGTCATGCTGTATAATGGCTGGGGCTCGACAACTCCACCCCCCATCCTCCTATACGCCTGCTATCTCGGCTGGACTGTGTTTATGAACCGCTTCTCCGCGATAATGGTCGACCGCATTGGACGCACAAAAGTCCTAGTTTTGGGCCTCATCGGTTGCTCCATGGCCATGGCCGCCAAATTCTCCGGAACATCCAACCAAATCGGCAACAGCTTCGGCGTCTTCTTTTTTTTTTTTTTTTTCCCCTTTACGTCACCGTATACGGCTTCTGCCTAGATGCGACATGCTACGTGTACTTCGTCAAGATCTCCCCAACGCATGTTTAGGCTATTGGCATGGACTTGTCATTGTTTAGTCAAGCATGTGCGAAACATTATACTACTCCAATTAGGAAGCTGGAAGCACGAAAATGGCAAGGAATCGATGCAGCAATAGTATTGCTTGTGTCTTGGTTTGCTTCGTGTTGGAGCCCTTTCCAGGGATATTGAAGCATCATTATAATGCCAGCACTAATAGGCTCGAGGTTTTCAAGCGAAGGAACAGGCTTCCTTTCTTGCTCAAGGATAGCTGCCTCTCCAGGAGAGAGATACTCCTTGACTAAGTCCAGTTGGCTTTGTTCAAGTTCGAATTTGGATGAGAATAGGTGGAGCATAAGGTCTCTGATTGTTTCAGGCTTTAGATTACCACGACGATAGTGACAGACATCACGAGCACAGTTGAAGAGCCGCTCAACACCAGCACCACTAGCTGGGATTGAAAGGATATCCCGCGCTAATCGTGCGAGTATTGGAAACTCGTGCTCATGATCTCTCCAATAGACCCGAGGGTTACCTTTTTCAAGGCCTATCATAGTGATTAATTTATGCGATATAGAAGTATACAGGAAACACTAACCCTTTGCTAGATAACATGAGATCTCATCCTGATTCTGTTCAGCTTCGCTTTGAAGAAGGTTCTGTGAGTCACATAATATTGCAAGTTCCTCTTCATCACCAGTAGACGCCTAGGACGCTTCAAGCCGTTGATCAATGTCTGGCCTTGTTTCCTGGATAACTTGCTGTTTATATCGTGAGTACTCCTTTTGCAGGACTCCCAGGTACTGTTTCATAAAGTCAGCATCTTCACCCCTCCAGTCCTTATTGTCAAAGTATCGGAGCTTCTTTGATGGGTGTGACGGCTCAACGGCTCAACGCCAGACAAACAGCGCCAACACATCAAACGATGCCATACAAGCAATATGGGCAAACAAGGGCTTAAGCCGCACCACACAAATGTCTATAAAGACCGTTCATCGCCTAGATAGATTT